CTCTGGCTATCATGGTCTTTCCAGTGCCTGGAGGACCAAATAGCAGCATACCTCTGGCTGGTTCACGAAGTCCCATGAAAAGATCCGGTCGAAGGAAAGGGTACACAACAGCTTCTTTCAGGGCCGTCTTTGCAAGTTCAAGACCAGCAACGTCATCCCAATGCACTTCATCTCCATGTACCACGATTTCTTTAAAGATTTGTTTGGCAGACTCCTGATCAACTCCTTTTGGCAAATTGCTCAACGCTCGTTTTAAAACCAGATCTTCCTCCGGTTCATATTCTGGCAGGTCAATATCATCGTCAATATTGTCTCCTTGAGCGGGTATCTCTGCTGAATATTTACTAGACTTGGATGTCGTCCTCTTTGGTCCAACGGCCGGTCGATTTGCAGGCGCAGAAGGTTGAGTATTCAATTGTCTCATCTTGCCGTTAGGGGGGAAGTCACTATTACGGCTTTCAGCGTTTCTACTACAATCTTTCACGTTTGATCGCGATTTAGAAGGTGCAGAATTTGATGATTTGACTGCCTTCCTCTGGAAAACATCATCTGGTGTAACTTTATTCGAGCGAGTTTGAAGAGTGGCTTGCGTGGCAGGGACAGGTCGCACGGGCTCCGTATTGGAGCTTTTAAGAGACGTCTGAGGTCTGGATTGTGGTGGGCTGTACCCAGAATCATTCTTCTTGTCTGTTGACTTCGGTTTATCGGATTGTCCTCCCTTGAGCTCCGGAGAAGAATCAAGAAAGCTGTTGGATAATTCTGCTTCCATTGGTCTTTGGGCAGCAGCTGCCGCGGCGGCAGCGCCCGCAGCTAGACTCGCAGCAGTGTGATCTCCAGATATTCTTCGTGTGATTGGAGAGCCGGAGAAATAATCTGGGCGATGAGATGCGCGGACTGGCGTTGAAGATTCATCGATGGACCGGCGGGTTGGGAGAACATCCCTCTTCGACCCAGAGTCACTCGAGGTACTTTTCCGTGGGGTCGCAGGGGCAGATTCATTTGCCGGAGAAGTTTGACCACGTTTGGATGAGTTCGATTGGGTAACAAAGCTCCAAGCCAAACCAGCAGCTTTAGAAGCCGGCTTCGAATGTTTGCGTGGTTGTGTGTTGGAGTTTGTAGGGGATTTCAGATCCTTTCCACGAAGCGTAGTGAGCAGTGTCTTCTTTTTCTCCGAGTTTTGCGGCCGGTTTGTGTCCCTGGGTATGGCCGGTACGGGCAGTGGTGGAGGTGATGGCAGGGAATCCAATCCTAGACCACGAACATCACCCGAACTGATCAGTGGAGCAGGTGTTGTGGAATTGAGGCTGGACTGGCTCTGCGTTGTGGATCGAGGTGGTAGAGCCGGTGGCCGTGGCAGATCTGGATAACTCAGGGAAGGTATTGTTCCCTCGCCAATCCAACCCGAGTGACCACTAGCGAGGGAGCTCTGAGATCCATTTGCCTGAGGCCTCGGTTTCTCTAGCTTTCCTTTCTGGGTAGGTGCCGCTTTCACATCAACATCCATACCAGCCTCCTTACGACTTTCTCGTAGTGTTTCCAAGAGCATGACCCTTTCTTTGCATTGTAATTCCAGCTCACGCAACGAATCCTGCAGGCCTCGCTCAATGTCATTCTTGGGAATATATGTAGATGGGACTTTGTGCGCATTGTGGTAGTAGAGCGCATCTAGCGCGGCTTTCCAAGTTCGTAATGCTTCTGACTCATTATTCTAGAGGAAAGGAGATGGGAAAGTCAGCAATCAGTTCCGATAATATAGATATCCCTCCATCTCGACAGAGAACGGGTAGCCCGCCCAAAACTGCCTGGCGGGGTATTGGCAGTGTAGCCAGAGGGAACGAAGGCAGTGTACTTACCTGATTCTCGAAATATACAGCCGTCGAGCACATCAAATAGCAGTCGTCGTATGTCTTCTGCATAGAAGACGAAGCTTTAGGACGCATCATGGCTGCAGTGGGTGAAATAAAAGGAAATCCCCTCACCCCATAGGATTAGACAGAACACCGCCCAAATGTCATCAGTAACTCAAAGTACAGCCCTGCGAAACCAGCGCAGGAGATAAGAAGAAGTTCCAGGCCAGAATCAAGCCAGTCTGTCCCGGAGCTGAGATTCTTCGAGCGAAATGGAGCTATCGCCGACGCCGTCAGTGCAGATGTCCGACGTCTCGACACCGGAACCTTCGATATCGGCGGTGACAGGGGATGAGAGGCTGAAATCAAAGGACAGGTCGGATCACCGTCCAAGAAATGGCTATGATACCTGCTGAGCACCAGGCTGTAGGTCGGGCAGTCGGTATGGGCGCCTTGTTCGTGTATGTTGCTTTGCTCAAGAACTTGGCTGGGTGAACTTCTCTCAGTCCCAAAGTTGCTCCCATCGCCATCTGGCACGGCGCCACACCCGCACCCGCACTTAGTCATCCATCGTGGAGCTCAGGAGCCAGATGGACAAAAAGCACGGCAGTTGCAAAGATTGGCATTCCTTTAGTTAAACTACGGTGAGGTTGGTGCTAATTAGGCACCGTTGAAATCGTGAGATAGTGCTTCCCTGCAGCATGACGTTGTGCCTCGTGGCCGAAGAAGCAAGGTGCAAGCATATCGCTGCCCTGGGCGATATTTGGCCGTATTCAGTGGAGATCTCTTAACTACCCCCTTGTCTAAACACCATCTGTTAAACATGTATCTGGGTCGTTTCGATCTATTAGTCGTTATCTTACATCTATATATAAGTAGAAATACAGTTATGCAGGTGTTATACAAGGAATATGACGGGGAAAAGAATCATCCAGAACTCCAACCCATGCCAATTTTGAGCCCCAAAAACTGGGAGCAGGATAGGTGCCTCTTTAAGGGTTTCTGGAATGCCTTTTGACTGCAGGGCGCATTGATCTTGTCATACGCTTGTTTTCCTCCTGTGCTCGATGCTTCAGGCTGAAGGCATAAGTGCTCAATGGCATCCGGCTTCCAACGAATTTCCCGTGAGGACTGAACAATTCAACTCTGGGGAAGTCTTCGGGCTCTCGAGTTCTCGTCCTGACTTGACATGTAAGCTCTACCCAGCCACAGCCCTCAATAAGGATGTCAACCCCCATTATTCGATATAATGATGGTATTTCGCCATTTGGAAGAGGTTTGGCGTATCTGGCGGTCACATCATACTTCAGCTCAACTATCCCAGCAGAAGTAATTTGCTCTCCAATTCCTTCTTTTGCAATGTTCCCTGTCGGACATTCTCTTTGTTGAGTAAGCATCTCGGCCGCTTTGTCTTTGTGAGTAATGTGTGGTTCCAAGGTAACAAAGGGAGAAGCCAAAAAAATCTCGTTCTCCTCTAACGGCTTAATTCCAATTAGACCACCCAGAAGAAGCGATTGTGTGGGTTTGATTGTTAGTTGAGTTGGTCTCGGGCGGCTTGTCATTACCAGGTCAGATTTATGCTTGTCCTGTACAAACTCGTCAAGTCCGGAACGGTAGAGCCCGGGCAAGTCAATAACTTCACCTCGGTGCTTGTCGAACGGTATTCTAATAGGAGAAGCAGTAGTTCCGGGACGAACAGAGTCAATCGGGAGGTTGGGAAAGGGGACCTCCTTCTGCAGTGGCGGGAGCAAGACGGCAACTCCATCCTCCCCGTCTTCCAGTTCCTCGGCTGCTGAAACATTTGCTTTATCAGGAGGTGTGGAACGTCCAACTATAGTTATCCCTTTGGAGTTCTGGAGTTTCCTGGCCTTGTATGCTGGAGCCGTCTTTGGGAACACTGATGTTATCAACTTGCTTTTGCCAACGTTCACCTTGCCCACCATCCATACACCACCACCTTGATTCCAGATATCTTGCTTAATCTCCTTTGTCCACCAGCCCCTATAGGAGCTAACCATATGAACGTTTCCCAGCCTGATACCATGCTCTTTGCGGTCCAAGGTTTGTCGCAAGATCTCGACCATATATTTCATCAGCGAGTCTGCTTGCGGTTTTACGTTTGACAGTAGGTCGGCTCGGGTAATAACAAAATTCAATTCCGCTAGATAGCGACTCGACCCATATTTCTTGGTATGCGATCTTCGGTTCTGGCTGCGCTGTGGTTGTATAGGCACATATCGTTGGAGGTTTGGGATCACGGAGAGGGGGAAATCGGCCGCATCAACAACATGATAAATATAATTGTTATGGAAAGGCGACTCCTCGATTAGGTCACGTATATAAGATAATGTGGGATAGGGTATTGGTTCCCCTTCTCCATGGTTGATCAGATTATGGCATCGGTCACACAGTGGAATCGCTATGTCCTCAGGCTCTTTGGATTCTGGTGCAGGTTTACTCTCATAGGATGCTATATGTGAAGCATCTACCTCCGACTGCTTTCCCTGAGTGACATGCCGAATATATTGTTTCACGGGCTTTCGAGTAACGGTATAATACCCAGGCTCCTTAGGGTATACCCATTGTGTCAATGCGCCGCAACCGTGGCATGTGTCAGGAAGTGCCCATGTTTCTAGATTTTTCCCTGTAGCTTGCAAACTCTCAGTAGAGTTATGTTGTCTTTGTTGTCTCGGTGCAAGGGGAAACGCTGTGGACGATGGAAAAGACGTTCTATATGGCTGGAGAGCTCGCCATTGTGACAAACACCGAATGGAAGTGAATTTTCGGAGGGTGATCGGGGAGCGGTGGAGGATACTTCGAGACTGGAATCTGAAAATAGGAATTAGCATCGCGCAAATATTCCTTTCTTCCAGATATATTATAACGGGCAGCGCTTTTCGACAAGCTGCCAAATTTTGAACTGCAATGGACCAGAGCTTGCCCAGATCTTTCTTATCAGCGGATCATTAAAATATCCGAGATCCGAAGATCTGATAACATAAACTTTATTTTGACCTGCTGGATGTAATATCACTCCATTCTCTCAAGGTGAATATTATTATGATACAGTATCCAAAGCCGTCCATTGCTAGAGCTAATTCCTCAAAGACTCCGGTTCCTTTTGCGCCGCCAATTATGTAAAATAAGGTAAAATCATACCCTTGCCTTTCCTTTGCCTTTGATATCGGTCTCATCAATTTCATCCTCTTCGTCCTCTGACATGAGGTCCTCATCGTCTTCCTCATCGTCAAATCCAAAGAACCGTCTGACTGGCTTCTTCGTGCTTGCACTAGGCTCGTTAGGGGAATCTTCTTCATCAACGTCTTCCATGTCACTATCCTCGCTGGCGTCCATGGATCCTCCGCTTCCGCTGCTCCCACTAGCTTCTGCACTATCCAATAACCCAGCAAGGTTATCTTTCCAGACACCCCCGGCCATAGCTTGAAGAACAGCCTCACGGGCCTTTTCGCTCATCTCTTCTTTATCTTCCATCCATGCACCATCAACTTTCCCTTTTCCTTCACCGTTCCGGATCTCTTGCTCTTTCTTCTCTGCAGCGGCAACGGCAGCCTCCCATCGTCTCTTTCGAGCTTCCTTTTCTTTTCTATCCATTTCCGGTTTCAATGCAAGATATTCTGCTAGGGCCTTTGCCTCTTTCACCGTACGCAGCCGGCGGCCATCAAGGTTACGGTTTGAGCCGGTGTTTGTATCCTGATTTCCCTTTCGTCGGCTGGACATTCGGCCTCCAGCCGCTCTGAGCTGAGAGCCAAATCCTCCTTTTCCGCCACATACGCGGACGCTAAGGCGGAGCGGTAGAAAAGTAGAAGCAAAGTTTGCGACGCCATTTTCAACAGTGTCTGGTATGAGGTTGCTAAGTTTTGCAGAAGAAGAGAAGGGAATTTGCTTGTTGTTCGTTGTTGTCAATATAAAAGGTGAGGACTGAGCAGTCAGAGGGAAAGGAAGATGAGCGCTTATTCTATCTGTAAGATCTGCGATAGAAGATGTTGATGGTAGAGGGATGGCCAAAGTCGCGGGAAGGGCGAGGCCAGGGAAAGACGAAAGAAGAACATTGACGGTGAACGGCGCCATGTTGATAGAGGACTGTAACCACTGGTAAAGAATATATTATCGACTTGCCTTTCCTCTGTTAACTTAGAACTGATAACGAGGATGAGAATGCTGTGCTTGAGTTGAAGGAACTCTAACGAGGTCGCTGCGATCTCAGCACCCATCGCCTTCAAGGCTTGGCATAGTCACGTGAAGTGAGTGAAATCACGTGGATTTACGCTTACTAATAATGTAGGGCAAGGTGTTCGCGAACCCTAAAAATTTCCATTTACACACTTCTCTCCAGCTTATCGCAAGTTTGGTCTACGTCAAACCACCTTCACCAATAACTACGTATCGCATTGTCAAAAGCGATTCCCCGAAAAGCGCCAGGAACTCGCGACAATGTAAGCTGAGACACCGCATGATCATCAGGTTTCCATCCCGCTAACTGTCTGGCTGTAGGTTAATTCCAAAGGCTGACCGCAAGCTCATCCACGAGTACCTCTTCCGCGGTATGCAATTGCTTCATCTGTGAACTTTGAATGAGGATTGCGGACACTAACGTTGTATCTCAGAGGGTGTTCTCGTGGCTAAGAAGGACTACAACCTGCCCAAGCATCCCGACATTGACACCAAGAACCTCTATGTATGTGCCTGAAATGAAGATGAACAAAAAAAGACATCGAAATAACCATGCGCAAACGCTTACGGGTAAATGTTACAGGTCATCAAAGCCTGCCAGTCTTTGACTTCTCGCGGCTACCTCAAGACCCGTTTCTCGTGGCAGTACTACTACTACACCCTCACCCCCGAGGGTCTTGACTACCTCCGTGAATGGCTTCATCTCCCAGCTGAAATTGTGCCAGCTACGCACATCAAGCAGCAGCGCTCGCACGCTCCCCCACGTGGCATGATGGGCGGCGAGGAGCGTGAGAGACGTCCTGGTGGCCGTGGTGGTCCTCGTGGTGAGCGTGGTGACCGTGACGGCGGTTACAGACGCCGTGAGGGTGCTGAGGGCAAAGAGGGTGGTGCCCCTGGTGACTTTAACCCATCTTTCCGCGGTGGATTCGGCCGTGGACGCGGTGGCCCAGCTCCATCTTCTTAAATCACACTTATCGATACAACTAGTCAGACGGCTTTCATGAATTGATGCTCCTAGTCTAGCCGATAGGTATGATGGATGATGAAATGTGAAGGGAAAAATAAAAAGAAACAAAATTTACAGATATGACGATAGCTAGATATATATCAATGGCATTTAATTCGTCATGAAGGTTCCCTACGGGTATTTGAATTATTTTTATAATCAAGGCTAATAATTTTCGGGATAAGGAGCTGTCTACTTGAATCGCTTTCTATCATACCTGACCACAGCCTGTAGAATGACAGACGCACCATTCACACAATCTTCGGCCGACGAAAATTCCTCGGGATGATGGCTGACTCCATCTTTGCATGGTACGAAGACCATACTGGTTGGAACCCTCTTGTTTGTGAAGACGCTGTCGTGCCCAGCTCCGCTGCGTATAGTCCGATATAGAGTCTCCGGGTTTGGTTTATCCGCAACAACAGCTTTGGCAGATTCTGTGACGCACTCGATACATTCAGGATGGAACTTTGTCGCAGGAGTCTCAAAGTCCAATTGCCATTCTGCACGGCAGGGCTTGCCTATACCCTTCCCTTCCTCGCCAGCAATGATATCAAATTCTTTTCGTAGCTCAGCATCGACGACGTCTACGTCCTCAATTTCAGGGCCACGGATATCGAGACTGAAGCTGACGAAGCCCGGCACAGTGTTGACACTTCCTGGCTTAACTTCGACAATGCCGACGCTGGCAAGGCAGCCGTGCTTATCGGCTACTTCACGGGCTCGTACCATCATCCTTGCAGAGGCGTACATGGCGTCTGCACGGTGTTGGAAGGCGGTGCTACCCGTATGACAATCTCTTCCTGTTACGTTAATGCGATACCAGCGGTATGCCTGGACCCCAGTTACGACGCCAACATGTTGGCCGGCAGTGACGAGATGAGGCCCCTGTTCGATATGAAGTTCGAAATGGGCTGCAATAGGAAAGGATTTGTAGGAACAAGGGACACTACCCAGGTAGCCAATCTTTTCGAGAGCGGATTTCATGGATTCAGGGGCTGAAGCAGCCGAGGGAAGTGAGGCTACTGTTGGCACCTCTAGGAGCGAATGAGCAGTTTCTAGGGATATTCCCTCCGCCCAAACGCCTGCCGAAATCATGCTCTTGGGAAACCTGGCTCCTTCCTCGCTGTTTATGCAACTGTCAGCTCTTTCTACATAGCTAGTATGTGTATGTTCAAAGAATAGTGAATACGCACTTCGTCCAGTTGACCACGCCAACACCACCCTCTGTCTCGATCCCTTTCTCCTCGAGGACCTTCAGCATCTCAATACCCGCACAAACACCGAGAATGCCATCATATCGTCCACCGGTAGGCTGGGTATCTAAGTGACTTCCTACAAATGTAGCTGGCACATCTACTCTTTTGCCGGGCCTGACAGCAAAGATGTTTCCCATGCTATCAATCGTGACTCGGCATCCAAGCGACTTTGTCGTCTCCACGAACCAGTCTCGGACTTGCTTGTCCTTTTGAGAAAGTGCGAGACGGGCCATACCGGTCTCAGTAGGGTGGCTATCGATCTATTAGCAATCTAGATGTTGTAGCGTAGCAAATCCACTTACTCTCCCCATCTAATGCCGGTACCCCATTGGCAGCTATGATGGATCCATTCCTGCAGTCTCTCCTTGTTGGCTCTCAGGCCAGCTACATCAGCTTCAGACAACTCGGTAGTCAGCATATTGTCTCTCGATCTTGTCAATCTGTATATGTTCCCCGTGGAATTGAAGCCATCGTCGGCAAAGAGATCTTTTACTATTTATACCACGAAAGCCAGAAAGAGCCGAGCGGGGTGCGGAGAAGCGCCGGTTGGCTCCTGGCCGGCGCCGAAGTTGTCCAGACAGGGCGTGTCCCTTGGTAATCGGATGCGAGGCACCAGCGACATCACTTCAAGGACGTATCAAACTGCTATCTTGCGTGTGTAGTTGGTCGTCGGTGATATCGTTGTGCCATCAGTGTCTCGAATATCCCCCTTTTTTACACTGCCGTAAAGCACACGACACGGCAGTACTGCCACGCACTCATCTCCTGCCAGTACCACGCCCAACCCTCCCTTTTCTCTCGTTCTTTTTTTGGTATACAGGTAGCAAGGGTGCCAAAGTCAAAATCTCCCGAGCAAAAAATAAAACTATCGACCGACTGTTGTCGATATCAGAGGGTTCAAAGATTGGTGAGCGGAGTATTATGGGCAAAACCACGGCCATCTCTGGTAAAAGGCAAGAAATGGATTCTGAGCTAGTTTGTCCCACTCCTCGCAGTTTCTCCCGTGACTTGCTTATAAGGGAACTTTATCCGGCCGCGGGTTCGAGCCCCGGCGGTTCTTTTTCGATATTTCCATGGTTTTTTGTATTTTGCGCCTAGTGATGTAATAAAAAGAGTAAACACCCGCAACGCCCCGCGCTCGACGTCGACTTCTCCTTAGTTAATTACTACATACACCGCGACTTCAATAGCTGGCAACTAAGACCATGGCTTCTAACGCTGCCTGTATCTTCTGCAGGATCATCAAGGGTAAGCAGATCGCCACTCTCGTTTGTTCTGTTTCAATGCGATTACTGACTGCTACAGGTGAGATCCCTTGCATGAAGCTCTTCGAGAGTGACCGGGTCCTGGCATTCTTGGACATTCAGCCTCTTAGCAGAGGCCATGCGGTCAGTTCAGCTTGATTACCTGGCGAAAGCCATATGCTGACTTGGCTCGGCCTATATAGCTTGTGATTCCCAAGTACCACGGTGCTAAACTCACCGATATCCCAGACTCGGACCTGACCGAGCTCTTGGTGTGTTTCATCGCATTTCCTACTCTCTGGGCACGTCAATGCTAACTGTTTCAAAGCCTGTTGCGAAGAAGATTGCCATTGCTGCTGGTGTGGCTGATTTCAACATTCTCCAAAACAATGGCAGGATAGCTCATCAGGTCGTGGACCATGTAAGTTTTTACGATTGGACTTCAAACCGATACAATTGCTAACAACAAATTCTCAGGTCCATTTTCATATGGTAAGAGCTAATGATTTTGTCTATTAACAAGCACCAGTCTAACCGTCCTGTAGATTCCAAAGCCCAATGAACCGGAAGGTCTCGGCATTCGCTGGCCTGCCAAGGAAGCAGACAAGGAAGACCTCAAGGCTCTCTTGGAGGAGCTCAAGTCCAAGATGTAGAAAGCCACGTTAAAGTGGCGAAAAAGGAAAAGAATAATAGCACAACCAGTAAGAAGGGGTATCTCATTGCCATACTATTTATTCTGTGTAGATATGGTATATCTCTTCGCACTCAAATGCACATACATATATATGCACGAAACCACACAAACCCAGTTATATATCTGCCCCAAGATGAAGCTTAACGTACACTCCAACTTTCACGATCCTCTTCCCGGTGAATGAAAGGGATGAAGGGAGAACAATGAGAAGAAAGACATGACTCAACACAAGTAGGCGTAGTATATTATGCTCCTCATTAGAATGTGCCCAGAACCCGATGGCCATGGGGCGATGACATCCCACGTTGTAACTAGGAGAACATCTATTCATGCGCACACAAAACAAGTCCCATGTAGGTATCGAAACAACAGAAGACAGGAAAATCCAATGATGATGGTATGGTTATATCAGACCGCAGGTGCAGTCTGTTCGGTTGCAGCTGCAACAGCATCTCCATTCACCTTCTCAGACAGTGGTTGTGTGGCTGAGAGCTCCTTGGCTTCCTTTGGAGGTGGAATGAGGCCCAGACGATCGTACATGGATCTAGCACGAATATACGGGTCAAGCTGCCAATAGTTCTCACAAAGTTTCTCAGCAAGCTCGGTCCTGGTTTTCTTTATATAGGTCTCCTCCTCACTGGTAGCAGAATTCGATTTGGAAGCTGTCCACGCTAAAGTTGCTTCCTGGAAAGCACCGGCCATCTCCATTCTGGTTTTCAGCAGCTCGTCGCGGCGAGCGGTGTCCTTTTGTTTATCATTCTCACCCTCAATGGGTTCGATGTATTTATATTCATACTCATCTTCGCCGCCAAGGGATTTGATAAGGTTCTTACGGGGAATAATGGCTTCCAAATCCTCGGGGGTTTTGGTGAAATGCACCTTTGCCGCAACCACAGGATCAAGCCATCCCTTGATGACGGCCCAGATGCTGGAGAATATCCAGGGGGCTTTATGAACTAGAATCACTCCCAAGCTTTCAGGATAATTGGCCTCGAAACACTTAATCATGAATTTCACGGGGGTATAATCCTGCTACTTGTTAGTGCCGATACAGGAGAGTATTGATTCGAACATACCATATTTGCCAGTGAGAAATCGGTCATATCGAAAACAAGGGCCTATTTAGAACATTAGCATGTTCCATCAATAACGAAAGTGGGAGGATCTTACAGCAGTCTCTACTGGGGGTTGTAAAAGAAGTCTAGACGTTTCGATGAGGTATACAGTGTATCTTTCAAGGCTGGGCTCGCAGTGAGCCCCAATTCGGTGCAGGCGCACTGGAATATAGCATATCGGTCGTCCAAATTTATCGTGACCATGCATAAAACTCTCACCAAGCTGGAGAAGTTTTGCGAAATCAGAGGCCTCTTGCTTCTTAGCCAGGTCGTCACTTTTGCCCCCTTCTTCCATAAAACAGTCACCCTTAACCATAATATCATCGATATTCATGGTCTGCGACCTCCATCGGAATGCAGACACCAGCATAACCAAGGCACGGTTGACATCGTACTTGCGTGCACGAAGGAAACGCAGCAAGAGTGCATCAGGGTGGTCATGCCTGACCATGTTCCAGAAGACAAGCCTTATTTCTTCTGGCGAGGTGTCTTTTAGAGCCTCAAGAAACTGACTTGTCTCGCCGTACTTGTCGTCGGCGTCGGATAGCTTCATTGCCGCAACTGAGTTCGACACGCTATCTGACGACGGAGACTCGCTAGGACTCTCACTCTTCCTGCTGAAAAAACCCAGTCTCTTCTTAGATTTCTTCGCATCAGGCGAACTGGTATCAGAGGACGTGGCATTCTCTCCATTCCCATTCTGCTGCTCATGCTTCTGCTCCTTCTCCGGCCCCTCACTGGTAATCACCCCGCAAACTTTGAAAAGCGCAGTCCAGAGTTCCTGCAACTTCACTTCCTCCTCCTTCGTCAGATTTCCAACATGTCCGGTAGGTTTCTGTTGCTCACTCATAGTGGTGTTGTGATGGATATGTGGGGGTTCGATTCGCTTCGGCAGTGGGACAGCTGGTAGTGCTGGATGCTGTTGCTTTGGGTCTCGTATATATAACGCACCAAGTGCGAGCCCGCTACATAGAATGAGAGCGGAAACAGAAAGCGTCCACACGGAGGACGACCGGACGATGTGCTCTTGTCCGTAAGGGGGCCTCGGAAGCGCACGGGATGAAAAAGGAGCTCCTGAAGACAGGGTATTCCCCGTTGGGCTGAGCCTGGGCAATTGCACCTGATAACAGATGCAACGACCAAGAGTCACAGGTCTGAGCAATGCGAGCAGCGATTGAGGCTGTGTCGTGAAAGTATAGCGGCAGGGGAGTCGATTGCGCATATGTACTTTTAGGTAGGATGATGGATACGGGACCCTGCTTCGAACTAAGGCAACCTTGAAAACGCGGAGAGAAAGGCGGGGGAAGGAAAAAGGGGAGAGAGCAAGAAGAAGAAAAGAAAGAAAAGGTGCGGCCTCCGCTAATCCGGGGGAAACGAGAGCAGATCGAAAGTCAGATGGCGGTTAAGGGGGGAGTGTGATCCTGGCTTCATCGTTCGTCCCTTTTCAACTGCGCATCGCCGAGCAAGAAAAAGAAAGATCTGAGATCGGGAGATCGGGCGACGAGGGGTTCACGTGATTCCCATGTGGAAAAATCACATGCTCCACCTAAAAAAGTGTTATTTACAACATCAACATCAACAAGCTTAAACTGAGGAAGAGTTGATGATATGAAGGCTGATCGTTGAGCAATACGATAGTTATCGGAGGCATCTGCGCGACAAACAGACAGTACGAAGATATAACCAAGTTATCGTACCATACAGGCTTACGATGGAGGTGAAGAGACAGAGATCTACGTCCCGCCCGCGGCAACCGTCGCGTCCTACTACCCCCCTAAGGTCGAGCTCCAGGACGTCCATACGCGATACACACAGTTTTTCGGCCAGTGGTGACCCGAGTAGGGGATCGAGGCCGGGGATAAACAGCTTAGAACCTCAATTCGCGGAGCTGGCAGATTCAATGGCGGACCTAGAGGAGAATTTCGTACATCTTCAGTTGATGCATGAAAGTCTGTCAAGGTTCAACGAGAGCTTTGCGAGCTTTTTATATGGACTAAATATGAACGCTTTCTGCGTCGACTTCCCAGAGGTGTGTTTAAGTCATATAGCCATAGAGTATTCCAGTCGCTGTATCTAACCAACATCAATACAGACTCCTATCCCAGAATCATTCACACGTTTCAAGCAAAGGGAAGAAGCAAGAGAGAAAGAGAATGGTATGGAGTATATTCCATATAATAACTTACCTTACCATTGTACTAGGCGAGATGTTTACTGGTCATTTCTTAGAATTGCAAGCTGCTTCAGAGCAACAATATCAATCTGGCGCAAATGACGCAGAAACAACTTTCATGTGTGTTGCCCTAATCAAGCATGATAATTGTACCTAAGACTGACCCTCCGTCTGCTTAGGACCACGGATACCTCGTTTGTCGATAACCCGCCAACCACTACCAAATCGTCCGTCAGGTACACAACCCCTGGCGCTGCCTCGAAACGAGCTCCTACGACTTCAACACGAGGTTCCAGTGCTGGCCGGTACTCAACTAGAGGATCCTCCAACACCGGCCGACGGGGAACCAGGCTTGCACGCCCAAGAGGCCGGGGCATACGCTAATCATAACATGACGCAGGGCAGAAGAGACTTGATAATCTTCTAACATTTTGCATTTAGCCGATACCGTTAGTGGCTCGCTTCTCACGCATTAAATAATCAACCACTAAATAATCAAGTGGAAATTATCTTCATGATATGGATCGACCAACTTGATCAGGACTACATGCAGATAATCACTATCAAGGCCCTTTCTCACCGACTCTTTCTCATGCTTATTCGCTGATATCTTGCAATGAGAGAATACAGTCGATTGCCATTCTCGAGGACTCTATATGAGCTCTTTTAACTCGCGAGAATAAGTGAAGCGAATTACACATTAGCCATGCAGAGGCGCAGCACCAAGAGGACTCCCAGACATAGTACTAGATGGTTGCTACGAGTAGCCCGACGCGTTACTATATTCAGTATCTGTATGAGGGCGCCTGAACAAGCGAATATGACTTAGGTTACGATGAGAGTAAAGGTTATAAGAATAGAATGGAAGAGTGGATAGTGGAAGAAAGGATGACAAAGTTGAAGGGTTCTACCGACGGTGTTGGAACGTTCGCGTGCATGCGTTCTGAAACTGACATGTAGAACTCCTTCAGCTGTTACCAACAAGCAGCTGATAGAATTGCTGGGTTCGACTCTTACGAGTTCCCAAAGTGCCTCAGAAGTGACGTGGTAAAGCCTTGGTGGCAAGAGCTCTATCTGAACTGAGATTAATTCTCAGTAAGCCGCCGCGACAACCAGCAGTATACCCAGCTCGCCGCGGCCTGGTCAACAGGAAATCAGGAGTCTTATTGCTCCAGGAGAAGAAAACGGCCGCACAACATATTCCTTTCCATTACCTAACCGCTCTCAGTGGAAAGCCATCGATCACTATACTCGCTTTTATTACCAGATAAAACATTGGAATACTCACAACATAGACGGGATCTTTTACCGTCAAAGCCCGTCCGAGACAGAACTGGGAGCCCGCATCATTTTCATTATTGAATTTCTTAATCGATATCCACAAGCCGTCGCGAATAAATCTTCCCTCCGGTGGTGACATTATTTATCCGAGCCTTGCGAGTGCAGTTTCTACTCAATAGCCAATGCTATCGGCTCTTTATTGTTAGGTTACGCAACATGTTGCCGGGGATGCTGCTATGTTACGTTGGAATATTCATGCTAGTATAAACACTTGCACATTTGTCTTATTGCCATAATCGTATGGATGCTGGAAATAAAAAGGAGAAAACACACATAGTCTAGTTGCAATAAAAGTAAGACCACCTCCAGTGAATAATGAAATACTTCAAAACCATCTCAAAAACGCCCACAATGTCGAAGCAGCACCGGAATAATAACCAGTTTTGAAGAAAGAAAATATGATAGGGGTCTCCACTTAACGTACAAACCAACCCCGATGGAAAGCAACGAGCAGGAGCAGAACAGGAGCAGAAACAGCGAATGCAATGGTTAGATATGGTCAATTATTAGGTATGGCGAGGCACGGGCTACAGCCGAATGTGGCGCATCAAGCTACTTGCTAACACCATATGCCTGCAAGGTGTAGAAGAGAAGATAGGCGTCAGCCCCAAGAACCTCCGACTCAGCAACGACAGTTACACGGTCATCATTGAATTTGAACCACTGTTCACCGTGCCGGCAGTAAGCAAGGTAGTGGCCAGAGTCGATATCGCCGATGTGGACAACGACGCTCAAAAGGTCGTATTGGAACTGTGACCGGTTCTCTGATCTAGGGCTGGTGGTGTATGGCATCATATTGATCGAGGCAGGGTATGTGACTTTGGTTTCGACCTTTTCGGAGACAGATCGATTGCGCTCGAATCTCTTCAGTTGCATGCAGAGGATGACTGGCAACTTTCGTAGTCGAAGTTGCTTGGTAACTCCCATGTTGGAGTTACATTGGGTGCATCCATATTCACTAGCTGCAAGCTTTTCAGGGGAGATATACCCTTCCAAGCACCCCTGGAGGGTTGGTGCAACGTCGGAGCTTTGATCCCCGCCGTCAAGGGCACGCTTCTTCTTCTGGACCTGAAGGTCAAGGCTGACGTCCATCACTGGGTCTTCGGTGCGGGAAACCTTGCCGCAGTTGCGGCAGGTTATTGTGCTTCGTAGTTTGCCGAAGAATGCGGTGTGGAAGAAGCAGCGACAGGCGGGGTCACAGTCGAGATGCCCTGTGGTGCTCTCGTGGAGTTGGTTTACCAAGAACTGGTAAAATTCGTGGGCGTCCTGCTGGTGGTAACCGGCGAGGTCGGAGGATGTTTGCCACGAGGCAAGGAGAAGGTTGAGGGCACCGAAGCCCTCGTCTTTTTCTTCGTTGCTGAACTCAGCAAAAGCATCTGCGAGAGCACAGCCGAAACAGTTCGCTTTCTGGCACTCGCTCGTGCTATGCCCATTCCCAAGGAAGTAGGCCGTTAAGACCGGTTCGTGGAATAGGGTTTGGAGAATAACATTCATATAACAGGTCTGACCGAGGTTGAACAGTCCTCTGACACCTTCTTTGCCGCAAATTTTCTTGTTGGTATTCATAGCGATGTAATTGGCGTACTCATCATCCTCCATATTATCGACCTTGCGTTTTCTGGAGACTACAAGGAGAAAGTTAGTCAGAGAGTTGGGATAATAAATGTAGTTATGCAATCTTACCAATAGGCTCAGTGCTATTCTTCAAAATGCTTTCCAAGTCGATATCGTAGATGAGGTCGTCACATCCTTGGCAGAAGACATGTTTGCTTCTGTAGTCGGCAACTAGATTGACGAACTGGTTAGACGTTGATTTCCCTCAGTATAGTCATGAAGTGGTAATTTACAAAATATATGTCCTGTTTGCGAGCTATGCTCACAACGTGCAGCTTTCACACCGACAGCCGAGCATTGGAGGCACTGGTATTGCGGTTTCAGGGAGAACTTTGGCCCAGAGCTGCTCTTTTTCGAGGCATCAAGACGAATTTGCGATATGTTCCATGGTCCCTTGCCACTCAGTTTGGTGTAGTTCTCAGCGAGTCTGGTGGCTGCGTCTGTGTCTTTCTCAAATATATCCTTGAGGTGTTCTGTGCGAAAGAAGGTCAAAATGCATGCTTTGAGCTTCCTATGGAGGAACGAACACTTACCACAGCCATAAGCTGGCTCATAAAGAGGAGTGGACAGAGTAGCCATTTTGGATATATTAATCCCCAAGGATGTAATGTTGAATAATGTGTAGGTAGATGCAGATAACGTGCAACACCGTCGAGTGGGTATTAAGATAATCCACAGAGAACACCGACGCCGATAAGCAAGATAGAAGGTGTTTCCTGTACATAAAGCAGTATGCAAGGATATAGCTTTGAGATAACCCAGATAGATGTAGGGAAGAAAATGTGAGTATGGAGCAACTGAAGAGATGATATCTTCACTTTCAGATAGACAAGTGATGGCAAAAACAGGAAAGACCACTGAGAAAACGGGTATCAAGTAACTGTGACCGGGCAAAGCTGATGGAATATCCTGTTATCGGTATGAAACAGAGCTGGGCCAAAGAGAAAAGAGAAGAGGAGGAAGAGGGTGGAGGCCAGGCTGCTAGGTTTATATAAAGATGAAGATGAAGAAAGGAGACGACGTCGCTCTACGCGAGAGGACAGGACAAGATTATGTAATAATTGAATTAGATAATCAATATTAAGCTTTAGCTCGGGAACACTAAACTTAAACTTTGTTTTCGCGCTAATTTAAGTGTCGTTTTTCTCCTTTGCTTTCACCGGCTTCAGATTTAGACAATGCTCGATAAAGAGGACATACGGCATTACAAACTCGTTCCCCCACTCATCATACACGCAGATCGGGGCCATACCAGAAGAGGCTCCAACACATCACTCACGCTGTTGAAAGTCTTTTAGTAATTATTAACTCAAGTGTTTTTCCAAAGCAACGCGGCTTATTTCTTAACAAACCCTCCGAACCTCAACTAGCAGGCTGTTCCGATTCCTACCATGGAGAAAAATTCTCGTTTCGAGTCACAAATTGCTTTGAATGCTAAAGCTCTTCATGAGCTTAGCCCACTTGTGGTTAAAATATCTCAAGACAATATGGCATCTCATGGAGGTCTAGTGGAAGAAAGCCTTCCTGCCGTTATACAGGGGCTTAATCGAGCAATAGTTAAAAGCGACGTCTTGTGGGCTCTTGGATCAACTGTCGTACTTGGCCTCAGCGAAGAGATAGCCATGAAAGCTGGTTGTGGCATCGACATCGACCACATTCCAATGATGAATTACATCAAAACACGAGTTCCCCGGCTTCGAGCACCACATATACATGGAGTCCTCCAGGATGGTCGCCGTAGCTTTGTGTTCATGACTCGCATTAAAGGCGAGCCACTTGACAGAGTTTGGAAAACGCTCGATAACTCCCAGAAGGAATCTATCAAAGAGCAATTAGAGATCATGTTCTCTGGCATCAGATCACTAACCCCACCTCCTTCAGACGAGCCACATGCCCTTCTTGGTGGTGGCATTCCGAGGAGATGCCGAGATGCAAGGAGGCATGTACGAGTCGCAGAGAAACCTATTGAAAGTATGGTCGAGTTCAACCTGTTCCTTACCACTGATCCAAATCGTACGGAGACTGGGAGGTTAAAAATGATCCGCTCATTCCTTTCCTCCGATCATAAATTTGTTATGACGCACGGTGACCTCCATCCCCGCAATATCATGGTCATTACATCCAATATACTTCCGTCGGACGTTTTTACGCCGTTGGTTAAGGTTACGGGTTTGCTAGACTGGGAGATGTGTGGCTATTATCCTGATTATTGGGAGTATGTGAAAGCATTACATACTATTCACCCTGGGGATGGTTTTGACGATTGGTGGAATTATCTCCCAGCTTCGATTGGAGTATGGCCCAAGGAGTATAGTGTCGACGAGCTCATAAGTCGTTGGAGAGGCTAAGGCAATAATCCGGCATATGCTTCTGGTTACTATTTTTCGTGGACTTTCAACTCAACTTTTGAAACGGCTCTGCCGGGACACGGTATTCAATGAAACTAGGGCAATACCCCTCCCTAAGAAGTTGGAGGAGAGTAGAGACTACTGCGGTAGACGGGTTACGAAGGACACGCTCGCTCATTATCTTTTGGAGCATGTTAGCTTATGATACAATTCAGAATGCATCATAAATGTTACTTAAGATATGGCCCCAGCTAATTTGGTACCTTTACTTCGTTAAATGAGCTAGCTAGTGAACAGGCCTATACACAAAACCCCAACAGCCAAACCACTACCATAGGGTAAATAAATCATACCAAATTTTCAAAACAAGGCCTTTGCTTTGGTGGCTTACTCGCCAGTATTGTAAATAAATTCAAATACGCTCGTTAAGCCTTGCAGATTAGAATTTGACGTCATGGTGCTAGTTAGTTAGTGCCACGCAGAACAAAACTTCACCACCTCACTGCCAGTTCTGCCTCTTCGACTGCAGATTTGCCTTTGCAGTAGGAGACACCTGCATAAAACCCCCCTCCTCTAGGTTGTCCAGGTTTTCCATGACCCAAGATTGGCAGTTCCAGGTTGTGCTTTGGTTGTCGACTGGATGGCTTTGGATTTTGCCTTCTGCCTCGCGTTCTTTTTCAGTTGGGATGGTGCCGCAAATAATGGTTTCCTTGAGCTTAAGTGATCGACCTGGCTCCTTACGAATTGGCTGCTCGACATAATACCCAACGCCGCCTTTGTCGTCCCCAACTTGGAGGATTGTCGAGTCTCCATTCTCGCTTTTCAGCCATAGCGCCCAATGACAGGGGTCCCGCTCGTCAGAAGGGTTATAAATTGCGACTGCCACGGTTGTCATCTTGAAGCGTCGCTATTTGAGAACAGTCAACATCACGGACGATGGGCAGTTTCAAGTAATAGATCCCACGGCACAGGAAACAAGAAGAAAAGAACCAATCACCCAAGCGGGTGAATGAATGCCTGTGGACTCACCTTGGTGGTACTGGATGTACGTATTGCAGGTACTGAAACCAAATTCCGGGAAGTACGGGTAGGAAATTTGTGCCCTCGAGAAAGACTGGCTTTGGAATGGATTTTTCAATACAGATGGAGACACAAAACCGAAGAGAATCGGGCGCTTTCTACATCGTTAAATAGGCTGTACCTGTCGACTTCTCTGCCGCCTCCCTGCCGAGCACAGAAAGAATGGTCAGCGCTAATGTTGGGAAGAAGCAGAGCAATGAAGGCATGACCCAATGAGGCACTAAGTTATCTGTTGGAGCATGCACGTTTGAAACATCAAGGTAGCAAGTTGCTCTCTCTATGCACAATGCATAGCCCCGGCAGGGTAAAGGGCGGCTACGGGAGGTATCCGACTAGCTATAGCTAAATATAGGGTGCCATTAGACCATTTTGGTGCAATCAACCGTGGCCTGGTTTACGGGTTAAATTTAGAACACCTCCCAGCGGGGATATCCTGTGGCTTTACTCCGGGTTTTACAAAAGGGGTTGACATTGAAATTCCCGCTATAACCAGTTTGTAATCTGGCCCCCAACAACCACCAATTCTCGGGATTTCATGCATGGACGGATACTCCGCCACTGCAACAAGTTAACCGCCAGCACGCCCTGGTTTTGTAAGTATCAAATGCTCAAACCCACCCCTGAACTACACGTTGACTCACCAACAACCAACTACCAAGAAATCAGAAGAATATGGCGTTTCCCGACCTACATATCGTCGAGCCCAAAGGCGCCCATATGCACACTATCATTCTGCTCCATGGACGTTCTAGTGACGGCCCTGAATTTGCCGAAGAACTTCTTGATTCGAAAACGTCCGAGAAGAAGACGCTTACGGCGCGGTTCCCAAATTGCCGCTGGGTATTCCCTACCTCTCGAGACCGATGGAGTTCAGTTTTCCAGGAGGACTTAACTGCTTGGTTTGATATATATTCTCTGTCGAACACTTCCGAGAAACAAGATCTCCAAATTGATGGCTTGAGAGAAACAATGTTATATATTCTAGAGGTTATGTGTCAAGAGATTGATCTTCTTGGAGGAAGGCCCGAAAAAGTTGTACTTGGTGGAATAAGCCTGGGCATGGCGGCAGCTTTATGGGTACTCCTATGCTCACCAGGAAGATTCAAAGGGAGAATCGGCGGCTTCATCGGGATGTGTGGATGGCTTCCATTCGCGAATGAGATCCAAGACTTACAGCACCCAAGGGAGATGATACCAAAGTTCCTTTTGGATACCGTCCGATGCGAAGAACAGGTGCAAACCAGCACAATAGATACTGAAACCATGCTATCTACGCCAGTATTTCTACTGCATGGATCTGATGATACCTGGGTTGATGTTGAACTGGGTCGTGCGGCGCATAGGGGCCTCTTGAAGCTGGGGATGAAGCCTGAGTGGAAGGAGTATGTGGGTGCAGAAAATAACGGACACTGGATAAAGGAACCGGAGGGGTTTGATGCTATTGTTCAGTTCTTGGAGGCTGTCTGGGCATCATAGAGCTTATTAAACACTTCACTGTCGCGAAGGAAGATCTCGGATATGAGGCTGTTGTCCAGCTGTTGAACGAGAAGCACACCTCAATTTAGCATGCCACATCTACTGTCAGATAATGTATTCAGGGTGTCGTGGGTACTTAATTCTACCCAGGTAAATCGAGCCATTGGCATGAGACGCTAATTTTTGAGTAGAAGTTCAAGGTTCCCTCAGGAGAGTTAAGACTCGTTGGGTCATAAAATGCATTTTGATAAAATTCATTTAGGTTAAAAACCCCAAAACGTATTGAGTATCAATGGGTTTGGTCGAATCGTTAAATATTTTCATTATTAATATGTGTCTTATATTTTAAAGTATTTATTTATTAGTAGAAGCCGCCCGTAAAACGAAATAGGTAATAGGGGTCGATGCTAGATTCAAGGTCCTAACCTTTGGGATGACCCTACGAAGTTCAACTTTATGCTTCTATCGCCAGTACCGTTTGTTGGGAGAATACCGTATCGACCATAGGTTTTCTGATCCACAGAAACGTAGTGAGGTAGCCTTCCGAGTAAATTTAACTTTGTTTCAATCCACCTGAGGACTTTCTCTGGTGGAAACAAGAATTTCAAGTATCCCAATCCAACTAAAACGAGGTCTATTAGCATAAATACTTGAAATTCTCAGTAAAAAGGCACCTACGGAGATATCCAACAGCAATGCAGCACGTGTGGCCCATGAAACTTGTGTTGGGAAGGACTGAAAAAACTGCATTTAGGATCAAGGGAAATGTCCAGCTCGGAATTTGGTATTTACCCCAACTGTTTGTTTAAAGTCAGATTTGTAAACTATATATCGTAAGGGACGCTGTTCCGGCATACCTGATGTGGGGGTGTGTTTGAAATCTTTTTATAGCCTCAGAGCCAAGGAGTAAGAAAAACCACGAACTAGGAATATTCATTAGAAAGCACACAGCCATGATATCTTGGTAGAATTGAAAACACACCTAGAACCTAGAACGGCCATATTGGACCGGAAAATAAATCTGGAGAACACAACATAGATGCCTGCCGGTAGTGTTGAAAGGGCTGGAAAGGAATCTGTAAGCTTCCTGGATTATGCTAGTGAAGCAACATGTACTTACGTCCAAGAAACATGGCAAGGGAGGTAAGAGTTCCATGTTCAGCTTCAAACTTCTCCAGTAAAGGTGTCACAGCAAGTATGTTCAAGAATGCGTGTAAAAACCCGGCATGTACGATAGGATATGTATTTATTCGGTACACTATGCAAATAAAATCATTAGTTATAAGATCCGGTATTGGGGTGGTGTTGTAACCTTGCAGCAACTAGCGCTGGAAATCCTGATACTTACTTCCTCCAGCAAAACTGATCTTAGAGGGATACAAAGCCCCCCATTTTGGCACATCCCAAACATCTTGTAAGCTTATTACCCAGAATACAACAATGCATAGAAGTGCAAGTCGAGTGAAAAGAGGGAGTCGGAGTAAATAGGATCGTAGACGTGACGGGTCGAAGGTCATTCCAGGAATAGATAGCATCCTGGGTATCGTATGAAAAATTGGACCGCGAGAATGGTGCAATGGGTCAAAAGAAATGTATATAATGCTTGCGACGAGAAAACTTCTAGTTCCACTGCTATACGCTACTTCCTGCCTAAGTATGAAGAGTTCTTGTTCTCAGGAAGGTAGTGCTAGGCATATAATGGCGGAATTTAATGTAGCTGGGAGAGCGAATGAGGATTCGTATCGATTATATAACGAGGCGGCGGTGTCTTTCATCAGTTGCTCATGATATTCGTCTCGGCTCAGGCCAGGTGGGAAATGGAAGTCGTGAATTCTTTAAGCTCCCTTAGAACTAAGAACAATGTCAGATAGGCACGCGAGGCTGGTGGATTTGGCTAGCCACCTTTAAATATGTCAAGGGTCGGTTTAATGGTTAACTCATCCGCGGTATTGCATTCAAATGAATGCAGCCAGACGCGCATAAAACATAAGAAAACTTCACGAAACAGCTTCCGGAAGTTCCTTGGGGAGAGAGAAATCGAATTTCGTCTCAGAAAAGGTGAAATTATTTGATTAGATCAGCAAATATCACGTGCCAGACCCCGGGATGAAGTAACTCGAGATCTGATAAGATCAAACTTTAAATTTCATTTTTCAAACGTTAAAAGGAGCGGAGCATTTTTTTTTTTTAATGCCACCGTCAAACGATCAAATAAAACAACGTTCACAATTAACTAATTACATTATAGGTTGAGTGACGAGGTCATATCCAAACAGTCAAAGAAAGTTGCAATAGAACAGGCTGATAAAAGACTAGAAATAGGAACTGGGTATAACGCTAATGACAACGGCAGGAAAACAGATACCAAAAGGAAACTCATACGAGCAGTGTAAAGAAATTAAGGCTGCTGTGTCCTTCAACACAAATTTGTAGGTATTGGGAAAGCCATAATTCATTATTGGCGACGCGAAATTCCCGCTCCATATTTATTCGGGGAACTTGAAACCATCCCGCATCAGTGATGTGGAAGCCGAAGTTTTGGTTGCCCATGCCTTTAGAGATATGACAACAATCTCCCAGGCCATGGAAAGCGCTGTGACTCCCATCCCAACTGTGAAGACAATCATTGCATTGATTTCATAATACTCCATGGCTGCGACAATATCCGCGGTCTATACAGTCAAGTTAGCATATGTCAACTGGTCTATAGTCTGATATAGTTGGGGGAAGCAAGAAATTCCAACGCGGAGGAATGCATACACTTAGCATGAAAACAAGTCCGCCTGATATAAGACAGAATGAGGCGACCAACTCTGAGGGTGGCCGGGAAGGAAGAATCGAGCTTGGTGGGTTGATATAGAGCAGAATATATGTGACAGCGCGTGCTAATGAGAACCCCACTAGGAGCATCCCCCACTGCGTGTGAACCATAGTCGACACCATACTATGTTGGTGGTGGGAACTCATCATTAAACCCAACAACAAGATTATTGTTGCAGGCATAGGGTTGAGGGATACTCCTTGGGACCTCGGCGGCCGCCATTCGTCCGCACCTGACGGGTATTCTTTGTCGAGAGCAATTGGAGGTGGTCCCAAAGCAGTCTGGTTTATCCAGTCACGAACTCGACGAGATTCAGCCAACATTCCACACTGATTGCTCATGGTCAGCCTGAGTGTTCAAAAGCACAGTTGAAAAACAAGAAAACGTACCAAGCCGCCGCCAAAAAACATGATGGTTATTGAGACATGTTCAAGATCGTGAGCCGTCCATGGCCCTCCCCACCCACCAAGATGCTCCAAAAACATGTTGCTGGCTCCATATAAGAAAATAACAAACGATTCTGTGAATTCTGCGGTTGGTATTCTTGACTTCCAACCCCCTACGATGGCACGTGATGGCTTCACATTCCACGCCCATCCGAAGTCTGCAAAGCAACCAAGCCACCGGCCTAGAGTCAAGAATCCATACCACATGAAAATCCCACCTTTGATGAAATGCGCCAGTCCGTTGAAGATTTGTCGTCCGCGCTAGGTGTCACACACCCGTTAGCCGACAAACGCCGCGTCATGGGGGGTTGTCAGCAGTACTTACGAAAATTCCAGTATAAACGACAGCACCCGACGTAAGGGCGAAGAATCCAAGGATCAGGATCGTCCTCTCAACGATAGTGTGGATCAAACTCAATGCACTGAGGACACGCTGCGAAGTCAGCTGAGGAACACGAGCTGTCAAATATCTGTCGAGAGACCCGAATGGAGATAGCCGTTGACAGCTAGGCTTATTGCTTTCTTCGAGGTTTGGTATCGCCATGTCCTCAACCTCTCGTCTGTCGTGTTCAAAGGAACTACATCCGCTACGAGGGGAATACGTGTGCTCGTCGCTGCCTTGACCGCTGTCTGCAGACCACCGAGTTTGCCGATTGGTATCCCGAGAATAAGAGCCATTTCTGCCTGAGTTGGTATCAACAGAAAGGAAGGCAACTCTTTCATATGCGTTATCTCGCGCATGGCCTTTGCCGTTGGAGTATGCGAGAAGTAGCCCCATCACAACCTCCGCAACCATGACCCATGTAGCCACCCATCCTATCTTGGTATGCACATTGTGTTCATAAAGATCGGGAGTTTGGTTACCGTATATGATGCCGCATAATATGGCAACAGCATTGACGACCAAGAAACCAAACTGAGTTGGCAACGCGAGTCGGGACTTTGATACACTAAACACAACACCTTTTCACCAAGAACAAATTCCAACCGTTAGCTACGCAACAAGCTCTCCTGGATCTCGTCGAAATTATAATCGGAGATCTCTTACCTACTGGGAGGATAACGACCCAAGCTATAGCCATCAACACGATATGGGCTAGGATCGTTCCCGAATGTTTCTGGTATCTAAAATAGCTCATCAGATGGGCTGTGTCTCCAGCAGCCATGGTCGCCGTCGCCGCCGCGGCTGGTGCTACAGATGATGTCGTTTCGGTCGCTCCCGCCATATGCATTGACTCGTGGCCATCACCATGCGGTATCGCGCCCGCTACCGTCGCGAGAAACAGTAGCAAGGAAGCATAGGAGGCGTGAGTCGCGAGGTGATGCGGCAACATCCGGAAGAGTACTTTGAGCGAGCAACCCAATTCGGCAGCCTAGGATGCTTTGTAGGAAAAGCTTCTCCTGTGGGCAGAGCTTGATATATGACTATTTATATACACGATTTGAAACTGCAGGAGCGAATGTGGCAGCTTATGACACTCGGGGAAGGAGCCTGGTACTAAGGGGAGGAAGCAAAAGGACATAAGGAAAGCACGAAAGAGCAGGAAGCAGCGTTAGGGGAGGGCCGGCCATGTGCCCTTTGTTATAAACTATTTATTTCTGGCGCCTTGCCTGACATCCGTTCTTCATGAAGATCAAGGCGGGCTGACAAACGCACGAAACGGTCGGCCGCCGGAAGAAGAGGATCCCAGGAGGACCCAAGCTTCGGAGTTAAGTGCAATATTCTTTCTGACAAAAAATGAGAACAACTTATGACGAAATGTGGTTGGAGAACTTTATGCATCAGCTTAGAGTTGATGTGCATGATAGGCTGGCCAGGCCATGTACGAGGTACGAGGTACGAGAGGCCCTTGTTCAAGCTGTCAACTCTAACGCATTTCCTGATGAGTCCGCTGCGCAGTCAAGAGACGTAAGATGCTGTGCCTTCCCCCGTCTTACTGCGTGTTCCTCTTTTGCACGGTTCGCCATTTTCACCGCCCGGAGCACTTGGCCACGCTGCTTGGACATGAAGCGCAGGCTCCATACATATGCATGGCTTCAGCTGAATCGCTTCCAGGTTGTACCGTGGTTGCTCATATCTCCACAGGACGGGGTGGGGAACAACATGGAAGTGGGAAGGAAAAAGCAACGGTGACCCTCTCGCTGCTCTTTGCAAGGCTCAACAAACGCCTTATTTCCACCGCTGAAATACATAAGCGACCAGCCAAGAAGAGACCCTTTGGCTATAACGGAATGAGCGCTCTGCACAGGGTACGTCCGTATAGAACAACTCCGCTTGGAGGGAGACAGGTGAGAGTAGTTCCGGGGGTCAGTGATGTTCTCCGGATGGCCGGCAACAGGATGAGAGTGATCTCGAAAATTTTGCATGAACTAATAAGTTAGTTGGGCCTATGTGACTTGGGTCGGACGAAAATTACCGACATCCCGAGGGGATTTTGGGATTTCAAAACAAGCCAAGTATCTCTGAAGTATCTTTTTACGTATTTGAAGCCGGAAAGTGACTTAAGAAGTACACTGCTTTTGTCTTTCTGGTCCCGCTTATCTAGCCGGCACATCCGCCAGAATTATTAATTTTATACGCAGCCCAAATACCAAACAACTCCCAGCCCGGAGCGTACGCTCCGCCCATGCTCCAGCCATTATCAACTCTCTACCGAGGGTGTCGATGAATCCGTCCCCCGATCATCCGATGACTCTCGCTTGTGGGATGAAGCTAATCAATTCTCTCCTTTAGTTCTCCGATTTTGCCGATGGCAACGAAAAGATCGACTATTCAATTCGATATGAGGTAGTTAGAGCTAGCCAATATAGGCTGCGTAGCCCAATATTTCGGGCATCAGATTTATTATTTCGGTTGTGACCCCTCCTAGCTATCATTGTATGGTGTATCGGTTGTATGTACCTCCAAAAATTGTGCATTAAATCGCATCGTGGCCGTCTCATTTCTTTTTTCCCCCTGTTAACCAAGATAATCAATGACAAATTATTATAGTATTAAGTCGACTGGACCGTTCAATTAACCAATCTACACCACGTCCTGTTGCTCGTGATAACTTGTTAACCAGTTGTCGACTAACTAATCAATTGAATGCATGAACTCTATCGAAAGAGCTACCCGACATCGTCATATCATCAACATTCGCCCCCGGCTACGCAGTCTTCGTCGGTTATTTCAGATTAAGTATCTGCAAAGCGATATCCAACGAGTGGAGGAGGGATAGAAAGAGAAAGAGGACTACTCTGCATGTTGCGAGGATACCTAAGCCTGCTACTACCTATCTACTGCTTGCTAGGATCTTTTGTTCCCAATAGTCAAAATGCCACCGAGGCGTTAATAAAAGTAGGGTGCAAATGAGCTCAAGCAAACCCTCGATTTCTCGCCGATAGTGGTTAATCAAGCAGATCAGGTATTAGACCTTCCGGGGTGCTCCGACCACTTAGACAGTTAGAACGAAGGAATCTTATTGAAACTGAGAATCCATGGAGTCACTGTCTGTGTTCACATCAAGATGTGTCTAACAAGGCCCAACCCGAAAACATTGAAGTGCTAGATTTTCTCTCCTAAGCTAAAAACATGATGGGATTGAAGTGTAGACTCGTGTGTCATATAGTAGAATGTTATTTTTTATTTATTTATTTTATTTATTTATTTTTGGAAAAGATAACTGTCTACAATATTAAACCATAACTGTCCTACTCTCCCCGGAAACATCGGTCTTCGAATATGTCCTAAAGCCGGGCGGTTAATTCGCTACCCTTGTGACTTGGATAAATTGCTATGTCGCCCATGAAAGGACGATGGTGAGAGAAATTTATATGCCGGTGAGTCTTTTCCTCAAAACCTCTCCAAATTAAACCATTTTTCCACTTAACATCTGATTTATATCCAGGATTATAACCTTCCGCATTCTTTTGTACAATATCCCTGGAATCCACCAGCAGACTGGCTACCGTATGCTCATGTTTGGCAGCATAGTTGAGTATATCGTGCTGCCCAGAATCCTGATCGTATTTAAAGTATCGTAGAGAGTCCGATAAGAAATATAAGGTGGCTAATAGTAGGTTGTGCTCGTACATTTACCACTCTCCTTGTTAACTCACGGACACTTTCCTTACAGCGTCAAACTGGGGATGACATGGTTCAGGGTTCACGGGTAGGGAGGACATAGCCTAGTATTGCTTCACCTGCTTCTTGAGAAACCAAAATATATAATTATCCCTGAAATCCCAACATCCCCAAGCAACGAAAGGTATGGGATCGCTTGCTTCAAGGCGCAGCAGCCGTTTGATGGGTATCTCTAGACGAAGGGTAGACGGACATCGTGAATAGCACGGGCGTCATTTTAACGATAAATTACCGCTTGGATACCAATGGAGGTAAATATATTAGGGTAGCATAAGGTTCATGTCTTCCCACTTGTATACAGGTAAAGCAACCTCCGTCAGTTGTAGTCAGGAAGCGTGAAAATAAACATCGTCGAGGTTGGAGGCTCCTCGAGAGTTTTTTTTAAAGTGGATTCGAGTTTACCGCTAACTGGGCAGTTAGCCCGAGTTAGGTAACGGCCCGCTCTGGAAATACTTTATTCCTTATTTTGACATCCAGCAGGATCTTAGGGCGGTACGTAACAGGTACCAGGTAGAAGAAATTAATCCTGCGTCTCACTTTACCATCAATAAATATTCTTGGACTAATATCAATGCTGTCTATATAGTGCAATAATAAGATCAAATATCCCTTCGACGGACTTCGTCAAACTTGGAAATCGAAGCATCAAACTCTTCTTTACTGGCCTTTGTCGAATCCAGCCCTGAAACATCTGCTGGGATGGAATGCGTTTAGAAGAAAAACAGAAATCACCACAAACACGCTCTCCATACCGATGAACAGTCCTTCGTTAGATAGCAGCGGTCCATCCCATCCTTCAGACAATTCCGCAATCCGATAAATACTTCGTACATATATGCAAACTGTCGATCCTGCTAGAGACAGCAGAAAGAGTTTGAACTGGGAAGATGATCGAAGGTGGGAATAATTTGGATCTAACGCAGCATTCCCCAAGGCACGGATGCGATTGTGGGTTCGAAAAGCGAAGTCCGCAACCAGTCCCATGAATACAGTCAACGTAATGACCTGAATCACAAGACCAGCTACCATAATGTCTTTCCCTAAGTCAGCTTGCGTCCGGTCATTGTCTCCCGCGGTGCTGGCAATCCCACCGCCGGCACCTTGGAGAGCCAGTGCAAGGATATCGCAAGGAATAAAAATTCGGGGATACCATCGTGGGCGGATTCGGGAGTTTTCGGGGCCAAAGGCAGTCACGATCCGGGATAAGGTGAAGTATATACCAGCGGCAAGGAACGCAGGCGCAAGAGTAAGGCAGCATATTTGAATCATAAATGGAATCTACCTCATATAGGTCAGTGATCCATTTTTCCACATTTCCCAAGGTGAACAAGGAGATTCATTGAAGAAGATTCGGTAGCTATACCTGTTTCCATGGATTATCCCACATCAGAATTCTGCCTATATACCCAATCGTCTCACCTAGGGTTCCCAGGACCATGGCAATGGTGAAGCCTAGAAATCGTCTCGTTGTGAGTCCTTGGATGATGAAAATAACGGCAGAGATGAAAAAAAGAGCTGTAAATGTCGCATTTGCCGGCAGTGATGGTCGGTACTTATACCACGAAAGAGAGATGTCACATATAGCAAAGGTACATAACTCTCTATCAAAGACCTGTTCCCGGGCCGCAATGGGTGTGATTGCTGAAATGGCACTAGTCATCTTGAAAGAGACTGTATATAAAATCCCAACACAATATTGATTGCTTTCCGGTGTCTGTTTTATGGAAGGGAGTTTGGATTTCTGTCAATGGCTCTGGTTCTCCAGGACCATGGCGCGGTTTATATAGTTCCCTGAAACAAATACACGTCCACTCGGTAGGCCGGTGCGGAAATCACACTTTATGACAAGACACGAATCTTCGGGGGGAAGCGATGCATGGCAAGGTCCCTTCCGTGAGCCCCTGCATCAGTAAAAGATGAATCATTATTCAGTGAGCCAGGGTATTTCGGTATGGTCGATATGATTCCCCAATAGACTAGGACTAAGTGGGAGATTGTGAATGCGTTTGTGCCGAACCTTCCAGGTAGTTAAATTTGGAAGCCAACGTAGGTCCTGCCGTGGCTGCGCTGGCCCTTTTTCTGGGAAGTAGAACGGCCCAGTAAGATGTATAATCGGGGCTCGTATAGAAGGCTTCAACATTCTTTCCCACTGCGTTCAAGTCCTAGATTTTGAAGGATCTAGAATCCGCCTCACTCATTCGTCAATGGCAGCGACTTCGTCACAGCCTTAATCCTTCAATAGCCAATTACGTATTTCGATCTGTTGTTCAGCCCCTGAGACTGTAGACAGATGATGTAAGAATGTACGTTTGTTGCTAATCATTGTTGCCTAACAACAAAGGACTGCGAACTCTCGCATTGATATCTAGGTCTGATGTCCGAAACTGGTAAGAACTTGGAGAGTCTACCATAATATTTCTACTTTGTGATGACATCGAGCCTGGTAACCGACTCCATCTAACACTTATCAAATTTTACCAGAACATTGTAATTTTGTGGGTCAAATTTTTGACCAGCAACTTTTGTACGGGATTGCCGGCACCCGCGTAGAATCTCATCCGCATAGTTTCCAAGAACAGGACAAAATTCTTCGAACCAAGAATCACGCTACAGGTCTGTTAGTTTCTTCTCTTCAAGAAGAAAACGCGGTCTGTGTGAATACTCACATCGTTGCAGAGGAAGATCCCACTATCCCAGGAACAGCTAATCCGACTGCACGATCGATTTCGAACCGTGCAAAGTGATCCTTGTGGAGCACGTTTGAGGTAGGCGACACCCTCCTGAATATGTTTGCGCCATGCTCTCTGGGTGCCACTGGGATCGCAGATTATATCTCCCTTTTGCCATGTATGTTAGATCATCATTCGTATCCTAAAGTCTTTTAAATTCTTTCAAAGTAAACAGAACCAGTAGAGCTTACTGGTATTCTTTTCTCCAATTTAGAGCCAACTTCGCGAGTATGACTATCTGGTGCATCAGGAAAATCTTCCGGCCTATAGTTGGGGTTTAACTTGAGAATTTGGTGAAAAATCTCTTGGATAGTGCCCTCAAGAGTCACATTATCCCCGCCTGGTGTGACTGGCCCAGTATATATCATCGAACTCGTAGCGAATGATTCCACTGTTGGGCTTGCAAGGACCTGCGAAAGTTAGATGGTATTTCATGTTTAAACAGGTATCTTCTCGAGGATATTACCATGAAAGCGGCAAAAATAAGTGCAAGTAAGAGACTCTTCGTAACAGCCATGGTTCTAGAGGTAGATGGTAAATGGAAAAGAAGATGTGGTTCGCGTTTGCGGCGGAGTTGAGTTGAGGGGTTTGGTATTTGGTTAGGAAGTGACGGTCCCTTTTATAACCATAAAACGCGATTGTGCCTTCGTCCATTCATCCATTGCGTTCCGAACTTTCCAGTAACTTGTGTTCCCGCATCTACAGCCATGAGTAATTTTCTCACTTGTCCCTCACTGGGAATCCATTCACGAGATGTAAATGAATGGGCTTCTGGGACCTATAATTCGCAGTTGCACCAACCCTCGCTGTTTGAGGCCTAAGAGAAAAGAGAAGCTATTTATTCCCAGTAACACGAGCATCAACCCTTCACTGAAGTCCGCATTATATGCAGGTAACAAGACACCGTTCGCTAATTGCCATATGCGAACGGCTTCCTGCCGATGAAGCAAGATTCAATTATAAACCGGGATTCTGCATTTTGCTGAGAACCACTCATAGAGATGGTGTTTTATCGCGCATCAAAAAATTGGGTATAGTTATATATTCGTATATCCATATAATATAGCGACTGCTATTGAGAGTGGCCCCCAAATTACGCATATCAACCATCGTTTGCAGGTACCACTGCATTCAAATGCCTCAGTCACATCTATAGATTAATATACCAGATAGAGAACCCATTCCCTTGGCCAAAAATAGCTCGCTCCTCCATATCCTCCAGAGGGTTGCAAAAAGGGCTGGAATTGAGGAGTTGAGAAGCTGAAGACGGAAAAGGGGGGAAAGACAGATTTATATCTTGGCACCCTCAATCACGTGCCGGACAGCTGCGCCTCCAGCTTTAGTTAACTATCAGCTGTAGATCAAGATAGAGAGAAAGATGGAGAGTCGCAGGAGCAAGAGAGAACAGCTTTTTCTTCCCGGACCATACCTGAGGGATACATGCGGGCTTCACTGGAGGCAGTCCGTGAACGCCTAATCGCTCATGGCGCTAATATGTACGTATAAACCGCCCTTGACCCTTATGAGATGACCATCAGTTAACCAACTGTTATTATGACAACAATAGCAACATTGGTCGCGAAACTGCGCCATGACCCGCGGCCTCTGTACAAGCTTCCACCCTATATATCGGTACTCCTTATTCTAGTCGGTGCGATCTGGCTTCTGTTGCTTCCCCTGAACGAATACTCGCGAGAAACATACATTTCAGAAAATGCTCTACTTCCTGGCCAAGTACACACTTACTTTGCTGGAAGCGAGCAGAATATATTCCGCGCATACAGACAGGAGCTTGATACTGTGAAAGGCCGCGATTACAGTTTGTATGTGAAACTTTCGCTCACCTTGAAACGGGAGGAAATTCTCGCGAATTAAGGAATTCTAGAGCTAACCCTTCACTTGTACAGCATATCAGAAAAGCTCCAATCAGTGTTTCGAGAGTCGGGACTGAAAGTTGCTACACAGAACTATGAGTATCAATCTTCTGGGAATGTGTATACTGGCCAAAACGTGTACAGTGTTATTCATGCCCCGCGTGGAGATGGCACCGAAGCAATGGTGCTGATAGCAGCCTGGAAGACCGTTGATGGGGAACTCAACCTCCACGGCGTTGCATTAGCACTGACACTCGCAAGATATTTCAAGCGTCTGTATCCTAAAACGTCGATAGATCTTCAATTTTATGTTACTAATCCATTCTGTTTGAATAGGCTGGTCTTTGTGGTCAAAAGACATTATATTCCTCATCACACCGGATAGCAAGTCGGGAGCACAAGCGTGGGTTGACGCTTACCATGATATGCATCCACCTTCTGTTCAGCCTTTACCACTAAAAAGTGGTGCCATACAAGGGGCTATTGCGTTTGAACATCCTCAGAACCATAGATTCGAATCCCTTCACATCCTATATGACGGTGTGAATGGTCAGCTGCCGAATCTTGACCTGTTCAATACTGCCATTGCTGTTGCTCGCGGTCAGATGGGTATTCCAGTTGACTTGCAGCATGTATGGAATCATGACAATAAATACCAAAAACGTCTCCAGACTATGCTTAAAGGCATGATTCGCCAAGGACTAGGCCATGCTGCCGGGGTTCATAGCAGCTTCATTCCCTACCATATTGATGCCATCACATTTCAGACCATTGGTAGTGGGTGGGAGGATGAGATGGCTCTAGGAAGATCCATCGAGGGCGTTGTCAGAAGCATTAACAACCTCCTAGAACATTTCCACCAAAGCTTCTTCTTTTACCTACTTATGCACACCAAGCGCTTCGTCAGCATAGGGACTTATCTGCCTAGCGCAATGCTAATTGCGGGGAATTTCACCATTATGGCAATCGGTCTCTGGCTTAAGAGTGGACGTCGGACTCCAAACGCGCCGCTAGAGACACACCTCACGCCTCTTGATAGCAAATCAGGGGAAGAAAAGCAAAACGCCACCACCATCGCTATCGATGGGGTCAATAGAGCTGTGGAAAGGCATATGTCATTGCCGTTAGCTCTGGTATTGGGGTTACATTTCTTAGGAGCTGTTCCCTTGTACACTTTCAACAGCCTTCCTCATAACGTATGTGCATACTACGTCGTACAAGTCGATGGTATTTCCAGGCCCAGCTAACAAACTTATTTTATTTTAGCTCCTATCTTATGCGGCATATATTTTTGCCGTGGCGAATATCGCCATTCCCCTCGTCATTTCTGTGGTTGTGGTTCACTTCTTACGACCTACCACCCAGCAGTTTATCCTCACTAAATCATTTTCTCTTGTTCTTCTAGGATTGTTTCTCTCTGCTCTAGCTACACTCAACTTCTCTTTGTCCCTTCTCCTAGGCCTTGTCTGTACGCCACTCACTTTCATCGGCTACATGGAATCCTCTGCAACTCAAATGGGGAGATCTAAAGTTCAGCCGCAGACAGAAGCGGAAAGAGATGCGAGAGCTCTGCTACTGATAAAAACTGCGTTTGGAATATTGCTTCTTAACCTTCTCTCGCCGACGGCTCTACTCCTTGGCATATGTACAGTTTACAATATCCCCGTCGAGCTTGTTCTGTCTGAAGCAGCATTTGGATGGAATGTCTGGGGAATGTGGACCCAAGTTGCGGTTTGGTGCATATGGTGGCCGGCGTGGCTGGCGGGCTGCGTGTTGCATTTTTCCTCGATTTTATGATTACTAGAAGAGCAACGGTTACTAATATGTATACATGAATATAGAGTACTCATTGAACAGAAATCTTTCGTTGGTCCTGGGCTGCATCTTTCATCGATGTATGCTTAGAGCCACAACCGAGTAACTCATTCCACTGCTGAAACTGAGTCTCAAACATAATATACGCTGTCGGTATTGCAACATTTAAATCTGACCAGGGGGTCTCAGCCTGTGCAACACCAAAGACATAGCTCAATTTCAATTGAGAATTGAATGTTAGAAGATTAATTCAACTTCAAGTAACCTACGTTGGGAAGGTTTGGCCTGAAATTTCCAGCTCGTATATGATAACTTCGCTCCATGACCCTCCAATGAAAACATTAATGGGGCAGTCTATCCATTTGACTGCCTTGTACACTCGTCTAGGCTGCATCTTATTGATACAACTGTGTCAACAGCTGAGAGCATACCTACAGGGGCGTGAGAGATAAACACGAAGGATTCATAACTGTTGCAGTGATGGATAATATATACCCAAGCTGAACCACGAACCCTGGGTTTCCCTCATTGATAAACGGGTATATATATCTCAGAGAATGCCCTGGGGCATCCCTAATTCTCTCTCTCTCTCTCTCTCTCGCTGTCTTTCACAAAGCAATTGAAATTCTGAAGAAATCATCTATTCGAGAAAATAAATATGAAGCCTCAACTTGTCCTCCTCTGCCTTGCATCGCAGGCAATCATTGTTGTTGGAGTCCCTGCTGGACTTGAAGGTGCGTTAAAGTTGAATATGTAGCCACCTCCCAGTTCCCTTGCTGAGATATTTCTCTTCACCGTCGGACATTGGCCCGGCGGAGTCAAGGTTATATTGGATAGCCACGAACGATATGAAGGCTGTTAAAGCAGCAGAAGCGTCTCCAAACTGTGAGTTTATTGGCTGGCATCTTCAGAGAATTCAGCTACTCTCCTAAACGTATGGTTATCCGGTATGAAATGAAGCCAGGCTCACCGAAGTGATCGAATATAGGGTGCAACACTTGTATCGGGCTTTGCACTGGAATTACATGCTGCTCTCCCCGTCCATGGTGTATTTGGACTGGGTCGTTCTGCTACTGTGGAGCATAGGTGGACCACAGGATTGTGTACCTGGAAATAGGGACAAACTGATGGCGTGTCCTGTGTCAGACCCCCAGTCACTCTTTGAATTCCTTTCGGGGCGTGTGGATACACGCAAGGGGTCGTAAACACAACTACCAACGTTGATGCTTATGCAAATCTATTAGTGTGATGTTTTGTATATCGCTCAAATCAAATCAAACTTCCGTACTGGAGTTCCTGAACATAGTATTTTGTATTTTTGTACCCTACGAGAATGTCATAGAATAGCTGGAGGCGAAGAAAATGCCATTGTACCAGGGTATTTAATACCGTCGATAACATTGAATTCTTTGGTCTATTTCCCAGCTCAGGTGCAGTTTAAATTACACGACTGTTGAGGGCGACGGCAAAGGCTCTTTATGCAGCCCAGACATCTTTCCCCACACTTTCAATCCAGTGGCCGAGCTGGTTAACTCCAGCATCCCATTCACGTAGTCTCGTGCGCATTCCTTCGATTTGAGTCATATCCAGGACCTTTGGCTGTACCCAGTGGATGTGTGCTATTTGTGCAACCTGGTCAATTGTGCCCTTCAAGAGACCCAGGCTGAGGGCTTTCATGATCAGATGTTCAATTTCATTGGGTTGAACTTTGGTTTCCTCCGATATGGTGGCAAAGGTCATGCTTCTATTGTGAGGTGGTCGGCGGAAGACCATCTCGGTGAGGGCGGCAAGAGATATCTTCTGATATAAGAATACCTTATGTTGCTGAAGCAACTGGTTCTTATCCATGTTTACTGCCAGTACATCATACGCACTAAGGTCGCCTCGGTTAAAGGCCATAAGCAACTCTCGAAGCCAGGCATGAGGGGTACCCTTTAGCTCATCCAGGACGGGGTGAAGCAATAATTCACCAAAATTGTAAATGGTATCAGAAACTAGAGCTGCAACGCTCAAGTCGTATGCTCTGGCAACACGATGTTCCGGCGCCAAAGACTGCAAATCAATGCACGCTAAATATAGGAGAGCATTTTTGTAATATGAAGCAAATTCAAGCTTGGCCTATGTTATGGTTCGTTAGCAAAAATGTATACCTTTCCATAAGACTCGTCACTGCTTACATGATAATAGTCTGCGTTTACTTTGTAAAACGCTGCGTGGACTACATTCTCGACGGAGTCGAACATGTCCAGTACTGCCTGTGAAGCATCAAGATCCTTTCGAGCTCCCTCAAAGTCCTTTAACCGTAGTTTAACGCTAGCAACGTCTGCAATCGCATACACGTGGGCATCTTTTGACTCTGGTTTATCAACTTTGCTGGCCAATGAAGCTAGGAAGGAGAGTCGCTCTTGGTCATCTAGTTAAGGAACATTCGTTAGCAGCCAGATCCGGGCAAAAATATCAGGACAACGGTCCCACGAACCACTGCACTGTGTCGATGCCATCAGGCCCAGTGTTACGAATTTCAGCTGATTTATCTTGTCTGCAAAGGTAATGATGAAATTTTTGAAAAAGGACAGCCTCTGGGGCGCGCTCTCCGGTAGACAAAAGTACTCTATCAGAGCATTTGTGAGCTGGTGCCATAGTTTTCGTTCCCAAAAATCTTCAACTTGTAAAAGCAGTGACTGGGATTCATCAAGAGCTTCCCCTCGTTTCTCCGCAAGGAAATCTGGGATCTTGTCAACCTGCATTGTGACGGGTAGGTTTGGCGAAACGGCGTCGGACGGAGAGACGAGACCGAGCGAAAGCAGTCGCGGAGACGAGCGGGAGGCCGATATTTGAGCGTGAGGTGATATAATCTAGTGAGTTCTGAGGGTTTCTGCTGTCCCTGGCATCACTATCAAAATCGCTGGAAGGAGATGGCTGTTTGTTGCGGCGTCGAGCAAGGTCAATGATGTTTAGAAGCCAGAGAGCTTGAGTGGTCCCTGCGCCCAACCGGAGAAGCTTTGATGAGTAAGCATTTACTTAGTCATATATTACTCAACTTTCTTTTAGGCTTTTCTCCAGATATCAAATCGAAACTTCCAACCATCTTGACAGCTCAGCATCACCACCACGTTCAGCCGTGCTTTACACTGCTAATGTGAGGAGGGATTGTCACAGGAGCTAGTCTTACTATCCCTGGCTGGGTTCACGGGTATCCGGGGCTGACTGCATCCGAGGATCTCCCAAGAATAAGCCAGAGAATGTGTCCGAGTATGTGTCCGAGGCCCTTGTACATTCTGCGACGCAGGATAGCCATTCGTGAAGAATACCTGCCATGACTCACAGACATGGAATATGGACCTTGAGTGTATTTGGAGATAGTGCAGCGATGTTCAAGGGGGGCAAAAAAGTATATAAATCATGGCTTGAGGCCATACATCTGTTATTCCAAGACCTTTCTTTGTATCTCAAGATCAATCAATTCCTATCACCGCTACTCTTTTTATCTACTATTGAAATACAAAGATACTCCAATACGATGCTAAATATAGCTGCGACAAATGAGGCGCATTTCAAGTGAGAATCTTGCGGACCTACCTAACATTCAACGTCTACCAAAGAGGGCCGGAATACTGACAATGTCTAAGTGCCGCTGCTTCGACATACGAAACTCGTTTCGCAGAAGCCCTTCGAATTATTGGCAACGAAGTTGGAGAACGCTCCAGATGGATTTACCCGCAATGGGGTGATACGACTGGCGATGTCAAGCCATTCAGGATGCTTGACTATGCATGCGGTGCAGGATCTATGACACGAGTGGGATATTGTCCTAGTTGCGGCTATCAACATTACGCTAATCGTATATATAGGCATTGCTACCTCATGTTTCGGAAGCCATTGGAATTGACATTTCCCAAAACATGGTTGAAGAATATAACAAAAACATTGCTGCCCTGGGGTTACCAACAAACAAAATGTTTGCTAAAAAGGGAAATCTGCTGTCAGATAAGCCGTCTGAGGGATTCTCTGAGCCAGAATATTTTAATTTCGACCTGGTAATCATCGGGTTTGCTCTCCATCATTTCAAGTCCCCCGACCTTGCTATGAAGAGGCTTGTTGAAAGACTAGCACCTGGTGGGATCTTGGTAGTGCTGGACTTCATAGAGCACTCGATCGAAGTTGAACATGGAGTTACAGCTTCTGGTTTTGGCCCTGACCTAAGACGGCAATTTGAAGACGCCGGTGTTGGGGACGGGTTTGATTACGTGTTACCAGATAGAGGAGTCATGCATGGAAAGCCTCCTAAGGAGCTGCGGTATTTCCTCGCTCGTGGGGAACGCCCGAAGAGTGTCACAACACAGAGCTAGCTATTTAGACATTCTAACTAGTCCAACGCTAATAATTTTTGACCCGTTTACTTATCCCCTTCCTATTGGATCATCTCCTTTTAAATTCTCTGAAGTGATTCTCGCCTTCTAGTTGGCCTTTTTAATTATCTCTGCACATTTTTCGCCAATTCCGTAGGCTGGCATCTGGTTGTGTCCTCCGTGCAACGTGGGCATGACACTACAGTCTGCAACTCTCAAGCCAGCAACGCCTCGTACACGCAATTTCTCGTCAAGGACCGCATTTGGATTATCTGATTTACCCATGGCACAAGTTCCGCCAGGGTGATAGCCTAAGCCCGGTTAAATAAGCATAAACATACATTTTATATGACGTAAAACTTGATAACACTTACAAGTTGTTCCATGCTCCTTGACATAAGGTATCCATTCATCTCTGGTCTTGAAGGTGTGGTGCTTGAGTTCTGGAGGCCAAGAACCCTTGATAATATCCTTCGTTCCAAGTCCTTCAGTGAGAATCTCATTCCCCAACCTGCAGGCCTCAGTAATAACAAGCATATCAAGCGGGTCATCAAGGTAGTTGCAGTCTACTGCGGGTGGATCAAGAGGGTCTGTTGATTTAAGAGTTACAGAGCCACGAGATCTAGGGCCAAAGAGTTCGGCAATGAAGGAGAAGGTATGGCTGTTTGTTGGGAAAATGTTGTAGTGTTTCGGTCCACCATAGCATTCGGTGTTGAATAGCTCAATATTTGGCTGGCATGGGGCGAGTCCCATTGGGTCTCTCCCTTCCTCACGCGGCGCATTTTTCCAGGCCGGCACATCTGCTAGGAGATCATCAACACGGGCAAAGGCAAAGGCTCCAAAAGGGAACGAAGACAAGAAACCCGACTTGCGTTCTTTCCACTCGGAGTAGGACTTTTCGAAGGCGCCTTCGTGATAGACGAGATGGTCGTTTGTGAGACCTTCCTCAGTCTCATAAAAGATAGCTACAATCTAATGATGTTTTAGCGGGTGGCTTGAAAGGCAGCTTAAGATTGGCGGGGAGAAGACATATCAGGAATATTCATGGTTCCTTTTGTTTTCCAGCCCAGGGCGCCATTTTACAACTTACGAGATGGTCCATTAGATTCTTGCCAACACCAGGGAGGTTGATTTTGCAAGGGACACCATGTTTATCGAGTTCCTCTTTTGGCCCAATTCCAGATCGCAAAAGAATAGCTGGGCTGCAATAGGCACCGCCACTAATGATAACCTCCCGTGTCGCTTGGAAAGTTCGATGCGTCTTGTCGGTGGTTGAGATGGTTGCAACCCCTGTAGCCTTCAAGCTGCCTTCACGGGGCTCAATAATAACCTTATCAACAGAGGTATTGCACAGGATAGTTACGTTATTCTTGCGATTGCCTTTGGTAAGGTAGTCAGCAGCAGTTGATCGAAGCCCCTTGTGTACAGTCCTTACAACATGGCCGCAGCCATGGGACGCTTCGCCGGTCGAGAATAAGTCTCCCTTGTATGGAATGCCTTTGGAAATGAACGAATCCAAAATCCGCTTCGAAATCGGGGCAAGATCGTGGGGTTCCGTATGAATGGGGCCTGATGTTCCATGAACACCTTCCGCGCTTTCCAGCCACGGCTTCGGATGGTATGTTTCGGCCTTACGTGTGTGTCAATAAGCGTGAGCCTTCTCTGTCTCCCTCCTTTCTTTTCCCCTTGCTATTCCCGTCTTCCTTGGAGGGCATGTAAAAAGATCAGGTAGAACACACCTTTGACATGCACTTGAAGAATTCCTCTCCGCTCCAACCCTCAAGACCCCAATCATCGTAGTCCTGTTTGCATCCACGGATGCACAAGGTGCCGTTACATCCACTACAGCCACCGAGGAATCGTCCTCTGCTTAGCTTGATTTCCCTGCCGTCCACACCTGGCATTGGATTGGTGATAATATTCCAGTCAGTTTCTGAGTCGAAGTTGTTCAACCAGCTAGGACTCCCTGTTAGTATGTATGCATGGCTGGTTTAGGAGCGCGGAAGGGTCTGTATACCCTCCCACCATATGGACATTTTCTAAATCTGCACTATCAGGCCCTGCTTCGAGGACCAATATTCTGAGGTTTGGGTCCTCTGCAAGCCGCGCAGCGACAACACAGCCTGAAGTGCCTCCCCTAACATCCAAATGTCAGCATTTTAGTGCGTGCCAGTCAGAGCTATTACTGATGGTCTTCCATACCCGCATATAATGTAGTCGTAAATCGAACTCATGGTTAATTAGCTAGCTATTTAGCACGCTGTTTCGCTGTCTTCTCTTTTTTATTCAAAACACAAGGCGATTGTCAAATGCTAGCTTCTGTTTTTGCAACTTTGACGGATTTCTGGAAGCGACTGAGGTGTGAAAAGTCGGTCTTCACCCCGCCAGGGCAGCGAACCCACTCCAGGAGCTCTCTCTCAGTAGTTTGCATGACAGTGGCAGATAGGGTTTGTTGATTGGCCAGCCAGGTGCTCTCGGGACGCTGTCAATTCTCCCTTGGACGAGGAGATCATGGTACCCCGGAAAAGTTCCATTGCACTATCGGAACTAGTAGAGGGAGATCGACGGCTTTTCTGCGCTACTGAGGTGATGCTGCTGGTGAACCTCGTATTATTTTGGCATGTGTTATGATGCCCTTCCCGCCCAGAAAGGGTAACACTATGGGGGAACTTCGAGGACGTTGCGCGGAAAAGGTACCCTCCATCTCAGTGGAAATCCGTAAACTTCATGATTATAGCTAACCAAAGGGTGACTAGTTATCGGTTGATGTCTGGCCATACAGACAACCAGGCGCTACTGCGTAGTTAGTTATTTGATCTCGTGGTTTAGTTAGCGAACAAGTTGAAGATCACCCACTACTCTTGCCTCATGGAGGCGAAAAAGGAACATCATCTGTCCTGGAAACGGCGTGGATGCCACAGTGCTATGGTGGATGCCGCCAGTATGAAAATAACAATGATGGAAACAAAATATGATCGGTAGAGAGAGGAGACTCGGATTCAACCTTCCTCGGGGCTAGCCACCTAAAGAGTTCCTCTCTATTGGCCTGGAGCGCAAGCGATGCACCCGCCCTCAGCAACGATCGATCGACGGTTTGTCTGCCTCTAATTTGATACAGCGAATAGTTACCCACCACTTCCTAATTCCCCCAGAAGCGAGAGATAACTCTGAGCAGTTGGTGCTGGGATTCTGTCTGCAGCTGGAGACGCTCAAAATGTTGCCACTAAATAGCTCGAATTGACGCTGTTGGGTTCACTAAATAGCCCACTAACTAACCAAGGTTAAGGTTAGTTACTTTGCGAGGTGTCGATGAGAGGCAGTTGTTGATAAACAAAAAGCCCTTCGGACGGAGCGCATTATTGCTTTTCCTATGTGCCGGGGACGATCTAAGCATGGCGTGACCCTTTATATAATAATAGATCAATCAGCATGGTGACTTTGATGGGTTTCGGTAGACAGGTTAACTAACTCTTCTCTGCACAGAAAATTATGGCCTTCATATCGATGAACAGGGAGTAACTGCTAAGAACAGGCGACTTTGTGGACAATGAGAAGGAGGCTCAATCTTCCATCAAAGTCACTGTCCAAGGCTTTTCTCCTGGATCGTATAGAGCCAAAATCGAGATGTGGGATTCAAAGTCAACGCCTTTCAAAAATGAGGCGTGGACAGAGTATGGAATTGGAGTTGCAGTCATCTTGCTGCGAATAGGCGCTAGGTTGAAAATTGTACGTTGGAACTGGCATGGAGATGACTTTATCATCATCCTGGTGTTGTTGTTGTGGTCGGTTAGTAGTTTCAAGGCAGACTGTTTCTCGTTGCTTTCCTCTTCCAGACCAAGATTAAAACAGACAACTAACTGTCAAGTCAGGGAGAGCTCGCGATGCTGGAATTAATAGGTATGACAGCGTGGAATGCCTATCACTCTCGACAATTCGCCGACTAAAACTTCTCGCGCAGGACAAACCGGGACCAATATCGGCCTATCAGACGCCCAAAGAGCTGCTCTTACCCCGGATGAAATTGCAACATTGGAATTTGGCACCAAATGCAACTTGGCGGGCTGGTTGATGTATACAACTCTCATCTGGTCCCTCAAAGCATGCATGCTGTTCTTTTATGCCCGGTTAACGTATGCTCGCGTCTTTTCTGCGTCCCCCATGAGCAACATAAAAGACGAAAGCTAAACCTTCTCCAGGATCGGCCTATACAAGGAGAGGATGGTCAAGATCGCTGCCATAATATGCGCATGCACATATGTTATCAGCATGGTAACCATCCTAACACACTGTCGTCCTATCGAAAAAAATTGGCAGGTCAATCCAGACCCTGGAGGTAAGTTCGACTTCTCACAGAGCGGTAGCTCATAGTCCAGCATTTCTGGGCTGACAAATATAGACCTCTGTACCCTGGGTATTCCGAACTACATTACAGTAGCAACAACGAATCTGCTGTAAGTATTCCGGTTAATGAAGAAAGAATCCAAGCTGAGAATCACATAGCACGGACATGCTTCTTCTTTCGATCCCATTACCTCTTCTGGTAAGAGTTCGGATACCACTAGCACGGCAAGTTCTTCCCCATATTCCAGATATGCTATCGATGAAGCTAATGCATTGTATTTAGAAAGATGGTCATTGGGCTCTTGCTCTGTGGAGGCCTCTTTATCATGGTCGCAACTCTTCTCCGTTGTATTTTGTCCATCGAGTCCATCCATGGTATCAATATTAGCACTATTTGGGCTATAAGAGAAAGTGTATGTTCCCACCCTCAGCGCAAACATACTATGCCCTCAGCTGCCGGCTGTCAGAACTTCAAATACTGACTTGGTGACCTTCTAGTTTGTTGCCATCCTTGCTATTAATGCGCCATGTATAAAACCAATATTCAGCCCCAGGGCCTGGACGGTTACAAACGACGACTCCTCACCCAGAGATAGCGAGAACCCATCTTCGGTTGGGACATGCAGTCATCAACTCAGCAAGATGTCTAAGTCATCCCGGTTTGACCAGTTATCTGTTCTCAGGACAGTCGACGATCACTGTAGTGAGGAGCTATCCCTTCCATACAACCAGGCGCAAATGGGATTTGCTAGCCAGCGCACTAACAGTGCGCGCGGGGCCACCGCATCTTCAGAGGACCAGTCTCTCGAGATCAACCGTTCTGCACACGGAGGCATTCATATCACTACAACATATGAGGTTACTCCTTCTGAACCTTTCGAAAAAAAGCCACAAGTATGAATTATGATACTACCGTCCTCGCAGGCATGATAGGGTCCGCTTTCTTTCATTTGTACAGCACGGAGTTGGTTTTCGTTTGGCGGCCTATGGCGCGTTTATAGGGATCTATATCTCTTCCAGGTTACGAAAGGCGGGTTTGTTCATTTCTGTATTTTCTCGTGGGTGTATGAGCTTGGGCCTATCGGGATATCCTAGGGTGGGGTGTATTGATATCACATTTCTTTTCCAAAGACTCTCGGCGTTCAAGGAAGGGTATTGTTTTGCTTGGTGCTATTCCGCCTCGGTCTTCAGATGCATTAGTTTATAATGCATGGTTTTGCTCAGGAACGCATTGGTGACATCAGCAGTCAGTCAGCTAGATTCCATCTCAATGGAGATAAAATAGACTAGACTGGCAGTAACGTCGATTGCTTAGTCTATTTGCCACTTCAACCACTATTGTGGTAACATTATTACTGTCCACATGATAGTTCATAAAGTTCGTTGACTTTTTTGTAAGAGGTGAGTGTATCAAGTCATTCAACTTCAAACCACAGATAGGTTAACACAGTTCTGGTCTATTGTGACTGACTCATGGCTGATGGCAAAGTCTGGCACACCGTACTCCGTACGAAGTAAAAGGCTCCGATTGATCTATATTTAAATAGTGATCAGTAAAAACTCAAGCCCAGGTTCCCAGGTTCTTGGATTCACACGGAACGCTTGGACCCTAAGGAGACGTTGAATTGCAGAGCATGTATCAACTTTGGACCTCAAACAAGGCCATGTATGATCTGCTATTGGCTATATGGAGTGTAATGGCCTTGAGAGTCCCCACCGTTCTACCAAGCCGGTTGTTGTTGGATAGGCAGTGATCTCAGATTTTATCTCTGCTCTACTGTGAGCTGGCTGCTAGTTGCCTCTAAATTGGGGGCCATGTCCAAGGCCATTTCGTGGTCACAGCGCTTTGTTACTCATGTTGTACCGCATCTCTGACTGGGCAATCGGAATCGTTCACCGAGAACCATTGCATGGAAGGCTTCCACTTTAATCACTGCGTTCTAGGGTCCGTCAGATATCAGTATATCATCTGGCATGATACTGGTCATCGGCAAGCTTATATGAAATATGAACCTCCGGAAAGTCCATAGTGAATACGCAGATCTATGATCATTCCCGAAGGCTGTATTCTTTCTTCAGGCAATTGTGAGGTGTTGTCTCTTCTCATTGCTGCGGATACTCGACTGTTCCGAGGCGACTATCCGGTCGTCCCATATACACGCGCGAAACAACGCTACCGGTACCTATGACATTGTAACGTAGTAGCTAAACAACGCCTAGCTGATGCCCGGCAGACGACATAGACGCCGTAGGCAATGTTAGAGAACAGGAGATGTCGTCAACAGAAGATGAAGACGAGAGGAACCGTCGATGTAATTCGTGTTTCTCTATTGGATAGAGCAGCGTTAAAGCGGCAAGGTTTATCGCCGCATCAGGCTTAGCGTCGGCTTCAGGCTCTCCCATCAACAACCAGCAATTTATCAACTTTCGAGAAACGACAAAGACAAGCCATCGTCGGACTCCCCTGATATCGCAACCCTCTCGACCGGCCCGCGTCTGTGGTGGACTATTTTGCTCTCGACGGGCGTTAAATGGTTCATTGACCAGGGTCACCATGCAGAAGTGCCGCGCCGTGCAGAGCGCCTTAAGCCCCAAGGCCGCCCTCCCAATATCGGCTCCCGTGCGAGCTCAACCTCACATCCAGCGCAGGAACATACAGGATGTCTTCATTACCCGGACTGGATCTCCAATTATAAAGGTGCAGGGCGGACGGTATGTATTTCCTAGGCCTAGAGTGGCGCCAATGGCAACGGAGGGAAGGGCGGCACTTTCGCTAACGTCGGAATCGTCACTAGGTCGTCTCTCGGAGGTATGCCTGCGAACAACATATATGCAATTGGCAGTCCATAGATACTAAAAATCATATCAATTTACAGGACACACTGCTACCGTTTTCGGCGCAACCGGTTTCTTGGGTCGTTATATCGTGAACAGACTTGGTATGGGGAAACCGCATCACGCCTGGATGGGATGGATGGCTGATATTGTTATTTCACAGCACGTCAAGGATGCACCGTTATCGTCCCATACCGGGAGGAGATGACCAAACGACACCTAAAGGTTACTGGAGATCTGGGCAGAGTCGTTTTCATGGTATGCATGCGAAATACTCCGATTGGTATATACTATTTGCTGAACGACAGTAACAGGAATATGACCTCCGCAACACCCAATCGATCGAGGAGAGCGTACGCCATTCTGACATTGTCTATAACCTGATCGGCCGAAACTATCCCACGAAGTAAGAATCCCCAGTGCGCTGAACTAACATTACCACGATATTAATAACTTGGTATAGGAACTTCTCTTACGAGGATATCCACGTTGAAGGGACAGAACGAATTGTGGAATCTGTTGCCAAATATGACGTTGACCGATACGTCCATGTTTCCTCCTACAACGCTAGTCTTGACTCCCCTTCGGAATTCTTCAGGACCAAGGCTCAGGGTGAAAACGTTGCAAGATCTATTTTTCCCGAGACTACTATCGTCAGGCCAGCCCCGATGTTCGGATTTGAGGACAGGCTTCTGCACAGACTTGCCGGAGTTACCAACATCTTCACTTCCAATCACATGCAGGAGCGATACTGGCCAGTTCACGTAAGTTTCCCTCTAGCATATTAACAGAAATCCCATTTCTGACTGGATCATAGGCTATTGATGTTGGTCGGGCTCTTGAAATCATGCTCATGGAAGAATGGACCACTGCCCAGACTTTCGAGCTCTACGGTCCCAAGAACTACTCTACCAAGGAGATTTCTGAGCTTGTTGACCGTGAAATCATCAAGAAGCGCCGACACATCAACGTTCCAAAGGCTATCATGAAGCCTGCTGCTTACTGGTTGAACAGACTCCTCTGGTGGCCCATCACATCTGCTGATGAAGTTGAACGGGAATTCATTGACCAGCAAATCGACCCAACCGCGAAGACCTTCAAGGACTTGGGAATTGAACCGACTGATCTCAACACCCTTACTTTCCACTACTTGGTATGCACTTTAAAGCCGTCCGTACTCCTTGAGATTCTTACTAACTTCTCAATTACAGCTTGGATACAGAAGCTCCCAGTACGCAGATCTACCGCCAGCTACCGAGCGGGAGCTCAGGGAGGAGAGAAAATACCTCCATGTTCTGGACTCTCAATAAACTGGTATTATACCATAGTTCTTCTTGCATTTTTAGATCTTGTATGTATGTACACACAGTGTCTTTCTGACGCCCTCAAATTTCTTTATCTTGTACCTTGTACATTCCAGTTAGTTCATGCACGGGTCACAAATGGCACCCCTCTAGTAGACTATGGCTTCCAAGTCCCTACGTTCTTCCCTAAATGCTCATCTCCATCCCGCCTGAGAACCAGTCAATGGTCGCAGGCTATCCACTACAAATATGGACCTAACTCGAAAGAACAGCATCATCAAGGCTTTCGCCTGTATCGACAGCCGGCCTCTAGTACCTATATCTAGACAAATAACCGATGGAATCCATGGGCACCCAAGGTTCAGCTAAAGGCCCCGGTTATCTCTATCAATCTTCCCAGTCCAGCTTGAAAGCGACAACTTTAATCCTTTCGCCCAAAACCTTCATTGAGATATACTACTCCTAGCTATACAGATGCAGTGCCATCCGAGTGACCGTCCTTTAGACAGCGAACTCGATGTTCTTTTTGAAAGAGGTGTTAAGGATGAGGATACCTGTTGTGCCGTTTGTGGTGTTCCGATAATCGTGGTGAGTTGGATTTTATATCAGTATCATACTATGTTGTTCCATTTGTTAACTACCAACCTATCTTATGCAATTAAAGGCCCCCCGTGAACTTAGAGAAAAGAATTACAGAAGATACGAGTGGTGGACTCCATGCGCAATCCATGCTGAGGGCTACGAGTATGATTCCGTACCTGGTGGGAATGTCTGGATTGGCCGACCTGGTCACGACGTACCGGTAGAAGTATACGGTGCAGATGGTTTAGCTACCCTTTTCAACACTGAACCCCAACGACTGGTTACCTAATAAATAAAGGCCTAATTGATTCTGTTAGATCTCGAAATTGAGGATATCTATCGCGGGCCCTCAGAGCAGACAAAACTGGTGAATTATACCCTACAGGGTAAGGCATATATTGTGCTTCACCCAAAATGTCTAGACATGATGCAACGCCTACGTTCTTACCGTACTACGCTTCGTCGCCACGGAGTGGCTATAACAGGGCCAAGAACCCTCAGCCAATTCTATGAGGTGTTACAAAATCGGGTATGCGCATCTAAAAATCGTGCTCTACAATATTCGGTTACCATTCGTAAGCCATTGGAGCCACACTTTTACTACTTTAGACGAGCTTGCATTTGTGAAGCGCGATGGCCAATTGGTATTCCAGAAGTCTTTGTATGCCTCTCGATTCCCACTCTCAGGTTACTTTCTCATGCTTATTTTCAATCCGCAGGAATATGAAGTAGAACCATACCCCATACAAAACCTTACATCTGAAATTCTGAGCTATCTTCAGCCTCTTCCTGAAGGCCGCCGGTCTGGCTTTTCTGAGAAGTCCATATTGATGAAGAAGCTTCCAACGGAGATAATTGAGCACATCTGCCTCCATCTCCACCCGTTTGCTGGCCCTGGGGTGGCATGCACCTACGAATTATCACCAAATATCTGGCGTGATCTTCTATTCCGTCAACAGCTTCTTCCATGGCTCTGGGATCTAGATCCAGCCATCCTCGAAAGTCAGCCATTACAACATAGTAACAGCCAACCTTCATACTCTAAAGATGACTTCTGGGACTGGGAGCAACTCGTCCGGAAGCTTGCTCAAGTGGAGGCCTTCGAGCCAGGAAATTCGTTAGAAAATGCTCCACTACGCATAAGAAATCGAAAAAGGATATGGAGGCTGTTAGATGAAGGCAGACGTTTTCATATAGAGGATTGGAGATGGGATGGAAAGTACCAGAAAGAGCTTGACCTGTTTACGAACGTTGCGAGGCATCCGGTTTGATATTAGCAAGGGATGAAGATCTCAATGTGCTTAGTGGTCGCCCACGTAGATAGCAAGGAACTCGAGAGTTAATATGTAAGAAGACTCAATCTATATTCTATTCACAGCATTTTGAACCTAAAAACTTACAATTGGAAATTGATGGTTTCAACCCTGTACCTCCTTTTTCAGCCTCGGCAATTCTGGCTCAAGAGTAGCAAGCATCTCTCGGTGAGCTTCTTTCTCAGGCTGTGTAAGTATTCTTGATTGTTGTCCTAGTGTCATTAGCCGGTCCCCAACCACCAGGTAACACATCCATACTTAGATTTGTATACAAACGCACCGCCATAGGCTCTTGGATGTCAGGATATGTAGCTTAACTAGTCGTCCAGCATCCGTTTAATTATTGGCGCTGCAAATTCTGCTTGTAACTACTCCTTAACAAGCTCATCGTTATCAGGAAATACACACGGATATTTGTTCGAATATTGCTTTTAACCAATCATTTCATCTTCGGCTGCTATCGTTTGACATATAACTAATTACTTAGCTATTTGACCCTAGTTAATGATTTTGCGGCTGCTCAACATCTTGAAATATAACAAAAAGCTCACGAATATCTCAACTTCTCTTTCTGTAACTCAGTATGCGTTCCAGAGCATGCTATTCATTACCCTGCCCTTATAGTCTCTGTCTGCCGTATTTGATGCTGCAAAGGCTCGTTCCTTGTGTCAGCATGTCAACTGCTACAACTCGGTTGTATGAATGTACCATCGATGTCGAGGACCCAAACGGTTATCACACGGGACGATACTTTCCAGTGATATTGGGGAATGAGTTCAAGGGCGGTAGATACCGTGTTCTGCATAAGCTTGGATGGGGTGGATTCGCAACTGTCTGGCTGGCGAGAGATAACCTGTATAGTTGGCTCCGTCTTCGTAGCCGGAATGACAGAGCTGGAACTAAATGACAAATAGGACCTCCTCCAATGTGGCCGTGAGGATTATCAATATGAACGATAGCTCCCAAGAGTTCAAAGTTCTACACCACCTTCAACATTCAAGCGTTGCCCAGGCAAATGTTGACCACCCAGGTCGTGCTTCAGTGCTCCAGCTCCTTGACCACTTTGAGCTCGCAACTCCATACATGGGTTTGGTATTCCCGGTCATGGGCATGGACCTTCGGTCTCGGATAGACGCTCAGCGCGGACAACGCTTGCCAAAGCAGGCTGCGTTAAACGTCGGTTACCAAGTAGCCCTCGGCCTGGACTACCTCTGGAAATGCGGCATTGCACATGGAGGTAAAGCATGCTGCTACCCTATAACTTGAAGAGGGCTGCTACTCATAATTATAAAGATTTATATTCTCAAAATATCCTCTACTCTGCACCTGCTGTATCTCGAATATCGGAAGATAAGATTATGCCTTACTTGGGAAATCCGGTGACTGGCAGGGTTCGAATGACAGACGGCCAAAGCCCTCCGCCTTCGATGCCTCCTTATTTGGTCCGGCCAGCTTCGATCCGCGGTGACGATGTGGACGTTAAGATTGCTGACTTAGGGAACGGTAAATATTCAAATCTGTCAAAAGGCTTTTTTTTCAAGGTACTAATTAACACCCACACAGCATTCTTTCACGAGAACCCACCAAGTCGCTTGTCCACTCCCTGGCATGTGCGCGCACCTGAGTCGGTCTATGCGCAACCTCTGGATAGGAATGTCGATATGTGGAGCATTGGCTGTTTAGTCAGTATCTAGCTGCCTCAAAAAGGCGTGAGAAAACTGCTGACAGGAAGATTTCCAAGATATTTGAAATTATCACCGGAAGGACATTCATGGATGCATTCTTAGCAGACCGGATGGACATGATCGTTGGCTTGAAACGAGTCCTTGGACAGCCGCCATTAATGTGGCGTAATGCCTTGGAAAGCAATGTTCGAAATATGCTTGATAGTACCCCCGCCCGAGATATGGGATTCTACCAGTATCTTGAACTCAACTACAATCAGGATGACGCTAAGCTCTTAGCTCTCGATGGCTATGAAGACGAAGAAGAATTTCCCATCGAAGAATCCGAGAAGCTGCCGCCAGAGTTTAGTAAGACAGACCTGGCGTCTTTGACGGAGATTTTATCTGGACCGCTCAGTTATGAACCCCAAGGGAGAGGTACCCCAGCGTCTCTACTCAGATCTCTTTCTCTCGCCTGGATAAGTGACATGATTTGATTGGCGTAGACTCTTGGTATGGGAGCGAGCCGAGAGGTTCGCCAGGTGGCTGTGGGATGAAGGCTTTACGAACTTTTGGTTTATAAGGTATGGAGTACTGTTTCATCAGCTCACCTCATTCATACTACAGGAATTGTGTAAAGATGGTATATATATGCTGGCTGCATATTTCTAACTATCTAACTTCCCACGAACCTTCGCTGTGTGAACTGTGCGCGATTCATCGAATGACGAAGGCGTACATTGGAGCCGCAGCCGCACTCATTTTCCAACGGGGACCATCTCGTCTAAGTTCCCTCGACTTACATACACGGTTCAACCTGGATACAATCTATTGGCCTACTGACACACCCGCAGTGGAGATATAGACCCTATGCCGAACAGTTCCGCTCATGGATTCTCCTATGGTAGGGGATATAGTCCGTACCGGGGTATTGTGATATAAGCAGGCACCGGGTGTCATGCCAGTGGACACAACATGCTTACTCCGTACAGTCACAGCATTACGCTGGTGTTGATAGCAGTGGGTGTGCTAGTCGTCGTTCACGGAGATGATGAAGTCCATCGATCCCGAAGAGGCCTGATAATACACGGGATACAATGAATACATAGCTATTGAAAATATCTATATAATGAAGTAGATATCTGGCACAGTTTAGCGGCTTCCGAGGTACCGCGGTCAAGCTTAGTTATTACATTAGCCTAATTAATACCTTCTTACCAAACACTGATCTTTCTTGCAAGTTAATTACTTATGTATCCGCCAGTTTTTAATCATGTCTCTATTACCTGTTACCAAAGAGATCCCGATATATTTCCTTAAAACAAAATCAACTCCTCATGATGGCTACGAGGAGCACTTTTCGCCGTCCAAGGGCTTCAAGCCGTGTTTCATCCCGGTCTTGGAACACAAATTAAACCACAATAACCTACAAAAGGTGAAAGACTTGATCCTCTCGGGTGCCGTGGCTAAACAGTATGGTGGAATAATATTCACTAGCCAGAGGGCAGTTGAAGGATTCTCTCGGATGGTACAGGATGAGGTAGGGAGTAAGTGTCGGCCGTCTACGCTGCTGGATATAGGATATGGCGGCTAACAGAGTCTCTCTTCGCTCGTTATTAGAAAACCACACCGTAACCCTCTCTCACTCTCTGTCGTTTTACTCCGTGGGCCCAGCAACGTATAGGTCTCTCAAGTCACTGTGCGATGTCTACTTCCCGCATTCGCAGGTTATAGGCGAAGAGGCAGGCACCGGAGAGAAACTCTCTGGCCTAATTCTCGCCCATTATAACGGTCTACAGCGGAATACATCAGATGAAAATGGGCCTTCGGGGGGTATAAGGGAAAAGCTACCTCTTCTTTTCCTTGTTGGCGAACAGCATCGTGATATAATACCGAAGACACTCATGTCGCCGTCTCTAGACGAAGAAGAGCGCATCGGAGTTGCTACGATGGTTGTCTATGAGACCGGAGTCATGGAGAGCTTTGGGCAGGATTTTCTAGCAGCTCTTGAGATGGAGGAACGGGCTGATAAGGCCAATATATCTGCGGGAAATACCAGTCTGCATAAACAGTTAATATGGGTTGTGGTATTCTCACCTTCAGGGTGTAAGGTAATGCTGCAACATTTAGGACTCCTAGAGGAAGATCAGCCAGAAGACCATACGTCTTCAGTACAGGCCCCTGGAAAGAAGAGGACACCGAGCAGGTGGTCAAGGTTTGACTATCGAATTGCAACCATTGGGCCGACTACGAGGGACCATTTGGTCTCCAATTTTGGGGTCCAACCGGACGTATGTGCTGAGAAGCCTTCCCCTGGCGGCCTGTGGGAGGGAATTGAGCCTATTATAGAAGAGTGGAAAAGGTCTAGAGAGCAAGACAGATAACCTCATTAAGTATAGACCGTTCAAATCCGAAAACTCATTCATTAAATGCTGGAATTAACATCAAAAGTCAAAGACAGTGTAAGTGTAACATTATGTGGCTATGGAAGTTGATATCTCAAAACAGCATTACCGACAAACTATCTATAAAACGAGGCACTAATCAAAATTCCAAAGCATATAGACATTGATTCAAGACTGCAATGATATAGGCTACTGTCAAAGATAGCGGATTTCCCTAGGCCCAGCCATTTGTACCTTAAATCGCACACTGCGTGTGGTTTCCACATTTCTTTTTCAATATTTGTAGAACGAAAAAATGGGAAATAGAGAACAGGCGGTGGAGAGATTGTTAGTTAGATATCACAAGTAGGAAATGGGAACGAAATGTTAAAAGAGGAGATAAAAAGGAACTCTAACGCATGATTTCTTCGAATATAAGGACTATATTCATAATACGTTAGTTGACTGTAAAGTATAATAGGCGGCAGAGGAGATTTAACGTACGCTTGAGCTGCTCCTTGCTCAGTGTGTCCTTATCCTTATCAAAATCGAAGAACTCCTCTGGGATGGGATCCGCAGAGGGTTCATCCTCTGGGTCATGGTAGGGTTCCAGGTAAGGGTGACGCAGTGCTTCTTCAACTGTGATGCGCTTGACAGGGTTAAAGGCAAGAAGTTTCTCCAATAGATCTAATGCCAGATCAGAAGTCCTGGGGAATATGGCTTTCAGCGCAATCTTCTTCTTGAATGGTAGGGAACGAATATATTCTCGTGCACGGCGGGATTTGATTCCGTAATAGTCCTCCATCGTTGGCGTTCCAAGGATGTCCAAGATGAGGGTTAATTGGTGGTGGTCTAAACATTATTATTAGCCAATGCAATAAGGGGGGTTTAAGTTAGGTATTGGGAGATAGAGCAAGCATACAGTCCTTTCCGGGGAAGAGGGGTTTGCCGCTGAGCATTTCAGCAAGAATGCAGCCGACGCTCCAAACATCGATGGCTTTGGTGTATTCTTTGAATGTTAACATAATTTCTGGGGCGCGGTACCAACGGGTTGCAACGTATTCAGTCATGAATCCGGAGTTGTCGTCTGTCGAGGCAGCGGAGCGAGCAAGTCCAAAGTCGCAAACTTTCAAGTCGCAGTTTGCATTGAGGAGCAAGTTGGACGGTTTCAAATCACGGTGGAGCACGTTGGCAGAGTGCATGGCCTTAAGTGCTCTTAGAGTCTGATAGATGAAGTATTGGCAGTGGTCGTCAGAAAGGTCTTGGGTACGGATGACTCGGTGCATGTCGGTTTCCATCAATTCCTGCGACAGTGTGTTAATACGATCCATACAACGATACTCCCCATATGAAATAGCTCGTACCTGAATAAGGTAGACTTCAGTGAAGCTCTCGAAGTTGCGGGGTTTCTGAATGTCAAGGATGGATATAATGTTCTCGTGGTTGAAATATCTAAGTAGTTTCATCTCTCGTAGAGTGCGAAGACAGAACATGGAGTGGTCGAAAGGTGTGATCTTCTTGATGGCAACTTTCTGACCTGACGGCTTGTGCACAGCAGAGCTAGATATGGGGAACAATTAGGCACGGTTATCAAGTATTGAACGGCGGGAGAGTTCAAGAATTACCAGACAATCCCGTACGCTCCCTCGCCTATCACATCCTGGATATCATACTGATCAGAGACGTTGAAGGATATCTTCCTCGAGCCCCCGTTGGGAGCTGGTTGAACCATGGTGTCTCTGTGTCAAGGATAGCAAAAGCTCCCGGATATTGGCTGGTAGTGGTAGGTATGAAACAAAGCTACCTAGCAAAGACAGACATTAGAGGAATGGTTTCAGGACGAGTTAGAGTATGCGAGAGAGAGACTCTTCGGGTCTATGGCTCGGAGGAGGAACGAGAAGTGAGGAGATGAGGAGAAGAGGGGAACAATCTGTAATGAGAGGTCCATGTATCAGCATTCAAGTGGTCAAGTGGTCTCCTGAATAAGGGGCTGCCTATTCATTTGCGCCTGAATAACACCACCGGCCCCGGGGCCCGGCTTGAAACCGCGAGGAACTCCAGCGTCACTTACATTTGAGAGTAGACGGTGTCGGCTTTTCCCCCCCTTTTTCACGCCCTCAACGGCCCAGTGCGACCGGGACCGGGCTGTCCTCCGAGTATAGAATAGGAGATATAAGGCGCCGTGACGTACCGTCTGGCCTAGCGCGGGGCGAGCAGCTATAGTCGGCCCTTTAACCCTTATTCTCCCCCAAACAGTACCGTTCTATTCCAACGATCGAGCAGACAGACGAGACGATTACCGGCTTGGTTCACGCGTTGCCGTTTGGGTTTCCGGTCGTTCTGCGAGTTGGCTGGCAGGCCGTTTCGTTAAAAATAGCTGGTGGGATAGGCAGTGGTTAGACCTCGACTCGACTCCAGAGGCAACACAAGGTTGCGGCAACACGGAGGACCACGACACACGACGGGGAGAAAAAAAAAAAAAACGACAGCTCACAGGCAGTCGAGACGAAGCGCAACAGAAGCACAGCACGGCGCTGTTTATCCTGCCGACAATCTGCCTTGGGACGGGCCGGGGAGGACGACGGGGGGAGCAAGGGGAGGCTGCTTTTGCTCTCGCCCAAGATGTGATGAAATGTGATGGACTGAGGGGTAACTAAAGCTTACAATGCACGGAGTGGCTCGCAAGACAGCCGGAGAGGCGCAGGAGGAGGGCAGAGAGACGCCGCGAGGACTCGAGCTCGTTCGGTCAAGGGCAGCGAAGGGCGAGGACGGCGACAGGAATCGAGAGAGACGGCCGTCTGTTGCTATATCAACAATCGCTGACCCGGTCGACTAATAAACTGGCCCCTCGCCGTGAAACCGGCGGCTAAAAGGCGCTTTCTCAAACGCCAGCAACATCCCGGTCGAGCAAAAAAGGGGGCCGGCGGTTACATGTCGACAACTCCCCAGCCAGCCGGAGGCGCAGCATGCGATGCAGTGACAAAGACGGCCGTCAGGCTGCTTGCTGGCCGTCTTGCTATACGACGCACGCAGTTTATTTATAGGACGGTCACCACTCGGGTGCTGCTGGGAGTTACAGGCTGAGGAGTTATCTCCCAGTGATATCCAGGCTGCGCCGTCTCCAGAGCCCATGTTTCAGCATGCTATTCGCCCGCTATTCATACAGATCGCTCGTCGAGATAGCGCCCGGGTGACGTCTGCCCCTGCTATTGAGTGCTGCTATCGGAATAGTGTCTGCGTCGAAGTCGGATCAGCCTGCCGCTTGGCCTAAAAGATCCCAGCTCGCGTTATCCGTGATAATAATACGTGAAGATGATAATTACGGTATCATTCGAGGCCGTCGTTCTGGAATATAAGCTAGGTACCGTATGCCGGATTCAAGTGGTTATATCCAGGGCTCCAGGGCCATCAGATGATACCTTCTTATGTGCCAGTGTTTATACTTGGGTTCGAACAGATATAAACATGCGAGCCACATGAAGAACAACGGCCTGGGATCAAGAACTCCAGGAGAGACAGCCTACCTGGCTGGAAATACTCTGTAGCATGGTAGAAGCCTCCCAGGTTAATATATATATTCAGCTGATCATACAAACTAGCATGCTACATGTAGAAATCACAGCAGTTATGCATCTATTATTACCTCTGAGATGATATACAATCATATAAATAGCTATCAAAAGTTCAGAGGCTGGATGTACCAAAGAAGATCTTATATTTAGTTTTGTTTGGACACTAAGCCTCGCATATTATTATCTGGCGTTAACGATGAAAAATAGCGAAGACACAAAAAAGGACAGTCAAAACCAACCCGTCTAGTACTGAGATGCATTTACTGAATGACCTGTAACATATGTTAGCTGCATGGCCAGATCCTCAAAGAAGAGGGAGGGAGGCTTACCTTCTCTCGCAACAGGCCCATCCACTGCTGCAGACTAACGCTCTGGTCTGCGCGGTCCTCTACCATCATAGACTGTGCCCATAGTCTTAGTCCAGGCTCGCCGTCTTCTTTCACTACGTAGAGATGGGGCGAGATAATGCTTCCTACGCCTCGCGACAACTTGTCTCGGCTCTTGCTGATGACTGCCCTGACACGCTCATTGAAGTCATTCTCTGTCTCGGGCAGGACCTGCTTGCCTACTCGGAGAAGAGACTTGTCGCTGAGCCCGAATATATCGTTGATAAGCTGTGGTACGGCATCGCGACCGATCCATAGGAACTGAGTCTGGCCGTCGTCAATCAGATACATGCCATGCGGCACAAGACGCTCGGATGAAAGGTTAGTCAGAGGTGGGAGCACGATTTTTCCGGTTTCCGGGTGAGGGATGCCGGCGTCATCGGGCATGTCGTGAAGAGAGTACATCTTGGGATAAATGTATTGGATGAGGAGAGGAAGAGGCAGAGTAGAGAGGAGACAGAGAGCAGCGGATCGCATGTCGGTAGGTATTTGAGCGGATTTTCGGAGACCAAGCTAGAGGCCATTTGTTAGCATGACTGTATACCGCCAGCATATGAAGGGGATAGTGAATCTACTCACATTCTTCATCATTGCCAAAAATAAGATGGGTAGTCCACGCAAGTTAGCAGGGAATTGCAGACCACCACCGCCTACACTGCCACCAGCCAGCTCCTTTCTATATGTAGAGAGTAGCTCTATGATCTTAGCCTGTAGGGCATCCCTGGCTGCGTCGAGGCCACCTCCGAGAGTACGCTCAACAGCCTTATGACTGAAGTATGTAGCAATAGCACACTGATCAGCGGAAGCGTATACATCGGCCAAATTCTGAGTAGTTGGCAGAGCCAAAGTTAGAACCCTGATTCTTCGTTCCCCATTGCAAGTGGTGTGCAAAACAGCAGTCTGCAGACACACGACGGGTTTGGTGACGGTTTCATCAATGGCGACCTCTACAACATAGGCCTGGTCACGGGGGAAAGCAGGGAAAGCACAGAGATCAGAACTCCTGTTAAAGAAGTTGCCATAAAACGTGTTCATCCGTAGGCCAGTGGTTGCGCGAACACGAAGGACAGCCTCGAGGCCAATTTCGGATGACAAGTAGTCAGAGAACTCCTTTGCAAATTTGATGGCATCTTCACTCCTGGCGGCATTCCAGCCAGGGTAAAAGTATGTCTGACCGCCGGTGTATCTGGGCAGGTTACTGAGAGAGGCCACGTCTTGGTATTGAGAGGAGAACAAGAACATATCAACGGATATCTGCTGTTTGGAGCATTCAACAGCAAAACTCTTGTAAAAGCTGTTGCCGGTCTGCAGCAAGCTGCTCTCCTTACTTGTGCCGAGGACCTTCTTATCTTCTCTCATCTCTAGGCTACCGAATCCCATGTTCGGTAATGAGGCAGTCAAAACGGTAAGCTTACCACCGACAGGTCCGATGAGCTGGTGGCCCGCTCTAAGCGCAGATCCCATGGCAGATCCAGGATTTTGGGTATTCTGGAACATCTCTTGTAGTTTATCAAGGAAGCTCTCGATGTTTTCGCGGGATTCAGCCAAAGTTATCAAAAGATCGCCGGGAATGGGCATGAAAGGTTCATCCAAGTCGCTAACAACTAACATATTAGGCTCAGAGCTCTCCGATCCATCGCGGGGGATGGTGAAGTAATGAAGACTAGAATCAACTGCGATAAAGCCGATTCTGGTTCGGCGATCAGCATTTGGTATCCGGTCGAGGCTTTCCCGAATGCAGCGCGCGGCGGTAGCCAGCAGTCCACTGGTAACTGATGCATAACTAACATCAATCAGGAAGAGATAGACAAGTGGCTGTGGTGGTCGGACCATGTACTCCTGTGGAGCAACAAACTCTACAACAGAGTGGTTGAGGTCTGGTCTCTGCCATCGGTCCAGCGCCTTTTGTGCTGCAGCATCCCAATCAAACGCCTGTGGTACGTCATTCGTTAAGCTGCACATGTTACATCTCCAACGGTGGCCATGGTCGAGGAAGGTAACGAAAGGGTTGATATATGAGCGACAACGCCGACATCGAGAGATGACCTGATCCGACACAACTGGAATCTCGTCCTCGGAGTCGTGAAGGGAGGCATATGGCTGGATAACAAGGGCGAAAGGCAGGCGTGACTTCTTCAGGAGAGAGTTGGTAGTTGGTACAGCATTGAGAGTAGACCGAACGTATTGTGCGGGACAGTTTGCGTACACCGAAGGTGTCACGCTTGTCTAAAAGCATGCCAAGTTAAACTCGAGTACTCTCATTGTAGTACAAAGCATGAAATCTTCAACTTACGTTTGGAGGTAGAACAATTGGAGGTGGAGGGTAGTCGAGCTCGGCAACATTGAATGGATGTGTGAGTAGGTCCGTTGGATAAAGCTGATTGAGCTGCACCGGCCGCTGCATTCCAGGTTGCGGCTGTTGCTGGTCTCCCATACTCATTTGTCCCATCTGCTGCGTTATCTGTGCCATACCAGGGCCCGGCTGAGGCGGATATGAGGGAGCAGGCGGCTGGTATCCCGCATCTGCGCCAGGATAGGGTGCAGCCGGCACTGGAGCTTGCTGCTGGCCAGGATACACAGCTGCCTGGGGATAACCCTGTGGCTGCTGAGCGCCTGGATATCCATACCCTTCAGCTCCCACTCCCGGCTGGTTTAGGGCAGCGTTGGCACCAACACCGAAGTCGAATGCTTGGTTGGCGTATGCACGTTTCTTTCGGCCATGGGAGTGTGCTGGAGCAGGCGCGCTATCATGCGGAGGCGCATTGGGTGCTCCAGGAGCGCCTAAAACAGTGTGAATTGGAGGTCTTCGTGGATGTTGTGATTCTGGTTGTTGCTGACCGTAGCCCTCTTGACCCGGAGGCGGGTAGTTTCCCTGCGGAGCTGCCATTTAAACTGCTAGACGGGCTCCCTTAACCTCTGGCGGTGCAAACAGGTTTGTGACAAGTGCTGGAAGACCTGGAGTGGCGGGATGGAGGAGGTCTGAAGCCAGGCAGTTTGTTAGCAAGGGCCCATCGGCGGTCAATCGTCATTGCAGGAGGGGCTTGTCTAGTAGCCTACCGTTGCTGTGTATTGTTTTTCCTTCACAGAGCGAACATCAGGGACGGTATATCCTCGAGATAGCAAGACGCTGTTCACCAAGGTCAAGCTGCCGTTAGTCCCTTGGACAAGCTGTGCTGCGAGTGCGAAGTTCGTGGCGAGTCGTGATGCTGCTTTGGCCCGTCGAGCATCGAAGTTTGGATGTTTTTCTTTGGGGTCACGGTGGCCTTCTGCTGCCAGCCAATCACAGCGCAGGGCTCGCCGTCTCCGGCCACAGCGCCAAAGTTGATAGATACGACGGCGGGCCAGAAGTCAACAACATGGATGGTGAAGATGACGATGATGACGATGATGAACAAGAAATAGTGAATAAGTAACAGGCTATGCCATTTAAACAGAAATATAAAATATACCAGATGCCACAGAACGCCGCCGCTAAATGCAAACTATTTCAAAATTGAACATGACCAGGAACAAGAACGCCCCCTTTTTTTCAAGCAATGACGATGCCATTTCTCATGTTTTCCACTGTCTTCACGCCTACTCCCTTCATCTTCTCAAGATCAGCAAGGCTGTGAAGCTGGATGTGACCTTCAGCTCCGCCGTCCATGTCACATAGACGGTCGACAATGCATTCGGCCTTCTTAACCCCTACTCCACGCAGCAATTTGATCTGCTCAATATCCCGTGTATTGATCACCGACAAGATATGTGAAGAGCGAGGTGACAGTCCTCCCTCTTCTTTCCCTTCTGCATTGCTTGGCAATGTCTCTGGAGACAATGGAGAGGCCTTGGTGCGTATCTGTCTAGGCTTCCGGTGAGGAGCATCAGTAATAGACGCTTCATCATAACCACCTTCACAAGGTTCTTCCCCATTCTCTCCAGGGTTCTCAGACTGCTCATGGAACTCCGCTGTAATCTTCTTTCCTGCTGCTTTTTTACACCGGAGTGCCTCAATCTTAAGAGCTAGTTTGGCATTTTTCGGGAAGAATGGCTGGGCAAGTTCATACATTCTCAGAGCAGATGAATATTCACCTCGCGCCTGATGCTGTTTGGCCATAAGGAGATATGAAAGCCCATCAGCCCTGGAGTCCTCGGTCTCGTCGATCCGCTGCTCCAGGAGCTCAAGTCGGCGTTGCACTTGCTTGTTTAACTCCTTGGACTGGGTTTCAAAGTCATCCGGCTGGCGGGCCGAGAGCACTTCTCTTACTTTCTTCTCAACCAGCTCTTCAAACTTTGCAGCTGACATGCTGCTCATACCATGCTGTAGCCTCTCCTCTGTTCGAGCCATCTTGGACGGTCTGGGGCCTGGCTGAAGGCCATTTCCGGATCTCCTCTTCAAAGGCGACTTTCGTTGAGCAGCGTCAGAGGCTCCTGGTTTGGTAGAGCTCTTCGAATGTGACATGTCGGTATACACCGCAAAGGCCTTTGCTGGCTTTCCGTCTGATGGCTTTCGGGCTTCAGCTGTCACAGCGGCAATGTTTGCATTTATCGATGCAGCAAGGGGCCGCAAGGGCTGTCTCTTCACCCCAGGACCGGTGACACGGCCTGCTGCAGGCCGAGGTGGTGGCCCCTTGAACATGGGTTCATTCTCAATCTCCCTCGACTCGATCTTCTTTGTCCTGTTGGCAAAGTTGAGTGAGCTCAGAGTGTCAAGGTGGAACGACCGAACGGGGGCAAGGTTCAAAATCATTATGGTGAGGCCATTATTCTGGCCTAATCCCAGAATTCTAGTCATCTTAGACTCCCTGTATGGCACTCGTGCCTGCTTTTTGTTGATGGCTTCAACGCACTGTGCCAGCACAAACAGACTTCTGTTGATGCTTGCAGATTCTATCATCCTCTCCTTGCCATTTTCCGTACGGCGGTTATCTTCAGAACCTGCAAGATCAATGCATGATGCAGTGCTGATTCGTGCCTGCTGCTCTGTTGTCACCGTCAACTTCACAGAGAGCACTGCATGAGATCTGGATGAATGCGCATTGAGCTGCCAAACACGTTAATACTGGTCCTCTTGTCATAATTTACCAACCTATTGGTTAGAGCGTTATATCTCACCTTCGTGGCAGAAGTCGACCTGTTCATGTTTGCTTGGTCATATATAACTTCAAACTCCTTTAAGCTGGTACAAGGCCGCTCCGTCAACCCAACAACAACAGTCTTGACCCCGTTATCTCGCAACGGCAGTCCAGCCGGCGTCCTCTTTTCCACCGGTTCAAAAAGATCGAATATCTTGTCATTATATATCTCATAATAGCTCATAGCGACTTCGACCTTCGTTCGTCCTTCAGAATCTCGCTCAAGCTTGCGGCATCGTCTATAGATCCCGCTCAGCAGTCGAGGAATCACGCCGCGGTCCGCTAGGCTCTTCCCGCCTCGCATTGTATGCGTCTTCCCGGTTCCCGTAACACCGTATGCGAAGAGAGTAATATCAAACCCATTGAAGAGGTGTTTAAGAGTAGGCGCCACTGTAGATAACAAGTTCACAAGGATAAGCAGTCAATTCCAACCCTCCCTTTCTTAATGATGTATTATATACAGTTGAGAACTGCAGCAAAACAGAAATCCCCGCCGGATATAAGAAACAGAAAAGAAAATATATCAACTGACCTTCTGCATCAAATATATCCTGCTGGGTTGCAGTGCCATCATATACCGAATGGAACTTGAAGCTGAAGTCCTCCCCTTCGTTCCTGGGATTCGGTATCCTGACTACCGTAGCTTTCGCCAACGATATATCAGCGTCCTCTCCCTTCCCATTCTTTATTTTTTTGGCCTTCAATGGCTTCTCGTTCTCCTTGGTCTTAGACAGGGCCTCGTTTCCGCTCTGTAGGGCCGTGGACGAACTTGACGAACATGGCTGGACAATAACATCACACTCCCGTTCCGTTTTTAAAAGAGGCCGAATTCGAGCAATGACCTGGACGCTCATGGCTATGTACCGTATATAATCGTGGTTCGTCTTTTTTTTGTTAGGTTCTGTTGAATGTGTACGATTGCTCACAGTGTAAACAACACGCCAGTTAAATGCAGGACAGGAGATAGATTCGCAGAAACGCAAGTCATGGAAGTATATAAGATAGACAGTTGTCCTGGGGCCAAAGATATCCAGCTGAGCTTCGGTTATCAAACTGTAGGCGCTTCCGGGTTTCGAGTCTAAAGGAAATTGATCAACCAAAATGCAGCGAACAACGCAAGACGAGAAAAGACACAAGACGAAAAGAAAAGCAAAAGGAAAAAAGAGAAAGAAATATCTTCGCTGGGCGTGCTAGCGCTCTTTTCCGATGGTTTTCGAGTCCCTCAGAGGAAAAGAAAGGCAAGTTCTGATTTTGCTGTCACTTGATGTTGTAGTTAGTTTGCGTATTTGTGGGTGCAGAAGTCGCTGTTGTCTGGGCAACGACGCTGGAGCCCCTGGGCCGATCGGACTTTGGAGGCGCCGATATGTATTAATATGAGGCTAGCAAGACGGAGTGAGATTTGATTCTTGGTGAAAGACGAAGATGGTCTTCTGTTTATTAGAAGTATTGTAGATATAATATACTGCATAGAGGTAGGAAAGTCGATTGTTTCCTTTCAAGGCTGTGATATCATCCTTTGCCCCCCTTATTCATCCTAAAATGCTTGAAATATCAAAATATATCGACCAGACGCTGAATCATGCCCGAGAAAAAAAAAAAGATGCCGTAACAAGCCACATCGGTGGGGTAAGGGGATAAATATAAAACAAGAAGAGAATGGTGCTAAATGATTATTATATCTTCTTCATGATGGCAGTTCCAGCCAGCCTCATGCGGGTGAAGACGAAGAACATGCTGCCGACAAGCAGCATTGAACCAGAGAATACTTGCATTCTCCAGTAATCACCATGGATGACGTCAGGGACCAGTGATCCGCCCAGTGGGTTGCCCAAAAGGACCGCTATCGAGACCGTTGCAAACATGCTTCCGCTTCTCACACCAAGTTTGCGTACGTCTGAGATGTGTGCAACTAGACTGGGCGGCAGAGAGACCAGAGAGCCAGATGCGAAACCAAAGAGAACTGCAAATATTACATCCGGAATAGTGCCACGAGAAGGTAGCCATATTGCGAAGACCACGATGACACTGAAGAAGGACATAATGATTACCACGTTGAAGAGTCCCATGCGATCTGCAGCGTAGCCGGGGAGAGTCCGTCCAAGAATGCTATATTCCAGCGTTAGTGGCTGCTGCTACAGACTGTATTAGAAATAAAAGGGCTATATGTACCTTGCTGCGTTGAAAATTGACACCAGATAACTGGCCAGATTGTCCGGGACGCCAAACCTCCTTGCATGCAGGACCAGGAAGGTGAATGGCAAGAACATGCCGAAGCAATATAGAAAAGTCGCTGTGGTAAGGAGAATAAAAGGCAGCTCCAGGAAAGGTGTGAAGAATTCCTTGAGAACCAGAGGCCTAGGATGAGGAGGAATCCTGGACTTGACACAGCTGCATGCTACTATACACAGCCCGAGAATCAAGAAGGCACAGACACGCATGGTCCACGGAAACCCAAGCATGGGGATGAGCTTGGTGATCATTATTGGCATGATGATTCCTCCAAGACTGGAGCCGCTGGCCACGATGCCAACCGCCAGGGCACGCTTCTTGTAAAACCATGTGACGGTGCTGTTCATCGTTGGATAGAAGAGAAACCCGGCACCAAAGGGACTGCAGATTCCTTGTGCAAGGAGAATTTGGTAATATTCAGTTGATAGTGAGGTCATCATCAGGCCGAATACATGGAATAGCGAGCCACCTATCAAGAGATACCGTGGGCCAAAGTTGTCAAAGCCCTTGCCACATAGCGGCGCCTATATTTGTGGTAAGTCACAGACCATGAATTTACCCATTTCTTTTTGCCTGAATGGATAACCTACAACAAGATACATCATAAAGAGTTCCAAAGAAGGGATCCAGGCTACCGAGCTTGGAGAATATGACTTCAGGTCGTGCGTTTGATAGTAGTCCTGGAAGATGCCAACACCTATCCGCATACTGTCAGCACTGGAGATCGAGATGGGGACTGCTTCGCGGAGCAGAAATCTCACAGTTAATCCACCCAAAGCTCACAAATAGGGCACAGAAGCCCCCAAAGACAACAGTCCATGCTTCTATGCCGCCGTCTGGATAGCTGTCCGGATCTATATAGTTGTCCTTGGGAGTTGCCACTACGTCAGGGCCCATCTCAACGTCCGTATCTTCCTCTGAAGCCATGTCCGGAGCATCATTTGGGCCTGTATTTGTCGTAGAGTCTCCGTTTTTCTTTTCCCAACTGCTGTTGGTTAACGCTGCAACGGTACGAGGCAGTACGATGGTTGACACAGAGGAGTTCATGGTCTGCGATCGGGTAAACGTTCCTCCTCCAGGAGAATCCATACTTTCTTCCCACATAGATGTAGGAATGTAGGATTTCCGCCAGTAAATAAGCTGAACAGGCCTTCGTATATCAGTCTGCTCTTCTCTTCTTTGCTTTCTCCCTGCTCACATCCTTCGAGAAGGAATCAACGAAAAGAAAGGCAGGCAAGGTCCGATTTATTATCGATGCAACGGGGGTAGGAATAAAAAAGAACGACGACTCCCCGCATATGCATATAGATGGGTTGCAGCAAAGAAGCAAAATGTAAAGAGTGTTAACAGAGGAAACCAAAAAGAGAAAACAAAAAATAAAATTTGCTTGAGGATTACCGCAATCCAGCGGTGTTTTCGTCCCAGAAGTGGCCGAACACCCGAAAAACACCCGCTTCAAGCACCCGGCGTAATGAACCAGGGTTCAAGCCGCGAGTCTGCGACAAGCAAGCCATCCAACAAGAGGCAACGAAGCAGGGGACGTGGAGCCGCCAAGCTGGAACCGGTTTGGGGGTAGAGTTTTGGGCTGTCTGACAGGCTCGCTCCTGGCCAAAAGGAAGGCCAGCCTCTCGAGACACGGAACATATCTGCGGGAAGGGGGCTCGGGAGTGAGCAGCGTCGTTCACGATATGCAACGAAGAAGCTGACCAAGCTGTAGGCATTAAGCGGTTTTTCCATTATTGGAGGAGCAGGTCTCATAGTTATCAGATGCCGTCACTCATTTGTTTAGCTGGTCTGATAGAGTAAACATAGCAAGCTTGCTGCTGGGTCCTGGGAAATCCACAAAGAAGAAAAGCTTAGTTAAAACACGGAGTCATAACAATCATCTAGCTGGTTGACTAGAGCCGCAAAACGGTTCCATATTCTGACTGAAAGCTGGTGTATAAAGCCCAGCTTTGCTGGCGACTGAAAGCACAGGCAGAGTGTGTGCTGCTAGACGCGATCCCCGTTGGCGTCCATCCAGTCAGTATTAATTGCTACTCTGGCCCTTCCCTGCGAATAGTTCGAGGAGAGCAAGACGGATGATGCGTCACCAAGCCAGGGGTTCAGGCGTTAGTTCTTGCAGGGAGGCAAACCGCAGGCCCATCGCTCGTATTTCACCGGACTCGTTCGGCGGCAAGGCAAGTCATATTATTATTATTAAACTGTCGACGAGTCGAGAGGTCGAGAACGCCTTTGGCCAGATATGCAGCGTCGTCCGTCCGCATGCAAACGCCATCCGTCCGGTGGCTGCTGGTGAAACTGTGGCTAATCTTGGCCATGTGTTTGACCCAGAATGCCATGTGTTGGTGTTTATATGGAGATTGAACTCGCGAAGAAGAAATATAGAGAGCCGGAGGCCCTTCCGTCCCGTCCTTTCAATCTCAAGCCAACTGCAGGATCTGAAAGGCTGAGAAATATCTCATCTGCCCCTTGCTGTCCATCTCAACAGCATAGCAATGAAGAACAGCGTATCTCCCTGTGGAAGACCAAGATCCTGCTGGCAAACTGCCCCTATTTTTGTTGACGGCAGCATACCTATATTTTTTGCCCAAGAATCTAGTCGGGGATATGATGAATTAAATTCGACATATCAAGTTCCAAAATGTTAATAGTAATTCCAATTTCAATTTGGGCAACTAGGTAGTTATAAAGAGAACCGTTACACGTCACAGAAAGATGTGTCTAGGAGACCAGTGAAACCGGGAACACATTTTGTTTGTGGTGAATCCCTTCCATCTGGCGATTTAGTTAACTGATTGCCAGCAAGACGGGGCTCATCAAAGACACAGATCAAGCAGAGCCTGGGATATCGTAGAGCCTCGGATTTTACATCCACCTTCCGGACCAGCGTTGGGCACACACCCGTTTTCAAGTACCTCAGCTATCGCATCTAACTTCTCCTCCGAGGTGGCATACTGCATCAGTAGCTGATGGGCACGGGAGCAGGAAATTTCATCTCCTGCTTGGACAGAATCCAGCCCATCATCTGAGGTGGCAGTAAGTTGTGCTATGTCGGTATGGGGCTCGGCAGCGAGACGAGTAAGTATTTTGCAAGGGGGCAGGGTCCGCGGAGGGAGGCCCTTGTTGCAAGTAGATTTTCCCACCTGACGCTGCTGACAACTGCGAGATGACGATGACTCGATGCAAGAACTCAACTCGGCCTTGGAGGGGGTCTGACTGTTAGCCGGCGGAACACTCACTATAGGTGCTTCTGACGCATCAAGGATTCGGATCTTATCGTTGGAGTCAAATTGGCCCGAACATTGCTGCGAAGAGGTGGCAGATGGAGTGTCCAAATGCGGAACATCATCCTTCTGCGTACTGGGATCAATATCTTGCTTCGTCCGATCACTTGTCCGGCTTGCTACATCCATGTTGCACCTCTGTTGACAGGGACCTTGTCTCTCAGTTTCGAGCTGTCTCTTTCTCTGGAGCCATTCCTCAACTGTCTGCCGACTAAGCCCAGCAACAAAGCAGAGCTCTCTCAGATATCGATTCTCTTCTGCAACATGTCGAGCTGCTGCCTGAACCTCAACAGTAGCCTGAACACCTTCTTGCCGCAGTTGCCTCAGCTGCTTTTCGAGGCTGGCAATGTATTCCCTCTGACGCTCCCTGCTGCGGCGCTTGTTCTCCCGTATGCGCAGAGTGCGGTCAACGTCCTAACCCCAGGCCAATCAGCTTCAGTCCAGGCAAAAGGGGGCCAGCTAATACCTTATGGGGTGACATGCAGTGCGCCTGTCAAGTAACTAATCAGTTAGGCCTCTTATTGATCACGACTCAAGTATCACTGGATGAAGGAACCCCCAAGCTTCAGTCGACAAGAGCTTTGCGGAATGAGGGGCTCGCGAAAACAGTGACGGGCTGCTCGTGCATGATTGGCAGAGAGAGCCGATCTTATCTCCCATCAAGTTTCATCCATGCTAACTCGTTAGTTTAACAAGTTAAAAATGGCCTGCGGCTGATGAAAGGGGTTATTCTTTGACGATGCCGGGACCCCAAAACGATCATTGGTCCATTGCCAGCCACAAAGCTTCCGAGTGTTTACTCCCTCTATCGAATTCATAGTGCAATGAGAGCAAAGGGTCTCCTAGATATGTATATAAAAGAGCCAACAGAGACAATCATAATGAGTTGGCGCTTCATTCTCAGGCCGATTCTCTCTAGGCTCCTTATTTTTGAATAAAGTAGTTATGACAGGAACTACTGCAACATCCTTAGCAACAGGGCATCCCGCTACTGATATCGAAGCTCTTCCCTCAGCCAGTGGGGATGTCAACAAAGGGATGAACACGGAGTCTTTATCTGCGACCTCTGAAGCAAGCCCCTCGCAGGAAGAGGATGATCTGACCATTTCGAATGCGCCTAGGCTCCCCTTGCACCGTCTGTTCTGGTTCTTCTTCTATAATTTCGGCCTCTTCGCCTGGGGTGGTCCTGTCGCCCAAATCGCTCTTATCAAAGAGAAACTGGTCGTTCAAGACAAGTGGATTACACTTGCCAGATTCCAACGAGTCTTTGCTGTGTACCAAATCCTCCCAGGTCCAGAAGCCGCTGAGCTATGCATGTTCTTCGGGTGCTTGAGTGCTGGCAGAATCGGCGGTATCGTTGCCGGTGTGGCGTTCATCTTGCCTGGATTTACTCTGATGCTGGTTGCCAGCTACTTGTATAGTTTGGCAGGTTTTGAGAATAAATACGTGAATGCCAGCTTTCGAGCATTGCAGCCTATTGTAGCTGCTATGGTAAGTAGTGGACGCGTATTGACAAGGCAAGGCGTATGTATGCTAACGGGAAGTTAGATTCTGAGAGCTGTGCATAAGATAGCTGACCATTCAGTTGTCAAGCCCCGGACAAAGAAAGTAGACCCATTCCTGGTTATTGCGATGGTCTGCACGATGATCAATAGTGCCTTACGCATTAACATGTCAGTATTCGATAGCATGTCTTTGGCACGGAAGACGACTGACCTTTCTCTGCCAGCTTCATCTCTCTCGCTCTCTATGGTATCCTTTACATGTTCATCGCCCGCCGTCTTTGGATCCCCGCAAGTATTATCTTCATCCTCCAATATGTGGTATATGCCATATATGTTATCTTCCGTGGCGTACCCTCGCCGGTTTCCCTCGCTCTTGGAATCGCAAAATCACCGTCTCTCATCAACCTCTTCGTTCTAGGCTTAGTGGCCGGCACTCTCTCCTTCGGTGGCGCGTATACTGCAATACCATTCATCCAGGTTGAAGCCGTTCTCAAGGGCGGGTGGCTGTCTCAAAGAATTTTCATTGATTGCATTGCCATTGGAAATGTTCTACCAGCCCCTCTTGTCATATTTGCGACCTTCGTCGGTTTTCAAGGTGGCCTTGTAGATGGCGGTCTGGGGAATGCATTTGGAGGAGCAGTGGTAATTACAATTGGCATGTTCTTCCCTTGCTTTTTGTTTACCATTGCTGGGTTTGACCTCCTGGAAAAGCTGGTTCATAATAAGGTATGAGGGCAAACTCCCGTCTATTTTCGCAAGAAATATTTATCTGACCTCTTCCTCCAGTTCCTAGCAAGTTTCTTTGATGGCCTCTGTGGCTCCGTTATTGGTGTCATAGCGATTATTGCCTTCCAGATCCTGAAATCCAGCGTTAGAGGTGGCGAACAAGATTTCCAGCTCAAACCCGTGGAGCGGTCGGTTTCTAAAGCAGCGGACAGCGGTCCTGCAGCGGTCTTGTACTTACTCGCACTGGGTATTTTGTACAAGTCCAACAATAAGTGGGTTCCTCTCTTGCTTGTAGTTTTTGGGTCCGTCGCCGGGCAGTTTATATTTGTTGATTAGATGCCAGGGCCGATTTCAGGCGCTCAAGATGACTTGGCCTGTTGTCATCTGGCTGACTAGTTCTTGATTAATCTTGTCTAAAGGGAAACGGAGTTTCTGAATGTTGAATACAAACAGGAGGCCGTCTGTTTCACGCACCTTGAATATGGATTTTGTATCTAGGTTATGTCGAAGAACTTAGGTTAAAAATGCTGGGTCGAAGTGTAGTTATGAGGATCTATTTGAGCTGTTCTGCCTCACCCGTGCCTCGATGGGTCAGGGTGATTAAGGCAGCCTGCCTTGTAAGCTAGTCCGGCCTAGCATTTGCTAGAAGGACATATTGGCAAATATCTTTTAGTTATTCCCCGTTGATTGTAATGGGTAGTTCTTCAAAAGCCCGAACGAGGAACCTCGTGCCGTCAACGATAATCACTCGACCGGGCGAACGCCAGGGACCCTCTCCCTCGCCGCTGAACTGCAGGCTCTCGCCAGCAGCCACCAGAGATGGGAGATTGTCACACTCTGCTCCAACCGCATACTTGACAGCAGCGTTCTGTCCTGTGGTGGCATCCCATATCTCTCGCCGTCCAGAAACCGCTCCACCGGCTTTAGTCAGGACTGGCTTCCCATCAACCTGCTTCTCCTGGTACCACTGTGTCTGTCTCAGAGCAATGTAGTGGCCAGGCACACGGCCCAAGAATGTCTTCACCACCTTGACGCCCTCGTACCCCTGCTTGAGCATTGAGATGTTAGGAAGCATTTCTTCTGACTCGAGGACCCACGCATAGCCATGTCCCTTTGGCACGGTCTTAGGGATATCAAGACTCCTCCAGAGCTCCTCATATTCACAAACTGGAGCTCCTGGTAGGTCGTGACGGATCATCTTGCCGGTTTCGAGGTCGTCTCCATTGGAGAGCTTCTTGAAGGTGCCTATATCTGCGGTATCGAAGAGCTGGAGCGAGTCAATGGCGTGGGTGAAGACGACGATAGCTGTACAGTATTACCACCAGTTGTTAGCCGGTTACTAGATATCTCTCAAACTGAGCAGGTAGTTGGACGTCTTCACTTACACGGAGACGCGCTCTCAACGACTCTCTGGCCTGCCATCGCCCACTCGACCTTGCCGGACTCGCGATGGATTCGCAGGTCGACATACCATCCGCCCACCGAGAGCGAAGCTGTGTCCGTGGTCTCGTACGCAGGCTCTGGTGGCCATCTCAATGACACCCGAGTAGAGATATTCGCCGTGCTCACAGCCATAGTACAAGGACGTTAGTGGCCCTGAACAATCTGATGTTGCTGTTCTTCTCTCCCCGTGTGCAAGGCAAAAGTACTTCAAGAAACGGTGAAAAGTGCCCCGCGCCCGTTCTCCACGGGGATCTTCGTATACATAGGTACAGAAATGCGGTGCGATACTTGACCTGGAGGTAACTAGTTAAGCAACTGGCCAGAAAATACTATCAGCAGCGTCAAGTTGGTTCAACTCCGGAGTTATGTATTCAGCTATATTCGCTCGTAGCCTAGATAAGTATGTAACAAGTAGAAAACGCCTACACGCTATATACAAGTAGGTATGTTCGGTCATTGTTCAAGATTAGTGTAAATGTACTGTAGGGGCGTGAAGGAACCCAGCTTCATCGCCCCTGAAACCATCACGAATTCACATAACCGGGTCGGAGACGTAGGATGGAATAATTGGCTTCATTGCCTTTGGAGACCTGTTGCTATTTCCGGCACGGAATTGCTTCCACAGCATCTGCATTCGCTGGATCTGACCAGGAGAGAACTCATTCAAGCATGAACTAGGAGAAACAGTTAGCAATTGTTAAAGCCGGGCGATGAAGTGTAAGAAGTGAGCTTACTCGTAACTATAATCCATATAATTGTGGATGGAGTCGACGCCCTGCTGTGGACAGGAGTCCTTGCCTTTGGGACAACCGCTGGAGGGTTTACTTTGGACAGGAGTATCGTCAACCATGTCACCGTCCTGCTGGCAGCCTCCTCCATTGTCATTGAAGACGTGGTACAGACCTTCATGATGTAGTTAGAATACCGTACAAATCCCACTATCAAGACTAATGATGAACCACTTACCCATGAAGTGTCCAACCTCGTGGGTGGTGGTCCTGCCCTCATCGTAATTCTGCGCACTACCTCCCGGGACAGTATTGGAGTTGATCACACATCCATCCATGATGAGTTGTCTTTTGCCTGGGTTTTTCGTGGGGAAATGACAGAACTATTTCAATGTTAGCTGCCTTCCATTATTAAGGCTATTGAAAGACGGGTAGTAAAGGGAAAGCTTACACCAAGGAGGCCTTCCCTGAGCATGGGAACGAAATAGACATTGAGAGAATCGTAGCCACCCTTTCGCAGGGAGCTCTTCATGCCAAAATCATCATTGCCGGACGCCCATCCAGCGTTGTTGGTTCTCTCAGATCCTACGAGCTTGAAGCTGAATCCAGTTCCGCTGTAGTCCTTGTTCAACACCTCGATCTGTTTCTGCAGGGTATCATTCTATATATAAAGTTAGAAGACAACGAGTAAGTCATAACGGTTCTGGATGATAATTGTCATACATTAATCTGGCCCTTGTTACCATCAGTAATGACATGAAAGTAGGTATTGATCGTAACGTTGGCGGCAGTGGTGTTGCTGAAGCTAGAAGCACGAGCGTTGTCCATGGCTTCCATTAGCTCAGTGGCAAAGCCTTTGTGGGGGATAGCACCGCAGCCACGTTCAGCAGTGACCACAGAGCTGAGAGCAGCAATGGCTGCAAAAACAACAGAGAAACGCATCTTGAGGGCAAAAGATGTGTAGTCCCCGGGGGTAAGAAGGGAAGCTCTGAGAAATTTTTACGAGAGGATTCCAAGAGAAAAGAGAGAAATGGACGGGTAGCCATTCGTATATCTTTATATCCCCTTCATTTTCCCCTGGTAAAATTCTGCACTCTGCTGTATGCCGAAGTTATGCTTCATAATGCGGAATTTCGAACATCACGCATCCAGTCATTCCCACCATGCGGCCTTACGAGTCTCAGTTTTTGCTCCGGTCATGGATATTTGGAGCACTGATTGGAGGATACCATTGACGGAACCGACAACAGCGGCACAGATGGCGTGAAGGTTTTCATACTTCGTCTGGATGAAAGGAACCCCCATACTGATACCCATTAGCTATCACTGCCAAGTAACTCCGTCATGGGGAAGGGTGGTAGTGGAGCTTTGATGCAAAAAGGGAGCGGAAAATTTTTAAATGGCCGCCCGTGGAGGCCGGGCCAGGAACACCATCAAAGCGTCTGCACTCTCCAGAGCGTGTTGAGAAATCCAGCCGCGGCAAAGAAGCACGGTTGGGACACAAGACAGAATGGTATTGATATTTATACGAGCGTCAGAGGCACGGTATCAAAGGATGCCAATCACGAGCAGCAAGAGAGTCAGTGGCAACGCATCTGCCGTGCTGAGGATGTTTTACTTATAGATCACCCTCTGTGATGGAGCAGGAGGAATCTGCAACAGAGCATCAATTTCCTTGTGCAGGGTATTAACGGGATGATCGCTTCTTGAGACGTGGGGATGTCAAGCGCCGAGAAGGTTTCGTGTTGGTCAGATATGCACGTCAAAACAACATCCGCGCATCTCTGTCACACCAAGCCACAGCTGGCGCGCAGATCAAGCATCCTTTTCCCTGAATCACTCTGAAGAACGACGACGTTGCCGTGTCCACCGTTTGTCGAGTTGACGGTTCGAAACGTCAGGGAAGCGTTTCAGACCGAGGTTACCTTAAGGTTTTTGTCTCCGCATGGGACGGGCACTTTGCCCAATAGGGCATGGCGCCGAGGTCTGAACGCATTATGTAATCTTAGCCTCTATCTCGGCTTGTCCGCCGCCAACGTCGAGCAGCTTTTTCTTGACAGCAAAGAGCACAAAGCAGCCGCACTGTGGACTCAGGGCATAGATTCCCACGCCTTGCGGTCCATCTGGCTGCACCACGCGCACTTTGAATAGTTAACTAGGAGTTTGCTTCTGGACCCACAAGCCGTTGCAAGGCGTCATGATACCCAGATCCCTTGGGCCACTACGGAGCAACACATGGCCAACCCAACACGCACAGCCGCTACCTTCGCCACATTTCCTAGTGAAATGCTTCAGATGGTTGGCTGCTATCTTGGGCTATGAGATCTCAGTGCTCTATTAGAACAGCAAAGCGGCTCCGCACGGGGTTTACCCTTCGTTTCGACCAAGATGGCACTGTGTGTAATCGGGCTATTGCGGAGGAATTCCGAAACTGTCCTTTGCCGGTGGCCTATATCTTCAGGCAACACAGGCTATGCTACCCTATCGTTACAGAGTTCAAAGTGGAAACGGTGTTGCCAGAAAGTAACATGTACTTCAAGCTGGCTTTGGAATATTCTGCTCAAAATATATAACTGGGTCTCGTCCAGCAATACTCAGGATAGAGTGGATATTTTGGGTCCATCAATAGATGATTCTGAGGCTTTGGACGATGCTATTATATCGGACTTTCCGCCGATATATATGCTGTTAATAGATGCTGGATTCAAGCCCTAAGTGCTTGACATCACCACTCCGACCAAAATTCAAACAGTGCATGGCGTTGCCTGGTCAGGACGCACTGATCGATTTTCGTTACTTATGGATCATGGCTGCTCTCTTAGTCTTAGCGGACCTGAAATCGCCTTATAATGACAACCGCTGCATTTTGGGGCACAAGAGATTCTACATCATTTTACGATTTCAAACAATCAAACCGCCGTATCGGAGATTCACTTGGACGCAGTTATCTTAACACTCGGACCGAAATTTTTAGGTGGCTTCAGAGGGCGCAATCATTAAACGTGACGTTGGAAATGCTCCTGCACTTCCCTAGTGATGCAAAGGCCCCCCGGCCCCTGCGGGATAATATTACCAACCTACTCCCCCTATACCGTGCGGGAGAGACGGGCTTGAGGATATCACTGAACTCTTACTTGACCACGGACCAAGTCTTAACCACAAACACTTTCATGATACCCCGTTTAGTTCTGCAATTGAAAAAGGTACCTGGGGGATTGTTCAAATACTTCTAACGAATGGCACAGATATCTTAAGATGTGAAACTATAGACGAGGGAGATAGGAATGGCTCTTACAGTACTAAGCTAGAAATCATTGGCCATCCCACATAGTATATTGGCGTGGAGCCGGCCAATGATTCCTGACAAGGGCCAGTATGTCCCATAATTGATTGCAGCTTAGAGCTGTCATCTAGACGTCGCCACCCTCATGCCCTTTGAAAGCTCCGAAGTGGTTTGCCATGTGCAGACTCTAGTACCTCCATTCCGAAGGACGAAGAGCAAGAACCAGTTGATTTGGGAGATGTAAAATCGCCGGAAGACAGAAACGTAGCTCGAAAAAAAAAAAAAAAAAAAAAAAAAAAAAAAAAAAAGGCGTAAACGAGATTGCTACAAAGAGCCGGAGCGCAGGGAGGGCCAGGGTATCGACTATTTCATAGACGTAGACCAATTGGTTTGCTGCGTGAATATAACTAGTTGATCCCCAGTAGTTATAAAACTAATGGACCAACTAGTTATACTTTAACAATATATACTGTGCTTGACACAACATATACGGTTGACTTAAAACCATATAAAGAGCTAAGCATAAGCTTTTTGCACTCCATCATTAATGGACATACTCTACAGCTGTCGAATGTGCTTGGCCGTAGGCCACATACAAAATATCAACATCTATGCATTGCATTGGCACAATTAAGACAATAGCACAAACATAGGTAATAGTAGTACTAATACAGGGGCAGTATAAAAGTGACAAAACTTTCTATTCCTCCTCCTTAAACCCGTCCGGAGGAGTCTATTCGGTGGACTTGATGTCGACTTTTCCATCTTGATGCACACTTGCAACGCTCTGCCGTTGGCCGGTTTTATTTTCAGCAGCAGCCTTGCTAGCAATCTCCTTCAGAGACGGTGCTTCAGTTGCTTCCACCGCCACTCTAGTGACTCCTGGAGTGGCATCGGCGATTTCATTTACCTCCCCGTCCGTTAATATATCGTTAATGCGTGCAGCCCTAGATTGCACAAGCAGGGTAGTGGGACCTTGGAATTGCAAAAATAGCTATTTTTTATAGGTGATTAGCCGATAAGTCACAGATTCAACATTGGTTTGAGCACATACTCTATCACCCCAAATAGTCCTTCTTGTCCATGTTCTGAAAGTATGGAAAATCTTCATCAGCGCCATCCAAGTGTCTGATTTTGATAGATTTGACACAAGGTTAGTATTAGATAGGCGTTTTCCAATACCCAAATTGGGCACCTGGAATCTCAGGGTCGTCGACTTGAATCTATAAGGCTGCGGAGGAGTCTGTGTTATCGTGTAGGCAATCACATTCCTGCATACAATACATTAGTGTATGATCAGTGTATGAGGGGAAATTCCGGACTAGTTCCACATACCCTGGATGGGCGATATACTGCTCCCCTTCTTTGAGCTTTATAGAGTATATTTGTCCCTTCCCAGCTAGTGCAATAAGTCCTCGTCCTGTAACCTCAGAATTTCCCCAATGCATTACACTCTTCCCAGATCAGCTCCCTATACGATCATTATGGAACAAGGTAGGGTGATATATACCAACTGACTGTTGATTCTTGGCTTTACTGTCAACGAATGACCTGTCCACGCAAGAAGAGCGTTCCGCTGCGCCAGCATCCAATCTACTGTTCCATTGAGCTGTAGAAGAGCGAGCGACGTCACTGGAGATTTTACGGAAATTAACGCAGATACGGGGCTAGTTGAGGATATCTACCAACGGGAATGGTCAGAACCAAGTAAATTCATGATGAGAGAAGGACTTTCTAACCTTTTGGTATAGAAACGGAATTCCAAGTGCCGCCCGCCGGAATGGCTCAAGGATCCGCAGAGTAGAAACGACCTTTTATAATATTTCCATTTAGCCATGTATTCCAGCAATTCTTCCGTATATATGTTGGCAGCCATACATTTTCTGCTTTTCCGCTTAATCCTACAAGGGTTCCACGCCTTGTATAAAGGTTTTGGGATGCCGACAGGGAGACGGAAAGTAAGGAATAGGGCGAGCCGACAACTTCGAATTTGGCATCTGTAGCAAAGGTCAGCGTACGAGTTAACGTAAATCAGAATGATACACACTAACCCGGAGATATAGCAGATCTAGCGGTCGTCGAGGCAGTGTGGAAGTTGTCGCTTGTCACCGAATCGAGTTGGCTGCTCGGTATGGCTTGGATATGAATCTGTCTCCTCCGGCCGCATCTCGGTCCCGGCTTAAGACAGCTCGACGGCCTGACGCCCCTTGCGGCAATTGATCGCTTCATTTATGCGACTGCGTATTCCGCAAGCTGGGTAGACACTCAATGCCTGGCCTCTTGCTGCGGGTTTTTCGGCGATTCGTCGCAGAAATGCAACTTTCCATCAGGTTCAAGAAAACATGACGATGCAAACAAACAAGGCAAACAAGCTCGAAATGAGGCTCCGAACTCAATTTATCACGCAAAGGCGTGGCTTGCCGGTTTGATGCAAATATCTGACAAGCCTTTTGTCTCGTTGCTCGTGGGCAAGGCGTGGACCTCAGGACTCTTCGGGAAGAGCGGGAGAAGTGGTAGTTAGTTGTACAGTGCCTGGTAAGTGTTCTCTACGTCCAGCTGGTGAATAGTTCCGCTGACTCACTTTGTATGTAGTTAGTTATAGGATCGTGGATAGACGCATGAAACCGCCCTATCATGACATCATGAAATTTCGAGAGATAGGGAAAGCGAATTACTAGAATACTTACTCTGCATTAGCTGCAGAGCCTATCCATTGCGCGACGACATGCTTCTACGAACCGCGCAATTGCATTATCGCGTTGCGCACAGAAACCTTTCTTGGTCCCGTGTGCGTCTTTCGGGGCAGCCCGGCCAGGGACTATATCGCCATGAAGGAGCCTGCTGCGCCTTCACAACCTGGGGGAAGTTGTCGAAAGAGCAACCTGGTGATGCCTTGAAAAAGACTGCAAGGTCTAGTAAGGGGATTGCACAGTCTGCTACGGACAAAGTACGGAATGCTGGGGAGAAGGAAATCGCGAGCCCTTCAAACCCAGGAAACAAGAAGCCGGGAACTTTGCTCTCGGAGACTACTGTCACCTCCAAAGAACAGAGAAAAGTTGACTGGGCCATTATGAAAGAGATGGCAAAGTATCTTTGGCCAAAGGTGGGCGCAAATCATAGTACAGTGCATTGGAGAACCTCTACTAAATGACGTAGGACGACTGGAACACAAAACTTCGAGTCGGGATAGCTCTATCTTTGCTTGTAGGCGGAAAGGTTTGTTGCTATGGAGCCTCGGACATTATAGTACATTCTGGCTGATCAATTTCTAGATTCTCAATGTTCAAGTTCCATTTTACTTCAAAAGCATAGTCGACTCTATGAATATTGATTTTATGGCAATAGGCGATACTGCCTGGACAGTTGGAGGATCCATGATAATAGCATGTATGAACTTGCCCTTATCTGAGTGCTTGAAATTTTGACCCCTAACTAGAGAACACGAGTATAGATGGCGTCACAAGAATTGGAGCAACATTGTTTCAAGAGTTGAGAAACGCTGTATTTGCCAGCGTTGCTCAAAAAGCAATCCGAAAGGTTGCTCGCAATGTCTTTGACCACCTTCTCAGACTTGACCTGAATTTTCATTTAAGTCGCCAAACCGGAGGTCTTACTCGCGCCATCGACAGGGGAACAAAAGGCATCAGTTTTTTGCTCACGTCCATGGTCTTTCATGTGTTCCCAACCGCGCTGGAAATCTCAATGGTTTGCGGAATTTTGGTATGACCTCCTTTCATTAACGTGCATTAAATTCTGTTTGCTAACGAATTCTCTAGACGTATCAATATGGCGCTAAGTTTGCTGCTATCACTGCTGCAACAATGCTAGCCTACACTGCTTTTACCATCACTACTACGGCCTGGAGAACAAAATTTCGAAAGCAAGCAAATGCAGCTGATAATCAGGGGGCAACAGTAGCAGTTGATTCCCTGATTAATTATGAGGCTGTGAAATATTTTAATAACGAACAGTTTGAAGTTTCGCGGTATGACCAGGCATTGAAGAAGTATGAAGCCGCTTCAATTAAGGTCACAACTTCACTGTCATTGTTAAACTCAGGCCAAAATATGATCTTCTCGAGTGCGCTGGCTGCCATGATGTACCTGGCATCTGATGGCGTGGCTACGGGACAGCTAACAGTTGGCGACCTTGTAATGGTTAATCAATTGGTATTCCAACTTTCGATGCCCCTCAACTTCCTGGGATCTGTGTACAGAGAGCTCAGGCAGTCATTGATGGACATGGAGACTCTTTTCAACTTACAAAAGGTCAATATTAACGTTAAGGAAGCGCCCGATGCGAAACCTTTACAGCTTCGTCAAGGCGGAGAAATCCGATTCGAAAATGTCACCTTTGGGTATTTGCCAGACAGACCAATCTTGAAAAACGTGTCCTTCACCATTCCAGCTGGCAAGAAAATCGCCATTGTCGGGCCAAGTGGATGTGGAAAATCAACAATACTCCGGCTACTTTTCCGATTCTATGACGTGCACGAGGGCCGTATATTGATTGACGGCCAAGATATCCGCGGCCTGACTGTGTCAAGTCTGAGAAAGGCGATTGGAGTTGTGCCACAAGACACTCCTTTGTTTAATAACACGATCAAACACAACATCCGCTACGGGAAGATCGATGCTACTACTGAGGAGGTCAAGCGGGCCGCACAACGAGCCCATATTCACGACCTCATCGAGCGGTTACCCGCTGGATACGATACCCCCGTTGGAGAACGAGGGATGATGATATCAGGTGGTGAAAAACAGCGACTAGCAGTCTCCCGATTGATTTTGAAAGACCCGCCCTTACTCTTCTTCGATGAAGCGGTGTGTTAACTCCTTTGCATCTTTCGAAATAATTCGCGGATCAGCGCTTTTACTAATTCTAACTGAAACAGACCTCTGCCCTCGACACATATACGGAGCAAGCCCTGCTTCAAAACATCAACAGCATTCTAAAGGACAAGGCTCGAACAAGTGTGTTTGTAGCACATCGGCTTCGCACGATCTATGACAGCGATCAGATTATTGTTCTAAAAGACGGCCATGTGGTAGAAAGCGGCACGCATATCGAACTTCTCGATTTAGGCGGCGTGTACGCCGAACTATGGAATAGTAAGCCGCTTCCCAGGCTCAGCCCTTATTCACAGTCCGCACGCTAACATGTCTCAAAATAGCCCAAGAAACCGACATTGCCACTGTATAAGTCCCAGCTCAGGTTGATAGGGGAATTGGAAGATAAAACTGGAGGATATATAGAGGATCTCGGTGATACTATACCCATTTTTCCGGTGTTTTCTTGCGCAAGGGTTCTTTCATTTTTTTTTTTTTCCTTCCTTTTTTAAGGACGGTCAAGCGTCTAAAATTAGATGAATGCTGTGTAGATATCAATACTTTGAATGTCTGTGAATAGGCTCGCCGATGTGCTGGTTACTACTCCTTCAAACCACTTTCTAGCTCTCTGCACAGCCACTACACCTGTAGGAAACTAGCAACCTCGTATCCAAGTACTGTCTCTACAGGGATATATGTATTATCGGACAACCAAGAACTTCAATAACAAGAATGCCAATCAAAAAAATATGTACTATGAGATCACTTGCTGGTCAGGCGATGCTTATGTAATATTTACCAGTGACCGTCGTGAACTTCCCCAGAGTTTCTGCAGCGTCCACCTGCATCTCAAGGCAGATTTGCCCCGTCGATATTCGTTTCCATTTCTCCGGTCCTGGGCCTGCAGTACCCTCTTTTCCTTGTTAATACAGGGCCCCTCTCCTCCCTTCGTCGCGTGTCTCGTCTCGGTGCCCTTGACTTTGCGGGAACTACCACGGCCAGTGACCCATTATCCAGATATGCTTGAGCACAGGAATGGACTTCGAAGCCAGCAGTTTGAGAACCGAAGAACAGTTCTGGGATGGTGAGTAGAGATATCTCTGTGGATCTATCCGTTCGTGCGCTTCTAGGGGGATGGTCAATCTGTGATTCTTATAATGATATGCTAGTTCTGAATTTGGTTGGCTAACCGAGTGTCTCTGCCGGTAGAATTGGACGACGTTCTAAAACGGCAATGCGATTCACACGAGGAGATCGATGATAGCTTGCGCACATATTTGTCCTTGCTTGAGAGCTGCAGAGGTATTTGAATTGTTCCTTTGCGGGCATGTCTTCCAACATATCCGATTTTTCTGACACGAAACTCGCGAGTAGAAGACTTCTTCGACCCCGACCATGACATTACCCGATGTACGGAGCTGGTTTTATCATCTCCGCTATTCACGAACAATGCAGATTATATACGACTTCAGATAATATACAGCCTACTCCAGGTATATACATTTCAGAATGAGCTTTGGTACAGAACATCATCTAACCGGGATAATTCGTTTCATAGGAAGATTCACATGAAAATCTGCTCGGGATCGTGTCTCTCCTCCTCTTCGACGGGTGTGAAAATGAAGCTACCTTCGAGATGATGTGTGAAGAAGGGGCGTTTTGTCGGCTATTGGAATTAATACAATCGCTAAGGGGCAATGACCATTCTGGCAGTGGTGTCGAAGCTAGCCTGCACCGGTTGCTAATGGATCTCTTGTATGAGATGTCAAGGATACAGAGGGTTAAGATAGAAGACCTAGGTGAGTCTCGGAGTGGTTAATAGTGGTTATTGGTTACCGGGTTGCTTTGCTGTCCGGTACCTGGGAGAAGCATGTTGTGATCATATACTTACATCTTCCCCTCATAGTGACCGTGGATGATGGATTCATAAAATATCTTCTACAAATAATCGAAGGGCCCCCAGAGGATCCTAATGACCCGTATCATTATCCTGTGATTCGTGTTTTGGTATGGTATCCTTTCTCTATTTCTGGTGTTATCAATTCTGACTTGACTTCTATGTAGCTAGTTCTCAATGAGCAGTTCATGGTATCAAGTCATGACCCAACCAGGGACCTGACTACAACTATGCCATTAACGAACAAAGTAATGAAAGTTCTATCTATGCATGGCAGTCTTTATAAAACTTTTGGAGAAAACATCATTCTTCTCCTTAACCGTGAAGGTACATTTTATTCCTCCTCCCCTGAAGTTCCCATAAACTAATCACATTGAATTAGACGAAACTTCTTTACAGCTTCTCACCCTCAAAATTCTATACCTGCTATTTACGACGCCCTCCACTTATGAATATTTTTATACTAATGATCTTCGTGTTCTTGTCGATATTCTTATTCGTAACCTTTATGACCTCCCTGAAGATGCAATGCCCCTCCGCCATACATATCTCAGAGTTTTATACCCACTTCTTGCTCATACTCAACTGAAGTATCCTCCGCATGATAGACGGGAGGAGCTTAGAAAGCTCTTCACAACTCTAATTAGGGGTCAGTGGTCTGATACAGATGCTGGTGACGATAGCGAAAGAATTCTTCATTTCAACGAAGTGGACGATACCACAAAAAGGCTTGTCTTGCGGTGTAGCCAGGTTGACTGGATATGCGAAGGAACTAATTGGTTCACGAAAGAGCTGTCCGAACCAGCATCGATTGAGACTTCGAGGACGAACGGCCATGCCAATACAGATTCATTAGGAAGCGTGGAAGTTCCTAGCATTGGTTCACCAATTTCACCTCAGACAAGTCTGGATGAGAATCTTCACGGACATGATGCCTCGTCATCACCGAACCAACACCCGGCTGCTGTGTCAACGGCCCTTGGACTTGACTCAGCACGCTCTTCTTCTCATAGCATTGCAAAGGTAGCTTCTCACAAAGAGAAACCGGGCGTCGTTATACCGAGTAAAGGAGTGACCGTGGTGAAACAAAAGCCAGAACCTCCAGTGGCACGCCGTTCCAGAGCGCGTCGAAGAGCCGAATCAAAGGAGGCAGGTGAGAGGGCAAGTTCAAGCCATGGATATCGAGGATCCTCGGAATCAAGGATTTCGAAATTCCATCTGGCAGAACCAGAGGATACAGTAGAAAACCCTACCTCCGCCTCCTCTCCTGTTCGTAAAATTGAAGACAATACTGCATGCTCGAGCCCGAAGGAACCTGTGGTTCAATCGCCTGATTCGATCACGTCCACGTCACACTGCTTCCCTCCATCTTCTGCCTCTCATAAAATTCATATTCACCACCCTAGCACGCCTCCGGCAGTTCCTCCTCCTCGCAGATCTTCACATTCGGTACCTCCAACTCATCCTGCCAAATCTCATCACCATCACCACGTCAGACAACAACACTCGGCTACCCGTCCTCCGCCTCCGCCTCCACATAATCCACATAATTGTCCGTCTAACAAGCCAGCTCAGAAGCCAGAACCCCCGAGAACCAGGCGGTGGCGTGCCCATCAACAGCATCAGAAACATCAAGATACCAATGGCCATGTCAATACTACGCCTGATACCCAAAACTGCAGTGCATCACCAACCGAAGCCAGCCACAACCCAACTTCATCACAGCCTCAAACACCGCGCACAAATGGCAGTACAGATATTCCTGCTACTCCAACCATAACAGTGGAGATGGTTGAGAACGAACTTCCAGAGCAAATGGAGAACGCTCATATTACCTAGGAAGGAGTTCTTTAATTTTTGCCAAATTTGTACTTAGATGCATAGCGATTTGAAATTACATCATTTCTTCCTATTACGATCGTCATTGCTACATCATAGATATAATCTAGTGCTGTGTTTACAAGTGAAGTAGAGAAGTGATATTTTGGTGACAAGGGGTATTCATTCGATGTTCTAAAATATACTAAGCTAATACATATAACCCCTTTAAAAGAACCATTTTGGCCTTTAATATTTTTTTTCTCGTTTTCCCTCTTTTAATCCTTTTTCCTCCCGCCTTTTCAAATTCAACAGCATGTCATCGTAAAATGTTTTCACTTTGCTGCGTCTTTTCGTTTGTCGTAAAATCAGAATGCTCATAGATATGAGCATCAATTAGATAGGCGATTGCTAGATCGACCTTTAGTAGATACCCCAGTACTTCTCTGCACCGAAAGTGTTAGAACCATCTACTTTCCATGGATCATCGAAAGCAGAGAATAATAATAGTTCTCCATTGGTATCTTTGTAAGCCTGTTTTATGTTCTCGATAGCAACACGCTGGTTCTCTCTTGAAGGAAAAGCTTCTCCGTTTTGGTAGCCGCCATGAGGCCATCCGGTTTCAGTGACAATTACTCTCTTGGCTCCGTGTACTGCATTAGAAACAGCCTTGGATTGTTCTCTAACGAACTGTCCAGCTTCAGAAGCGGAGGTATGCGGATCGAAAAACGGGTGGATATTGACAGCACAAAAATCAGATGCGTAACAGATTTCTGGGTGAGCGGTCATGGCATTGACGGTGTCGACGGCTACGACTGGTCCATTGTATCCGTTCGCGCGTAGTATAGAGCGGGAATGATTGACGGCATTGACGAGGGCGTTAGCAGATGCTTTTCCGGTATTAACGACTTCGTTCCCAATAGCAATGGCGTAGATGTATGCCCAGTTGTTCTTTGCAGCGGTAAGGAAGATGTTCAAATCAGAGTCGACGTTTTGAATGGTGAAAAGGCCAAGCATAACTTTCTTGTTGTAAGTCTTTGCCGCATTGAGCATCATTGCAATTTGATTGCAGTCAACACCATAGGAACGAACAATGCTATACTCATTCAGCTTTGCAAAGTCTGCATTGACTTGGTCCTGGCTTTTGCATTTTCCGTCAGCAGCATATGGGGCATAGCAGATTCCAAATCCATTTGCCGGAGTCCATTTTTCAGTCGGGTCCTTAGGGGGCGATGAAGTAGGAGCTGGGACATTTGAGGGCTTGCTTGGAGCTAGATCCTGGGTGGATGTCGTCAGAGGCTCAGTTTGCCTAACAGACGTCGGTTTGACTTCGGGAACCGTGGTATTGATAACACTCGTATTCGTTGGCTTAGCAGTCGTCCCTGGATCTGTAATGATAGGCTCATGCGCTGTGGTTTCTGTTTTCTTTGGCTCAGTGATAGTGGGTTGCACAGGGGGAACACCAGTTTGCTTATCAGTGCTTTTTGGCTCAGTAATAACAGGTTCCGAGGGCTTACTTTCGGTGGTAGTAATATCCTTAGTTGTTTGTTTGATCTCAGTCGGCCCCGGCTTCACATCAGGGATTTTCACCTCGGTGGTAGGCTCTAACTTAGGGACAAAGGTAGAGACAGAAGTGGGTATATTGGTGACAGTGGTGGTATCCATAGTAGTGGTATCAGGGGCAATAGTAGTGCCAACATCTCCATTGTCAGGGGTAGGATGAATGGTCTTGAAAGACTTCATCCCTTTAGTTTCAATAGTAACGGTGTTACCAGCATTATCAACCCAGTTGATAACCTCAGGCACCTTAACAACAATAGTATCAGTCACATAAGCGCGTTTCTCCAGGCCATAAGCATGATTGTGGTCTATAGTAGAAGAGAATAAGTGTCTGGCCTAAGGTAAGACGCGTAGCAAGGCCCCAAAGTGAATAGATTTCGATAGAAGAACATACTGTGAGGCCTAGCAACCACAGAGCCCGGAAGAAAGAGAGCAGCAAAGATGGAGAGATTAGTCTTCATCTTGCTTCTCACTGTGCCCAGAAGATACACAGATAGAGATAGAAAAGGGTATCTAGAGGGGTTAATATAATGATTAGCAGCTTCATCGACGCGTCTCTAGAGCTAGCAGATCTAGATAGAACGCAGCAGAACGCAGCAGGCACAGAAAAAGGGGTAAGCGGCGTACTAGCAAGCTGCGTGCAGGCGAAGTTGGTGATAGTTAGAGGGTATTTCTGTGATATCAAGTTGTGGTGGGAGGTTGAAGAAAGAAGAAGAAGAAGAAGAGAAAGAAAGGTTTCAGGAGAAATAAATAGGGGGGTGGGAGAGACGCGTAGGTGAAGGAAGACCACAACAAGTGAAGTGAGGGAAAACAGATTGAATAAAGTGATATCAAGCCATAGACTACCAACTTTCTCTTTTCTTTTGCTTTTGCTTTTGCAACATATATCAAGCATAGATATTAATTTGGTATATTGATTATAGTAGAGCTTCTGCTTTTACATACGGCAGATACTGGATATAGGTATATAAATAGGGTACTAGAATATTAAATGGGTATACATCATACCAGGAGAAGCTGGCAATGGATGTAAATCTAGAGACTGTTAGCCATATATACCAAGCTGAACCATGCTAGCCAGGAAATACATACCTAAAGTCATTGTCATCACTGTCTTAACAGGCCATCTATATCACCAGACAATCCAGAAGTGACCATCACATATCCACATTAGTCCATTTCGTTGATTAAAAATATATATGTACTATCTAGGAGAAAAGTACAGTGAGCCCCAGAAACGAGGGGAAGAAGGCCATAGGGTGACACTAGGGAAGAGGAAGCTAGATGTACAGGAGGAATATTAAGGGGATATTAAGAGGATGCTTGTGCTTCGTGTCTAGATTCATCGCTTTTGTCGAAGAATCTTCGTGATGGCATGACGGATGACGATGCCGGCCTTCTCGATCTCCTTCTTGGACAAGCCGGTGGTAATGCAAACCTTAAGGGCAGGGGCAGGGGGAATATGGTTCTGTTTAGAGATAGTCTCGTCAGGAACAGGTTTGAGACGGGTGATAAGCACACCATTGGCTAGCGTCTCATCAACTATCTCTTGTAAGATGTGATGCTGGTCTTCGATGGTGAGGCGTTTGGACGAAACCACTTCGGGCTTTAGCACGAGTATCATGACAGGATTTTCTGGGGCGCTGGTGCAGTACACCCAGTCACTGCGAGGATCGAGTTGGGTCCACATAGCCTTGATGTTCTCTCTGAGCTGAACGATGAGCTCGGGGCTATTGTGCAGCAACGCTATAGTCTCACTTGCCGTCGTGGCTAGCAAAGCAGTCAGGGCAGCAGAGTAGCAGTAGGCTGAGGCAGAGATGCGCTGGTGGTTGACGATTTCTTTGGATCCGGCACAGAAGCCGCCACCGCCAATGAACACTCCAGACAATGAACCAATAATCATATCAGCTTCTGCTGGGTCGACATTCTGGTGCTCGGTGATACCACGGCCAGTACGGCCAAGTACTCCAAAGGAGACACTCTCGTCCAGGATAAGTCTGAACTTGTATCGAAGTTTCAACTCGACCTACATAGGTTAGTGATTGTTAGGAATGGGATATAGCACACGAGAAAGTAAGAGTCAACATACGATCTTAGGCAAGTCACACATGTCACCCCTATCCTGGAACAACCCTTCCGTTATGATGAATCTCCGGGTCAACGGCTTCTTTGCCTGCTCCTTGGTAATTTTGCTCAAAACACGTTCCAAGTCATCCATATCATTATGTTCATACCACCTCACTGTACTTCTTGAGATCTGAATACCTTTCCGAATAGCATGGTTAACTCCCTTATCCACAACTATGATATCACCACGTTTGGAAAATGCAGGAATAACACTAGAGATCGTCGAAAAGGCCTGAGAATAGATGATACAGGCGGGAGTACCGAGGAATGTAGCAACGTCAGCTTCAGTGCGCATGTGCACATCTTGGGTTCCGTAGAATCCGGGGGGTCCACACGGACCGACTCCATAAGTTCGAACTGTCTGAATGGCTTTCTCCTTCAGAGTGTCATTCGCAACGAAGTTGTAGAAGTTATACGAGGCAAGGTTCGTAACAGTTCGTCCGTTCACGAGCTTAGATTTTGGACCGGTAGGGCTAGAGAACAATAAGCAATGAACGTTCTCACGCAGTCAGAAGAGCCAACTCACCCTGTAAGCACAACTCGTTTCTCAACATCTTCTTCATCTTGCGCGGTCGAAGGCAAGACCAGTGGTTCTGGAGTCCAATCGTCTACCAAATCATCGATTTCCTACGACACAGCTTAGTTATCAGACCAAACAAAGAGGCGAAGATAAAACAAAGATAATAGAGAGCTCATACCTCCTCTGAAAGCGGCACAAAGTCACGTTTAGTCGAATATTTCGGCGCAAGAAGATATCTCACTGCGAAAAGGAACAGGAAAAGCTCCACGGCCGAGCGGACAGGGTCGTTCTGATAGCTCGACTTGATATATCGGAGGACAATGGCTGAGCCAGGAACGCGCCGGAACTGGTCTGCTAGGACATGGAGGTATTCAAGGGTGATTCTCTGCGTCTCCTGGAGGTCCATCATGTCATCGTGTATCCCTTCAGTTCGTTACTAGGCTGCAGATTTCCCTTATCGATTGGGTTGGAAATTTGGTAGGGAGAAACGGAGGCGTCGTAAGGAGAAGGATGAAGGCTGGAGAAAGCGTCAATTAACGAGAGAGCACTTCAGCCAGCTTCACCGGGCGCTATAGGGGGCGATATAGGTAGACGACGAGTTCCTCGAGCAGAGGCGGATGAAGGTTTTTTGCTCTGTCTTCGAGCTGACTTTTTTCATTATTTGATAGCAGGAAGGATCCATGGATGAGATAGCATCACGTGATATTAAGGGGCTGCCATATTAATTTTCCAAACATCAATAGTAAATTAATATTAAATTAGCTAGCAGCTACAATTATTGATATTAATAGAGTTAAGCTTGTCTATTTGTTTCACTTCTAATTTTGAAGGAGATGGGTATGTGTCCATAATATCATTGGCCCATGAAAGAATTATTGTCTCCGGAAGGCCTGATTGGCTGACGAACGGGTCATAACCTATGGCCACTGAAAGTTGATGCATGGTCATTTCTCGGGGCTCTCGCAAGTTGTAGGCCTCGAGTAAACGGGCCGTATAAACCGCATATCAAGTAATAATATGTTGAGCTCTCGACTCATAGGCCCGTTCTGAGATTCTAGTCATGGAATAGTGAAAAATTGTATCGCATATCAACTACCGGCAAGGTAGACCCAGACAGCTTGTATATCAGTAGGAAAAAGCTGGGATGCTAAAATGATAAAGAGGTAAAGACTAGATAGATACAATTGAGTTGTGAATATCATATGCTAGATGTAGTGTTTTTGTTCGAATTACGAGTACTATTCAAGCTAGAAGAAAAAAAGAAAGGAAAATACAGACCCCCAATACCATGATAGAAGATAGAACATTAGTCTAATACAAGGCCAAAAGCCTACGGAGTGTTTGATCAATAAAGGGGGGCGTTCGAAAGGGGTAGGAAAAGATAGCAAACTGACACAATCCAACTCCACATCTTGGGGAAAAAAAGAGACAACTAAAAACACACTAGAGGAGCGTTTCATTCCATTATAGAGGTGGTGAGAAATGCAAAATGCGAAAGGCAGAAGGGAAAATAACAAGATAAGAGAGGATAGGAAATACCGTACATAATGGGGTGTTTATTTTCGCCTACAGCCCGGGCAAGCTTGGTTCGTAACATGTTCTTTTCTTTTCTTTTTTTTTTATCTTTTTTTGCTTTTGTTTTGGTTCAGCGCACCTCCACCGGCAGATGGCACACTGAAGGGCGAGTGGGTGACACGAAATGGCGGGAAAAGATGAAGATATAGATGAGCTGCTGTTTGCCTTTAGAAGCGGAAGAGCTTGGCAGCTTCAGTGTTCGCTGCGCCAGCGCCACCGGTTGCAGCCTTTCCAGTATGGCTGGAGCTGGTGTCATTGTTGTTAAGTCCACTGGGTTGCAACAGCTGTAGGGGGATATCTGGAAGGCTGATCTTGAGGGTCTTCATGATTAGAGGGCCGGCGATAACAATGGCAAAGAGGAAGAACATGGTGAAGTATAGAATCGCAAAGCGGATGACACGGCGCTTGCGAAGCTTCGACTGCTTGAGAGAGTAGATTGGAGGTCGGATTTGACGACTAAAAAATTGTAAGTATATGTAATTATAAAGAGGGATTGCAGACTGTGCTTACCTTGGTCTGAGCCAGAAGAGGATGACGGAGTGACCCTTGTCAACGTATGGAATACACAAGGCCGGAAGCATGAGAATCAAAATGACATGGCCGAGGATGAAGTCAGCAGCAAACATGCCGAGTTCAGTGATCTTGCAGAGGAATTCACGGCCAGGTTGAGACAGCGAATGCCAACCCATACCGTACCATTTACCAGTCCACCAGGCAATGTTAGCATCATCTTGTCGGAATTCTCTTGTCAGGGCAAGGCCAATGATGAGTTTGAAGACAAATCGCTGGATGGCAGTGACAGCAATCATTCCAGCAAGTGTACGGCTGAAAGAGAAGCCCTCAAGGAAAAACATGATTTCAAAGAAGATGAGGAGGCCGACAACAGCGAATCCGTGGGCAATGGCAGCGAGGACGGCACCAAATTTCTTGCAGCACATGCTGAGAATGGGGCCCATACAACAGGCCATGCCGAACATACCAAGACAGACACCTGCGTTGAGTGCGATAGGGCCAAGAGCAACAAGACCAACACGGATAAGGGAGTTGGTTGGTTGAATCTTATGATCGGGATTGTTTTCCTTTCGAACACCAGTCTGAGCGTTGATGAAGAGGTATGGAATGAGAGTTACAGCGACAAGCACCAATGGGCCGACAATTTCACTGAAGAAGATGTTGGAGAACTTGGCTCGTGGGATGTCACCAGAGAGCTTCTCAGATGGGGAACCAAGGACCTTGCGCTTGTAACCGGTGATTCGTGTACGCGAGAGACGGCAATAGGCGATCCAAGAGGAGGCATGAGAACGCGAGTTACCACGGGACAGCCATCTCAAATAGTCACGGTAATCAATGAAGAAATCATTCCAAGAGAACTGGTGAGGGTTGAACAAGAAGGGCGAAATGCAGAGAGCAAGGAGCGATACCCAGAAGTACAACAAGCCAGGCAGCCAGACGGTGGCAGTTGCGAATAGAAGCATCATCAGCGATCGTGCACCAAGGTAGATGGATGGACCGGCGAAACGCGAGTAAAGAATACCGAACGGAATACGAGCGGTAGCAAAACCACGACCAGTACCAATATATCGGGCACCACCGAACGACAAGTTGTTGTGAAGAGAGTTGGCGTAGATCTGACATACGAACACTTCGAATAGAGGAGAGAAGGATCCGAAATGCTTAGCCAAACGGGTAGCAGCTCTCCAGAAACCACGCTCAGTCAATTCTTGAACAACCAGCGGTAAGAAGGATAGCAGGAAAACGATGCAAATAGACAAGATACAACGGTTGACCCAGTCCTTGATGGGGTTGAGATCAGCACATCCAGTTGGCATCAGTTCGTCGGTAATTGGAACACCCTTCTTAACCTGGCAAAGGATAGTCTCATGTCTCAAGGCTCCAAGGTTAATAAGACAGATCATGAAGAGCTGCACAGACAAAATGATGAAGATGTTGTTGATGTGGAAACCAGGATGGGCATAGAAGAAGGACAAGAATCTGTCGAGCGGCAATTGGGTTCCTAGGTAGTAGTATTCACGAGAAAGCATCTGTTCACCCATACCAGTTCCGATTTTGGTGGTGAAGTTAAGAATAGAGCCAAAGCCAAGATCACGACCCTTACCACACTGGTAGTATTCACAGTGCTTGATACGGCCACCACGGAGCAGAGCATTCATACCGGCGTAAATATCCTCGTTAAGATGCAGACCCTTTTGAGCTTTGGAGACACCTCCACGGGTATTCATGAAGATAGCGTTAAGGAAATCAGGATGTCCGTAGTGAAGCTTGCCACCAATCTGAGCGAGAGTACGAGCGAAGAGAGTACCGAATGTCTGTTCCTTTCCGGCAGCAACGTCACCGAGAATACCAATGTTCTCAGAGAAAATGTATTCACGAGCTCCAAGAATGGCAACAGGGTCAAAGTTCACTGGTGGAAGACCTGGAGTGTATGGAGAGATGTTTTCAGTGGTCATTTCCTCGAATTCAGCAAGCACACTTCGAATCTTCAAGCATTCTTCCAAGTAGTTATCCTGGTTAGCGTCGATAAGCTGGATGTATTCACCACGGTAGAAGATGATGGCATGGTTCTGGTTATCAGACTTTCCATCACCAAGAATTGGGTTACCGGAAAGCTGGACTCTGAACTTTGGTCGTCGAAGGCCGTTCTCCAAGATTTCGGAGTGTCCATCGATGAGGGCAGAGAACAGGCGGGGCTCCTCACCCTCATTCACTGGAGGCTCCTCGTCAAGATAAGCGATCTGAAGGTCGGGGTAGGCACGTAGCAAGAATTCAGTGTTTTCACGTTCTTCCTTGTTGAACTTGGCGAATCGCTGCATGGAAACACAAATCTTGAACTTGCGGCGCGCCATGCGTTCCAATTCACGTTCCAATTTGTCAGAGTTACCGCCAAACATTTGGACAACCTCGGGGTTCTCAACACGGTAGAGCAACTTGATAGCACGGCTGTAGTTCATGAATCCAGAAATGGTACGGTACAGAGTCTGAGAACGGAGGGAAGCCCAGATACGAGTACGGAGAGTGTACTCGGGAGCAGCAGATTTGAAACCGATGCAGTAGAACGGAAGATCATTGATCTTGCTCTTCTGAGCGTCCTTGGCATTCTTCTCATCATCTCCGTTAAACTGGGAGGTCTCATCAGCCAGAATCTTGGTATCTTTGACGAAGCAGTCCCATTCGTGTGGATGAAGCTGTTTAAGGTATTCCAACAGAGTGACGCGGGAGTATGGCTCATCTTCACGGATAATCTCACGCAGGGACAAGAGAATCTTTTCACTGTAGTGGGGAATCAGGACAGTGAAAGTTGGCATGTTGTCAACAGGTACCGGTTCTGGGATTGGAGTAGACAGAGACTGGGCAAAGAAGGAGATACGACGCTCGGCTTCGCTAAGAGGCGGGAAGAACTCGGTCTTGAAGGAGTGATCTTCCTGGGAGACGAAGAAAGTTGGGGCACGGAGGGTACGCTTTCCTTCTTGCTCGGATGGAACCTGATGGTAGAGGAGCTTTTGAACGTGGTCTATAGCCAAGAGATGCTCACGGTACATAGAAATGACAACTGCGTTCCACACCTGAGAGATAAGGACCTTGGGTTTGTACTTGATTTCCATGTCGGTGGTAGCAAGAACCTTAGAGTAGATACGCTTTGGCAAGCGAGAAAAGATGTTCCTCCATGGAGTCCAGATGGAAACGCCAAGGTAAAAGGATCTGGCAACGGAGAAGATGGCGTTGAGGATAATGTACCACAGATAGGTATCCAAGAAAAAGAGGACTAGATCGGTGAAGAACATGAGTCCAAGAAGAATCTTTGGCTGGTACTTGCAAAGAATGTCCTTCAAAATCGCGTCACCATGACAGATACCGATCCGGGTGTTGGACAAAATTCGAATAGGATCCTTGAGCGAGAGAGTCAGGAAGACGTAAGACTCTCCCAGCTTAGCTCCGAAAACGCAAACCCACAATCCGTAAGACATCCATCGGTCATTGCCTCTGAGGCGAGGGTAACTGGCAGTGAATGTCTGACTGGCAACATACTGCCGGGAGTTTCGCTTAAGGTAACTTCCGAAAAGACCACCAAGCGGCATGACCGAGAAGAAGATGAACGTAATCAAGGCGATGAAGAATTGTGCAATTCCAAGAGCAAGGGCGATCTTGTCCTTTCCTGCATCCTGACTGATGAAGAAGACATAAACGCTAGGTCCCAGGTTGACAATAAACACAGCAAGCAGGAAGAGAAGACGTTTCGACAGATGCTGCGCACCAGCCCATTGACGAGGAACATAGCACCATTCAGCGAGGGTAGCCCAGACATTGATGAAAGCAGCAATAGCACCACCGAGACCAACAGCAGACCAGACGGCGGCAGCTGGCGGGGACTCGTTGCCTTGCTGGGTATAATTCTTGGTGTAGAGAGTCTGGGAGTTGTAGGCAGTGTAGAACCAGAAAGCAGTAACGTGGATGATCCAGATACGATTAAAGTTGACAACCATGTGGAACCAAGAGCGAGTCTCCTTGTAGGTCTTGAAGAAACACTTCTTCCAGTTGACATCTTTAAGCTTGTTCCACCGCTCGGCTGGAGGAACATCAACGAGACGGGTCTTGTCTTCGAGAACGATACGCTCGATACCCTCTGGGTACCAGAAGAGCTGGTTGCAGTCGTCGTAGCCAATAATCTGAGCGTGGTCACGTTCGCGACGGACATACTTGCCATCGACAATCTCGTAACCCTGGTCACGGCAGTACTGGTACAGCGGAGTGATGATCTCGTTGAGGTAAGTGAATTCCGGAACGGGCTCGACACGGTTCTGGCACTCGGGGGAGCGGAGGTAGTCGTCAGCACACTTGAAGATGAAGCAGAGACACTCCGGCATGAATCTGGTCTGGTTAGCTTCACCCCAGCAGAGCAGGTACAAGGCGATTTGGCGAGCTCGGTCATGCTGAGACATGCGGTTCATCCGGGTCTTCCATCTGTACTCGGCTGCCTCGAGACTGTTGTCACCTTCTAGGGACTCGAGCGTCTCTGCCTCGTCCTTTTGCTCCTCACCGGCCTTCTTCTTGGCGGCCTTTCTGGCTTTGCGAGTACGTCTGTTGGTCTTTCCAAGTTTCATGTTGGCAAATCCAACGGCGTCATCGAGGTCGAGATGGGCAGCAAAGTACCAACGGCGGTAATTGGCATTCTCACCGCCAATGTAGTCCGCGTGGAGAGAAAGCAGAGCCTGGTTGGGCGTCATACGAGAGGCTCGAGAGTCGAGCTGCACCATGAAGTGATCGTACATGTTACGCATGCTGTCACGCTGGAAACCAAACTTGTTGACGAGGTCCAAGAAGATCTCCTCGATCTCCTCCTTGGAGAGTGGGATCTGAGCGTCAGAAGTCCATGCTGGATAGGGCTCGCGGGATCGTTGGCCCATGGGAAGAGCATCCGTTCCGTAGATGGGAGTGGCAGCTCCAGAAGATCGGTTTCCGTAGGAGATCTGAGAGGATGGAGGTCGGTATCCCCGGCCACCCATCTGGCTCTCGCTGTAGCTGTTGTACCGTTCGTCACCACGGCCGTAGTAATCACCATCACCACCACGGGCATCAGACCTCATGGTGAAGTCACTGAAGGTCTCCGAGTCCTCCTCGGAGTCATGGGGACGGCGTCTTCCACGGCCCTGGTTGTGGTCTCCAGCTCCCTGGTCGTAGTACTGGTTGTCGTAGTAGTCATCCTGGTAGTACTGCTGCTGGTTGTCATAGTAGCCATCCTGAGGATAGTGCTGATCACCACTGTAATAATCACTTGGAGCAACGCCATTTCAATTAATGACCCGACTAATTCAAACACGGGGAGGGTAACTTGAGGTTGACGGTGGGAGGGGGGAAGTGTGTGCTTACGCTCTGTCGTAGTAGCCATCACCCTGCTGGTGCTGGCCCTGGGGGTAATCATATTGGTCGTAATAGGCTCCTCCATGCTGGTCCTGGTAGTAGGAGTCGCCGTGACCCTGTCCGTGGCCGTTGTAGCCATCGTCATAATGGTCCTGCTGGACCGCCTGGGGGTGCGGGTGGCCGGACATCGTGCGATGGTCTGTCAATTCACACAATCACTGCGCCCGTCAGTCCGAGTTTCTATACTCACCCAGCCACAGACAAAGCACAAAGGAGACGAGCACTCACCTTAACACGAATCCATGCAGTTGATTTGATGCAGCGTCGAGAGAAGTTCTTTGTGGGCGTTGGATATGCAGTCGTGACGTGACAATCGTGAGGGTGCAAATGAAACAAGCCCGCTAACACCAAAAAAAATTAAAGAAACCGAAGAAACCGAGTCTAAACTAGCGATTGAGCGTGAAGAATCGTTTCTCTTGACGTCTTTCCTCTATGTCTTCGCGTCTTCTCTTTTTCTTTTCGGTGTCGTTGAAAAAAAAGCTCGAGATGCTGGCGGTTTGATGTCGTCCTTTTTTTTCTCTCAACACTTTTTTTTCCTTTCGTCGGTAGCAAGAACGAACCACCTGAGCGAGCAGTCGACACTCACTCTTCCAACCAGCAGAGAGAGGAAGAAGAAGAAGCAGAAGAAGAAAGGAAAAAAAGAGCGAAAGATCGAGTGCACACAACGAGTGACTTCGGTGCGAGACAAGAAGGAGGAGGAGGAGGAGGAGGAGGAGAGGGTGAAGAGGGAGGGTAGAGCAGAGAGTCGAGACGGGGAGAGCGAAGAAAAGGGAAAAAAAGGGCGGCAAAGGACGAGCAAGAATAAGAAAAGAAAAGAAGCAAAAAAGGTGACGATAGAGAGGAAAAGAAGGAGACTTGACGTGTCGACGATCAGCCTGCAGGAGATTTAATATTCCTCACTGGCTTCCTTTTTTTTTTTTTTTTTTTTTTTTTTTTTTTTTTTTTTTTCTTAATTTATTTATCGTCGCGATGCGCTGGCTTTGCTTCTTTTTCTGCCTTGAGATGCCTCGTCCGATGGCTTCTGCAGTTGCTCTGCGGCTTCGTCGTGCCTGAAAAGACTCGCGAAAGAGGATCGCTCTGTCGGCTTCCACAGCGTCGTCGTCAATTGACCGGATTTCACAGGAAGAAGAAGAAAAGAAGAAGGGAGAAAAAGGTAAAATTACAGGCTGGCGCTTTTTTCCCTCGATCTCATCGTGTATTTATGCTTGTTTATTGCGTTCTGACGTTACGATATCTCTGCATTACTGTAAATTACAGTCTATCTACGGCTGATATCTATGTATGGTTACTGTAATACTAGTACGCGGCTGGTGATACAGGGGCGAGGGATCCCCAGCCAACCCAGATGGCGGCCCCCTTAGCTCTCCTGGCAAGCCTTTCTGCCTCCTCTGGATGGAGATGGGTTTTCCCCTTGGCCCCACAGGCTCCTCCTGGATGATTTCCTTGGGATGGCGCAGGCCGCCGGCCGCTGGCGAGGCTGGTGCAGTCCAGTCCAGTCCAAATTCCCCTGCTAAGGGGGGGGTGGGCGGACGAGGGAAGCAGGGCCGCCGGGCGCTTCGGGAAGGCCAACCAGCACCACGTCAGGGCTTCAGTGCCCTGAGACCCTTCGAGGCTAGTCCAGTCGTACTACTCCGTACAGAAGCAAGCCCTCTTATATAGTTCGCTGGTAATAGTTCCTAAACGTGGACAAGCTGATTCACATATAAACCAGTCAACCAGTTGTACCACGCCGAACTGGCGCGCGCCCCGGTCGACTCGCCACCTGGTTCAGCCTGCATTCAATCAGGGCATTCCAACCTCCAGGCGAGGGCATATCACTGGAGATTGCGATACATCGGCCCACCGCCAGATCTTGCCTGTTGCTGCTGCTTGCTTGATTTGCTTTTTCCAGTTCCTTTTCTTTCTTTTCTTTTTTTTTTTTTCCTTCGTCACTCCTCACTTTCTTCCTTTCTGGTGTGTCTGATGCTTACACATCCTTCAAGTCGAGGGAACGGACCTGGTTGGACCATGGCCCGTAAAAATACTTTGATGCCGTAATGTACCTCTTGTTCCGTATCACCCTGGAACCCGCCCTCATGCCCGTTCGAATCATGCTGTATGGGCCCTCCACTGGTGTCTCACAATCGCAGGGATGAGGTGGGGTGTTTGACATTTCAAGGCTTGGGGGGGCGTCTCGCGCATTTCTTCTTCCTGCTCGCTGGGCTTATTTTTCCTCATCGGCTTGCCACTGTGGTTCGCGGTCTCCATCGCGTCTCCAGCCTGTGGCGGTGCCTGCAGTAGTCGTTTAGAGCCGTCATCTTCGAGTGTGCCTCTTCACAAGCATAAATATAAACGGGATCCGCGAGCGTCCGGCCATCAGTTTTGATAGCATAAAAGAGTCTCACTCAGACTTGGTATCTCGAAGCCTCGACTTCTTGATGTCTCGACCATCCGTGACGATGTCTCTCTTCAGCTTCTCGTAGTCCAGTCTAGTCTCTCGTCTCTCGTCTCTCGTAATCCAATCGTAGTCAACCCCAGGACATAATACCGTGGCCAGCTACCTGCCAGACCAGAACCGTCAGCCGAAGAAGCGCAGGGAGCGCACCCTGTAGACCAAGCACTCCCAAGAAGAGCTACTTTACCGCCCATCCTGACGGCCACCCCCCTTGTCTGCCCGTCTATCTCTATCTAACCGCCCGTGTCTTCGTCCGTCTGGCTCGCCTGTCGCTGCTTTGTTTGGCTGCGTGTTTCATGCGTGCTGACTACGCAAGCCCCTTTTCCCTGTCCTGTCCACGCAAGCTGCAGCCAAAAAAAAGGTTAACGTGACTTTCTCCGGGTTTCTCCAGAAAGGAAAAACAACATCTTCAAATTCTTTCTTCACTCTCGCTCTTCTCTCCCTCCTCTTCATCCATCTTCTTCACACTCGTTCGAGTCCATTCTCCGGGGCGACTACTTTCTCTTTCGTAACCGCTCTCGTTTATCCTCTTCTTCTTTTTTTTATTTCCCCATCTCCTTTACGCTACGGCTCCTACCCTCGCTTTTTCCTGCACCTTTTCGTATCTACAACACGCGAGAGATTAAGACATTGTTACCATGAAGTTTTCCTCATTGGCGGCCGCTACGGCCTTGGTCGCCGGCTCCGTTGTCGCTGCGGACCTCGATCCTATTGTCATCAAGGTTGGTGTCCGTTCTGCGTTGATACCTGGCTGGCCCAAGGGGGTTTGATATGGGGAAACAGTAGAAGGACTGAGGACTGACAGTCGATATCGGAGCTATAGGGAAGCAAGTTCTTCTACAAGTCAAATGGCACTGAGTTGTACGTTGCATCCATGTCCCGTCATATGTCGTACCTCTTTGACACAGTTGCGCTAATTCAACGCTTATAGCTTCATGAAGGGTATCGCCTATCAACGTAAGTGGACGACTTGATCCCATAAGCTTCCCATCAAGTTTGGCACCTAAGTGGCATACAACTTACACTCGGATAGAGGAATTCTCAACCAATGGCACCAGTAGCGATAAAAATAACTACCAGGACCCCCTTGCAGACGTAGAGTCCTGCCGGCGTGATATCCCCCTGATGCAGCAGCTGCAAACCAACACCATCCGTGTGTACGCCATCGATCCCAAGAAGGACCACAAGCAGTGCATGAAGTTACTCCAGGATGCCGGCATCTACGTTGTGGCCGACCTTTCTGAACCCAGCACTTCCATCATCCGTGATGACCCCAAGTGGGATGATGTCCTGTACACCCGCTACACCTCCGTCGTTGACGAGCTGGCCCAGTACTCTAACGTCATTGGTTTCTTTGCTGGTAACGAGGTCTCCAACAATAGCACCAACACCGATGCCAGTGCTTTCGTTAAGGCTGCCGTCCGTGATATGAAGGCCTACATCAAGCAGAAGAACTACCGATCAATGGGTGTTGGCTATGCAACCAACGACGACGCCGAGATCCGCAAAGACATGACCGCCTACTTCAACTGCAATAAGCAAGAGGAATCCATTGACTTCTGGGGCTACAACATCTACTCTTGGTGCGGTGACTCCTCTTACACTGAATCGGGCTATGATAAGGTCGTCGAAGAGTTCAAGACCTTCAATGTCCCAGTCTTCTTCGCCGAATACGGTTGCAACGAGGTCCAGCCAAGAAAGTTCACCGAGGTCCAGGCCCTTTACGGTGACAAGATGACTCCTGTTGTTAGTGGAGGAATCGTATATATGTACTTCCAGGAAGAAAATGACTACGGTAGGTTCCCTCTGTCAATACCATTATATCCTTCAGATCTACCGCTAACTTACTACAGGCCTCGTCAAGATTGAGGGTGGTAAGCCCAAGAAACTCCCTGACTTCAACAGCCTTCAGAAGCAGATCAGCAAGATCAAGCCCTCTGGTGTCCAGATGGATTCTTACAAGCCAACCAACACCGCTCTCAGCACCTGCCCCAAGAGCTCTACCTGGAAGGCTAGCGTGAAACTCCCACCAACCCCCAACAAGGACCTCTGCTCCTGCATGGTCAAGAGCTTGAGCTGCGTCGCTAAACCCTCCGTCACCGGCAAGGAACTCGGCAAGCTCTTCGGAACTGTCTGTGGTAGCGATAAGGATGCTTGCAAGGGAATCACAGCTGATGCTACCTCTGGTACCTATGGTGCTTACAGCATGTGCAGCCCCTCAGAGAAGCTCTCCTTCGCTTTCAACCAGTACTACCAGCACCAGTCAGCCAAGGGCAATGGAGCCAACGCCTGTGACTTCGGCGGAGCCGCTACCGCCCAGAAATCTGAGAAGCCATCTGGCAGCTGTGCTAATCTCGTCGACCAGGCTGGCCAGGATGGTACCGGCAGTGTTACCTCTGCTCCCGGAAGCGGCGGCAACAAACCTGACCAAGGTGCTGCTTCCACCATTTCTGCCCCATCTGTCAACCTGGGCATTGTCAAGCTCGGCGCTTATATCTTCTGTGCCGTTCTTGCTGGCGCTGGTATGATCTTGATTTAAACATCCGCGGTGTAACCAAACAAAATCCCCCTGAGTTCTTGTTCTCCATGATAGATCCCAGTAATACATGAACTATACCATTTATCAATAACCCATCGACACACTGAGCTGCTTCCTCTACCCCAACTTGCTTGCCTTCTTTGATTCCCTCATTGCTTCTTCTTTCTAATGGTCATGTCGATACTGGATCGGCCGATCCTCCTTTTGCTTTTTTTTTTCTCCCGCTACACCATCTGTACCTACCGTAGCATGCACTTGACTTGATTCCCTCTTCCTTTCCTTATGAGTTTGTAATAGTGATGAAAACTGAATCCTTCTGCCCCTCTACATCTTCACTTATGGGAGTAGCCCGGTAAATTGGCATCAATCGATTTCTTTCCTTGATTTTCCCTCTAAAATAAAGTCTGTAAAGTGTGTAAATGTTCGGAAGGTAGCTGTGTTTGTCACTTCTCTGGTGGTTGAAAGAAGCTTTTATGCATATTTTTAGACGGTTGCCCCGCCAACGACGAAGCATCAGCCGCATCTCTAAAATCTACGATGAATATCCAGTCAGGGAATCCAAGGAGACATCGGCATATTCCTCACTCATACTCGATGATACTCACTTACTGGACTTCTTTGGCATAGTTTTCTCGAAATACCCCCTCATTCCAGCTATTCAGAATGGCGAGACTTTATACAAAACCAAAGGAAACCGATCAAGTGGCGAAAGGAAGCACCAAGCGTGGAGGAAGGAAAACTGTAGAGAATGAAGTAGTGGCCAGACCTCAATCTACAGCCAGGGACGATGAGACGCAGGAGAAGATATCCTCTGAAAGCGCAAGAGAAGTGGAACAGAATGAGAGCAAAGATGGCCCTGAACGAACTGTTAGGTCTAGGAGGCAGATCGATGCCCAGGAAAAGCTGATATCCCAGTTATCTGATTTATCCTTGACCTCAAAGAAGAAGGAAAAGATTTATCGAGAGAGAAATGAGGAGGAGGAAGTGGTTGAGAGGTTCACCAAGTTGGAACTTCAGGGGGCAGATGAAGATGACGAGGAAGACGTGGTAGAGAAAAGGATACCTGACGAGGAAGATCAAACGGACCTGAGAAGAAGAACTCGCCGTACATCCAAGAAGAATTCTAGTTACAGTGATGAAGATGAAGAGGAAAATGAAGAGGATAGTACCACAGGACGTGATGAAGGGGATGATACTGATGATTTCGATTCATTGGATGACTTTATTGTTTCTGATAATGAATCATTGAGCCTGTATGAGGACTCGGAATATGAAGATGAAAAGGATAGTGATGAAGAGGGGGGGGAGAAAGAAAATAGCAAATCTCACCCTTCCCCTGACCATCCGCTAGATTCTGATGCTGAAGCGCAGTCTGAGCCACAGCATCGGCCACGCAGAAGACTGTTTAGGGGTAGAAGAAAGCAGCGCTGCTCAACTTCCTCTGATATATCAGATAATGAAACTTGTGAGGGTGCTGACAGACATAACAATACCCCGGGTTCTAACACAGAGCCATTGTTATCCAACAACATGATGAACAACACATCTTATCCTGGTAATCAGGAAGAAGATGAGCAGGATACAGCCATCACAGCTGATACTCTGCTGGATTCCAGGCCATTTCTCCCACCTCCAGCATCTCCTAAGTTATCAAAAGAGCCTAAAAATCAAAACAAAGTGTCTGTGGGCTCGACTACCACAAAGAACACAAATAGCCGAGCCATAGATAGCTCTCAAGGGTACGGAATATTCCTTTCCAATTGACTTTATCTGTATTTCGATATCAATTCTTGTCAAAAAATATGTCTGCTAACCTGAAAATAGGACGCCCCCTTCTTCTGCTGAGTCTCCCGAGCAAGACAGCTCGAATATGGACTTCGTTACTCCTCCAACCTCCCCTACAAAGCCCCGGCTTAAATCTCCCTCAAAGTCACAGAAGAATCGCATTCCTCCATCCCCTCACAAATCCAATATCGATATGTTTTGGGACCAAGAAGCTGTCAATGAGTGGAATGACAAGTTCTCTCCTCGAAAGATCAAAGCTCCTAATTTCTACAAACGGCATTTTGATATCTTCTCTGACACAGAGGGTGAGGATGATGACGATAAACAGACATTTGGTAGTCGGGACAACGACTGTGTGATTACAGATGTGTCGATTCCAGGGCACCTGGGCACTCCTGAGCCTGATGCAATCGGTGACAAGTTGCCTCTACATACCTCCCCGATCAAAAACAATGCTAGCCCGGGTAAAAAGCAAGCCAAGGCATCAGCATCGACGAAGAAGGCATTGGCTACCAAAAAGCGGGAATTTGATGAACGAAAGCATACTCTTGCTACGAACTTCTTTAACGACTTGGATACTATGGTGACTGGGGGCGAGATTTTGAAACTCGCTAAATCTGCTGGTGGAGTAAACATTGTTTGGAATAACAAATTGACTACCACGGCTGGTAGAGCAACTTGGAAAAAAGAGTTGATCACACGCAACAGAGATTCAACAGAGCAGTTTCTTATCGACTCTTCTTCAGCGAACCTCTGTTCTCCGAATACTTCCTCTTCACATGCATCTTCCTCGGCATCATCTTCAACTACCAGCTCATTACCTACGGACGAACCTTTGATATCGTCAAGCAAATCTTCTGTCCACCGTTCAATAAGACACAATGCCACAATTGAGCTGGCCGAGAAGATAATTGACTGTGAGGGCCGGCTGCTTAACACATTAGCGCACGAATATTGTCACCTAGCCAACTTTATGGTATCAGGTGTTCTCGACCAGCCTCACGGCGCAAGTTTCAAACAATGGGCTAAAAAGTGCAAGACAGCTCTCGATGCTCATCCAGAGTACTCTGGCAAGGTCGAAATTAGCACGAAACATTCATATCTAATCAATTACAAATACATGTGGTGCTGCACGGCTTGTGGGCAGGAATATGGTCGACACTCAAGGAGCATTGATCCGGTAAAGGTTCGGTGTGGAAAGTGTTATGATGGGAAGCTATTGCAAGTTAAGCCAAAACCAAGGGGGAAAGCAAAAGTGTAAGAGGCATGATAATGAGTCTGGACAAGGTTTGAATGATCTCATGATGTACGATGCTTCTATGGGCGATTATACCAGGTGTTCAATTTTCCGGCTTTGTTTTGTTAGATTTCTCTAGTTGGCGACAACTCTTTGCAAGGTCTTAGGGTTTTATCATCACTTGCTGACGAATTCAATTCATCATCCATTCTCGTACGATTGCAATTTTGCTGAGTATCAAGAGCTTGTATTAAATATCTAGACCGGATTGATTATAAACGACATTGATTTTTCCTTTAATATACATAGTTTTGTTACTTTTTGTCCTCGGGGATAAGGCACTTTCCCCACTTCCATCCCTTCGTACGCTCATTGCGCCTATTCCTGAAGTGCATGCGATTATTGATCTGACGACTAACCTCCGAAGAGGCTATAGTCAATAATTCCCAGGGACCGCATCATATTGGCCATGATGTCATGCGCACGCATTTCCTCCTGGGCAACCGCGCCGGGAACTCCAGACTCCTCAAGCATATCGTGAGGGACATTGATATAAACAAGAATGTCAGTTCCATACTGAGCGAGCCGTACAAGGAAGAAATGGCAGGTTGAAGTTGATTCGTGTTCGGTTATTGGTGTAGTAATGGTCGTACCGGTGGTACCAGCGGTACCAGTTGATGTTGACGTTGATGTCGATGTTGCTTGCTGCGTAGAGTCCGAGAGCATGTTAAGCAAACGCTGAGTATCGGATATTTTCCCCTTGGCGGTCACCAGTGCCTGGCAAGTATATGCTGGAGAGGGTATGAGCTGAACTGGATACGGCTTTGGCAGATCGAGAATCTCGTAGGTGTCCCCATTGGAAGTGCACATGTCATGCAGATGATACAGGACAGCACTGAGCTCCTCTTTGTTGGTATCTGAGGATGTTTCCAGCTGAGCCGCTACCTCTTCTGGCAGGGTATATGAGCCCGGCTCCAGTCGTTCGACCAGTTCGATGATAATGTTTGTCTTTGTGGAGGTTGACCGGAAGACCTCCTGGTTATCAGGGATTGGATAAATAGACCTTTTTATGATTGAATCCGTCGGGTTTTCTTAGCAGGATGTCTCTCTTGAGTATGATTTATGTTTCGACGCCGTCCTCGCTCAAATTTGGGCTTATCATTCAAATGTCCACTTGGAGTGCTGGTCGGGAGCCCAGCAGGCAGCAAGCCCCGCCGCGGGGTGTTGCAGGCGCGAAGAAGCAACAACGGTGGCCACATAATATATAGAAATCAGGGCAGCATGGGAAAGGGGGAGAGGGAGAGAAGTAAAAGCAGGGTAAAAATGAATTATATCTTACCCCATATTTGCGAATCCCTTCGGTATCAGGACCTTCATCGCGCCACCATAGAGCTCGACCAGCTCATATCCTGTGTCAACATCGGCAGTAGTCTCCGCCATCCTGCAGCCCCTCTGGAGAAAAAATCAGCTAGTTTGTGTAAGAGGAGAAGCAAAGGGGATTCTTTCTGTTTGAAATATCTAGGAGCAGGAGTTTTTGAAGAGGCAGAGGTACAAGCTTGCAGAAGCCCTTAATATATGTAAAAGAATATTTTGAGTTTTATAATGGCAAAGGGGGTGTTATAACGAGCTAACTACCTATTTGTCAGACAAGAAAGACTGAGAGTACTTCAGGCCCGAGGCCCAGGCATCAGGCTCCAGCTCTTCGTCCCGATCTTCACCCGTACGGATAGATAGTGGAGTCGAGAGCGGTCGCGGAGCAAAGGGATACACGGAATAACGCAGTTATTGCTCAAGGCAGAAGCGCAACAGGCATTCTTCAGACCAGTAGAATTGCATGGCGGTATATAAAACACGGCTTGTCCCAGGATTCTCAAGGGTCTGGAGCCGGTCTACCACTGTCAATGGCCAACAGGATGGGAAAGGTAGCTGGGCATTGGTTGAGCCCCTAGATCTCTGTCATCTAGGCAGCAGGCAGAGGCACAGGCAGCAGCCGTGGCACTAGGCAGCCGCCGGGTACTGATTCAGGACCATTCTCTTGCATAGCCTGGGTTCGAGGGCTTTGTGATAGGAAGACCATCAGGAGCGATCTTTGGTAGATCTTGTTTGCTGATGTATTTCTCTAATTTAATTTCCAGGCAGAGAGGCAAGGAAGACGCATGAGATATTTAATGCGTGCATAATGTACTATGCGGGTGAGGTCTCGACAGGGGCCTAAATGGATGCGGAGCGCAGGTAGCGGGGATGCGAGAGAGATTTAGTTACAGGAGTACTTGTAGATGTGTATTGCTTTATAATATTTATAATATTTAATATCAACTAACCCATGTCTACATTGCAAACGTAGATGTTGTACATAGCTGAGTACTGTAAAAACATGATTTGGTGGTGCTGTGGCTTGAAAATCGTCTACACGCGGAGAAATACCCTATTAAGAATATATCAAGCGGTAACTGGCTTCGTCCCGAATCATTCCCCGTCAATAAAAGGACCCTTACTTCAAAGGGAAATTCCGAAAGCCTTCTTTCAGCAACGTGGTCCGACAACCACGGCTAAACCCGTAATGAAACGGACCGACCTCCTGTTTTACCAGGAACACCGGTTTGCTCATGTAGCAGGGATCAAAACGTGTTTGAGGACCAGGAGTCAAGAAGAGACATGAAGGGAAATCATAGATTCAACAGATATTCAGCATATATGTCAAGCTCGAAAATCCGAAATCTAGAGCCCCATTTGTCGCGAAATGATTTCCGAGTGTAAGCACGGCTGGTGATGGAGCTGAAACTAACCAGTTCGACATACCAACCCTTGCTCAACGCGCGGTCAACCATCTTCAAGAAACCGTCTGAATACTCAGCCTGGGCAGCGTCGCCGGTCGCCAGGACAATTGTTGAGGGAGTATCGGTGTCAACGATGCTCTCCAGTATCTTCAAATGTAGAATCTCATCTACGGCTTGCTCCACCCATCTTTCGGGGGAGGCTTGGGCATTCGTCTCGGAGCTGCTGGACTGATCATAGAGTGCGCGGCGCGAGGCCTTATCTCCACCACCGCCGGAGAGTTTCGTCTTCCGGGGCGACGAGGGCTTCGCCTTGTGTACTCGTTCGAGAATGTTCGCCTCGTAACCAAGCGTTTCTGCTTCGTCAATGGCGGGATACCGATCAGAGCCAACGAGAACTCGCTTGCTGACTGGCCGAGCTCGTTCGAGAACGAGGGCAAAGTTCTGGAATGATAAGGGCAATCGACGAACTCGACTAGTCAGAGGTATGTCCCTTGACTTCTTGATGCAGTCGTGGAAGCCAACCATGATCTGTAAGAGTAGTTAGAATAAGCTTAAGCTTTGTCGCTATCGAGAGTCAAGGCACAGCAACTTACGTTAGACATATCAACAAATACGTGAATACCTGCTGGTGCCGTCTTTAGAGGGCGACAGAGGCATTCACGTAAGTTCCCGTGGTTCAGGTTATTCCTGACTTTGGCATGTTTCTCTCCGAGCAATGAGACAAGAGCCTGTTGTCTTTGTATAGTAGAGCCAGTCAGGAGCGGCTCAATATGGATAATAGATCCAACTATCCTCTTGCCTTTAGGTGCTAAAGGAGCAGCCTCGGCCACAACGACAGCACCAGTAGTGGTAGCAGGAGGTCTGCGAAGTATGGATTTAGGCGAGACCAGGACGGTCCCACTGGTGGGTGCAGGCAGTACCGATAACCCCGCGGAATTGATGCGCTTGGGAACATCTCTCTTGAGAATCACTTTCTTAGTGGGAGACCTGCTCCCGTCAAGCTGATGCTTTAGCACTGCAGCTGCCTCTAGCGCATCCTTTTTGCCACTGCTAGCATGGGTGGCCGAGTTGTCAGACACAGTACCAAGCTTCGGTGGCGTGGTTTGGGAGAGGAAGGTAAACAGGGCGCCAAAATCTCCAAGCTTAGGTTGTGCACCTTTCTCACTCTCGGCATCCCCTAGAGCATTTGAGGCGAACGTGGCATGGTTGATAGGGCCATTTGCAGTTTGCTTTGGACTCGCGGGGCGTTCATGTTGACAGCCTTCGAGGCTAAACGAATGTAACAGGCTGATTGCCGGGGTCAGATCCCAGGAAGGTGGTGATGTGTCAGGGACAGACATTAACAGCCAGAACTATAGAGAGGTACACGGCCCGTCGTGGGGGAAGGAGGCAAAAATCGAAGGATAGCACACTTGTTATCCGTATGGAGTTGCGGCAAAAAGACGGCAAATATTGGTGTGGGGTGTGGTAACAGCAATGCGGCAGGGTGTGGCAGGACAAACAGGAACAAGGGTTAGAAAAAAAGAACTTCGCTCGAATAACGGAGCAAGAGAGGAGGCGTAAGCATCATAAGCGGGACTGGGTAGCGGCCATTTCGTGGTTGCGCTCGGCGGTTGTTGCTTTGTTGGTGACTCGAACGATAGATGATGTTGTGATGAAGTTGATGGAAGCGCGAAGACGCTTGCAGAGGCTGCTCCGGGTGGAGCACCACGGATCGTTTATGGGCCTCGGCACCCGGACGCCGGAGAAACTATGATGCAAGTAGATGACTAACACGGTTTTTACCAGATTACGTTATACAGGACACTGGCATATGATGTAATTATGAACTCTATTTTCTACTGCATCATCATGTACGCTACAGTGTTATGCATGGATGGGAGAGATGAAAGCTCTCCACAGCGGACCTAGCGCTGAGTTTGCCAGTGTGCTTGCTCGTCATACCCCTTGAAACGACAGGCGCTGGGGAGGGCAGCGTTCCCAGTATCGAGATACGGATGACGACGTCATCCCAAGGTTCTTAACTCAATCTGGCCCTGAGGGGATGGCTATATAAAGGCCGACGATGTCCCTGAAATGGGCTACTTTTGTTTCCCATCATCATCACACAACAAGACGGACAATCCAATCAATTCCAATCTCAATACTCTTTTCAAATCCCCCGAAGAACACTTCTTCTATAACAATCATTCACAATGGCTGACGCTGGACGCAAAGATTTCCTTACCAGTATGCGCTTTTTCCCCTTCCCCCCCTTTTTACACCCCTCTTTGATACTCTAAAAAAGTATTCCCTCAATTCTAACTTGCTTGAACAGAGGCCAAGGAGGAGTTGACTCCTGACAGCACCAAGTCCCAGCAGGATAAGATTGGCGAGGCCTTCACTGACACCAAGGACCGCGTTGCTCGGTATGACCTATGATTCCCGCATTCCATCCTACCTTTCTCAGCGATATATTGAACTGACATATTTCACAGTGGCATCCAGCCTGATGACCAGAAGGGTACTGCCCAGCAAATCTTCGACAAGGGCCAGCGTGCCAGCGACAACCAGAGTGGCGGAGCTGCCCAAGCCATGTAAGTAGTGAATTGCTTCCCCTGCTCGATTAAAACCTCCCGGGCATTGCTAATAGCTATTTTTATAGTGGCGACAAGGTCAAGAGCGCCCTTGGAATGGACACCAAGCCCGAGTAAAGTGGAGGGCCAACAACTATCGCGCATGAGTTCCCGGGCTTGTTCTTATTGGCATAGTGATATGAAGGCTGAACACATATAGCTTCCATTCTCTATATATATTTAAATACCACCAATTAGTTCATGATGAATATACTTTAATGCACTTATGATATTTTCTGTTCAACTATCACTCACCGTTTTTACTAATAATACATTCTGATCTGACTTCCTAAAAGCGTAAAAACGTTCCTAGAAGAGGGGTTCAATTCCGTTCAACGTTGAGCCCGGAGTTGTGGTGAGCCAACAGCTGGCCTCCAAAGAAAGCTCGAAAAACTGGGAACAACCCCTGGGATAACATCTCGCGGGCCACGGGTCTCATGATTCTGGGTCATCGAGAGGTTCAGAGAGTGGGGAGCGGTGACGAAAAACTTCACATGCTGTGCATCACATATCCAGGAAGCTCATGAGATTTAGTTCAGAGTTTAGTTGAGATCTCAAGCAGCCGCATTTTCATCCGTCCTGATATGGTATGGTATCTTGCTAGTCTGTCAATGCTCTCAGCAAGACATTGGATAAGGGGTATCAATTTCGCCCCTTTGATTGAAATAACAGCATGGCTGTTGCAATACTGAGGCCATTATCCTTTTCCAGGACTCTTGTAAAGTATGCTCTGTAGCGTTGAGTAATCTATTCGTCGGACCACCTTTTCCCGAACTCTTTTTGTGGTACGTCGTATATGCTAAAGTTAGAAATCCTGCTCGCTGCCTTGGAAGGATCCCGGCTACATTGTTAACCTAAAAATAACATTATATATGCCCTCTTGGTGCCAGGATGTGCCAACCCGGGTTGGTCGGTGCTGGTTGTTGGATGTTGCTCTCTGGCAAAAAGCAAATATGGGAGCGCTTTTGAAAAGTCTTCCGCCTGCGCCTTCCGAGGGACATGATTATGTAATACGAAATTAACCGCGGAAAAATGAAGGGCCGTGCACGCTTCGAGTATGGAACGCCCGGACCACCCACCCGCTGCCCGCCAGGCCAACCAGAGAATAACACCCGAGATGCGAGTTGGTTGAGATATAGATAAGCTGGCTACCAGGATGGCTGCTCTTCGTTCGGGCGGAGCCGGCTCATCTCCAAATGGGATGTCCTCGCCACCTCCTGCCGGTGCGAATGTAGCTCCGCGACAGGCGGCACTGGCCAATCGACTCAACTCCGCTCTAGCTGCATCCTATGCGGACTCGGAATTCAGAGATGCGCTGGAGACATTGGACAGTAGGGGGATCCAAAATACCGCGGAGACCAGGAGAACCCTTCGACTTGACGTCCAGAAGGAAGTTATTGATTCCAATGGCAAGATAATACAGGATTTCGGCAGGGTTGCTGAGGTGGGTGCCTTTTTTATGACTTGGGGTGAGAAGCTAGACTAACGGAATGTCTTTGTACGTAGCAACTCTCTCGAATCGGCGATGTAATAGCCAACCTCAATACGATATGTCAGGATATGCGGGAGCGGTTGTCAGTGGCTCACAAGGAGACTGGACCGGTGCTTGAAGAAGCGTCTACCTTAACGGCTAAGAAAGAAGAAGCGGAGACGAAACAGGCCCTACTTAATGCCTTCAACAAACACTTCATCCTTCCCGAGGAAGACGTGCAAGTTTTGACCTCCCTGTCAGAGCCCGTGGATGACAGATTTTTCAGCATCCTCGGCCGGACAAAGCAAATACACAAGGATTGCGAGGTGCTGCTGGGCAGTGAAAACCAAAAGCTAGGGCTGGAGATTATGGAGCAAAGCTCCAAGAACCTCAACTCTGCGTTCCTCAAGCTATATAAATGGATTCAGAAGGAGTTCAAATCACTGAACCTGGAAGACCCACAGATTGGAGGAACGATCAGAAAAGGAATCAGAGTCCTTGCTGAGAGACCGAGTCTGTTCCATAGCTGTCTCGACTTCTTCGCCGAGGCTCGAGAATATATTCTGTCCGATGCATTCCATCACGCTCTTACAATAGCTCTGTCCGGCGAGGGGGCAGATGCAAATACCAAGCCAATTGAGTTTTCTGCGCACGATCCACTCCGGTACGTGAGCGATATGCTTGCGTGGGTGCATTCCGCTACTGTCTCTGAGCGAGAAGCACTGGAGGCACTCTTTGTTTCGGACGCAGATGACCTCGCCAAGGGGATGGAGGCAGGTATCAAGAGTGAGCCGTGGTCTCGCGGGGAAGAGGGCGAACCCGTATTTGATGGCCAGAAGGCGCTACGGGAGCTAATCACCCGAGACCTAAGCGGCGTTGCTCGTTCGCTGCAGCAAAGAGTTGAACTAGTTGTTCAGGGCCACGATGATATAGTTACTATATACAAGGTGGCTAATCTACTTGCGTTCTATGAAACGACATTCAGCAAGCTTGTAGGGGCCGATTCGGCGCTAGTTGATACGCTTTCGTCGCTGGAGCGCTTCGCAATGGAGCACTTTGAAAGCCTGGTTCGGGATCGGGTGAAGGCTGCTTCGAATGATTCCGCTGGCTTACTACCGCCAGACGACCTGAGCCCACCGGAGTACTTTACTGAATGCATCGAGAGTCTCGAACAGTTGATGAAAGCGTACGACTCGTCCTTCAGCCATGCGGTTCTTAACAAGTCGTTTGGTGAAGGGGAGGAAGGAAACGAGTTCACGCCTATCCTTCGCTCAACGCTTGATCCGATGCTGGACCTAACTAGGAAATCCACCAATCTACTCAAGGACAGCTTTTCTCGAACAATATTTGAGACTAACTGTATTCTTGCTGCGCGTACAGCGGTGTCGGCGTATGAATTTGCATCCTCGACTCATCTGGGCAGCTTATCAAATACCCTCGCCAATCTACGGGCCGAGCTGCATAAGTTCCAGCACGATTTCTTACTGGAGAAGTCAGGATTGGATACCCTACTTCGTGCTCTTGAGGGATATAACGCCCGTAGCGAGTCGGACAACAACAGCAGCAAGAACAAACTAGAAACCGTTGCCAAATTGCCTGAGTTCCAGCCGGCTGCATTATCGGCTGTGAGCCAGCAGCTAGATGACTTCCTACCTGCAGCGCTAGTTGATGCAACTGACAACCTCAAACGGGTGAACAGTGCTGGACTGGTGAAAGGGGTAACGGAGGAGGCAGTGGAGGCGTTTGCGAGCGACTTTGAGTTTATCGAGGGGATGATTGTTGGTGCTGATGAGGCGAAGGCAAGCGTTGGAGATACAGATAAAGATGCTGGTGAAGAAAGGGATGAAGAGGAGGAACAGGAGTGGAGTTTGAGAGCACTGTTCCCGCGTACAACGGGAGAGATTAGAGTCCTTTTGAGTTAAGATAGATGGGAAGTAAATAGAGTTCTATATTACATTACCAACGAAAGCGAAAATGAGATCACGCCTCCCTCCCGTTCTGCCAGCAGACTACCTGGTATGGGTCTCTATCTGACTGACTAACATCAATACATACACTGTCATCGGCAAAGATCTGCTTCAACACTTGTACTTCTGATTCATCGCTGTCACTCCTCCCCAAATCATTGTTGGTACGTGCTTCCCTCCATTCCCGGGCCAAACGTTCATGCAAGTTCGAACGCATGTGCCCCTGTAAAAACCCCCGTTCGGAATTTGAGTGGGAGAGAGTGATCACCACCGAACCAGCTTCTATCGCAGCCAGAGCTTCATGATGACTTAACTCGCCGGTGAGCAGCAAGTCAGCCACTGGAGTTCCGTTTTTCATGAGTATCGACGACCCCGAGCCCGGACAAGCTGCAACTGAAGAAATAATGATATCTGACACTGAAGATCCCTGGGGTATAGCTATAGAGAACCCCACGGTATGTTCTGTGTCGGTGCCAATAACATTAGACTGAGGAAAAGCAGACTTTGCAATAGAGTCTATTATGTCGTTCAAGGGTAGAGGCTGTTCGAAAGTGATTTTCCTTCCCATGCCGGCATCTTGGAATTCCGGGTCTGCTGGGGGGTCGGGAGAAGGATACATCGTCTCGGTTGAGGGACGGGGTTGGACGGAAGATGGCACAGCACACTGACACAGCCAGTCTGCCATTGCACCTGGGGTGGCATCGACGGCTGTATGCGGCGAGTAAACGCTTATCCCTTCCTGGGCGAGTCTAAGGAGCGATTGTTGTTGTGAGTTGGCGAGGGTAAGGCACTTGAGTCCTCGGAATATGATTGGGTCTTTTTCGGCACACATTAGTTAATTGGACCATGACGTTTCGGTCAATGGGTTAAACATACGGTATGCAATGATGATGGAGTCACCTCTGGCGATGGCTTCATCGGCCACGGCCTTTGTGAGGTCGACGGCCAGGAGGACGGAGTTTTTGAGCCGGCGGTGTTTGTTCAGCGGTGCTTCGAGGAGTACTTCGAGAGCTGGTGTTAGCAAGTGGGCATAATAAGTAGGAGTCAGAGAACTAACAGCCAGTGTTATCGAAGCTCTTATCAGCAAGAGATTCCGGGTACCTATAGCAGGCCAAGGTTAGCTAGATCTCGTCGTAACCAGTGAAAGTGTTCCTTACAACTTCTGCATGCACCTGACGACGGCCTTGGAGAAGGGGGAGCAAACGGTAGCCATCCTGGACGCGTTTCTGAGAGACGTAGCAAGCATTGGCTGTGAAACTGAGTAAATTGGGGCGAATGAACGATGACTAGCAGCGACGACGATGGATGTTGATGAGACCTTCATGGAGTCCGAGTCCGCAGTAAAACAACACAAACTACTTAAGGTGGGGCGGCAAAAGTTCCCCACATCGCGGCTAACCTAAGCGGCGGCTAGATGCAAGCGCACTCCCATCCATTACTAATGCGCAGCGTCACTTTTTTTTCTCTCTCTTTCATCCGCATTTACCTTGATCGCATCTCACTTACTTACTCCTCTCTTCCGCCATCCTCTCTCTTTCTTCTCTTTCTTCTTCTTCTTCTTCCTCCTTATTTCTTCCTTCTCTTCTTCACCACTTATGTCCTCCCGCCTCGCCTCCCGCATACTTCCAGCCTTCCGCCGGCCAACCGTCATCACAACCCCGAGAAGAACCACTCCAGCCCTCTTCGGCCCAGCTTATTCATACTCTACCATGGCCCAACCGGCGCCTAACGAGCCGCAGTCTTCACCGGCCGTAACGCCCGACTCCATCAAGTCCATTCTTACAAACAAGCTTGACGCACAGCATGTAGAAGTCGAGGATCTATCAGGTAATTCTTCCCCAACCCTCAGCTTATATAAAATATGTGCATCGCATGGCTAATGGGTGGTGTGTGTATGTGCAGGCGGTTGCGGCCAAGCGTTCCAGGCGATAATAGTATCCCCGCAGTTCGAGAGCAAGACGACGCTCGCGCGGCACCGTCTGGTCAACTCTGCGCTCAAGGCGGAGATAGCAGCCATCCACGCCTGGACGCCCAAATGCTATACGCCCGAGCAATGGGAGAAGACGAAGCAGTAGCGCGAGTATTCACGATGATTAGAGGTGGGGGAAGCACGTTGCATGCTGGAACATGTCACGATAAAGTAAAGAATAACTATCATACATGAGAATGAGAAGGTTCTTATCTACTGTTTAGTTTATCCATCTATCCCAGCACCTTTTCAGCCCGGGAGACTATAAAGCAAGCAAATCAGTCAGTATGCATGCATGCATGCATGTGGGTGGGAATGTAGGAGAGATGACTTACCATCAACGCTGGTGTTGTCAGGCTCGACAAAGGCCTTGACTACTTTGCCGTCCTCGACGACCAGGGCGTACCTCTTGCTCCTGTCGTTGCCGAAGACCTTGGCCGAGCTGAAGAGCAGGTCCATCTGCCTGTTGAACTCGCCTGAGGCGTCGGCGAGGAAGCGAACGCCGCTCTTCTTGTGCGGGTCAAGCGATTCACCCCACGCCTTGGTTCTAGGGAAGGTCAGCAACCAATGTATAGACTTAAGTAGCTAGGGGCGTAAGGACTCACACGAAAGCGTCGTTGACCGAGACGACGAAGACCTTGCCTGCGTCTTTGAGCTTGGGGTGGTTGAGGAAGCCTGGTACATGCGAGAGAGAGCATCCTGGTGCTGCAGGAGATCGTTAGTCAGTATACAGACAAGTAGAGAGTAAATAGAGAGTAAAAATAGAGAATAGATTACTGAAGGCGCCGGGAGTGCCGACGATGACGCCCTTGCCCGAGGCCAGCTCGGCGGCGAGGTTGACCTTGTTTCCAGGCGAGTTCTCAGTCAGGACGTCGAGGTTGGGGATGCTGTCGCCCTGGCTGACGGCGAGCGGGCGGGAGGAGTGAAATGCGCGGGAGACAGAGACAGAGACAGAGAGAGAGGCCGAAGCCGAAGCCCGGGAGAAGGGGAGTCTGAACATGGCTATGGCTATGGCTACAGGGCTACCTGCGTGGTGTCTTGGGATGAATTGAGGTTGCTGCTGATGCCAATTGATGTGGACCGACGTTGCTGTCGATGTTATGTTGTTATGTTGATGTTTCATGCTGGTTGTAGTTGAAGTTGACAAAAGAGACGAACGAGGCTGGGCCGGTGGAGGCATCGCCAAGCAGTCGGACAGACAGGGACAAGGGACAAGGCATAGTAGCAGAGGATGAAGTTGGAAGTCGAGATGAGATGCGCTCTGGCTGCGATTGTTACTGTTACTTGTTACTCTGTTGCTGCTTAACTGGTCTTTCACTTGTAGAGCTCTGCTTGCGAATAAATAAATATAACTATATCAACTGCTGGCCTGGTTGTCTAGACTAAGTAAGTATGTGTCTGTGGGGTAGTTATCTATCGTCACCAAGGAACAGGAACACTGCGGGATAATAAAGGCGAGTTTTGTAGCTAAAGATCGAGGACGGGTAGAAGTGTTTGACAATGCCCTTTTGGTTCGCTGGTCAAGATCTCAAGCCGTCGTACTAGATGCAATCGATGCGGGTCTACTGTCTCTCTCTAATCCCTTCTCTTCACTATCTTCCATCAACTATCTAACGTCCATCACATGACCCCTTTTAAGATCTATTGAAGCCTAAGAAGACTAAGAAGACTAAGAAGAAGGACAAGAAAAGGACAAGATGGCTAAGAAGGGGACCTTAAGAGGATGGACAGAGTAAAGTGGACTGGAAAAGAGGATAAGATGGCTAAGAGGAGTAAGAGGGTCGGGTCCTTTTTAACTAGTTAGTGGGCAGCCTAGCGGTGGCAAGACAGAAGATAGCAGAAGATAGCAGTAAAGAGTAGACTAAGAAGAAGAAGAAGAGAGAGAAGAAGAAGAAGAAGAAGCGGTGACTTGAAGACTTCGCCGACAAGTTAGAGAGCAAGCAGAGGATGGCTCGCTAGGGGATGAACTAGGGGGAGGTCAGCTAGCCGGTGGAGAAGGCCAGGAAGAGTTTTCACAGCAAGTAGATAGAAAGGGAAGAGGAAGAAGAAGAAGTACTCGCGAGTAGCCAGAGGTAGCTATAGCCATGGACTGCCAATATTAATCCCATTATTATCTTAACTAGGTATCTTTATCTTTTAACTGCTCTGTAGTTGTCGCTGTTAAGTTGTCAGCCAAGGGGCAGAGACAGGCCAGGCCGGACATCGAAGTCCTTGAGGAGAAAAAGGCAAAAACATCCTCGTATTCTCGTCTCTCTCGATCTCTTCCTCTTCGTCTATTATTATTGTGTCTCTTCTTCTATCTGTCTATCTCTAATCTCTGTCTCTATCTCTCTGTCTATCTCTGTCTGTCTGTCTGTCTGTCTGTCCCATCCGCCCCTCCGACAAGGTTGAACCACGCCCGGCCAGTTAACTCGACCAGCCAGCCAGCCAGCCCGACGAGCTAGCCAGCGTTGGCCACTCTCTAGTCTCTTAGTCTCTTAGTCTCTAGTCTCTCTCTCTCTCTCTTGATAAGTCTTGCTCTTAAGTCCTGCTCTTAAGGCTTGCTCTTAAGTTCTTCCTCCCTTTCGACATCACCGACCGTCGCCGACCTTCCTGTCCATCCCCGACCGTCAGTCTCTCGGAGTCTCCCTCTCAGTCTCTCTTCCATGGACTGACCTTGGCCGGCCTCCCCTCGCGACGCCCCTTGGAGACTCGACTCGTCTCGTCCTCTCTTCTTCTCTTCTTCTTCTTCGTCTTCTTCTTCTTCTTCCCGGCCTGGCTTGCTTGCTTGCTTCTTCTTCTTCTTCCTTTCTTTACTTTTTGCTGCTTCTCGCCTGCATCCTTGCCCTCGCCCGCCGGCCAGACAGCGACAGCCTCTTCTCCCTCCTCCCTCCCTCCATCTCTTCACTTCTTCTTCTTCTCTTTACTCTCTGCTCTCTATCGTCTACTCTCTACGCTCTGCTGCTGGCTGCAACTCGCCATGGACAACCCTCCGCCCAGCGGCTCGGCCGGCAACTCGAGCGACTTTGTAAGTCTTCTCTCTCTCTCTCTTCTCTTTCTTCTGCTGATGGTGACTGACTCGCGCATAGGTCAGGAAGCTCTACAAGTGAGTCCCTCCGTCGGCCTGCAGACCGGACCAGACCCTGCCTCGCCTTTTTGCCTCGACTTAATACTGACTGCCCAGCAGGATGCTCGAAGACCCGTCCTATGCGCAGATCGTCAGATGGGGAGACGACAGAGACAGCTTCGTCGTCCTGGAGGTCCGTCTCTCTCTTTGCTTCTTATACTGCTTATCCAGCTCTAATAACCCTGTAGTGCGAGAAATTCACAAAGTCCATCCTGCCGAAGCACTTCAAGCACAGCAACTTCGCCAGCTTCGTGCGCCAGCTCAACAAGTACGACTTCCACAAAGTGCGCCAGAACAACGAAGAGACCGGCCAGTCGCCCTACGGCCCCAGTGTACGTCGACCATATATTACTATTTAAGTGGACAATTTCTTACAAAGTGTACAGGCGTGGGAGTTTAAACACCCCGAGTTCAAGGCCGACAACAAGGACTCGCTCGACAACATCCGCAGAAAGGCGCCGGCGCCGCGCAAGCAGGCGCCCGCCAACGAAGACTCCATCCCCACACAGCAGCTCGACCTGCTCAACTCGCAGCTCCTCGCCCAGCAGCAGCAGCTCCAGCACCTCACCGAGCGCATCTCCCAGACCAGCATCGAACACCAGATGGTCCTCCAGGAAGTCCGCCGCGTCCAGAAGTCCGTCCTCGGCCACGACCAGGTCGTCCACTGCATCCTCACTTACCTCCACTCCCTCGACGCCCGCCAGAAGAGAGACTCCCGCGCCGCCGCCGCTGCTGCCAGCCTCTCCTTCCAGTCCCAGCCCACCGATCTCAGCCCGTCGCAGGTCGCCGGCATAGACGAGAACCCGGCTGCCTCCCCCTTGCAGCACGCCACCAAGCTGCTCAACGAGATGACCGCAGAGAACCAGTTCAACTTCTCCGCCCTCGAGGGGATAGTCGCCGCCACCCCACCCCTCGACCCCCAGCAGCAGCAGCAGCATCAGCATCAGCAACAACAGCAACAGCAGGCCGCCGCAGCCGCAGCCGCAGTCCAGCAGCAACGAGCCAACGCTGCCGCTGCTGCTGCCGCTGCGGCCGTCAATGGGGTCAACGGGGTCAACGTCGTCGGTGGTGTTGTCGGGATGACACCGCCCACCTCTGCCGCCGCCGCCGCAGCCCAGCAGCAGGCCGCCTCGCTCTCTTCTTACCCCAAGATGAACGGCGAGCTCGAGCAGGTGGTCTACCCGGTCGGCGCAACCAACGGCATAGACCCCATGTACAGCGAGCACGTCAACAACATCCCTTACCCGCTACCCACCAACTCCTCTGCAAATAAGGACATGGACGTCCCGGACGTACGGCGGCAGTACCCGGTCGGCAACGACGGCCGGAAAAAGAGCATCTACCCGGACCCAGGCTGGGCGCGGAGTCCGCACATCCTGCTCGTCGAAGATGACCAGACCTGTCGCCAGATCGGAGGAAAATTCCTATACTCTTTCTCCTGCATCGTAGACACCGCAGTACGTTTTCTCTACTTTACTTTTATTTACTCTCTCTCTCTCTCTCTTTATATATAATATATATATATAGTGATATTTTGCTAACGTTTTCTAGCTCGACGGGCTTGAGGCGGTGAACAAGATCCAGGGCGGGTCCAAGTACGATCTCATATTAATGGACATCATCATGCCAAACCTCGACGGCGTCTCGGCCTGCAGTCTCATCCGCCGCTTCGACTCCACCCCCATCATCGCAATGACCTCCAACATTCGGTCCAGCGACATAGACCTCTACTTCCACCACGGTACGTCTCTTCGACGACTACTATCCGTTTTTGAAGATCTGCTACTAACGAAGTCAGGAATGAACGACGTCCTACCAAAACCATTCACCCGCCAGTCCCTCCTCAACATGCTAGAAAAACACCTCGTCTCCCTCAAAAACGTCAACCCAATGGACGCATCGCAACAACAGCAGCAGCAGCAGCAACAACAACAACAACAGTCACAGCAACAGCAACAGCAACAACCCACCGCATCATCAAACGCCCCTCCCACCCCGCAACCACCACCGGGCCAACCTACACCCACAAACTCCAACCAAGGGCCCGGTCCCAGCCCTCTCTCCAATTCCATCTCCGTCCCCGTCAATGTCCCCGTTAACGTGCCCGTCTCAGGCCTCCCGCCTTCCTCCCAGCAGCCCGTAAAAGACGAATCATCCCCAAACCAATCCCCTTCCACCATGGGCCAGCAGACATGGCAGAACTCCCCCCTTACCCCCGCACCAGGCCAATCCTTCGACACCAACGGCCTCCAGTACCAACAACAGCAACAACAGCAACAACAACAACAGCCCCAATCGCAGAACCAACAACCTCCCTCTCAGACCCCAACCCAGTCCCAGCACAACCACATCAAGCACCGTCGTCAAGCTTCAGACATGGCTGGCATAGACCTCAATGTCAACGCGTATAACAAGCGCCAACGCATCTTCCCTGGTTCTGGGCCTGGTCCCGGGCCTGGTCCCGGCCCCGGTGCTCAAGTGGTAAATCCCATGCAAACCAGCAGAATGGCTTAATAATTCTATCTTCTTTCTTTCTCTCTCCCTCTCTTTCTCTTCTCTGCTTCCATCTACTTACCCACCAAAAAAGAAAAACAAAAAGCGCCGCCCTTTCGCTATTACTTGCTTGCTTGCTTCCGTTCGGTCGGACTTGGCTCGGTTCGGTTTGGCTATCTGCTTGCTTTGCTCTGTTTTCTTTTTGCAACCTATCACATCATCATCATCATCATCATTATCATATATACGGTGTTGGGTACTTCTATTCTACTTTCCTTTTTTTTTTTTTTTTTTATTTTTGGCGTGGGCGGGCGGATTGCGTCGTCGTTCCAGCGGCACCAGCAGCACATCAGCACTCACTCATCATCTCTCTCATGGGCTAGGCTATGGTTTACTTTCCAATACTCTACCTTGTTTCATGCATAATATCTATACCTTATCTCTACATACCTGACCTTACCTGACCTTGGACCATAAGTCGCGTCCGCCGTCGTCACTCCGCATGTCGATGGATGCTGCAGCTTCTCTCCTTGCCATCCCGTCTCCATCCCGCCTCGCCTCCACCAGACCAGGCGATATGCGAATCAATTATTGCAGCCTCAAATAGCACAGCACAGCACAGCAATGCAATGCACTGCATAAGGCATGTCCGAGATGAGACGAATACAACACCTACTTAATTGGTGTCTGATCTGCTCTGGTCTGGTCTGGTCTGGTCCGCCGTGTCATTCGAGTATATTCTTGTTCAATTGTTTCCCGCATTTTTACAAAAGAACAGCCCGTTCCCATTTCATTTCATTTTCTATCTATCTATCTATCTATCTATCTATCAGGCTGGCTGGGTGGGTTGTTGGATTGTTGGGCGGGCGGTTGGTGTGTTGGATTTTACCTGGGCGGAAATGCTGCTTGACTTGACCTATTTTGGTTTCTTTTATCTAAACTGAACTGAACTGAACTGAACTGCTCTGAGCCATCTTAGCTGCAGGGAGATCATCGGGCCAGGTCGGGGATGCATCTGATATGTTCGTTCCTAGCTGACTCGTCATCTTAACCATATTATTATGCTGTACATGACAACAAACAACTTCTATTCTCCTACTTTCGTCGCATCACTTCTACATCCTCGACGTATAAAATGCAGAGATATACGCACCGGCCGGCTAACAAGGCATGTCTGTCCGTCGAGTCAGAGCCCGGCCGTGCAGGCAGGACAAGGCCCATGCATGCTCAGCTGTCTACTCTGACCTCCTTGCTTCCTCCCCGTACTCGTATCTCGCTGCTGCTGCAGGGATGCTTCTTAGTGCTTCCCTCTCCTTCTGCACGGCTGGCTGGCTGGCCGGGTAGGTAGAGAGTCATGATATGCTATGTATGCGAGTGTACTTCGAGGTACACGACAGTTGCATACACATAAGTACACAGCATGCATGCATGCACACATACATACATGCATCAAACTAACTCGCTGCACAAGCCAGTTCGGTTCCAAACATCCCTTGTCCGCCTGTCTCTGTCTCTGTCTCTCTGCCTCTGTCTCTGTCGCTGCGTGTGTCTCAATCCCCGGTCCCTGCAGGGCTCTTGGATCTGCCTGCCTGTCTGCCTGTCTGCCTGTGATACGCGTCGGTCGGGTCTTGGGTTGGAAGTCGGGGTTTGGCATGCATGCATGCAGGCAGCGGTAAAGGTGATGGAGGATGTGAGTTTGCATGTATGTATGTGTATGCGGCATGGGTCAGGTCAACAGGAGAGGTATGAGTTTTCCCGAGTTCATTCCGAGATATCTACAGAGCAGCTCAGTTACCACTTTGCTCATCGTGCTTATTTGCTTACTGCGAGCGACGAGATCATCGCATCGGCCGGCTGTGATATGTCAGTCAGCATATTGCCTGCATGTCGCCAGCAGCCTCTGCATCCATCCGTCCGTCCATCCTCGACATACATACATACATACCTACCCATCTATCGACAGGCAGACAGGCAGGCAGCGAGTCAGTCTGTCCGAGGCCTCGAAAGGAAAAAAAAAAAAGGTAAAATAAGAGAGCTCCCCTGTCTGCGCCTGCGCCTGCCCAGGCTACAGTATCCGTACATCTTACATACTAAAGTGCGGTATGTGCGCGCAGTTAAATAATTCAATCACTCGAGTCGCCTCAGCCGGCCCTAGCTTAACTAACTGCGCCCTGCCTGCTGGCCATGCACGGCCGTTGACTTTATTTAAAGGGTCGAAAAACATCGAGGGTTCTAGACTTGCGTCGCTAAAAAGGGCCGGGCCTGGCTTGGGCGGGCTGTTTGAGCGTTCTAGAGCTGGCTGGACTAGGGGGGGGGGGCGGCGCTTTTCAGCAGAGATCTAGATCGAGACTGTCCGATGGGCTGGCTGGCTGGCTGGCTGGATGGGCGGCTGGCGATGGAGATGAAGGGGACGGGACGGGACGCGGTGGAGTGGTAGGTAGGTAGGTAGTTAGCTGACTAGCTAAGTAGTGGGATAATTGGGAGATGCTCTAGATCGATATGTCTGTTGTCCTATTTTGAACTTGAACGGACGGGAAGAGAAGGGTAGCGGTTGTTCTGTCTTTTGCCATGGATTTTGATGTTTTGATGATGGATCTTGAGTCGACTTAAGCTTATCTAATACACTGGCTAGCGGAGGTTAATCTTAGTTAAGGCTGAGCTATAGATGCGTCACGTGTGGGCTCTATAGGCCGGACGGGACTAAGAGATAGTGGACGCCTTTTCCCTTCCATCGAACATCTCAGGGACGGACAACAAACGAAACAACGACAATAATGTTTGATAAACGCTCGAGACATCAGTTGAGTCGACTAGTTAACATGTCTAATCGCAGGAGCCGAGAGTCATATGTCCGACTTGGAACCGATTGTTCTTGATACACCGGCCAGAGCAGCAGTTGTCGTTGCGCCCGCAGTCAGCCAACCTCCTACCGCACGACCTGGCAGGACCACGCTTCCCTTGCAATCCCAACGAATACTTCGGCATACACTCATACTGCCGCCTCTTCGGGCTCCACTTGCACTTCTCCACGCCAAGCTTGCAGTCGAAGCAGTTGTCACCCGGCGTGGTGACTTCACGCTTAGCCGGCTCGGCAGGCGCAGGAGCGTCCTTGTTCTCGATACATTCGCCGGAGCCACAGGGCCCAGGGCCGCCTTTCCTACGACACTTATGGTCCTCGAAGTCGCAGTAAAAGGCGTCATTGAAGCATACTCCCTCGGGACAGTCGACTTGCTGCACGTCCACGTCTCGCTTGAGTTCGCTGGCTGGATTGGCGAGCACGGCCGCAGTGAGGGAGAGGAAGGTGAGCAGTTTGGTGATCTGCATGGTGGGCGTTGTCTGCTTTGATTGAGAGAGCGAAATTTCGCTGGTATCAAGGTATGTGCGTGAGAGTTTTAAAAGGGCTGGCGTCGATCGTCGGTGGTGAGCGAATTGGTATATCTCGTCCTCGATCCATCAGCATGGCATCAAAGCAGGTATTTATATCTTGATACAATGTGTTTTCTGACGGTGCAGTGGGTGCTTCTCCATTGAGCGTCGTTTGAGGAGGAGGAGGATGTTTGGAAGACAAAGAAATGTCGCTGTTTCTGTTTGCCCTGGTGGTGAGGAGATGATCGTCTTGAAACTTCGGTACGAAGGAAGTTGCTGCTCCGCAGTTATGCGAGATGTAAGGTTGGATCGCGGTACGGAGGACACTCGTTCAACACGGGCCTGCTAGTACCCGCCGCGACTGGCCTTACAAACATTCACCACAACTCCTCGTTATTGCTCTCTATAACAACGAATTGCCGTGCTACGCTTATTCGCACCTCGATGTTTTCATCTGAGATGCTGGTAACAGCCGTCGGTCTTCGCTGGATGTTCCATGAAAAAACCTACTGTCTATCCATGATAGATAGTGACATGACTACCAGACATGAAAGAAAAATACAACTTGCAGAAGCTGTATCATCGCCTCTTTGTTTGTTTCGTTTGCTATTTCACTCACTCACCTCCTGCCGCTGTCTTATGTCGGGATATAAGGTCCTCGATGCACCCACGCCCCCCTGACATCATTCCACAAACGCCTTCCACCTTGAAACCAAACCCATCTGCCGATCCCCGAGAGAACATCTCACTATCTTCCCCATAAAAAAAATCTCCACAACAACCTCCGACAACTTATACAATTTACATCACTCCACTCAACGTCCAGGCAGACGTCATCGTTATCATGCAGCTCTACACACTCGGTGCCATCTTTCTCCTCTCCGCCATCGCTGTAGCAGCACCTTCACCGGATCCCAATGGGCTCTTCAAGAGGAAAGGATGTACGCTACCGGGACAAGACTGCATTACCGACAGCCAATGCTGCTTTCGACAAAAATGTATTAGCCACACGATAAAGACGAATGCTCCAAGGTGCGGACCATGGATATTTACCTGGAAGAGCCACAAACATGGCTAGAGGAGGCTGTCTGTAATTTGGTTGCCTGCGGGGTTTGGGTTTGGCCCATGTACCTTTGGCTTATCTCATGATCAAAGACCTCAATTGTGAATAGACAATGCGCCTCTCATAGATCCTTATAGATCCTTAAGTTGATTCTCTCATCATTCCTTCCATTAACCTCTATGTATCTGCTTAGTCACACTATTTTGACCGTATCACGTGCATTATTGCTTAATAAGCATATTTCTTGGACTAACTTTCTTCCGATTTCCCTTTTTGGGCACAAGCAGGAACATGCGCTAGTCCGAGTTAAGGTTAGGGCAAGATGCATTTATAGTTACGTAAGCCGCGGGAGTCATAAAATATTGACTTGTAACTTTGTAGTTGATCAGTTTATTCACGGGACGTTCCATGCAAAGAGCTCCAGCAGTGCACGAGAAGCCATTGATTTCTCCTAGTTAACCGGCCTGTACTCGGTCGTTCTCTAATACTACCTCTATACCACTACATTGCCTTAATCCGCCTGAAAACCGCATACAGATTTGTCCCCGCTGTGAGTCAGTTCGAGGGGACTACTCCCCCACCACCTGTGATAACGATAACTACCACACCATGGCTCCGAAGGGATCAAAACAGCGAGGGGGAGGAGCGCCGAAGGGCAATAAGAAGCGCGGAGAGGGCACACCTAGACGCAGAGATCCCATGATAGACGAGAGACAGCAGCCATTCCAGGCGGTGGTACGTTGAACATCATCCCACATATTCTTACGGAAGTGAACAGATAGCTAACTATTCCCCTTAGGTGGTTACTGATATATTTGAAACGCGATTTGAACCGTTCACACTTGAGAAACCAAGGGTACGTCATGGCTGTATACTGCCTTTCAATGGCGCAAAGCTTACGGAAACTTTTGATACGAAATAGTGTCTTCTCCCTATTGCCAATACCCTCTTGATTGATTATACCCTTGAATTCCTATCCAATGCCGGAATAGAGGAGGTACTGCTCTATGCTGGCGCACATGCAGATATGCTAGAAACTTACCTCAAGTACGCCACATCTACCCCCCGTTCAGTTGGCGGACCATCCATATACTTACATATATCTATGCAGTGGTTCGAAGTGGAAATCAGACATATCACCTTTTACAAAAGTCCGGCTCATCAGGACAGCAGCAACTACATTCGGAGAAGTCATGCGCGATCTACATGAGAAACATCTAATGAACGGCGACTTTCTGCTAGTTAACGGCGACGTTATTGGGAATATCCCGCTCGAGCAGGCATTGATCGAGCACCGTGCTCGACGAGAAACAAACCGAAATGCCATAATGACCATGATACTTCGAGAAGTCGGGGAGTCGAATAGGGTCCGCAAGAGTGCTGATGCGCCGTTGTTTGTCATTGATCCTACCAAGGATAGATGTTTGCATTACGAAGAGCTTCCGTACCATTCGCACGACGGATATGATCTGCCGTCGAATCTCGAGATAGACCCGGAACTCCTTGACGCTCATTCTGAGATTGATGTTCGAAATGATCTGTATGATTGCCGTATCGACATATGTACCCCTGAAGTCCTGGGTCTGTGGGCAGATAGTTTCGACTATCAGTCTCCGCGCACCCATTTCCTCCACGGCGTGTTGAAGGACTACGAACTTAATGGAATGACTATACACACCCACATTTTGAAGGACCACTATGCGACTAGAGTTCAGAATCTACATGCATACGACCTTGTTAGTCGGGATGTTATATCACGATGGACTTTCCCTCTGTGTCCAGATACAAACCTGTTCCCTGGATATACATATACATTTAAGCGGAATTTCGTCTACCAGGAGCAAGGTGTTGTCCTGGCTAGATCAGCAACCATCCATAGCCGGACTGTCGTCGGTAAGGATACAACGATCGGAGAAGGGGCTGTCATCACCAACAGCGTCATCGGCCGGAGGTGCAAGATCGGCAACAATGTTGTCCTTGACGGCGCGTATATATGGGATGATGTGGTTGTGGGCGAAGCAACGGAGATACGCCATGCTATTGTGGCCAACGGTTCAGTCATCGGAGTCAAGTGCCGAATTGAACCTGGTGCGTTGCTGTCATATAACGTCAAGATTTCGAGTGGAATATCGATACCTGAGAGCAAAAGCATTACCACATTCCAAAGAGACCCTGACCGGAAGGTACCGAATGATGCCAAACTTGTGGGTAAGGATGGTGAAGGTTTCGAATTTGTCTATGAAGAGGATGAGGATGAAGAAGAGATTGACTTCATCCCTGGCCTAAGTGAGTTTATTCTCCTAGAGGATACACAATCAGTCGCATATTCGACTAACCCTGCTCTACAGTGTACAATATGGCTGAGCTTTCGCTGTCCGATGCGTCGATATCGACTCTCACGTCAGATAAGACCGAGGACGGCGACTTTGGCTTCCGCTCAAGATCAGACAGCGTCAGCACAACGACATCTGACGATGAGGGACGGGACCAGTTCCATCACGACGCCGTCTCTAGCGTCTTCGATGGACTTAAAGAAGGTCTTAGCGCTGAGGTGGTGCAGCTCGAGCTTGTTGGCCTACGCATGAGCGCCAATGCATCTGAACACCAAGTCCGTCGTGCCGTAGTCATGGCGTTTATGAAATATATCCAGCACGTCACGGAGGCAGGTACCGTCGGCCTAGCTGATTCCGTTCGAGAGCTGTTCAAAAAGTACAAGGACACAATCATGCGAATTGTCTTCGATCATGACACCGACGACAAGCCAGACCAGGTAGACTTGCTGCTGCTATTTCAGAAGGACCTTACGGAACGGAACAAGGGAGGTAACATCTTGCTTTTCACGGCGAAGGAGCTTTATGACCTGGAGATAGTAGACGCCGAAGCCTTCTCGCAGTGGTGGGAAGATGAGAGGTCAACGGCCACGCCTGCGATGGAGAGCGTCCGGACACAGACCAAGCCATTTATAGACTGGCTTGAAGCTGAATCCGATGACGACGATGACGATGACGATGACGATGAGGAGGAGGATGACGATGATGATGATGATGATGAAAGCGAGTCTTAATCCTCCTTCTACCAACTTTACATGAACTAGGCAGCTCTATTAATCAGACCATCTTATTCTTCCATCCACTTGTTATATTGTCTGCTCCATACTTAACGTGCCAACAAGAGTAAACCTGATGCGGCTCTGCGGCTCGTCATAGTTAGTTAACTAAGAGAGAAAAAAAAAAAAGCTTTTTATTTCCACCTCAGAATCTCGAAGACCGCAGCCTGGCAGGAAACGGGCATCAGGTTGTGTCATACTCTCAGCTAAGGACAAGGATACGGTTTCAGGCCTCCACAGCTTTCATCCCGTCCAACAAAAACGGCCTGGAAAGTGATTCATGTCGTTCGTGGTGGCCTGGCGCTAGTCAGCCGTATATACATATAATAATAGCCTTGTTCTTTGCTGGTACCCCAGCTGCCGCTCTAACAAACTAACACATCCACCACGAGATCTCCGTCACCCGCGCCAGTCATCCAGTCAGCCTGTCGGTCAGTCACCGTTTTCACGTCTCCCTCTGCTGCCGACCTGCTCGCCCGCTGCTCCTCTTCGCTCGTCTGCCTGCTGCTGCCTGATATTGGGCCTGCGATAGTGAATATCTCAGGGGCTCGGTTTAGTTACTCACTCGTCTAAAATAGAGACATCCTTCGCCTCCCCCACTAGTTAACTAGCTCTCTGCTGCGATACGAAGGGTAGTGACGTTGGTAGCAAATATTTATCAGTTCCCTTTGTCGCTACCAGGTGAGCTTCACTTTTTTCCCTGCAAGTGACAACCGAGTTGACAACTGACAAAGGTGATACCTTACAGGAACCAAATTAACCGCCGGCTATATACCGAGATCGATCCTCTGGAGCTGTGCCTTGATCGCTCTTCTGCTGGGACGTTTGCTGTGACGTTTGCTGTTGCACTCAAGTCCCCGTGAAGTCGACTTCTGCTAGGCTGTGAAGCGACGGGAACACCTTCAACCATGGACTCAGACGATGACTTCATGACGGATGGATCGAGCGGACAGGAGTTTCTTGATACACAGGACAGCGACAACGAGAGCTTAGGCGGCGGTAAGTCGGCCCATTAGGCTTGTTACCTGCATAGCTATCTTGGGTGTTTCATGGTATTGGTCAGATCGGATCTAACTGGACTGACTCCAGATTTCGAAGAAGAACTCGGAGGCTCCTTCAACTACGAGAAAGATATCAAGCCTGTACGGCAGCCGTACGAGACCGATTCTACCGCCCTCAGTCCAAACGATATCACACGGGAACAGAATGTGCAGATTAATGAAGTCTCCTCTATACTCGGCTTGCCTGCGGAAAGCGCTGCTATCCTGCTTCGGTTCAGTAGATGGAATAGAGAGAAGCTGATAGAGTCATACATGGACCACCCCGAGAAGACTCTTGAAGACGCAGGCCTTGGACCGACTTTCTCGTCGAACCCAAAGACTGAAGTTATGCCTGGTTTCATGTGTGATATCTGCTGTGAAGACGGACCGGATCTTCAGACGTATGCAATGCGCTGCGGACATAGGTTCTGCGTGGACTGCTATAGCCACTACCTGGGGCAGAAGATTAAAGAAGAAGGCGAAGCTGCGAGAATAGAATGCCCCCAGGATCAGTGTCATCGGATTATTGATTCGAAGTCACTCGATTTACTTGTCGGCGAGGATGTGAGAGATCGGTAAGACACTCCGGGGTACACGTTTGAGACTATACCTCGTTATTGACAATACCAACCGTTACTTCCTAGGTACCGAACTCTCCTGATACGTACATATGTTGATGATATGCCAAACCTGAAATGGTGCCCAGCTCCTAACTGCGAATTCGCCGTTCGGTGTGGTGTCAAGGAGCGAGATCTGGATCGTATCGTCCCGACGGTACACTGTGCTTGCTCGTTCGCCTTCTGCTTTGGATGTGACGTCGGCAACCACCAGCCATGCCCCTGTGCATTAGTCAAAAAATGGGTTAAAAAGTGCAAGGATGATTCGGAAACGGCAAACTGGATCTCGGCCAACACTAAAGAATGCCCAAAATGCCATTCTACGATCGAAAAGAACGGAGGCTGCAACCACATGACCTGTAGAAAATGCAAGCATGAATTCTGCTGGATGTGTCTCGGCCCCTGGTCCGAGCATGGGACTAGCTGGTACAACTGCAACAGATTTGAAGAAAAGGGCTCCTCTGATGCACGGGATACACAGACCCGCTCTCGACAGTCGCTTGAGCGGTATCTTCACTACTACAACCGCTTTGCTAACCATGAACAATCAGCCAAGCTTGACCGAGACCTGTTCTTAAAGACAGAGAAGATGATGGTAAATCTCCAGTCTCAATCCGGCCTATCTTGGATCGAAGTACAGTTTCTTGACACCGCGTCACGTACACTCCAGGAGTGTCGGCAGACGCTTAAGTGGACATATGCCTTTGCCTTCTACCTTGCGCGCAACAACTTGACTGAAATCTTTGAGGATAATCAGCGGGACCTTGAGATGGCCGTCGAGAACCTGAGCGAAATGTTCGAGAAGCCCATCTCCGAACTAGCAGGGTTGAAAGTTGATATTCTCGACAAGACTTCTTATTGCAATAAGCGACGAGTTATCCTTCTTTCCGATACAGCTGAAAATCTAAAAGCCGGTATGTTTACCTCCACCTTTACGATACTTCCAAAGATTCTGACCCCTTAATTCTGTTCAAGGTGAATGGTCTTTCATTGTAGATCTGAAATAATAAAAGAAAATACTCCCTCTGGTCGCTGGCACGCCCATGCTCCTGAACCTCCTATCTCCTTATACCCGGCATACGCTTGACCTTATTTTTAACTCATACGCTATGCCTAGCCATTCATTACGACTACTTGACCTTTCCTAGCGGCTTGCATGCTTGCATTTCCCCTCTCCCGTTGTTTATTTTCCATTCTACATTGTTCTTGAAAAAAAAGATCCATCGTTCATGAATCACTTTCCTTACGAGCATGGTAAAATCCATTATTATGATCACTTGCATTGCCATCTTCCTGAGCAAACTATTTAACTCAATATTATAACCCAATTTAGATATCTATATCTGCACCCCTAGTTGGGCTATACATACAGCACGTCACTGTCACTTGAACCTTGTGGTTCAATCCCAAGTCTATCCATCAATTTCATGAATCCAAGGAAGATAGAACCGGAATAGATCCTGTCTAAACAGAAAAGCCTGTTATTTTTCCGTCAACTATTATACTATTAATAATTAGAAAGCTCTTGCAACCGCTGGCATCTTTCAATACCAAGCATTATCAATTGCCCATCTCTTGCCCTTTTTGTCAATTAGCCGAGGTAAACTAGTAGGAACTTTATTTCTCACGTGACAAATTTCTTATCAGATCAAAAATATCAAAACATCTTCGAGCCAAAGAATTCAGAGAAAAAGGAGAAAAAGAAAAGAAAGCGGAAAAGGTTGGGAAAGATCAAGTCAACTTGAGTCAGTCCTCGTTGAAAACAGCTCTGGGATTAAGCCAGGTCGAGCCAGGACGAAAGACAATCCACGAGATTGTCTGGACACCCTATACGAAACGTGGAAGAACGGCCGTGAGCAAGGAGAGAGCTTCGCTATCCTTGCAGAGCACAGAAGCCAGGAGGCGAAGAAAAAAAAAAAAAAAAAAGGCACGGAACTTTCTTATCAGATTTTCACAGCACTCCACACGCACACGGAGCAGAGTAGCGAAAACCGGCTGGGAGGGAAGGGCGTCAACGCAGCCAGCCGAGGAGCACAGGAGGGCGGAGCCGCGTATGGAACGGACACTTTTGTTCCTCCAATACCTAACCATGGACCTAGAGGCCCCGTCAGTACCGCGCGCTCCTCCTGCACTTCTGTATCTCGGCCGTGTTTCCGGGGGAGGATCTGATAACTAATTGATTTTGGCGGTTTCCGGCACACCCGTTGCGCGCTCAGTACGTAAACTTGCTGGGATAAGGGTGCAGCAGCATCAGAATACCAACCGGGGGGCCTGCCCTCTGGGAGAAGGATGGGGATAGCTGGCTCGTTAAATCCGTTGTCCGAGGTGGATTGTCGGAGCTTTCGTTCAAGCGCGCTCAGTTCGGATCCGGTACTAAAGAGGGCCGTTGCGCAGGTTGACATATTATTGCTGCTCGAAGAGCAAGCTGTAGAGGGGCCTGCTGAGACGAGGAATGCGCCAGAGCACTTCGTATCCGGTCATCGTAGAAGGGAGTCTTGGTTGTTGCTGTCGACTAAAGGCCAGCCAGCGCGCTCCATCCATGTAATAGTTAAATAGAGCGGAGGTCCGCCTAGTCGATCGGAGAAAAAGAAAACTGTCAAAATTTTTGGGCTGAAAAGAATATCTTCGTTAGCGACGCCTGCTCTGGTTCACTTCTTCACTTCTTCAGACCATCGTCTCACCTGATACCTTTGCTCCAAGCGCTGCCTTGCTGGTCGTTCGGTTGTTGTTACGGAGCACTTGTTGGTTAACTAGGTACCTAGTCTTTGTACCTCTATCTTAGCAGGGAAAACTCTCTCCGTCACCACTCTGTTTTTTCCCATCCTCCGACTTCTCAGCTCTCAAACCTCGACTTGGCTCCAGGGGTCTAAAGGACAGTCTGGCTGAAGAAATCCCTCGTCTTCGGTCTGAGGATTCACGAATCTTCGGGAATCCAGTCACCGTGAAGGTCACGGTTGAATCAGGCGGCTCCGGCTGCATCCACGAGCCTTTCATGGCTTCTACAGAGCATCATCCTGTTGCGGCTGAAGAATTTGAGTATGTCTTGACTCTCAGACAGTGCCGAAGTGTTGCATTCGGCAGTATATTGATTCTCCTTGTGCTGGTGGCGGCAGTGAGGAGAGGGGGCTGATTTTTTGCTGACTGTTGGCTTCTTCATGTATAGCTATGAGGCGCTCCCAGAGAACTACACCCTCGGCCATAATATGCTGGCAGGCGCCTTTGCTGGCATTGCAGTACGTCTTTTACTACCTTCCGCATTGATATAGAGGAGGCTATATACTGGTACTAACTTGGACCGCTTGTACAGGAGCATTCGGTCATGTATCCGGTAGACTTGCTGAAGGTACGCTTCTCTAGCCGGAGGAATTGATATTGGTCATTAATTCGCTTTACTTGTGCATAAAATACTGATTGAGCATGTTCTTGAACTGTTTAGACTCGAATGCAAGTCCTAAATCCCGGCGCGGGCGGACTTTACACTGGCCTCACCCACGCCGTATCAACCATTTCACGTATCGAGGGCTGGAGGGCGCTATGGAAGGGAGTTTCTAGCGTTATTGTGGGAGCTGGTATGATTATTACAGGGTTTTTCACGCTGCTATGAGCCGTTAGAAGTGCGACTTCAGCCGTATTTGCGAACGAGAAACTGATATAAAAATTGCGCTGGCACAGGACCCGCTCACGCCGTATATTTTGGCACATACGAAGTTGTGAAAGAGCTTGCTGGTGGAAATGTCGGCTCAGGCCACCACCCACTTGCTGCAGGTCAGTCAATTTCTCTCGTTATAGGATCACTAGAAGGAGTATTAACTTTGTATTTCTAGCTCTGAGTGGTGCTGCCGCAACTATCACAAGTGATGCGCTTATGAACCCATTCGATGGTATGTAACAATACAAATGCGCCAAAATTCCATACTTACCAGCTAATTTTTCTCTACAGTTATCAAGCAGCGCATGCAAGTTCACGGATCGACTCATAGAACCCTTGTCCAATGCGCCAGAACAGTTTATCGAACCGAGGGCCTTCGCGCCTTCTATGTCTCCTACCCAACTACGTTGTGCATGACTATTCCGTTCACGGCCGCCCAATTCATGGCATACGAATCGACGTCCAAGATAATGAACCCGACGAAACGATATGATCCCTTCACCCATTGCATCGCCGGTGGTCTGGCGGGCGCGGTTGCCGCCGCTGTTACGACTCCTCTAGATGTTATCAAGACTGTCCTACAAACAAGAGGTACAGCGCAGGATCCTGAGGCAAGAACCGCTAAGGGGTTATTCAACGCTGCAAAACTCATAAAAAATCAGTATGGCTGGGCCGGATTCCTCCGTGGAATGCGCCCAAGAATAATTGCCACAATGCCTAGCACTGCTATTTGCTGGTATGTTTACACTAGTGCTCCCCCTTGGTCTTGTTCAGCTACTCTACACATTGATAAATCGGGATACTAATCTTATATTACAGGACTTCTTACGAAATGGCCAAAGCTTACTTCAAGCGGATAACTTCTGAAGAATCCCACTGATAGGTATGCTGGGCAATGAACTTCACCCATAATAACGCCTCTCACTGTGGTTGCAGTGATCGAACATATCGACTCCCATTTATCTTTCTACCTTTAATATCGTTTTTTTGTCTTTTCACGCTGTCATTGTCGGCACGATCTACAGAAGGACGGAAAGGGTGGGATCCTAAAAAAGTTTACCATGGGATGGTTTCTCTTCTCCGGATTAGACTTGTGTTGCTAGGTATCTGTTTAATGTTCCTTTTGTGTCTTCTGTTATATTAGTGTCGATGGCGTTGTTTGTTGTCTTTTTCAAAAGGGTATGGGATGTCTCCCGCGATTGTCAGTTCATCTTTATAGGAAACTTTGGGAAAGATCTGTATCTTCATGGAAGGGATATTTTTATCTTGACAGCTTTAGCACCGCGCTCCTGACTTGGATGTTTATTTCGATATTGGTCCCCAGTTATTATCAAGATCTTACCAATACACGTGCTGCCCTAAGACGGCGTAAAAAGCTTGGATTGGAATGATGTTCGTTCTTTTATTTAAAGCTATTTAAGTCTTTAGCGTGCTTCTTGTTTAATCTATCATAGGATTTCCCTAAGCCACATTTGAAACCCGATGGCTCCCAGAAGCTGGTTTATCTCGGATACTTGCATTGTATGACAACTCACGCGTCATGCAGCAGCCTCAATATTCTCAAAGTTAAAGCTGGGTTGTCCAGGGACTGCGCTCTGTGCAACAGGGGACAGCCCTTCTTTCCTAATCCCTTCAAAATTGGTTCCTGCGTTCCCACCCTCTTCAACGGCGATGATCTCAACCTCCTTGGCTCCCGTAACCTTCTTCAAGTTCCCGGTAATGTCATGGAGAACTTGTACCTCATCAAAGGGCATTTCTCGGCTGAAAACATCCTCCGGCTTCTCATTGCCTTGAATCAAACGTTTCTTCAAAGTTTGAACATAGGGCATTGCTTTCTTCATCTCACCCAACTTGCCAACTTTGGCGTTGAGTCCCTTATCATCGATAGTTAAGTTGACAGCGTCAAAGGCTTCACGGACAAGTTCAATGTATTTATCTTGCCATGCTGGGAACTTCCTGGAAACAAAGATGGTAATCTTCTTAGGGTTTCGGGGGTCAAATTTAACGTTCTTGCCCTTCGAGATTCTCTTAATGAAGGCTGCTTCCGAAGAAGTAATGTTCGAGGTTGTGGAACGGATATAGACAAGAGCTGCTGATAGGCCAGGGACAGGCTCGGGAACATCGGCAAAGCGAGCATTTTGGATAGAGTCCGTCTATTGTTGCGTTAGTCATGTTGCTTCGTCAATGCTGGTAATATTGGCCAAATACCTTTTTAAGAACATCAAGCCACATATGTTCCGCCCAGTGAGGTGCAATTGGGCTTATCAAGAGAGCTTGTAGCTCGACATATCTAAGAATCAGGTCACGGTGCATGCCAATACCGGAAGCGGTGGCCACCTCACGGTAGAAGTCCTTTGCACTAGTGAAATCGTAAAGGGCAGACTTCAAAGCTAGTTTGAAATTGGTGCTAGACAGATGTGTTAGCGTTTTCAAGGTTGGCGATAGGTGTCTCAAACTTACTCGGCATAGTGTTTCCTTGCCTCTCTTGCAAGTGCGTTCATTTCATTATCAAATACTTTGTCCAAGAATGCATCTGTAGGTCCAGTGCGGAGAGACTTGTCTGCAACGGTTTCCTCAATCCACTCTTTAAGAGTGTACATGCGGAGGATATTGCTGTTGGCCACGGTTTCATCAAAGTTTGCATCTTCAATGGCATCACCAGCATCCGCAAAAGCGATACGGGTGGCATCTGCACCGTACTTATCAACTGCATCCCTAAGGGTTAAGAAGTTTCCAGTGCTCTTGCTCATCTTTTCTCCGTTGAGAAGTAGATGTCCGTTGGCTCGTACACCTCGAGGCCAGTACTCTCGCGGGAATAAGGCAATGTGGACGTAGAGGAAGAATGTAAGATGATTTTGGATAAGGTCCTTCCCTGAAATTCGAACATCCAGTGGATACCAATATTCAAATTCCCGCCTTAGAGTCAAAAGAGATTCCTTGCTGATTCCACTCTTCTGGACTAGATCATCGTCAAGTTCACGTCTGGCGAAGATATAATCCCAAATGTCATTGGTGATTTGCTCGGGTTTGATGCCAAGCTTGCCAGGCTCCTTTCCATATCGGTCTGCGTGGAGAAGGTGAGAGATGGTGTAATAGCACTGGTATATAGTACTGTCACTCAAACTCTCAACGAGGAACTGGGGGTCCCAGGGTAGTTTGGATCCCAAACCGTAAGTTCTAGCACAAGCCCAGCGGTTGAGCCAGTCGAGATTCTTTTCGAAACCGTGTCGTGTTTCTTCAGAGTAGGTATTCAAATCATCTGTCACATACTTGAGCGTGGTGCTCTGCCATTCAGGGTCGTTTTCACCATAATTGAGGAACCATTGGCCAAGATATGCAACAACACAGTCATCACCACTTCTACTCGTGACTTTGCCCATAGGGTCAGCAAATGGGAAGGCGTCACCGCTCTTAATGAGAGAATTGCGAACTTTCTCTTTAGCGGTTTGAACTGGCTCCCCCTTGAATTCACCAACAAGCATTTTGCCTTTGTAGAAACCCTCCGTATATGCTAGATCCTTGGCTTGAGCAAGCTGGACGGTGTCCTTTGGCGAGTTTATCTTCAGCTGCTTCACTAGAGCTGGAGCTGTGAGATTGCCATAAGTTGGTGTTTCAATTAGTGGGTGGATTTCAAGCTCCGCCCACTCCTTCTGAATGCCGTAGTAGTCGGCTTTCTTTGCAAGGTCTGAAATGGTTGCAAAGTCATCAGGACTGTCAGATGGCACACAGCTAACAACACCAGTTCCCTTGTTAGCAGACACGGTTTCCATGGGAAGAATTCTAACACCCTCTTTGTGGAATGAAAGTGGAGCATCGACAAGAGTGCCAATGAGTGCAGAACCAGGGGCTTCAACAACTGGAGGAAGTTCATCCTGGGATTTGGGAAGGTTGTTAACATCGAAAAAGATACCCTGGAACGCCATGTTCCAAGCTGCTCTCTTCGTAACAACGTAGTATTCCTTCTCCTTAACCTTAAAAATGCCATATGATATGGCAGGGCCCACAAAACAGCAAGTCTGTCCATACATGGTCTCGGGCCGCAATGTTGCAGGGACAAAATAAACGTTGGCATCCTCTTCAATTTTTCCCTGGACGATCTCCTTTGCCTTTGGAGACCACTCCTTGACCTTGAGTTTCATTGCAGTATATTCTTGGGGCCCAACACCCTCTCCATCAAGTCTGTCATGGTCCATGCAAGGTTGTCCATCCTTTGGCGAATAGATTGTGTACCGGCTCCCGTAGAGAATCTTGCCCATTTCATGCAAACGGATCATCTGCCAACGAACGAAGGAATCAAAGTAGGGATTGACATCAGTTGTTACCATCTGCCTTCTCCAGTCTACTCTTGCGCCCATACTGTCAAGATCTCTAATCCAGAGGGGTGGGAAGTGCTGAAGCCAATGCTCTGGATCCGCAAATTTGTGAACTTCCTCAAGGGGTATGCCAAGAGCCATCATAATTTGGAATTGGTATTTCAGCTTAACTGCTTTGCTGGCAGCTTTGCTCTTTTTACCAGAGAACTTCGACAGGTCCTCTTTAGCAATCTCCTGAGTTGGAGCAGGTATAGCATCAACTTCCTCCTCCTCCTTATAATTCTCAAAATATTTGCCGAATTTTTTTATGTCGTCCACCAGCTTGTCCGCACACGCGCGAATAGGCATACCAGTACAATGGAATCCAAGGGGGAACAAAGCCCGTTTTCCTTCCAATCGTGCAACTCCGGTCATAAATTCAATCTTGCTCGCCGTGAAGCTGTGTCCGGCATGGGGAGTTCCATTCATATAGGGGAAAGCCATGGTTCCAAAGAACTTTGGGTACTTCTCGTGCAGCTCGGCCGATGTCATGCTTTGCGCGGGGATTTCTGAGAGAGATGGAGCATCCACCTCGAAGACCTTTTTCTCCTTCCATACTGCCTGGTATTTCTTCTCCAGAGCAATGAGCGTATCTCTTTTCTCTGTCTATGATACTGATCAATACCATAGTCAACCATTGGATGAAGCGGGGGATTGCAGGGGTCTAATAGCACTCACATTCTCGAGTTTCAAAGTGTTTTTGGAGCTGTCAAGCGCGACAGCGGCAGCCGCGGAGACAGAGGCGGCCATGCTGGCGAAGATATAGAGATACCTTCAATTTCAGCTTCTCAATCTTGGACTTCTTCTCCTCTATCGAAATTTACACGATGATTATACGTGGGGGTTTTCTTATCAAGATGATGACTCAGAAAATCTTGGAGTCACGTGGAGATTTTCCAGATCGGTATCGGCGTTTATTTCTTCCGGGAATCCCAAAATTCTCGAGGCCGTCCACCTCACTGTCGATGTCGAAGCTCGAATAATTGAACGATACCAAAGCAAAGCAAGGCAGGAAGCCAGCGTTGTTTTCGTTCACCTTCTTGTTAATTGTTACTCGTTTGAGATTATACTCTAATTGTTGTTGCGGGAAAATTCCCGGCTCAATCTGTCACAATGGTTTCAATTCTTCGGAGGATGAGGGCCTTGAAAGCTGTAGGTCCCTTTTTAAGTCTTGACATTCAAGTTTTAAATCATATGCTGACTTTGACGCTATCCTTCTAGAGGGTATGTGGATCTTCTTTAGTTGCTATGATATGAATTGAGACCAATTTCCAGTGGTATATTTGCGATTGAAGCTGATCTCTAACTGTTTTGACGGATAGCTTCTTCATATCAGAGTCGGTCTTGGAGCTGCAATTTTACCCGCTCAATCGGCCAATGGAACTTCGACCATACCCCAAGTCACTCGCCTCCATCTTACATATTACAAGAACATGCATGAGGGCCATCACGGAGCTCGGAGATTCTGGCGCTTATGTCTGCCCCGATTAAAATACTACAACCCTGGCGTGGGAATGACCGTTAAACAACTAGATGACGAAGCTGGACCTGCAATATTATCCATATACTCGGCCAAACCTGCCGATGGATCGGCTGCGGCAACAACGGGGACTCTCGATAGCTATGCTCCGCCCCCGACGGAGTCGGAGATAGTCAAGGCCATCGATGTGAAAGGCAAGGACGTTGAACAAATATGGGCAGCCTTTAAAGCAGCAACTAAGGCCGAGAATGTACCGGTAGCAGAAGAAGATAAGAAAGAGATGGAATTACAAGAGCAATTGAACGCCCAGAGTGAAATCGATCGACAGCGAGTGGCCATGGTTCGCAAGGCGAAAAAGGACCAGGAAGCCATGTTGGAGGCTGCAAAGGCAGCAGTTGCCAAACAGAGGGAGGAGTAATGATTTACATGAGTCCCGATTTTCCTTCCTATTCCCTTTCTATCCTGTAATTTACCTATTGACTTGCTCCTTTTCACTGTTTATTCGCTTAAGCACCCTGGAAAAAGGAGGCTGCTTAGTGTTAGCATGGGGGTGATCGATGCTGGTAAGGAGTTAGTTGGTTTTCCTTCTTGGTCTGTATATTAGAACTAGGCATATTGGATTGTCTTGATAGAAACGCATTACTCAGACACGGGCCCGTTTTGACAATAACGTACAAGTGTTTCCCGAGGAAGTTGTATTAGCAAAATAAAATACAATAATCTTCGGAATAAGGGAAATGAAAGAAAACAAGTGAAGAATCCTAGTATCCAGCTGCAACTTCGCAAAAGCGCAACTAAAGACGACAGAAAAACTCAATGCAATGTACAGTGCATATACCTGGCCCAAGGTATATGAGATGGAGAGAAAGGGCATGCAATATGAACGGTAGCTGAACGGAGATGGGTAAATGCATTCTGAGATATAGTGCACCAAATATCAAAGATAGGTATTCTCAATGCTGACTATTTCATTAATAAGTTCATGGCATGTGTGGTAGTGAGGAGGTACTAGTTAGGGTTATTAGGAGCGGTCAGGGGTATAATTGGTTTCACCTAGCATTGTTTCACCAGCGGGAACTACCGGGGCCGTGGGGGTAGCAGCAGGAGCTAAAGTTTGGGACGACGGCGCAGCAGATGCTGCGGCCTGCTGTGCTGCTCTATTTGAACTTGCAGACTGTAACCTCTGATCTAAAGCCTTGAGTGCGAGTGCCCTCCGTCGTTCAGCTTCTTCCCTCTTCCCAGATCTAGGTGTTCCACGGACGTTATTATTCAACAAACTCGGAAGACCAGCTTCTCCACGCGCCAATACCTGCTCATTCCCAGAAGCGACGTCTTCTGTTGAGAATGGGGTACAGATACGGATGGCCACTAGAATAGCGAATATTCGCTCTGCAACGAAGTTGATAGGTGGCTGTATGGCATCTGGAAAAAAACATGCAAAGGCGAAGGTGTCACTGGCATCACCTTTGATTCCCCGACCACTGGTGGAGGTCCCCGAGAGATCAGGCTGGTATTTGAAGAATCGCAGGAATGTCCAACTGATGAGCAGTCCCAGCCAACTGAGATGAAATGCAACGTCTGTTCCGAGAAAGAGTGCACCGATAAAGTTGAGAAGGAGAAATATAGCCGGGAAATGCTTCACTCTTATCTTTACGAGGCCACGGAGAATGGTAACGGTATGCTCGGGGACTAGCTGCTTGAAGGCTACTAGGAATGAGGACTGCACAGCAATTCCACCACCAATTCCTTTCATGCTAAAAGAAGACGAGGAAGTTAGCATGTTGTAGAACACTGTTATTAGAGGAAGACTCGAAAGACCCAAGAAAAGTACATACGCAATCTCAGGCTTGCCGCGGATCGCAGCCGTGGTCAGGTAGAGCAACACCATGGACAAATTGGAGGCCAAGGCAAGCACTAGAATGAATTTCCCAAACTCCCTCGAGCCCCAGGCCCGTTCCAAATATTTCCCTCCGTAAAACATTGTAGCTCCGTTAATCAACAGAGTGACAATATTCTGTTCCACAAAGGTTGCGCATATAAGTGTCCATGGATAGAAGAGGATCTTCGACGGAACGGCGAGGAGGTATGGCACCGCAGAAAACGAGGACGATGATTCACCAACAACATAATACTTGTATCTTGTCGCCGTATGCAAAATGAAGAGCACCGCTATGCTTGTGAGGATCGCGCGGGTGACGGGTGGGATGTTGATTCGAAGCATGGTGGTCATAGCAGGAGCCGGCCGTCTATGGAGCAGAGTAGCGGGTGTGATGGCCTGCTCGCGGCGTACGGCATGAGAATGGACAGCCTGATCACCTCGTCCCGTCGTATCCTCTCTCCCCGCTCTCGTCTTCGTCGTCGTCGTCGTCGTCTTCGTCTTCGTCTTCTTCGGCTGCTCGTTCAGCTTCGCATTCGCCAAAAAAAAAAAAGGAACATTTCATAAACACGCTTTTGGGGGCCTTATGTCAGTCACGTGGTGCATAAATCCGCCAGTGCCTAATTTGGACATTTCAACCTCGACCTTTTTCTTTTTCTTCGACTTCAACCGCAATTTCACCTTCTTCGCCTTCTTCAACCTCTCCAAAACATCTTCGCTCTCGCGCCTCGCCTCGCACGCCGGACCTCTACGCCCTCTACAGCTGCCTGCACACCGTGATTCCAGGGGGCCAAGACGTCTCTGAGCTTCGTTGTCCCTGGCGCTTATCTAAGCAGGGGCATTAAGCCGCCACTGCTGCGCCAAGCCGCGCTCAAACTGCGAACTGCCGCTGTATTTCTCCAACTCGAACCTCCCAGCGCAGTCGCAGCGCATGATCATATTCTCCGACTCTTAAGACAACTCATCTCGCCCGTCCTGAGGCGCCTCAAAACCTGCAGGCTCTTTCTTCCCGACAGGATCCCGAGTGTGCGCACGTCGGCCAGACCAGCTGGTAGGGCCCGAAAGCTCCACACCAAAGGAAAAACCACTGCGCAACCTTGAGGCCCAGCAAGCAGCTTCGTGATCAACCCTCCACAAATCAGCATTTGTGAATGGTTGAATCCTTGCCTCTCCGCGTTGGCATCGAAACTTGTCCCTATTTTACTTCCTGCTGCAAACATTTCCGTCTTTAGGATCAGCAAAAACCTTGCTTCCGCAACGCTTCTTCTGGCTGCCGCCCTTTTGACCGCGCCCACCACTCTTTCTTGTCCCAGACAGACAAACAGCTCGACAACGAGGTCCAGCCTACTTCACCAGCCTGAGCGACAGCTTCTCCAGTTTATTGTAGGGATTGGAAGGACCTCCTCGACTTGGCCATTCGGAGTATCCCGCTCGTTTTAGCGGCGGCAGTTTTTCGCATTCCCTGCTTGCATCTTCACTCGCCCAGTTCCGCCTTATTTTTTTTTCTTTTATTTCAGCATATTTTTGCGCCCCGAGCTTCTCCATTTTGTGATATGGTCAATATCCATAATTACCTGGAATATCTGAACATTGACCTCACCGTGGTATATGAAAAATCGCCATGGCAGGTGGCGCGCTCACTTCTCACCATGTAAATTATTTAATATGGAGGTCAGTACATCTTTCTTTGGTTGCTTCACCCTTTTGTCTTTTCGGCGCGACGCTGCGTCCAACTCCGCGTGTAAAAACGATGACAGTTTGCAGTGCTGACAGTCTTGATATTCGATAGATATTTGCAAGAATCAGGTTTGTTGAAGCATTATATTGACGTGTCAGTGGATGTTCGCGGCTAAGCTAAACCCTCATTCTAGGCCATGGAGAAGCAGCTGTCATGCTCCAGCGGGCGTGGAATCCTAATCCACAAAACCTGCCATTTGCACCCTACATACAATCACACGCACTTGTATCATTAGTACAGAAGGGCCTTCAATATCATGACCTTGAACGATCGGTAGACCAGGTAAGTCTATCCCCAGTGTGGCACAGCTAGCGGTGGCGACCCTCAAGTACTCACATGTATACCAAGAATGGAAATATAATACCCGAAGTACCAACGCCTTTTTTTGGGCCACTTTTGGACAAACCCAGTTCCCCTCAGACAGCAGATAAACAAAGCATGGCAAATGGGACCGTTGGCGAAGAAGCTTCCACTCCACCGTCGCCGAAGTCTTCTCGCAAACCTGGACAAGAAGCTGCCGCCAATGGACACATTCAAGGTGATCAAACTTCCAGCAAAGCTGGTGATGGAGCCGATCATGAAGATGGCGATACGGCAATGACATCTGATGCGCCTGTGGCAGCTGACAAGCAACAGCCCGAGGATGCGCATTCTAAAATCCCGAAATCGCCGTCTCGGCCATCATCACCCACAGTTGAACCGGTGGTCGACGCTGACGGGGACATCGGGATGTCCGCACCACCCACTCCTGTTTACACGCTCACAAATGGACAAAGTGTTGGAGTTCAGATTGCACCTCCAAAGGCCATCGATTTAACAACGGACACTATTCTGTTAGATATTGGTGCCAAAAATCATGTCATGAAGACAGCTTGGCGGCCCGGTGATTCACTTTTGGTTGGAGCCAGTGCAGAGTCATATTGCGGGCTTTGGAAACTAACAGGACAACGCTCGTCGACTACACCGGGGCATGAAGTACTGACCAGCACAGCAAACGTCACCGCCATGGAGTGGGAGCCGACAGGCAAAACATTAGCTGTTGCGACATACTCCGATTTTGAGGGTACTGTTGTCCTTTACGGTCCACAGGGAAAGATGATAAAGACCTTGCCTTGCATGCCTGGCTTAATATCTGGGCTTAGATGGTCCGGAAACGGAGATCGTATTATCTTCACGGTATCCGATGGCAGTCAGTCTAAGTTGCTATTGTGGGATAAAGAGATATCAACCACCGAGTACATCAACAGCCAGCTTATTGATGGTGCTATATATGAAGTTCTGTGGGTAGAAGACGAAGAGGTATATGCTTGTGGAGATGGAGCTGTGTACCAATTCCGCGTCACGAATGAGATTGAACTATCCGAGACCTTCCGTTGGGAGGAATACCCTCAGGAACCATGGACGCTGATCAAGTCGACACAATGGAAGGAATCGAGCGTGGTTGCCACAGTATCGACATCTGCTACGACGTCTAATATCTGGATACCTAGTCACGACATAAAAGTTGAATCTGCACATCATGGAATAATCACATCTCTAGAGTTCAGGCCACTACCAAAGCCTCACTCCAGTCCTCAAACCCTAGCCAATGGAACTGGAAAGGACCCTGCACTAATTTTGGCTACTTCTTCCATGGACGAGACACTTAAGATTTGGAGCATTGATTGCACTTCGAGGACTGCGAGTTGTGTCCATCGGCTTTTCCTCGGCTCCTCCTTACCAGCACTATCATCCGCTTTCTCCCCGGATGGTTACGCAATCGCAGCTGCCAGTCAGGATAAATTATTCATTTGGAATGCAGAACGGGGAGGTACGCCGATGGCAAGCTGGCCTATTCCCAAGGATGGGACTAAGGATGAAACCAACTCGGATGAAGGCAATGGTACTGTTAACGGGATCCAATCGGCCCTTGACCGTCCGCTCTCATGGGATAGTGACGGAAAGAAGTTGGCTCTTGGTTTCGGAAACACGGTATGCACTAACTCTATCACCCTTCCATATTTTATATTCTGCTAACGGTCAAGGTGCAGATTGCGATTATTAACCTTCAACGATAATGTCAACTTTTTTTCGTTTTATACACAGGAGCCCCCAGAACCTTAATATATACATTGATATCCCGTCAACTCCGTTTTACCCTCCCTCCATTGTCCGTCGACCTCTAATAGACGAGAATTAATAATACAATGTTTGTATACAAAAAGGAGGGGAAGAGAGAGAAAGAGAGAGGGCTGAGAGAGGTGTAAATAGCACTACCAGCACTAGCTCGTTGAGCGAGCCCGAAACCCGTCAGTTGCATCATTCCACCCTCGCATCCAGGCGCCTAGCCCATCTATCAGGCCATCTCTCTGCTCTTGGAGCTTGTCCAGCTGCTCAAAGTACTTTGAGCTCTTTCCTCGTGGTTTAGCTGGCCTTTTTAACACTGGACCTGGATGGCTGTCGCTATCATTTTGGCTCTTCCAATTACTTAACCAGGAGTCGAGTCCAGAGACAGTGCCACGCATACACTCCAGCTCGATGGTGGCGTTGAACGCCTCCTCCTGGCTGAAATTATCGTCAGCTTGAAATTTAGGAGGAAGGAGACGGGAAGATAATAATAAGGGCGGACAAGAGAGCATTGACTTGGACATACAGCGACTTCACTTCATCTTCTAGCTCTGAGACCCGGGCTGAGAACTCCTTGCACCTGATCTGGTACTGTTCGTGAATTTGGCGCTGTTCGACTCTCCGCTGTCGAAAGTTCTCATTCGCTTTTGTCAGACGGTCCAGCACTAACAAAAGTTCACGGTCATATTGAAGAGCTTCTTCCCTCCTGTCCTCCGGATGCGTGGCTTCGTGATGGTCTTCAGCAATGTCTCCTCGTGGATCCACCCTATCCGAGAATTCATATTGCGTGTCATCATACTTCCGTGTGGGCGCAGTCAACACCTTCTCCAGCGCCGAGCAAGAGTCGCGAAAGACAGTGGCATCGCCTAGCGAAAGCACTGTCTTGGAAGGGAGCCGCGAGCTAAGATCTAGGAGGAGTCGCAGCTGCTCTCGTATCTCATCAACATTCAACTCCGACCCCTGTTCGATACACCCTGGTCCCTCCTCTACGCTGCCAGCCTTCGACAACATTAAGATTGGCAAAAAGAGAAGGAGATTGAGAAAAGAGAGAATAAAAGAGTTGGCTTTAGATTATCCCCCCGTCTTGCATATGTAATTTTTTTTTTCTTCTTTGCTTTATGCCTTTCTTGTTGATCTGTTCACTTCACGGCCTGGTGAGAGTTTGACTTTCAACCGTTTTTCTGTCGTGTAAAACCCAACGACCAATGAGATATAATCCAATAATATGTTTCTTATATGCATCCAGCAACGAAAAGCTCCAAGATCGGACGATTCCACCCTGTAGTTAAGCTCTGTACGAGGCAGGTTTCTCGCTCGGTGAGTGGCCGCCGCCGGGATGTATTTATAGCTCTGGGCTCCCTGCGAGGGCTGGTCCCGCTAGTCAGCTAAGTTAGTTAGTCAGTGACCCGCGAGCCCATAGTTTGGTTAGTCGCAGTTAGAATCGCCGGGCAGGGCTCATAATTTGGTCTTCTCAGGGTTCGCTGCTCTTCCCCCTCCAGCCCGCGACTCGCTCTCCTCTGCTGTAGAACATCCTGCGTTGGAGTCGCCTGAAGCCGCCAGAGACGCCGAAGGATAGATACTGGGAGAAGAACCATCTCGCTGCGCTTTTTCGCAATGGCTCCACGGGTATGTGTACCTATATTTATGCCCTCCAAGCCCCACGGGATATTTAGTGACGCTATGGCTTGAAATAGCTGGGGTGACTGTGTATCTACCAGGCAGTGGAACAGACGATTAATCAGGACTCATAGGTTATTGCTCAACCGTCTCTCGACGCCGTGAAGGATGTCCTCGCGCAATCAAGGGGGTCCCCGAACCCGCCGAACATGGTCCCGGTAACGGCGTCGATACCGGCAGACCTGATGACTCCCACCGTCGCATACCTTAAAATCTCAGCAGAGTGAGTTTGGCCGGGCAGTTTGTGGCCTTTGGCTGTACAATTGAGAGCTAACAGGGTCATGCTTCAAGCTCGAAACGGTCGTTCCTTTACGAGAGTGCGGCGACGACGGAGACGATTGGCAGGTACAGCTTCGTTGGAGCGGGTACGTACTGAAATATTTCTACTGTGGTTGAATATAGGGCTAACGCATGATGATGTCTAGATCCCAAGGATGTGCTTGTGTCTGGACCTGGACATGGGCCGGAATGTGACCCTTTGCCGCTTCTCGAGAAGGAGATCTCGCAGTGCCGTGTTGCGACTGTCCCTGGACTGAAGCTGCCACCACTTACTGGAGGGGCAATTGGATACGTTGGATACGACTGCGTTAGATATTTCGAGCCTAAGACTGCTCGCCCCATGAAGGATATACTATGCATACCTGAGTCGCTATTCATGTTGTTCGACACCATCGTTGCATTCGACCACTTCTTCCAGGTTATCAAGGTGATAACGTATCTCCGGGTACCAGATGGAGATGCTGACATAGAAAAACTCTACCGGGAAGCCGAGTTGGTACTCCAGAAGATGATTCAAAAGCTTCTAGATCCCAAGGTGCCGATGCCTCCACAGCCTCCTATCAAGCCTGACCAGGTATATACATCGAACATTGGCCAGACAGGATATGAAGGCCATGTTCACCGGCTAAAGGAGCACATCGGGAAAGGCGACATTTTCCAGACTGTGCCATCCCAACGGCTTGCACGGCCTACCACTCTCCATCCATTTAACCTGTTCAGACACCTGAGATCCGTGAACCCTTCCCCTTACCTATTTTACATCGACTGCGCCGACTTCCAGATCGTTGGTGCCAGTCCTGAGCTCTTGGTCAAGAAGGAAGCAGACAGAATCATCACCCACCCCATTGCCGGTACTGTTCCAAGAGGCAAAACCCCCGAGGAGGACGAGAAGCTTGCCGAAGAGCTCCGCAACAGTCTAAAGGACCGTGCCGAACACGTCATGCTAGTTGACCTGGCCAGAAACGACGTCAACCGCGTCTGTGACCCAGCAACCACCCAGGTCGACCGGCTGATGGTTGTTGAGAAGTTCTCTCATGTCCAGCATTTGGTCTCCCAAGTCTCTGGTGTCCTGCGGCCAGAGAAGACAAGGTTCGATGCATTCCGATCTATTTTCCCTGCCGGGACGGTCAGTGGTGCACCCAAGGTACGGGCCATGCAATTGATTGCTGAGCTGGAAGGTGAGAAGCGTGGTGTCTATGCTGGCGCTGTTGGGTACTTTGGATATAACTGCAGCAGCTTGGATGGAAAGGAGATCATCGACGGCGCCATGGACACCTGCATTGCGTTGCGGACGATGGTGCTTAAAGACAACGTTGCCTACCTCCAGGCCGGCGGTGGCATTGTCTTTGACTCTGATCCGTACGATGAGTATGTTGAGACCCTGAACAAGCTGGGCGCAAACATCCAGTGTATAAAGGGGGCCGAGGAGCTGTACCTCGCCCTGGAGAAGGAATCTGCCGGTAACTAGTAAACTAGATCTCACATATACACTTCTCTATCTACTTCTCTTCATCATCCGTCTTCTTCCATCTTCTTCTTCTCTATCTACTTCATCATTCATCTTCTCCATCTACTATGCTGATATCCTATTGATCCCTACTCCGTATCTATATATCTCTCTATCGGCGCTGTGGCTGGGCAACTTAGTCATCACCCCCACTTCACTTACTCAGCCACTTTTCTTCTGCGTCCGCGACGTCAACACTCAAAACTTCAACATTCACCGAAGTCGAGATTTCCCCCCCGGCATCTTCATAAACGAATATCTTCTTGTCTTCCTCTTCCGCTTCTTCTTCTCTCCTTCATATAGCGTTTGCTCTGCTGAATCCGCCGAAAAGACATCTTCTCCTGCGTCCTTGTTGTCCGTCACCCAGCGGGTTCTGGCTTGGCACGTTCGCTCCAGCGGCCCGACTACGTAAGTTCAGTTCAACTCTTATTATTTTTATTATCTGCTCCACGACCATCTACGCGAGCGGACATAATGCCCTGCACTGGCAGATAAACGATTGTCTTTGTTCCTGTGCCGTGTGCATGGAAATGATATCACTGCTTTGACACTTCCTTGCGAAACAAAAGAGCCTGCACTGGACCGGTTTACTAAAGGCGCAAACTTCTCCGTTCAACTAGTTAGTTACCGTCTCCTTGCGCATCTCACGAGCGCACCGCCCGCACCGCGAAATACTCCCGCTCTCTTCTCTCTAGAGACACCATCACGTTCAAAAAGGTCTCCAAATACACGGTAGCACCGTTACCCTCAGTCCTGGCATACTCCCCATTGTCACAGCGGCCGGTTCCCGAGTAGAACCGGACAGTTCGACGTCAGTATGTCGAAGGTTGTGAGGAGTGTGAAGAATGTCACCAAGGGCTATTCGGCGGTACAGGTGAAAGTCCGGAATGGTATGAATTCTTTCTACCCGTCTGGCTGATGTCCGGTGTCCACGGGGCTGACAATTATTATATAGCCACGAGCAACGATCCTTGGGGCCCAACGGGCACAGAGATGGCCGAAATTGCCGCTCTGACATTCAACAGGTATGACGATTATTGTCAGGAGATTGTACCATGCTAGACAACATGGTGACTAACTCAATTCCATGGATAGCCCGAACGAATTCTATGAAATCGTGGAGATGCTCGATAAGCGGTTAAACGATAAGGGAAAGAACTGGCGCCATGTGTTGAAGTCTCTCAAGGTCGTTGATTACTGCCTTCACGAAGGTTCCGAACAGGTAGTGACTTGGGCGACGAAGAACCTCTACATCATCAAGACTCTCCGTGAGTTTCAGTATATCGACGAGGACGGGCGTGATGTTGGCCAGAATGGTATGTTTATACGCATATCCAGCACATGTACGGCTGCTAACAAACGTACTAGTTCGTGTGGCTGCGAAGGAGCTCACTTCTCTACTTCTTGACGAAGACCGATTGAGGAGCGAGCGATCCGATAGAAAGCTGTGGAAATCACGATTCGCCGGAATGGACGACGGCATGCGAGGCATCGAGGGAGGTGATATGTCTCACCGCCAGCGCCGACGAGAGCGTCCCCAACGCCCTGCCGATGATGAAGACGCCGAATACAGACTCGCAATAGAGGCAAGCAAGTACGAGGCAGAAGAAGATAGGAAACGACGAGAAAAGAATGCTTCCCGGGATCTAGAAGACGACGAACTCGCCAAGGCCATCAAGCTCAGCAAGGAGGAAGAAGAACTTCGAAGACGAGAGCTCGAAGAAAGCAATGCTGCCTCTCTTTTTGATGACTCAACCCCTCAACCTGCCCAGCCACAGGCTACCGGATACAACCAGGGTTACCAGCAGCAAGGTGCCGTGGACTGGTTTGGTAACCCAGTTGACCCCCAGCAGCCCATGACTACAGGCTTCCTAAACAACCAATATGCACAACCTACTGGGTTCCAGCCCCAGCAGACTGGCTTTAACAATAGCTTTCCCAATGGATTTCAGCAACAACCAACAGGATTTGATCAGCAGTTCCTACAGCCTCAATCCACGTTACAACCGCAACAAACCGCCTTTACCAGTAACCCGTACGGAAATGATTTGTTTGGCCAGCAACAGCAACCACAGATGCAACCGCAACAACAGGATGGCTTCCTTCAACCTGGCTCCCATAATCCATGGGCTATGAACCAGCAAAAGCCAGCTGAAGCTTTGAAGCCAGCTCCGACTGGCTCCAATAACCCATTCGCATCGTCTTTCACACGCGCCCAAGCCCAGCAATCTCAAATCCAGAAAACCGGACCGCCATCTCTTAATGCTCTTGCAGAACAGAAAACCGCAACGCAGTTCAATAACCCTATCATGAACTACCAGGCACCGCAGCAACAGCAGCAGCAACAACAACAGCTCCAGCCCATGAACAACCAGCAACAAATCAATCAAAACCCACAACACGCCCGTCTTAACGCTCTCCTTGCCACGGGCGACGGCCAGGATACATTTGGCAATGTCGGTGATCTACGTATCCCAGCTCAGCATACCGCACCGGGTGTATTTGTAAACTCTGCTGGTTCTGGGCTTAACCAGATCCAAGCTTCAAGGACTGGTAACAACCCGTTCCTAACCCAAAACTTCACCGGTGCGCCCCAACAACAGAGCAACGCCGGCTTCGGCTCTCAGCAGGGCTTTGCACGCCCTAATCAACAGGGCAGCAACAATCTCATTGATCTATGATTCCCCCTTGTCCATTGATGGATGCAGCTATCAAATTTCTTTTGTTTTTTACCCCTTCGTTATTTTTTTATTTCTCCCACCCTTCATTATTGTGGTGGTCTTACGTCTGCCTCGTCTGACTCTGGGGCGATCGGATCAGCGGAGCTTCGAAGTTGATTTCGGCGATATGATGACATTGGAAGATCATTATTAATCCTCACCTCGACTCTTATAGACAGGTCCACCGCGATGACCCTCCTTCTTCTCTCTTTTCTTCCTCACCCTTCAATATGCTGGCGGGTGATGCAATGACTTTTTGATTGCTTTTTGATTCCATTTTTCCCATCCCACCCGCTACGTTCCCATCCGTTGCCCATAACGCTCTTCCACTCATGTGATATCATGTCCACCGATATGAACCTTTTCCCCTGTTCCTTAAATTGACCCCTTCCTCCCTACGCCCTCCCTGTTATCATTTTCTATACTATATATCCGTGCATACGTCTACCTATAATTCTATCTTCATTTTCCTCGTGCTGGGTTCTCTATTCTACGGGTGATTTATTGGTGTCAAAAGTCTCCTTACTATTTTTCTGCTCTTCCTCTTCTAAGAAACATTCAGATCTATTCCCCCGTTTCCGTCGTTCTTTGCCCTCCTGGTATGTATACGCGTAGGCAAACAAATCCCTCCCGTATTTGACACTATTGTATAATCTTGGAATGCATTCTTCTCAGATCAGTTGTCCTGGAGGCATTTAAGCCCTGGTAACCCCCATTTCATCATCCAGTCAGATGCCAGTAACGACTTTGCTGAAGCCCGTTTTCTCAGGCTCAAAAACAAGCATTGATCGAAACATAGCCAGGACAGCTGCTTTTTTCTTTTCACTGAATGCTTCAACTCCCTCCTCCCTTCGTACAGCTTGTAGCGAATTTCAACCAGGCTGAAAAGTGAACCCGCCATGGGTGAATTTAACACGGCTAACCAACCTAGTTGGATAAGCTTAAATGATAACCAACCTCCACAAGAATGGACAACCTCTCAGTTCTCTGCAGTAGTTGGTGACACGTACCTGTGCTCCATGCTGAATCCAAGCTCCATAGGTTTACCCGAAGTAAGGAGGCGAAGGAGTCCATGCTTCTCTAAGTCCTGGCAGAATTCCCGCTTCTTCAACAAAGACTCTCCAGGCCGGTCTTGATTTACGTTGTGACAGTCGTCCAAGGTAGAGGCTACTTCGTGATTGGGTGGTTCACTGGCAGGTATCATTCAGCAAGATCTCAGTCTGGGTAGCTAACTCTGCAAGCGTGCGATATCGGTTATGCCAGCATTTATTGATGATATCGTCAATTAACGGATCACCGTTGAGCTTTGGAAATTTCATATCCTGGAGTAATTCCATGACCTTGGGTCCATGTTCATAAGGGTCATCGACAAGACGCTGATCGTCGTAAGCCTCAAAGCCGTAATTAAGTAGAACAATGAACCAAGGGCAAACTGCTCCGTTCTAGGACGTAGGGAACCCGCAGTTCCAGGTACTCCTTGGTCTGTCTCCTCACTATTTAGTAGTCTTCCATACGGACAGAGGCAAGTATCAAAACCCGATCCAAATTCGCTTGTGCAATCAAAATCTGAAATTTTCAGTCGGTTACGATCAAGCAGGATGTTTTCAGGTCTCAGGTCACCATGGGCGAGGTTAAGGGACTCGAGAAAAGCAACACCCCAGGCAAGGTCGTTCATCCCTGAGAGTATATATGTAAGTCGGTTTTTTATTATAGGCAATTGGAAACTGCCTACTAACACAACTTTCGTAGTGGCAAGGGCTCCAGATATTTTACTTTGGTTACTACTCGAGTTTCGTTGTCCCGAATTAGACTGAATTGCTTTCTATAAGCAAGGGATATATCTAGCAGTGTTCCGTCAGCAAGTATATTATTACTAGAGCACCAGTAAGGCCCAAACCTCTCATATACTCAAGGAAAATCCCATCTGTTGTGTAGAGGAAGCACTCTACTATCGAGGGGCAGCCTGGATGCTGGGATAGGATCTCGTAGATCTCGAGTTCTTTGCTGAATCTCTCTCTCTCTTCCTCGCCGGGCTTCGGAACCTTGACCACGATAAGAGGATGAACTTCATAGACGAAGGAGATGCCTCCTCCCCAGACCCAGTGTATACCGGGGAATTGGCGCTGAATCTCTATGACGGCGTCAGGCCTTACAGCTGGGAGTCCAAGAGTTCTCCCAGAGCATCCAAAGTAGTTATGTTAGCTCACTAATAGTGTGCACGTTAACCTGAAGACCCCGTCTGGCTGGCAAGGAGTGAGTTTCACTACATTTATATCTTTAAATCATTCCCCCTGGATTCCCCTGGATCACTTCGTTGCTTCATGCTCAACTGCTTGTCTAGAACTTCGAAGTGTAACGCCAACACCCTTTATGCTCGCTCTCCGTGCGGTGTGCCAGACAAAAACAGCGAAGAATAGTAGATTTTCATTCAATGCGGTCGGTCTGCTTGACAGCGGTATCTACAGAGCACAGGGTCGTCATTCGCCAATACTAGCATTAACGCGCGCGATCAATCTTGGTGTCTTCGTTTTTGCTATGGAGAAGCGCGTTGATTGGCAACTCCGTCGTTACTTTGGCCCGGTCCGTCTCTGCCCGATAGTTAGGTGGCTTCCGCGACATCCAAACTAAACTAAGGCTTTCTACCCCGTCCTTGCATTAACACAACTAATTAACAGCCCCCAAATCACCATTTTTTTTCAACCAGAGGTGCATAAGTATGCGCATCTCCCTTGCTTGCGGGGGCATATTCTCACCCAATGGGGCCTCTGTTCAGGCTGGAGAAGTGGGCAGTGTGAAACAGTCACCATCCTGTCAAAGTCGAAGCTACGCGCCGGTCGTGTTTGGATAACTATATGGTCAAACATCCGCCCACCACGCTCTCTAGACCGAAGACGTCTACAATAACTATCTGTGCCATATGACTTTCCCAGTCTCCCTGGAACCATCTCGCAAACGGCAGGAGTCAGACTATCTCGGTCCACCACAGCCTCCATCGAAAAGGCTGAAACTCAGGCAGCCCGCTTCAGCATATTGGGATAGCCTGTCGAAGATTTGGTTAACGAGGGACGCTCTCGAAGAGTTGGATCGACGAAATAGGGCTTCCCACAACGTACCAGAGTCGCCATATTTCCGCCACCGGCCGCGCACTCGACAGTTGCAGGCGGGACTTAAGCGTCGTCACCAGACACTTGCCCCAGACCCCCTAATCAGCTGCAAGCCCGAGAGTCTGAGCAAGATCAAAAGGCTCTCGAGACAGGGCGGACCTGACCTATCTGACCTCAGGAATGTATGTAGTTCTTTGTGACATGATGCTGGTGCCTATACTGACACATTATCTCAGTTTCCAGACCCTTATACCCCTTGCTATCAATCAATGAGCACAAACAGCTCGAGGAGCCGGAAAAGACGTGCGGGGACTCCTCCAGATAGCAGCAATAATAAGACTACAAAGACAACAAGCACTACCGTCTATAATCGGAACTTTGAGCAGAAGTTGATTGATCACGGTGTTTACCCACCTGGATATAAATACCCTGATGGCCGGAAACCGGCAAAGCCGAGTAACTGGCAGGAGCTCAATGACCGGCTGGCGCAGCCCCGAGCTTCACTCTCGCCGTCAAAGTTTTCGGAGGAACAATTTGAAGAATTTGTAGAGGCAGATGTGAATGCGTCCAAGGAGAAATCTATTGTACGCTTGGCTATCCCGATTATCGAAGGCCGCGTTGATGATACTAGGTGCATGGGGGGCGACTACCCATTTGGCAACCTTGCTACTCTAACAGACGGAACACTTGCAAACGCAAAACCAGATCACTTCTTTGGCGCCCGGCCTGAGCAGCTCAACCATAAAATCCGCGATGAGCTTAGCGAGTTCGTTATCCCGTCGACCCAGAGCTCCCTTCCGATAGCTCCAAACTTCTTTCTTGAAACTAAGGGCCCCGATGGATCCCTTGCTGTTGCTACTCGGCAAGCCTGTTACCATGGCGCGCTAGGTGCCCGAGGAATGCACAAGCTTCAGTCGTATAAGCAAGATGAACTATCTAGGGACAATAATGCCTATACAATAACGTCAATCTACCATGGAGGTCAACTCAAGCTCTACACAACACACCCCACTGCTCCCCGAGAAAGCGATGGGCGTCCTGAATACATTATGACTTCACTAAGATCATTTGCCATGGCGGATAGCCTGGATACTTTTCGGGGTGGTGCAACTGCATATCGAAATGCACGGGATTGGGCGAAAGAACAGAGGGATGAGTTTATTAAATCTGCAAACGAGAGACACACGCAAGCTCCCTCTGAACCTCTCTCATCTGAACGTGAACCAACTTCTGAACCCACTGTCGTCTTGGAGGACTCTGATACACTAGCTACATCTGATGAGGCTGGACTTCACGATGCTGGACTTCACGATGCTGAGTGGAGCTTTGCACATCCCAATGACAATGTTGAGGATGCTTCGAGACATACAAGAGCCGAGCCAACCAATAACTAGTCCTAGCCGCAAGTCTCTCCAAGATTAAGTTATCTGCCATTTGTGTGTATCCTTATAGTATGTAGAAGTGATTATTTTATTTTTCTCTTACCATCCATGAACCGCCGAGCTTAGGGTCTACAAGTTAAGCTTGGCTCTTTGGCAAAGTACAAACAGTCAATACATATAGATGATGTACTCCGTATAGGTCACCCCCTTTCTATCCGTTCAACGGCTGCCCGGCCTACCCTAGGGAAGCTACTATGTTGGTTTCCATGGTTGGTCGACCACTGCAGCCTCTGATTGGCTGAATCTTCCCTTTTCCGCCTACTTGATTGGTCGGTTGTTCCTGGACAGCATAACACTCTGTACCTGAGCCAAACATTATTATAAAGTAACATATATAAATACTATATAAAAGCGGGAACTTCCCTTCCGCTCGACAGGAACACCCTATAATTTGACTATCATAAGCCCGTGGACCCGATATAAATGTAAATGTAAATACTTAAATAATAATAATAATAATAAGGACAGGGGGCGTGCTTACGTAACCTGTCACCCTCGGCGCTGGCCTTCTGTGGGCCTTTTTCTTTTAGTGTTTTTAGTGTTTTTAGTGCTTGCGTTGGTGCCTGCGAGCGAGCGAGCGCCTGCGCTGCGTGGACGACGTTGGGTTGTTGTTAGTTAGCTAGAAGCGGAAAAATCACACATCCACAACTCTCTCGTCCTTTTCCTCTCCTGCATCTCCAATAATACCGACCACACCTCACTCCGGGACATACCAGCATCCATGAGTTAACGGGCCTTTTTTGTTTACCTGCTGGAGTCCTTCCCTATTTCTTTCTATTCGTCGAGCTGCTAGGCCGGAACCTCGATCCTTGTTTATCCGTCCGTAGGTTGTTTGTTTATCTGCGGCACCCGCACCGTCGGGCATTGACAACCGCGCACCACCAGCTTCATCCCACCCAAGCAGACAGAGAGTCGCATTTGTTACATTTCGACAGGTACTGCGGTTGCTGATTTTGAATATCTTATTACTGGTGGTGTTCCCTGCAGTGTCTCTGACTTTTTTTTTTTTTTTTTTGTTTTTTTTTTGTATAATCACCGGGGATACCTCCTGTTAGTGTTGTTGCTTTACTGACAGATAAAAAGCTTTATAGGCCATCCTTATACACATAGACACTTCCACAGAGCGAAACCATGGCCGACGAAGAAGACTACTCTTCTCTCCCTCTCCCCGAGAGATTTGCGCACAAGGTGGGCTTCGACCTGGCACCCCCTGCACTGCTGAGCAAACAATTAACATTTGAACGAACTCTGCATTAGGTCTGGAAAGTACGGAAAGAGGGCTACGAAGCGGCCAAGAAACAATTTGAAATATCTCCAGATGAAGACGCTCCCGTATTTCGACCGTTCCTACAAGATCCGACCATTTGGAAGGGCGTCGTCGCAGACACAAACGTTGCCGCCCAGCAGGAGGGTCTTGCTGCATACTGCTCCTTTCTGCAATATTCAGGGGCCCAGGCCTGTAATAGGTGAGTTACTGACACTGTACATCCAGAGCAAAGAACTAACAGATTTCTCTTACTGTTTCCAGAACACGCTCTGTTACTGCCGCACCCATAATCGAGAAGGGCCTTCCCCAAACCCGCCCCGCAGCAAAAGCGAGTGCGCTCGAAGCACTGTTGCTATTTATTGAACTCGATAAACCTGAGCCAGTTATTGAAGAGCTTGTCGCTGCCCTCTCACATAAGACCCCCAAGGTCGTGGCCGCCGCTCTATCAGCCCTTACCTCTATATATCACAACTATGGAATCAAGATAGTGGAAACAAAGCCGGTTCTTAAAGCTCTGGCGAAAGTCTTCAGCCATGCAGACAAGAACGTGAGAGCAGAAGCCCAAAATTTGACGGTAGAGCTTTACAGATGGCTCAAGGAAGCCCTCAAAGCTACCTTTTGGAACGACTTGAAGCCGGTACAGCAACAGGACCTGGAGAAACAATTCGAAAAAGTGAAACAAGATCCCCCGCCAAAACAGGAACGGTTTACCCGCACACAACAAGCGGCCATGGCTGAGGCCAGTGCAAATCCTGGCGCTGAAGATGGCATGGGCGAGGCTGAAGGTGACAACCTGGAAGATGACGGTGAAGTCGATGTCTTTGATCTAGTTGAAGCGGTAGACATAATTGCAGCCGCGCCAAAGGACCTTCACCAGAATCTAGCCTCATCCAAATGGAAGGACAGGAAGGAGGCACTGGATGACTTATACAAGGTCGTTAACGTCCCCAAGATCAAAGAGGGCAATTTTGATGAACTATGCGGTGACCTTGGCAAATGCATGAAAGATGCGAACGTCCTGGTAGTGACAGTTGCAGCGAATTGTATCTGCGCGATTGCAACTGGGCTTCGGAAAGGATTTGCCAAATACCGCTCCGTTGTGATGCCGCCAATGATGGAACGACTAAAAGAGAAGAAGGCTACGGTATCAACTGCATTAGGCCAGGGTTTGGATGCCGTGTTTCTATCAACAAGCTTGACCGACTGCCTGGAAGATATCCTTGGGTTCCTAAAGCATAAGAATCCTCAAGTGAAGCAGGAAACCTTCAAGTTCCTAGTCCGCTGTCTACGAACTACCAGAGATGTACCTTCAAAGGGGGAGGTAAAATCAATAGCTGAAGCTGGAACAAAACTTCTCACAGACTCGAGTGAAGTCACTAGATCAGGAGGCGCGGAAATCCTGGGAACTCTCATGAAGATTATGGGTGAACGTGCAATGAATGTATATCTGGACGGGCTAGATGACATTCGAAAGACCAAGATCAGGGAGTTCTTTGAAACGGCAGAGGTTAAAGCGAAGGACAGACCAAAACCCATAATCGGTCCACCAAAGACTACCGCTACACCAGCAAAGAAACCAATGGGTAAGAAGCCGTTGGGCGTTAAGAAGCCTGCTCCAGCTTCTGCTGCCGCCGCTGCCCCCGCCGCCGCTCCAAGCGAACCTCCAGCGTCGCCAGCACCTGCAAAGAAGGCCGCCCCCAAGATAGGAGCTCCTCGTGGCCTTGCCACTCCTGGCTCTGGACTGAAACTGAAATCCAAACTGGCTGGACCAGGCGGTGCTGCTTCTCCGCAACGCCGCGTCGTTTCGCCCCCCATGGAGGATCCAGCAGCACTTCCTCCTCCTCCTCCCAAGTTTGGAATTGGCGGTGGTGGTAGGGGACTAGCTAGTCGACCAATAGGTAAACCAAGTGCACCTGTGCAGGAGCAACCAATTGCTCAGATCGCCACCGGCTTATCTGCTATTGAAAGAGCCGAGCTGGAGGAGCTTCGGGCGGAAAACGCGAGGCTATCTAAAATGACCGAAGAGCTACGAGCAGAGCGGTCAAGATTATCATCTGAAGTCCATGAACTTCAAAACCAAAACGCTCAGCTGATAGAAGACCATACCCGAGATGTGCTAAGCATCAAGGCTAAGGAGACTCAACTAGTTCGAGCACGAGGAGATGCGGAAACTGCAGAACAAAGTGTTCAAAAGCAGCAGCGAGAGATCGAGAGGCTGAAACGGGAGCTCTCGCGGGCTATGAGGGCCGGAGCAACCAGTCCTCCAATGACACTACCTGATATGAGCCTCAACATGGGTATCAGTGATAACGGAGGCATCTACCAAGATGATATGCATCGCATTAACGGAACACCCTCTCGTGCTAGCCTTCATATGGGATCTCGATTCGAAAGCGCGCGGCCAAGAAGCTTCGTTTCATCAAGTCCAAGCGAGGAAAAGGAAAACACAGGCATGGTTTCTCCTGCTCTGAGCACCGGATTCTCAGGCCGCAGAAAGTTTAGCCCTCCCGCTGGATCTGCATACTCTTCTGGCAGGGGTAGCCCGGCAAGAACTTCGAGGACCCCGACAGGTGATGCGCCTGTGTCAATCGAACCGTCAGAAAACTGGAAGAGAGCTGCTGAAGTAACAAGCCAATTGAAAGCTAGAATAGAGCAGATGAAGGTAAGCTTAATTACTATACTAAACATAGTCTTCATTCTATCCATACAGCAACTAACTCAAAATTTTAGGCAAGACAAGGCTTGTCAAGGCCTCCTACTTCGCATTAACATTAGTCTACCTGCCAATTTGGCTCCGATATAGACTCTCACTCTTCCCTAAAACGCTCCGTTCTCCAGTTTGTTTTACGAAATACCCATTCAGTTTGATCGTTATTTAATTCCTCGATATATTCTCTGCATGGTCTTCTTTTCACACTTTCTTTTCTTGATTCTCAATGCGTATATGATGAGGGTATAGGCAAAAACAGTGGGGAAACAAACGGGCCATGGGTTGATTGTTATCATTAATATTCTCTCCTTTTTTTCTATCACTTCCATCCCTCTTTATGTTTTTTATCTACGGCTTCAACACTTGTAGTTCCTTGAAAGGCAGCATAGGCTAGCCGGTGGCAACTTGATAAGAGGCCAGGTTTGCATTTTACTCACCCAGGAGATAGAATGTGAGGCATCCATGTGGACACTAGGATTTAGAGCATTGTACACCATATTTATTGCATCAGTAGAAACAGGGTTACGATTACTACGACTAGCTTATACGCATGCATACACTTGTCTTCATAAAACCGTTCACCTCATTTCATTAACATGGGTATATGTAAGATGCAAAAAAAATGTAATATAAAAACAGGAGGTAGGTAGGTAAGTCTCGGTAACAGAGTCAAGCCATTGGAGGGCGAGAAATGCGTCTCATTTCTAAAACTAGGGAGAGGCAACAAGAGCTTTCTTGTGTTCCCCGGGAGGATCAAATCCACTCGCTTCCGCAAGAAAAGAAAAAAAAAAAGAACTTTTTGAATGCCATTCCCGTACCCATGAACTCCATGACCTGACTCAGCGTGACATGATGAAGAAGCTAAGGGTCGTTAGATAGCTTAGATCTTGATGGCGTTCTCAATGGCCTTGCGCTTCTTCTCCATGGCAGCCTGGGCCTTAGCACCCATGATACCACCACCCCAGTGGCGCTTGGCCTCCTCGTACTTGTCGCTGTATCCCTCCTTGATGGCAGAGACGAGCTTAGCAAACTCAGCCTTGTCCTCACCACGAACTTCAGTGATGGCCAAGACGGCGGCAGTCTAGAGGAGAAGTTGTTAGTAGCTATTGATAGGCAATGGCACATTCATCTTCGGCATAGGCTTACCTTCTTGTGGACAACGGTTCCAAGACGAGCCTTGCCCTTAATGATGGCGTATGGGACACCCATCTTGCGGCAGAGAGCAGGAAGGAAGATGACAAGCTCAATTGGGTCAACATCGTTGGGGATGAGGACCAAAGAGGCCTTCTTGTTCTCAATCAAACCAACAACGTGGTTAAGACCGTACTTGACGGCATATGGCTTCTTGCTGACATCCTCCTTCTTCTGACCGGCCTCGACAGCGGTGGCCTCCTTGTGGAGACGCTCCTTCTTCTCAGCCTTGGACTCAGGGCGGTACTTGTTCAAGAACTTGAAGGTCTGGGCAGCGGTGTTGCGGTCGAGGGTGTTCTGGAACTGGGCAATCGCTGGTGGAACCTTCAAGCGGAGGTTGAGAACCTTGCGCTGGCGCTGAAGGCGGACGTAGGCGGGCCATTTCACCATACGGCTAAGGTTGCGGGTTGGCTGGATGTCCTGACCAATGCCATAGTTGCGAGGGCGCTTCTCGATGAGAGGGTTCTAATACAACATCAATTAGTACAAACCGGCTCCTACGAAGATGAAAAATATGGATGTTTCAGGTAGAATATCAATTAGCAACTCACCTTTGGGGCCTTCTTGGAGCCAGCCTTGCCCTGTGGGAAGGGGGCGGCAGCAACTTTCTTTCCACTCTTTGGAGGCTATCATTGAGAAAAGAGGACATTAGCGAAATGCATTCACTAAGCATCGCATCTTCTTTGATCTCTAAAGAGGATAACGGTCATTGCATTGCTGCAATTCCCGTCACCTCAAGCCAAGTCAACGCCTCCTGCGCTGGCTCGTGGAGAGTCGCAGCGCGGTGTGACGGAATTAGACCTGTCGACAGGACACTCCCATCTCGAGTTGTGCTCTCAACGGGGTATACGGAGGTCGAGAAGAGGATCTGAGGATTCACGCAGGATGCTGTATTCTTACCATGTTGTCGGGTCGAGGAGTACCGGCGTCGTTGGTTGTTCTGGCGATGAAAGAAGAAGTCGAAGTGCGAGATCGAAAATCAAATTTGAAGCCGAAAAAGTTGTGTTTGTGTGGGCGAAATCAGCCGCTTTTTTGTTTTCCCGAAAGCCGACGCCAAGATTTCAAACCCTAATCATGTGACTTGCGGTTATAGAATCACGTGATATGGTTTTTTTTTGAATAGTCAAGGAAAGGCTAAGAGGAAGGGGAAAAACCACTTGGAGAACTGGAGACGATGACTACGACTTGATGAATGGGCATTTGTTGTTTTCTATTTAGCAATTAGACCTTTTTTTTACTGTTATTTACGGGTATATTCAAACTACATAATGTGCCATTGAAGTAGAACTTCTTTGCCTTGAGAGGAAAGCCATATCTAACCGTTGTAGCTAACATGGACGTGGTCCCTAGATACCCTGTTAGCAGAGAAAATGGCCAGTCATGCTGCAGTATTCAGGACTTACCAGTGGTTTTGAGTGATGGAGCCACGGTCTTCCATTTGTCTCCAGTTGGTCCACGGGGAAACCTTGTCTAGGGATGGGTTCCAGATCCTCTGCCCCCAGATAACATATTTCAAGTTCAGGATTTTGCGGTGGTTCATAACCCACTCAGCCATGACGCGGCCAAATGCATCTCTGTCGCGTTTCTTCACAATACCATGCCATGTTAGCTTACTGTATTCCTTTCCTATTATGTCACTGGGAACGGGGAAGGGAAACTTACGCCGGCCTCAGACGTGCACATCATGTCAGTTGCAAGGCCACAGCAGTGCTCGCTGTTACTTGGACATGGGCAGTCTCGGATGCAGAAAATCTCCCTGACCATTCCGGGGTGGGCTGCTACGATCTTCTTGGCGCCATCCACCGCAGTCTTCTTGCATCTGCCAACAGCTGGGATCTTTGGTGGGGGGAATTTTCCGCCACCACTCGCTTTTGGGAGGCAGCATTGGAAGCTAGAGGGGCCAGGGCAAAGTCCGGCTTGGGTGTTTCCGCTTGAGCAAGCGGAGGTGAAGCGGCAGTTGCCGCCATCACCACACGAGGTCTTAGAGCAACATTTGATGCCGATAGGAAGGCCGGGACAGGCATTGGAGATGTAACTTCCACCAGCTTTGGTGCAGCTGGAGGTTGAAATGCAAATTCCGGGTGCACCTCTAGCACCAGTGCAGGGTCCGTTCAGGGTGGCTGCCTGTACACCGCTGAGGGAGAGGATGGCATAGGAGATAAATTGAGTGAGCTTCATGGTGTTTGGTATCGTTTATCATTCACTGGATGATAATAGAAGGATGCCACTCAAGAGGAGCAAGCCAACCGAGTCTTTATATATGGTGAGACCCACCATTTTGAATAAATACCCGTCTCGGTTTCTAAAATAGAATCACCTGTCTTCTTGGAAGTTAGGAGTTAAAGCTTTTCCCGTGTGGTCAGCCTAACCCTAATAATGCCCAGATTTGAGCGCTGGCACAGCTTTGCTTCCTAGCATGTGTGAATGGTATACGAGATGAACCGGTTCGGATGGCCCCGTATCCCTTTCTTGGGTTCCTTTAGTGTAGCACTGCATATTGCCTTGGATATTCCGGTGGGGAGGTGGTCAGGCTCGAGCTTGCTGGGGAACGGGGAATGCATATGGGTATTCTTCTCCCTCTCCGCGGTTATCGCCAACTTCCCAGCGACGAAAGCGAGGGCAAGACAACACCACTGGTGAAAAAGTTATACACCCCACGTGGCATACCAGGCCCAACGGGGCATTATATCAACACTCTGCCATTAGTTAGTCAGCCATTAACTATTCCGTTCGGATGGAGCATATGGAGCCCCGAAAGTCCACCCCTACATTCGGTTAAGAGCAGCCATTGAATACCAGACTTCGGCCTCTTATGTTTACTGCAGTAGAAGCTAACGAGGAGCCACGGTGTAATGCTTTTTGCATAACCTTGCGGAATAGGACAGCACATGACAGGTGCTGACCCGTGGACCAAAATGGTGGCGTCATTCAAGCCGGGAGCTGCTTCTCAGGAAATAGCCAAGTTATTCTTGTATGAAATGTATTCAAGGAGTGATAATATACAACAACAACCATGTGGTGAATCCAAATGGCACCTATAGCTGGATAATCGTGACCTCTGAAGATCATACTTGGCAAATTGTGGGGAGCACAAGGCATCGCATAAAACCACGGTTGTGCCTCGAAGCTAAGTAGAGGGCTGAATACGAGCCTTAGGCGGGTGAGGTCATGCAAGTGTTGAGCCATGAAAGTAACTGCTAACTGGGCGGCTTGAGAGGAGGCTTTGAGTGCCCACCTACGTTAGTGCATCGATCGAGTAGTGTTGGTGAGGGTCCACGCAGAAATGGTCCAGAATGCTAAATGGAGACATTGGAGTTCGGTGCAATGGCAGCGATCATAATGGATGATAGAATATCAAGTGTCATATAGAGTATATGCCATAAGATATGCGGGATGGGGGCGGCCAGAGAGCGGCGTTAGAGCGTTGAAGTGATTTTCGAAACCTTAAAATAGCACCGTATCCAAAGCCATCGGCTCCATCACCGGAGTAATTCGTCAATCCGTCGAATGGCCGTGTTGCTCTTTTTCAGCATTCCCAAACAAAACGGCCGAAGCCCTCGGAAAACTCCTATAAAAATGGAAGTTCCACCGCCTCCCCATCCACCATAAAACGACTCCAAACGCCGCGAATGAAGCTCGGCTAAATGCTCACTGAATGTTGCAGCCATGCCATCCATATTTATCTCCAAGGAACTCCCAAGCCAGGAATTCCCGATCGTCCAATAGCGGAGCCGGCACTATCAACAACTTTTCTCTTCCCTCGTGGTCCTTCTAGCGCTCTAGCCCCTTGGACGATCCGCTCGAGGTTCGTTTCTATCACCACGCCTCCGACAATCATCTCTCCTAAAACCGCATGCATCGTTTCGTAGCCAAAAATAAGATCAAGTTCGCATACATTCTCAAAGAGGCGGTCCAGGGCTTCAACAAACACTTGGATCAAGTCTATCAGGGCAAGAGGTGACTCTGTTGATGTAGATATCAAGATAAAAGACAGTGTGGCATAGGTTCGGTATGTGATTTGGGTGGGTGCATCGGAGTGGCTACCAGCAGAGTTGTTGCTCGCGCCTTGCGAGAGCAAGGGAGGCAGCGGGAGGAAGTTGCATGCTGAAGCAGGACGCTGGGAGACAAGTGTGTATATCTGCGATATGAGTGACTGCTGGGTTTGTGTGTCCTGAAGGTCATTTTCATGTTAATTGAGGATCAAGTGGCTGCCTTCGGGCGTGTCTGCGTAATTACCAGCTGAGTATAGAACTTTGTTAGCCTTGGCTGGCCACTATTATTAAACACAAGCACTGCGTTAATCATCTTTTGCGTCGCTCCTTTATTCTCTATGTATATATCGTGTATTCTCAGTTGCGTTCGCTCTGATATCTCGAGTCTTGCCGCAGGTTTGCGATGTCCAAGCGAACTAACTCACGAGTTTGGTGTTATCGAGGGCTTATCGGCATATCTTGGCATGTTTGCTGCTGTTTGCCTTGTTTGCTCTCGTCTTAACATCGCAAACTCGCAAACTTGAGCTTCATCGATTCTTCAAAGACGTTCCAGCTACCTTCTTGAATATCACGCTCGTTATCTGATATATTGCCGTTTGCTAATCATCATAATATCTGTTCCTAGATAAGCTAGGGCTCTCGACCCATGAGCACCCCAACCCGATAATGGCTACACGCCCTGCGTTAACTCGCATTTCCAGACGTCTCGTTAAGCCTATACTCCCAGAGCTACCAAAAAGACAACCATCGAAGTCTGGTGCGCTCGACAATGGTGCCTCTTCCAGTACAGTGGAATCCTCGAAAATAGGAAAGCAACCTAGTTGGAGAACAAAACTTCAGCCGGAAGAATACTGCTCCTACAGAGACCCTACAATTCCAGTGCCTGAACAACTTGAATATGCAAGGCGGTTTTTTGCCAAATCAAAACATTCACCTGTCCACCTTTGGACAACGAACCTATTCCGTAAAATACCCGAATCGGATGTTCCCGAGGTGGTGTTTATGGGCCGGTCAAATGTGGGCAAAAGCTCGGTAATTAACATGCTGGTTGGGGAGGACATCTGCTATACCTCAGCAACGCCCGGACGGACACAAACTATGAATGCATTTGGAATCGGAGGAACGAAAGGTGGCGAAACAAAGATTAATATAATCGACTCACCTGGTTACGGCAAAGCTAGTAGACCGGAATGGGGTCATGAGCTGATGAAATATCTAAGTAAAAGACAACAGTACGTAGGCTCTCGTTCTCGCTCTGACAGTAATTGTGAGATTCTTCTAACTATTCCCAACCTTGACAGACTCAGAAGAGTATTTCTCATTATTGAGTGCAAGGCCGGTGTTAAGAATTCAGATAAGGAAGTCCTTTCCATCCTTCGAGAATTTACTGTCCCTCATCAGATTATCGTCAGTAAGGCCGATAACTTTATAACCGAAGGCAGGGCCGGAAACCAAGAGGCCCATCGTACTGCTAGTTTGAAGCAGTTTAGACAAATTATTTCTCGGATAAGAAAGGAGGTTACTCCGACTTTAGAAGAAGGGATTCCACCTCTCGGGGACATTTTGGCCTGCAGTAACAAAATTCGGATTGGAGAAGGCCATAATAAGCATCCCCTGGGTATTGATGCATTACAGTGGTCAATCCTACAGGCTGCTGGTTTTGACTATCAACCGTCCCACACATTGTATCCCCAGTAAAGTCGGACCTGGAAGTGGTTTAACAACCACCTGACTCCCTGGCTTGTCGTGTTGTCATATTATCTCTGCGACTTTTGTGCCAGAGTACTCGTCGGAGTTTTTGGGATTTACGTTCATGTTTATAAGTGTGAAGACAAGAGCAGGTGGTTTGAGGTCAATATAGAGGCTCTAAGGCAATTTGGCGTTTGTTTTGTATATCCTCGCAGCTAATTTGTACTTAAGAAACCTTTGAATACTATTTCCCGCTCAATTATAACATACAACTAGCTGGACATTAGTAAGAAGTAAGGGGTTCTTTGGGCAGCTGGAGGGCCAACACTAGGAATCAGGCATGAGGTAGACATCAACAAATAGGTGAAACGTGACATAAAGTGGTACTCATACAACCGCATTGGTGGGCTTATAGCTCAAGCAAGAAATGAATAAAACGCAAAGGGGTATGTAGATGACACGTAGAAAACAAATGAAAAGGGGAGAGAAATCAAAATCAAACGGCTAACCGCCCCACATCTTATGAGAAACAAGAGAGTAGGCTCGCAACTCTCGAGGTGGGCGAAAAACAAAGTAACTCCATTATCACCGATGAACAAGTAAAGGGGTAGTATCCGAGTATGCGAAACCGTCACTAAAGGGCATAAAATGCATGTCGTCCACGCTATGCGATGCATCATTGGGTTGAACGCGTATTTGGTAAAGGGGGAAGGTATCATCTAATAATCATTGAATGTGCTCGAATAATGTTTGGGTATCTGGATGTGGTGTTTGTTGTAAGGGTGAATGTGAGACTGTGCAGAAGCGTCGGCCAGACCTTTGGGTTGACTGGCTATTCAGGTTGTTGGAAGATATGTAGGTTTAGGAATCCGAAACTTCCTCTTCTACAGGAGGTTTGGCGTCATCGCTAATTTCTTCGCCATTTTCATCGACGACTATGCGCTGGCCAAGTTTGTGTGCAGGCGTTCCATCACGATAGGCACCAAAATCAAGAACCTGTAGTATATTGTTAGTTATTGAATGCAAAAATGAGAAGGTTATCATGATTATATGCGAACCTCAATGTATGTAAGGCGATTTCGCTGAACAGCTGCAACGCATCGTCTATCATTGAATCTAACTTGCCAGACTCCGCTGAGATCAGTGAGAAGGTCCTTCAAACACTCCCCGGTTTTCACGTTCCACATTTTCAACGTCCTATCAGAGCCAGATATGACTTTCTGAGAATCATGTTGGAAGCAGGTGATGGCATTTGTATGTGCTGTCAATGTGTTCTTGCATTGACCATTCTCGGGATCCCAAATTCTTAAGGTATAATCCGCTGCAGCGGAAACGAGGCGACCGGCATTTAAATCGAGAAGGCCAACAAGTGACGTATGCCCTTCCAGATTATAGAGGACAGCACCAGTGTCGAGGGACCAAATTTTGACCATGTGGTCCATTGAACCACTAATGCAGCGGTTTCGTTTATGATCCAGAACCACACTGTAAACCTTAAAACTGTGGCCTTGAAGGCAATGAATGGCCTCGCCAGTGGATATTTTCCATACCCTGACGGTGCAGTCATAACTTCCACTTACTAGGGTATCGCCGTGGGCGGCAATGGCGCGGACTGAGTGCGTGTGCCCTACCATCACTCTAACGAAGTAGGGGCAAGTCCCATCATCCTGTGCAGGGCCCGCCTGGAAATATGTGGGATCGCTGGGCTTTGGCAGCGTCCAGACTCTAAGCGTCGAGTCACGGGACCCAGTGATAATCAATGGTTCCTTGGGCATCATCTCCGGAGTGCCATCTGGAAGAGTCCCGACCTCCGCTGGTAATAAAATCTGCAGGCATCTAACAGTAGACGTATGGCCATGGAAAATTTGCGTACATTTTGCACTTTCGATATCCCAGACGCGGACGGATCTATCCGTCGACCCTGAAACAAGAGTGTTACCGTAGTATTCGAGGGCCCAAACACCTCCCTCATGGCCCTGAAGGGTTGATTGAAGGGCTCCGGTTTTGGTGTTGTAAACATTGATATTTGTATCGTCACTTCCGGTTAAGATCTTGTCAGTATCAAACTGCAGGCAGGTAACGACATGGCGGTCATGAGCACGAAATGCAAGATGCAATGGTTTCGCATCTTCACGCATCCAGTTATGTTTTATTGAATAATGTCTCTGATAGAGTGTCTTGTAGAGATGGAGGCTCTTCAGGGAAGGTAAGCCAAAATCTGGGTAGGGAACAGCCATAGCTGCTGCATTGGCAGCAATAAACGGGTTTTCACTAGCTGTAAGCTGTTCTTGGAGCCATGGAGTGGCTTTATCTTCGGAAGGAGAAGGAAGAACTGTTTCCGCCCGTTTGGCAGCTCTTCGACCGCTTAGATGAGCTGTGGCCTTGCGTTTCAGTCTCCTTGGGGACGGAGAAAACGGCGTGGGAAGGGTGGCTATCTTAGAGTCTGTAACGTCAGGATGCCATGCGCTTGACGAAGAACATTCGCTATCAGATGATCTGAAAGATTGGTTGCGGAGGTCCTTTTCACCATCACTGGGGGACATAGAGAACTGCCACCCCCATCCTTGTTCAATGGCTTGCTGTAACTCCCCAGCAGGGAGAACAAATCCATCAGCAACAAAATGAGCCTTCCATGTCTTTTCATCCGAATTGATGATGTGCCTCCATTTTCTGCAGACCTGGGAAGCTCGACACATGGACTTCACATCGAGATATTTCACGATATTTAAACCAAGCTCTAAGGGTAGGTTAGATAGAAAGTCGCACTTTAATGCAGGATTGACAACATTTGCAACAAGATGAAGGGTTGATTTTGGACATCTGCGGAGGAACTGGTACATCATGTACGATTTGAGCTCATCTGGTATCGCTTCAAAGGAGCTCAACATGTTCGGCATATCGAGCACCGAGGAGTTTGGCGACAATGGCATACAACCTCTGCTGGCAATTTTCTTGCTGTAGTCCATTATTTTCTTGGCCTTCTTTGTGCGGATGCCCTTATTGCTAGGTTTCGGCAGCTCATCCAAACTTGAATCTGCACCTCCGTCATCTGTTGAATCCGACGCTTCTCCCAATCGTTGTGCGTTCATGAGAGCTATCGGAGAGAGGCTGGGACTTGGCAAGCACATGTTTTGTGAATTTGAAGGTTCTAACCCGAGTAATCCTTGCTTGTTGCGTCGCGACTTTACCTGAAGCTTCATTTTCATGGACTTTCGTAAATTGCTATCAATCGAACCATTATCCAGCTGGGTATTACCACGACGGCCAGCCGCCTGCGTTGGAGCTGTGCTAGACTGCTTCTCTAGAAGTGGGGACTTTTCTAGACCATCTCCACAACTATCCCCGTTGCTATCTTTATCTGAAGGTGCTATGGGGCTAGCTATTCCAGAGACACTTGGTGGCTCTTCATGGTATTGTTTCCCAAGCATTGAACGGGTTCGTTGGCCACGCTTCCCCTTATTGCAGTGTAAAAAGCTTGTATTCTCTGTTTCGGGAGTTGCTAGGCCCAGTTCCCGCTGGGGTAAATCATAACGTCGTGATAAAACCGTTTGCTCTGAACCAGTTTGCTGTAGTTGTTCTTCAGAAGAATTATGAATTGTTGCAGGAGTTGGCTTGGCAGTAGGGTTAGAAGTGGGAGATGGCGGTCGTCGTGTGTCTGAAGATCTTGGGGGTCGACTTCGAATTAGAAGGTTGGAGTTTGAAGCATCAGGTTTGCTACTTTCTGGCGCGTCTCTAGACATCGAACGAATAGCTCCTGAGGATTTCAGCGATTCCTGTTGCTCATTAAACTGATTTGACACGTCAGTATCTACTACAAAAAGTTTCCACCTACAAAGGTATCGAATAAAAATTCTTACTTTGCTCAGAATTCCTGGAACATCGTCCGCTTCGTGAAAAATAACTGATTTCCCATTCAGAACAAAGCGTATGTCCCGAAGGGGCGCTGGGGTCGGCATAGAAGCTAGCGGGTAAACCTTTGGGTCTAACTGTCCAGAAAATCGAGGAGGTCTCATCACAAATGGCGGAAATTTGGTTGTAGTGGTTGTAGTGGTTGTCACAACAGTAGTTTGGGTGGCTGGAGCAAACGAGAACTGGCCCACGGTGCCGCTTGATGGTATGCAGTCGTCTGACTTCTGTGCTGTGTCTTCCTCTGATGCCGCGTTAAAACTGGACGTAACGGTAGGTTCTGGTAACGCCGATTCGGCATCATTTGGCGGTGAGTTGGCGGGTTTCCGCGTGGATTTCCCAGATAGTGGAGACATATTGGTCGTTGTCGAGTTGTGTATCTTGTAGAGGCCGCGGGTGAAATTGAGATATTGGGTTTTTTGTTTTTGGTCTTTCGTTCGTTTTTTCCCTTTTCTTTTCTTCTTTTATCTGATTTGTGGCACATCCAGAAGACATCAAATATAAGTGGTAATAATATTAGGACAAAGCGTAGGATAGATGCTGCGGCCAGGGAAAGGGAGACGCCCTTTTCAAGCGGTTCGAGGTGACGGCAACATCCAGTCTTCGAGAGGGCTTCTTCAGATCATGTCTAGCAGGAGGCCTCAGCAATCTAACATGAGGGTGCAGTTATGGAAGACAAAGCCGGGACGGTCGTGGTAGGGCAACGAGGGGTGGGTTGTGATGCAAACACGGCCAGTCCTTTTTACATCGGAATCGACCTGCGCGGATTAGTATTCGGCAACATGCCGTAGATGCAGGATGGGGGCGTACAGTAGACGACAGAAAAACACTATACAAGCAAAGCAAACGCTATAACAGAGAGGTATCAGATATCTGTCGCGAGGCTGTCAACGCGGCCTGTCGAGATATTTTGATAGATGGATGAGGGGAGCGAGCGAGCAGAAAGAAGGAGAAGGCGGCGAGACCTTCGTCGGTCGGTCGTGGCTGGCAGAAAAGAAGCGCGGTGAGAAGACCCGAAACCGGTTTAGCGCGTTCCGGGCCCAGCTTCCCCCATATAAATTTGATTCATTAGATAAGATTAGAGTGTCTCCCCCAAGGACAAAGGCGAGCATATAGCAAAAAGGGGGATGAGACGAGACAGGGGAAGCAGTGAATAATCCAGCGGCTCTCTCCCTCCCAGCTTGTCACTCGCTACGGACGGCGCCGGCGTGTAACTAACTGCGTCCGTCTCTCCCTCCAGAGGCGTGGCAAGGCGTCTTCGGGGCGATGTCTGTTGTGGGTTTTGCCTTGCTTCACGTGCAGCAGTAAAAGCTGCTGTTTTTCCCACAGCTGCACGGAGCAGAGAGGGAAAAAGGAAGGAGGAGGACCAATCACCGGAGAGCCGATGGCCTCTCCTGCATGATGAATGATAACTCCGGAACGAGCCTGATTTTCTTCTCCCAACAGTCCAATACGGTCACCTCAGGCATAACTAGTCGCAGCCCGCTGCTGTTGAGCTTTGGGGTTCTTTGTTTTTATTTCTTCTCGTCTTGATTTGTTTTTCAAAAGCGCAAGGCCTTCGATACTGATAAGCCATGTTGAGAACAATTGGAGGCTGCAGGGCTGCTTACACGTTGACCTCAACTTCCATGCAAGTGGAGACGACCTTTTGCGTCATGTTCTCATGCCGAACAGTCTCCATTTCTTTGCTGCAAGATAATTGCTTGCCTTGACAAGTTTTGGATAGCATCAGGTATCAACAAAGTCTCAGCATTAGTCCGCACATTGTGGGTGATACCCTCCTGCCTTCCTTGTGGCTCGAACTTCGCTGGTCCTGGCGGCAGTAAATATTCAATGCCTTCGAAATTGAGCTATGCCTCTGCATTTTTTTTTTTTTTCAGTATATCCCAGTCTTCAGGCATGGTGGAACATGCCTGGCATGTTCTTCGATTAGTATATGCCCTGAACTAGCATTTGCTACTCCAGCGGCGTAACATTTTCATGAACGGCGATACCCTATGCAGTTTATCATTAATCCTTGTGGTCTCAATGGATACCTCGATAATGTCTGCTATATCTGTATTTGTTGTATCAGGTGTCTTCATGAAAATTCCCTCGATTACAATGTATGGGGCTGATTTCTGAAGTTGAAGTAGAATTTGCCGCATTGGGAATTCACATGACATGGCCCGATTGGGATATTCCTTACTCTTCTTCTCAGCTTCAACGCGTAACTTCAAGTTCTTTTCCTTTTCGAACGTCCATGAAGAAGCATTATCACCAGCTTAAGTCTTAGAGCAATCATGGCACAGGCAGTCTGTACACGGCCGGCTCGACAGACTGCGGCAGCAGCTACCACAACGACCTCCGTGGCTTCGGCCACTACTCAGAGAAAGATCCAAGGCCAACATGATGCTAACGGCCCGGTTGCCAAAACCATCCCAAAGTCACTATCTCTCTGTCAACGTCAGTCTCTAATGCAGAAGCAAAGTCTTGCGTTTGCCCAGATTATGCTACACGCTTCAGTAGGTTATCTTCCCGTCTTTCTGGTATAGACAACCATGCAGGGGTAGCTAATTGTGTGGTAATAAGTTCGGAACGCTGTTCTACCTTAGGTATGGTAGAAATGATTCGGAGTACAAGCAGATTACTAAATACCACACAATCTAGAGAATTCTTGCCTTTATCTTGTTTCGGGGAGCGAGACCTTCTCAACCTAAAGCGGCCGGACTCAAACATATCGTATGGTGACTTTGTTGATGGCTGCTCTGGTTCAGAAGCTGAGGCCGGAAAACGTGGGCAGCCGTTGAAGATAATTCTACGGGGCCGTAACCCAAAGGCTGATAGTGTTTTGGACCTGCTTGTTAGATCTTTTGCCTTTCTAAATTTGTTGTCTTAGAGTTTCAGCTGACTTTGCTTAGGAACATGGGATTTTTGACGCTCTTGAAAAAAATGTCCTTGAGGCAGTCCAACTTACGGTATTCGTCGATAAGGAAAACCCCTCGCATGTTCTAGAAACCTATACGTTTTCCTTTAACTACACAGAGGGAGGCATCAATGAACTCAAAAGGGGGCTGGAAGCAGTATCTCTTGAGACGAATGTGCTAACGACTGAAACCAAAACTTTTCGAACCGCAAAGCAAGGCTTGGAGATGATAATCCGAAGGCTCATAACTCTGAGCACTTTTCTCCCTATTCTACCAAGTGAGAATATGCCTGCACTTTCCAGTTTGGTGTTCTGTACTAACAATGAATAGACAAACGATTTCTGGAGATCCATCTTTTTTATACTCAAAATTGCCCACAGCAGTACGAACCTCGTGGATTCAAACATACAACTCACGATCAGATATTATACCCTAAAGATGACAACTGGAGTAAAGAAACACAATCGTGTGGTATAATGGATGCCGGCTGCCACAGGTGAGCGAGGGCTTTCTCCTCTAGGGAATTTATTGCTTTGTGAGGGGTACTAACTGTTTGACGCAAAGAGTTGGGCTTAAAGTTACTTCCCTTAAATGTACCCATGAGGTTGCAGATGATGAGGAAGCAGGGACAAGACAAATTCCAGATACCCTTAAATATTCGGAGAAAGTAGACCGGGAGAGTGAAGTCGGGCTAGTGTGTGAAGAGCCTTCATCCCAATCCCTGACCCATAGCTCCGATGAAAGAAGTTCACAGGAATCAAGACAAGTTCCAGAATCAACACAAACGAGACAAGACGCCATTACGAAGGGAATGTTACAAAAAATGGTGAGGTTATGGTCTAAATATACGAAGTCCTATCGGCTGCTAACTTCGCTTTCATTGGCAGCTTGAAGTACCACCTCCGGACAGTGAATTAATACCAACCCAGGTGGATTCCTACTTAGGCTCTAATCCCTCAAAGACAACCTCAGGTGCTAAACCCTGTTTGAGTCAGGAACAGACATCAAAAATTCAGCAGAGAGTCAATATTTCACAAGCTACCCAAATTGCTGGTGATAAAAACCCGCAAAGTGGCAGGTGCGAGGTTAATTGTCAATGCGGCTGGTCTGAGCCAGAGCCATATATGGTATAACTTAGTCTTGTTGACCTTTACTTCAAGTTTGACCCATTCTAATGTGTTTTGAGTAGCTTGAATGCGATTTTTGTCATACCAGGCAGCATTTGACGTGTTATGGATTTTTACACCCCAATGACGAGAAGATTCCCGCCACACATGCGTGTTATACGTGCCTTTTAGGATCGGACGAAAGTAAAGTCTTCAGGCAAATCGAAACACTAGTGTTGCTCCGACAGGCCCTCAAAATAATTATCGAAGATGGCTATCCACTTCGGGTCAAAGAATTTGCCCAAAGACTACGTAAGCATACCCTGCCCTACTTGGGCGTATATATACTCACCGTTACATAGACTGTAGTGGAAATGAGGTTGTGCAGATTACAGACTTACTTAGAAAGAACGGGTTTCTTGAGCCAACTCCAGGTTCAAAACGGAGGGGATTTGCAGAAAAGGGTCTACCGAGGTTCCGAGTTCCAGATTCAGAGAATATCAGGCATCGACTGAGGAATGAGATCTTCAACCCTTTGGCCAAAATCTCACACCACGTACGTACCATGCCTACTAGCCCAAGGTATCAGTACTGATAATATTTCTATATAGTACATGATACCATCCACTCAAGACCCTCAACAGAATGGTGCCCGTCCTGCTGCTGTTCCCACTGCCCATATTTCGAGTATGAAGTCAGGAAATATGCTAAGTAACCACACTAACCTCCAGCACAAAAGAGCGGCGAATGTCCAGACTATTGCAAATTCGGAGCCTATTGTTATTAGCGAAGACGAGGATGACAGCATTGCCATGCCTCGTGCAGCCCCTAGCGTGGCTCCTTCGAAGTGCCAGCACATATCATCTATGGGAAATGGGGGCCGGGCTGAGCGTGATAATGCTGCGACTACCAGCCCTCCATCGTCTCCTCCGCATTCCCAATATTCACTTGCATCCCGTGCCCAAGAGGAGCTAAGGAGAGGCCTGAGATATGGCGGTGGAAGGACCCGGCCTCTGGTTGACACCGAGTCGCAGGTTGCCTCTGTGAATCAGCCTGTAAAGCAACAGCCATTGAAACGGCGTAAACTTAGCAATGCGGCCCATCCCATTGACATCGGCGACTCTGCTGCAGAAGAGAGCGGTTAAGTATTTAAGCGGTTGCTGGATTTATTGCCTGCTAACGCAGTCAGCTGCCTCTCTTCTCGTGTTCTTCCTGCACTGCACTGACGCTTCATCTTATCGTCTATCTCCCCCTCAGTTATTTCGTCCATCTACGGAGTACGGAGTACTCCGCACATTTACTGATGTATATTTACCTGAGTTCATATCCTTTTGCCCGGGTCACGCCGATGGGTGCATATCCAATTTACCCCATCTGTTTAATATGCCGTTATATGGAGTACCTTTAGCTACAACACCCCCGTTTGACCTTATTTAGCAGTGCGAGAAATCGAAATCTCCTATGTGCCGGACGTGAGGTAACCATATTTATATCTGGGCCATGAAACAGCGTCTAGAACAAGACGAATATCACAACGCTGATCTGCTGTCTATTGAACTCTCGCTTGGCCGATCTCCCTTTCCGTCGAAGCACCTCTTGAGCCCCAATTCGCTCCCTTGCCTTCGCCACCATAGAGGACGAGTGATGATGGGCGGCGCGCTTTGGCCTCAATTCGGCCTGGAGCATTCAAATACGAGTTTTATATTTGCTCGTGGAGGCAATAGAGTGTAAATTATTCCCACTGAGGAGTTCTCAGGACGGGCTTGGTCCGTTGTTATCCCAATATTCCTTTTTCTAGTGGAATATTAGTTAGTGAGTTAGCCAGTGAACGAGTTATCAAATTCTCCATCGGTTCGTCATTTTGCATAGGCGGCCTCGCAGGCCATACTCCGTAACTCCATCCCCTTGATGACGCCGCCACTTCGCCACGAAATCATAATAATAATAAAAAAAATGCAGACGGAAAGAAAAAATGGGGGCAGAATGGAGAGAAGATGGAGATGTGGTATTAATTGGCAGTCTTCACAAGGTGCATGCATATCCGAAGGGACGCAGGGTAACTACTCCGTGAGTGTACTGCTAATTTCAAAATTAAAGACAACTTGGCATGATAGTTAGCTAGTTATTATTCGAGATTATTATATGGTTATCGGCTATTAAGACTACTAGCATCGGAGCTACTGCAAGCAAGACATTTTGATATCACCCTGTTATTATTATTATTATTATTATTATTATTATTATTATTATTATTATTATTGATATGGAGAATAAGATAATAAAAACCATGTCGAATTAAGCTTCTTTGACGAAAGAGCTCGATCAGATTTACCCCAAACATGCTTATGGCGATCATATGGCGATTATGAGCCGGGTTAAGCTGACCTATGCCCATGGATGCTGAAATGGTTTGATTGTCATATAGTGCCAGTGAATTAAGAGGCAGGATGGGGATATCCTACAAAACATTTGGATAAACGGCCCATCGCGAAGTGGTCAGTAAGCGGTTGAAAAATGGGTCAGGCCAGGGACAGCCGGTTGAATACTTGAGAGTATAAACACAGTTTTGGAGGCCAGTTCCAGTACTCCGTACAACCTACGGAGTACTCTGCTGCTCTTTTTTGTGGCTTCGGTTTTGCGAAAGTGACAGGAGATGGTGTTGACGATCAGAATTATGAAGCATGCTCCGTATGCACATCGTATGGGGCACCGATTTCAAGATATGCAAGAATGCTTTGTACAACGGACATGATAGGGGAGAGGGGGAAGGGAGGCTCTCTGCTGCTCGCCCGTTTTGGTTGATATACTGACCGTCTCCCCCCTCAGTGGCAAGGAAGATAGTCGTTGTTCCGGGTGCCACAGAGGACAAAACAGAGAGAGACACGGAAGAGAGGCCTGTCCAACCTCTGGGTCGACCGTTAAAGTTAGGAGTAGCCAGTGTTTCAACCTCCCGTAGTCGGGAGACAATCGTTCAAAGCGTGGGACGCCACGTTACTCTATAGTATCGACACGCATACACATACACACACCAAGAGGGTCGGTCTATAACTATGTAAGTATATTGCGTATGCATGTACAGAGGTCGTTCGATGCCAGCGACCGATCGAGATGATGCACTCGGCCGTAATCGTCTTTGGATCAGGAAATGACCCTGGTAAATCTTGCGAATCGATTCAGCTATGGGGCCCTGGGGATAGAAGTAAGTTAGTTAATATATCTGCTCTAGGTAGCTATACTCGAATCGTGATATGGTGACAAAATGAGTATGCCCAGTCGTTTGAGATTTGATCCCAGCAAATCGGGGGCAGCTCAGGATCCATATATATGGTTAGGTAGACTATCAGCAAGGAGACACATGCTTCTCCCCCCCTGAACGTTGAATCCTTTTGACGCCGGAAGATGTCTTTTTCAGTCCTAGCTCTTGCGGCTCTCCCGTGCCTGGTTGGCTGAAGCGGTGCCCAGGGCTTCTTCTTGCTCCTCTTCCTGGCCCGTCAATCACGTCTCAGCCCATCTGGCTGGACATGCGTGGCCTTGTCTGCCGTTCTGCCGTTCTGCCGTTGTTTTTATGTAACTGCATCGTACTTTTTAGAAAGAGATCTCGACAGCCTGGGCTGGCGTAGACGAGGAGCTGCTGCCAACGGGAAGGACTCCCGTCTCGTAAGTAATGCAGCGACTGTCATGGCCCTGGTCTCTGGAACCCGCAAGCTCCAGTCAATTGTGTTTCAGGTTCCCTTTTCCCTTTCCTTGGTAGGCCAGTTTAATTAATCCTAGACCAACCAGCATCGGTACGGAGCATATTTCTCCACAGGCACAGAACGGGTCGAAGCCGAGGAGCTCCAGCAGGGGGCGGTCCAGACGCACAGGAAGCGTCGTGATGTAATGGCCAGACATCTTGACGCTTGAAGTTGTTTGGGGGTACGGAGTAGCAGTCCTGTTGATACGGAGTAGCGAAGGGCGCAGAGTCTCATAACTAGCGGACAGCACTGAGTAGTCATGGCATCGACTGATTCTCTCCCCGTAAAAATAACTGCTAGATGCTCTTCCCATGCCCTCTCGCATCTTCAAGCCCCGAGGGGGGGACCGGGGGGGGGGGGGGGGGGGGGGGGGGAGGAGGCATCAGCTTCAGATATCCCTTGCCCGATCTCCAATTTGTGCGACGATCCTCACTGGCGTTACTTTGGCGCAGTGCAGCGTAAAGGCTAGCGAAAGATGAACCCTGCAAGCCCCCGAAGGAGCCTAAAAAGAAGCAAAGACGAGCAGCGAGAAGAAGCAAAAGCGGACCCAAACGGCGGCAAGGAGAATATTTTTGGACCTGGAGAAAGGAGGCAGGCGAAGCAGACAAGCCAGAGCAGCGCTGCGAGAGCCGGCCATGCCATGCAAAGGCCCTCTGCCTGTGGTATCGTCGCCCTCTCGTTGCTTTTTCTCTCTCTGCGGCCGCGCTGCTGTGCGCACCCCGTACATATATCCCGCTTTTTCTTCGCTCCGTCTCCTCTCTGCCGCCTCTTTGTTGGGCATCAGGCACGAGTTCCTCCTTCGAGAGCGCCTTGGACCAGTCTGCTTGTGTTTTCTGACCGTGGTTGTGCCGACAGAGTTCGTTCCGCGCGGTGATGCTGCTGTCTCTTCTCCCGCAGCCGTGATATCTCAGATAGTTCTCCCCCAGACCGACCAACCTCCACGCCAGGCCCGAGAAAAAAAAAAAAATAATAATAATAATAAAATAATACCAGATTCTTGCCAGAGACAAGGGGGAAAAAAGAAAAGAAAATTGAAAAGGGGACTTCTTCATAGCGAAAGAGCCTTCAATAGCAGCCAGGTCGTGCAACTATTTCCTCTCGCATGGTTGGCGGATCTGCGACTTCGCGCTGTTCTGGAAGCACAAGGGAGGCCCAGATGCTGGCATAAACCACGCTGCTGGCCATTGCAGATAGTCGCTATACATACGGAGTACAGGCCGACGCTGCAGACAGCCGTCAGTCCTCGATCGTACAGACACACATGTTTCACACGGGCAGCATGACGCTGGATATCCCCCCGCGGATGTCGAGCGCTGGCCACCACCACCACCAGGACCGGCAGCAGTACCAGCAGGAGAATGCCATAGGGATCATCGAGCGTGCCTTCGACTCCTTTCCTGCTACGCCGAGCCCCGACCTGGCCCTCTGGAGGGAGCACAAGGGGGGGTTACGGGAGACTGAGATGGAGACTGATGCGGCACCGCGAGCAGAGAGCTGTGCGTCAGACCTCACGGGGGGTTACAGCATAAACCGGACGGGCCGTCTGGACGAGGAGGTAGATATAGAGCCGGTCAAGGAGCACAAAGTACGGCCACGTCTTTCGTCTCCTTTTCTTCGGCACGTCACAAGGAAGACATCGTCGAACTTGAAACAAGACTCGCTGCGGCCCTCCGAGCCCTCCTCCTCCTCCTCTACCTCCCAGGCCGTCAATCGCTCTCAAAAGTCTTACCATACAAACGGAACCTCTTCCCAGGACCTTGCCTTAAGGGACTATCCGGCCGGGGCCAGCCAGTCTACTACAGACCTGTCGACAGATCACAACTCTAGGGGGACTTCTTCACGCAAGGCACAGAATAAACAAAAGCATCGGCCACCCATGATTGACCTGTCTAAACTCTTCCCTAGACAGCGCAAGGCGCCTGTTCCTTGTCCTCCGTCTCCTGACCGGGCAGATACTCCCCCATCGATCATGTCCAATGGGTCGGACGCTTCTATCTACAAGACTCACAAGTTTGAAAAGGCCCAGCGGGCCCTCGACCGGCTGACGACCAGATCTCCAAACTCAGGGAAACTGGACATGATACAGTCGGAGTACCGGCAGGAAGATGATCTAACACCTGTCCAGGCGCCTCTGGACCGATACCAATCTACTTCATCCCTTCAGGAACCCTTCAATCACCAAAAGGATCAGAGCAATCAGCAGCAGAAGAAGCAGCGTCAGGAGAAGGACAAACTAGCAGAAGACACGGGGGAACGTCTCACTGACCGCAAATATGAAGGTAACTGGCGGGATTTCAATTACAAACGGAAGAAGCTTGACTCGGCGTGGTATGATGGCGCTGGACACCATCTAGTGGATGACGATATGGGTATCCAACCGGGAGACCAGGTCGAGGTCATGTATGGGCAACTGCTGTCCAGAGATCCAGCACCCGCGACGAGAGAACGGCGTTCAATGAGCTTACCTTCTCGTCAGCCTAGCATTCAGTCCGGAAAGCCGGGCTATGGCCGTCTTGCAGTACCGAACGGATCAACGCAGAAGCCCAAGACCTCGTCAGGGTCAGTGAAATCGGCTTCAATGGCAAATTCAAACTCATACAGCTCCCAGCCAAGTGTGAACACCGACTCCCGGCCAGCTGGGAAATCAGACAAGGAGAAGCCAAGGATAAGGAAAAAGAGCAGTCGTGCTATTTTGAATGCTTCCAACCTGAACGAGTCGAGTGTTCTCTGTCTTTCCTCATCCGAAGATGAGAGTGAGGATGAATCGTCTGACCATACTACCGGGCTAAGGGATAGTATCACCACGATTGATGAAGGCTTCCAGATATGCACTGCCAAAGCTGTGACCACCGCCAGTCGGCCGTCCATCAAACGAGTCCGTTCAAGTTCTAAGAAACATCCAGCAAAGAGCGGAACGAGTACGGCAACTAGATCACAGAACGGCGATTCCTCTAGCAGGGCATCTAGCCTTCATCCGTCAATCCTAAGCCCAACGGACTCGAATTTCTCTAGCGGTCGTACCATCCCTGACCGGTTGCCTACCTCCCCCCCTACGCTGCCCCGTATACAGACTCAGTTCTCGCCGGCCGAGAGCGGGCTGTCCCAACCAGGAAATAGAAGAAGCCGTGTCATAGCAGTGACCAGACAAGAGGAATACCTTCTGGAGCTGATAAGACGGAACAAGGGCGCCGTACCGCAGACCCTCTCCCCCGACGGCAGTGCATCGACCAACACCAAAGAATGGGCCAGAGCACTGGCAGCTCAGATGAACCGACGAAGTGCCTCCAGCTATAGCTCTGATACATCCTTCCTACGACTCAGTCCTGCTCTTCCTCCCACTCCGCTCCAAAAGAGGCCTCCTCGATCCATCCCAAATCCCAGCATTGCATCTACCACTGGCGATGCAGCCAGCTCTCCGTCAGTTCCACAAAGCGTAACTTCAGACACAAGTTACCACACAAGCTTCCAGAGCCCTCCCCCGTTACCCAAAATCAACCTGGTGAATTCCGGCGTCTGCTTCCCTTCTCCTCCATCGGGCCAATCCTCACCTTTCACCCCTCCTGCAGTACCGTTCAAGCATCGCCGTCATTCTTCTCGCATGTCACATACCCCATCCATGCCATCTGTTAGAGAAAGCCTTCGGAATCGAGCCAACACAACTGCTATATACGACGACAACGACGATTGTGAAAAGGACATCGAGACGAATCCTGATATCCCCATTTGGGCATTGGGATGGAACAGCGAGGCCACCGGCGTTGCCATCGTTCATTAAACTACCCGTTTTTTTTTTTTTTTTTTTTTTTAAACCTCTCTCCTTCCTTGGAAATATCTTTCCCCTTACAATCGTTTTGAACTACCAGGCTAGCCGCCTTTTTGTTTACTTTCTTTTATTATTGTACTAACGAGATAACGCTTGAAGCACAACCGGGAGTCTCATTCTTTCCAATCCCGCTTTTCCTTTCTACGGGTTGCCCTGATCTACTGTTACTTGTCTAATTTCATATTGTACCACCAATCTTTGCTCAGCATGGCGGAGTCGGTCGTGTCTGCTTATATCTTTGGATCTCTTTTTGCATCAGTCCATCCATCTCCCAAGCCAGGGTTTTCTTTCCTTTGCATAACTAGCGATTTAAGTATCATCGAGAATATATTTCAGAGATCTCATCTCCATCTTCCAACTCATCCCGTCATGGATTCCGAGGCCACCCCTGACTCAATAGTAGCCCGACAACAGACTGCCCCCTGCCGGGAACAAGGGCCTTCCGCAGCGGTGGAGAGAGCCGCAGGCTGCCAATGATGAAGCCAAAAGATGATGGCCCTGGACGCCCTTTGGCAGTCGATTATTCGGTGTGCAGAGTGTGTCACTGTCTGTCACTACTGTAGACCGTCTTTCTACAACCCGTCGCCATGCAAGGACTCACCCCCATGCACTCTGCAAGTGTGCTGCTCCCTGGCATCTCGTAGGGAGAGACATACATGCATGGACAAGAAAGGCTGCCCGCCCATAGATTCCAACCCCGGAGATATCGCTTCCTAGTTATCGTCTGCACTACAACTCGTAACCCGCCCGAGTGGCGCCCTCCCAGCAGCAGCCAGGGTCGAGCAGAGAGACGCAAGCAGGAAAAGAAACGAAGGAAAAAAGCAAGCATCAAGCAAGCAAGTCCTTGCAGCGCAAAAAGTCAAGCCACTCCTTTTTGTCTTTTTTGTCCTTTTTTTTTTGCTGAGTTACGCTTCTTCATTTCTTCTTCGGCGGATTTGCTGGCTCGGGATCGTGTGACAACTCATCTCTCGCTTGCCTGCTTGCTTCTTTTCAGCTGTCGCTCTTTTTTTTCGCGGTGCAGGCGTCGCCGTTAGTTAGTTAACGAGAATCTCTCTTCTTTGCCGTCGTTCCTCTAGCCCCATCGTCTGGTCCTTCATTCTTCTGCGGCTTGCACTGGGAGCTCGCCTTCGCTGCATCTGCTCGTCCGGCCTAGAAACGAATACACCGGCAGAGGCATGCGTGCTGCTTCTTCGTGACACTGCATTTCTCAACACCCGAATACAGCTGCCTGTGCAGTCGTGACCGTTGTTGCGCCGGGCGGTCCCTTTGTATACGGTACGCACACCGTTAGACGGACAGCTGTGCGCCTTGCACCGAGGACGGACACAAGATGGGCAGAGAGTCGAGGGCGGGGTCGTCGATATGGATGGGAGTCCCAGTGAGGAGCTTCTTGATGGTCCTGGTACGGGGTTTGCGTCTCCTCTGGCTTTGAAAAAGTGCACAGCTGTTATGGACTGCTCACTGACGAATTGCTTTTTGGTTGGAATAGTTGACGGTGCAGTCGTCCGCATACATCCTGGTATGAACATCTACCTCGGAATCCTCCAGACAAAATTTGCGCGCGAGTGGATAGAAGAGCTAACCGGGGCTGTAGCTGCTGCATTACTCCAGGGTTATGCCCGCTGTTGGCGGCCATAGATACACCCCTTCGACAGCCGTCTTCCTCAACGAGGTGATAAAACTCGTTATTGCCCTTACAGCCGCTCTCTACGAACTCTCCTTTACAGCACATACCTCTACGACAGCCACGTCTCTATTTATCACCCTTTCTTCCAAAGTGTTCTCGGGAGATAGTTGGAAATTAGCTATACCCGCTATATTCTACACCATTTCAAACTCGCTTCAATATGTTGCTATGTCCAACCTGGAAGCTGCACGTTTCCAAGTTACATACCAGCTGAAGATTATACTAGGCGCAGTATTCGGAGTGGCAGTCCTGCGCAGGAGTCTAGCGCCTGGAAAATGGGCAGCCCTGTTCCTTCTTTTAGCTGGCGTGGTGATCATGCATCTACAACTCTCATCTGACCCTCTCGATCCTGATAATCACAAGCACGTAAATATACGACGCTCCCTCTCGGATCTATCGGACATCTTCATCGGACGGGCTGAAGAAGAAGCTCCCAAGCTGACAAAACGATCAGCTACATATGAAGGCATTATTGAGGACATGATGCTTGCCCATCCACGATTGAATGCTAACATCGGCGTTCTAGCCACCCTCGGCGCTTGCATCACTTCGGCATTTGCAGGAGTATCCTTTGAAAAGGTTCTCAAAGATAGCCATACCTCCACTTCAATCTGGATCCGAAATGTTCAGCTAGCCATTTATTCTATTTTCCCCGCCTTGTTCATCGGAGTCGTCTTCACTGATGGTGAAACGATTGCTAAGGCTGGATTTTTCCAGGGCTACAATTGGGTTGTCTGGGCTGTGATAATCTCCCAGGCCATCGGAGGACTTGCAACTTCATTCTGCATGACTTTTGCAGACAACTATTTGAGACTTGCACCCGGAGGTATCAGCATCTTTCTGAGCACCTTGGTCAGTGCCTGGTTTTTTGACTTCAGTCCATCGGCAAATGTAAGGCCTCTTTTGAAGACTCCCCTGATCATCGTGTGGTATGTATATGCTTACCAAAATGTAGTTCATCATCGGCACTGCCATCGTTCTCTCAGCTATTTATATATACCTCCCGGGCATGCAATCAGGGATCCCCCCGATCCGCATACATGCGGCGGAGAAATCCGGGAAACCCTCCAAGATAGAGATCGACGAGACCATTTCGTCTCCAAACGACTTTTCTATCAAACTACCTACTACTCCTCTCCTTAACGAGACTGGAATGAGTACTTCTCGACCTAGTTCGCCGAATCGCCACCACTCACGTGCCCACTCATCTAGAGGATCCTATTTCCCGAAGCAAGGTCGTGATAATTAAATCATGTCTATTATTTTCTTGCCCGGTTTTCTATAATCCTCATACAATGCATATATACTGCATATGAACCCCAATTATTTTCAGCCTCTCAATGTGTTACGTCCATTTATAGGAGCATATTCCTCTCCAGGTTCTTCTTTTTAGTCGGCTCATTAGGTGATGTTGTTCCGGGTTATCCAACATGCAGAGCTGCTTTTGTTTCTCTCGAATGGTAAGACTTGTATGACAGATATCAAATGAAACACTTTTTCCTAACAGGTATCAAATTTCTCCCGTCACTTTGCTTGTTCTCCGCCGAGAATCCAGAGCCTTGACACGTGACTTAAACTTTAACTTCAGTCTTGGACTCTGACGTCGTTTTCAACGTCTGAACGTCACTCTTGAAGAATCAACATGAGACAGCGAGGATTGTAGACATCCTTCTTCATAATAGTGGGGGTATATACAATATACTATGCCATGCTTGTCTTGTGCTGATGTTACCCTTACGATTTTCTTTCAATGATACCCTAGAGCTGCGATTCGTAAACCCGAAGACTACGTTGCCAATATCAACATGGTTAGCAGCAGTTCTCAGAGAAATTTTCGCTCTCTGCTCAGCACATTTCGCTCTCCAAGCTATAAGTCTGCCCAAATTCCAGAGGAGAATGATGACTTCGAAGGAACTCCAACAAAAAAAGCATATCGAGAGGGCTCCCTTCTCCCAAACTTCGAAGAGTTCCAGCGCCAACCACAGATACCCAATGCCGAAATTGACGTATTTGATGATGATACCCCCCTGGATGCTTTCGGTATGGCAGCTACGGCGTATCAATGCTGTTGCTATCCTGATAGCGGTATAAGCTAACAGCACGTTTCTAATTGCGGCAGATAAGGAGTTGCTGTCACAGCTAGGTCATGATGCGACGGAACTAGCCGTACCGATGTACGAACCAAAAGTTATATCTCAAACTGAACCTTTCTCAACGCCTTTGCATCGGGGACGCTCCAGTAAATTTAGCAGCTGTATGCGTTGTTCCTGGGAAATGATACCGATGTTTCATATCCTTTACTAACGAGAATAGCAAATACCCTTATAACTCCACCATTTCGACCACTGGCCTCCAGTTCTTCAGACTTTGAATCTCCCCCGAGCCCGTCACTTACCGTTGAAGGAGTCTCTAGAGGGAGATTCTATAGAGAAGGCCTGGACGTCCATAAAAGTCCACATTGGCCATCTACACGGGAAATCACTCCCCCGGTCAGAATTTCCCCTTTCCAGAGACGAGAAATCGTCAAATCTCCGGAAATTCAGTTGAAACATGCACCGCCTATTATACAAGGCATTAGACTTGTATCTACTCGCGAACTCTCAGATCGATTTCGGACTCTCTTCTCTTTCCCACTCTTTAACGCAATCCAGTCGAAGACATTCCCTGTAATATACCATCGGACCGATAATGTTGTCCTATCTGCTCCCACTGGAAGTGGGAAAACAGTAATCATGGAACTAGCTATCTGCAAGCTTGTTTCTGATCTTAAGGATTCACGTTTCAAAGTTGTCTACCTTGCACCTACAAAATCATTATGCTCTGAAAGATTCCGTGACTGGCGCGCAAAATTTGCTCCTCTGGACTTACAATGTGCCGAACTTACTGGGGATACTGATCACTTTCAAATTAGAAACGTCCAACAAGCCAGCATAATTATTACAACCCCCGAAAAGTGGGACAGCATGACTAGGAAATGGAAGGACCACATGAAGCTAATGCAGCTCATCAAGTTAGTTCTTATCGATGAGGTACATATCCTGAAAGAAGCCCGCGGGGCTACATTAGAAGCAGTGGTATCCCGTATGAAGTCAGTGAATTCCAATGTTCGCTTCGTGGCCCTGAGTGCTACTGTTCCAAATTCGGAAGATATTGCAACTTGGTTGGGGAAAGATCCAACAAACCAACACCTTCCAGCTCATAGGGAGCGGTTCGGAGAAGAGTTCCGGCCTGTCAGACTCCAGAAATTCGTTTATGGGTACCAAGCTAATGGAAATGATTTCGCATTCGATAAAGTCTGTGAGGCTAAGTAAGGAACCCGGACCAACTTCACAATATTGGGCTTTAACTAACCAGCCGTAGACTTCCAGAAGTCCTTGCTAAGCATTCGTCTAAGAAACCCATCTTAGTGTTCTGCTGCACGAGGAATTCGGCAATTGCAACGGCAAAATATTTAGCAAAGCTATGGTCCTCAACCAATCCACCTCAAAGGCTTTGGAAAAGCCCTACAAAACCAATCCACGTTCAGAACGCTGATTTGAGCGGTAATAATATATTTTGGTCTTTCCACTTCTTATTGAATGGTCACTAACGAGTTATGATAGGTATTGTTTCCACCGGGGTAGCATTCCATCATGCCGGCCTTGATAGCTCTGATAGGCATACCATTGAAACCAGCTTTCTGAATGGCCAAATAAATGTTATATGTTGTACGTCAACATTAGCTGTTGGTGTGAATTTGCCATGTCACCTAGTGGTCATCAAAAACACAGTATCCTGGCAAGATGGTGGTTGCAAGGAGTATGCGGACTTAGAGATGATGCAAATGCTAGGCAGAGCAGGGCGACCGCAGTTTGATGACAGTGCAATCGGAGTTATACTAACCCGGAAGGAGAGAGTAGCCCATTACGAAAAGCTTGTTTCTGGCTCTGATCCTCTTGAGAGTTGCTTACATCTAAACTTAATAGATCACCTCAATGCTGAAATAGGTCTCGGTACGGTTACAGACGTCGAATCGGCAATTCGATGGCTTCGAGGAACTTTCTTTTTCGTTAGACTACAACGAAATCCCACCTATTACAAATTAAAAGAAGGTGGTAACAGGGCTGATGAAGAGGAATTGCTACGGCAGATTTGCGAAAAGGACCTGGAACTCCTCCAGGAAAATGACCTAGTGACACCAGAGCCTCCGTTCAAATCCACAGAGCTTGGAGATGCAATGGCTCGGTATTATGTGAAGTTTGAAACCATGAAACTGTTTTTGTCTCTGCCTCCAAAAGCAAAAATGTCTGAAATAGTAAGTTAGGAGGCCTTCACTTGTTTTGAAGTTCGGTATCTAATTAATAACTGCCAGCTTTCGGTCATTGCTCAAGCAGATGAATTCCGGGATATCCGGCTAAAGCCTGGGGAGAAATCTCTGTACAAGGAGATAAACAAAGCAAATGGCATCAAATTCCCTATAAAAACGGACATAAATCTTTCGGCTCATAAAATAACACTCCTGATTCAGTCTGAGTTGGGTGCTGTGGAACTTCCATCTGGCGAACAATTTCACAAACACAGATTATCGTTTCAACAGGATAAAAGCCTGGTCTTCTCTCACATCAACCGAATCATCCGCTGCATCATTGATTGCCAATTAGCTCATGGAGATTCAGTAAGCGCGAGACATGCTCTTGAGCTATCCCGGAGCCTAGGAGCAAAAGCCTGGGATGACTCTGTGTTACAACTCAAGCAAATAGACCAAATCGGGATCGTGGCAGTTCGGAAATTTGCAAGCGCTGGCATCACAAATATGGAGCAGCTAGAGGCTGCGGAACCAATTCGTATTGAAACTATACTGTCAAGGAATCCGCCCTTTGGCATGAAATTACTGGCTCGAGTAGCCGAATTTCCAAAGCCAAGGGTTTCTTTGAAAGAACTCGGGAAGGTAAGTATCTCGGTGCTTTACATGAACGTTATATGTTGTACCTACAAGTGGTCTAAACTGCAAAGGATATTAAACCAGGGAAAACTCCACAAGTTAAATTCAGAGCAGACATTGGATTTGTCAACGAGAAAACTCCTCTTTATTTCCAAAAGCGTCAGGTTTACGTATGCTTTTTAGCAGAGATTTCTGACGGCCGGATCATCGATTTTCGACGTTTTCAGTAAGTTAATTAAGCAGTTGATACTACATACTACCTGGATAGCAGAGCTGACACGCCAAAGTGCTAGTAAATTACAAAAAGGACAACAAATAGTCCTAATGGCCGAAATAACGAATCCTTTTCAAACAATTACTTGCACCGTTATGTGTGATGAGATTGGTAAGCCGCCCTTAGCCTGTCGAAGCTATTTTGCTCACGACTTACTCTATATAGCTGGAACTATGAGACAAGCAGAAATCCAACCCACCCTCCCAAAGTTTCTATTTTCATCGTGTAAAGGCGCTCCAGAACATTACCTAGGTACACGCAACTGTCCACCCCCTAAAACCTCAATGAAGCCCAATACTGCATCGCCCCCGGCTCCTCAGCAGGAGGACTTGGATCAGTTCAGTGATGATCCCCTCAATTACAGCGACTTCATTCCAGAAGGTACGAAAAGCCCAATCCTGAGGATCAAGATGCCAGCTAATGTTTTATGTTGTATTGGCCAAAGACTTTGATGATATCCTCCAAAGCAGAAACAAAGGCCCGACAACGGCAGCGACAGCGACAGTAGCGCCAACTGCACTTTCTATATCATCCAAAATGAAGAAGACAATAAGTAGGGGCAACAGCTCTGTGACTTCTGAACCAGTTCAACTTGACAACGGGAAGTGGGCATGCAATCACCGATGCAAAGACAAAACAGTGTAAGATCATCTCTCCCTTGAGGCCAATGACGTACTAATGGAACACAAATTTCATAGATGTAAACATCTCTGCTGTAGAGAAGGTACAGACCAGCCTCCAAAGCAAAGCAAGAAGCAAGTTACAGAGGCGTCTAATAAGCGGCCTCAGTCGGGTAACTGCGAGGCGAAGTCTAAAATATTTAAAGACAACATCAAGCTAGAGCGTCAAGTTGAAGTAATTGACCTGACGAAGCCAGGATCTACTAAGAAACTAACCGGTGGGCCGAGGGCAGAAAAATCGTCAAGCAAGCGAAAAGGTAGGGGCCAAATGCCCACATTGCATCATTCATATAGTCGGAGAACTCCTTCCCCACTATCGGATGACACGCTAGATCCATTACAACTGCCCTTACCAGCGAGAAAAGTAAAGGCCATGAAATATACCTTGTCAGATGGAGATGATTTTGAAGAGTTTGAATCTTTGATGGGAGATTTTGAGAGCTCCCCTACCAAAAATAACATCTCCACTGAGAAAGAAATAAGTCAAACTTCAGAACATCGCTCCCCGACCAATAATGCAGACTTTGAGGACTCTGGAGACTTGTTTGGCGAGGATGATGCCATAAACGATAATTCCCTAAATCGCCTTGATGATAAATCTATGGAGGTTATGTCCTCTAAGAACCTGGATGATACCCCGTGCATCAACACTTCCCAGGAAAAGGACAGTGAAGGAACTGCACCTGCAATTCAAAGATTTAAAGCGGACCTGTTGCCATTACAGGCCCAGTCATTGCAATATAATGTTGACGTATTGCCCACCAACCAGGGTGTAGAAGACGACAACTTATTCCTGACAAACCCTCCTACTCCAATAAAGGGTATACCTGATACGAAAGTGAGTGGTAAAGAAAACCTGGACATTTTTAAATTGATACCATCCAAGAGGAGAATGTCAGATTCGGCAGCTACTGAAATACCCTTAGCTGAGGATAATATTGTTGATATACAACACCAGCAAGACAGCCCACGATCTGAGCATCTGAAACAAATTGATCCATTGCTCCTAGAGGAGTTTGGAGCTGTTGCAGAGTTTTACTAACATAGTCACTAATATATGTATATCTAGTTAAAAGATACACTGGCATCAGCTGTGCTAACTACAATATATAACTACTCTGTGTTCTCTTTCAACCTTCACAACAATAAACTAAGCTTTGATTCCTAGTTTATGTTTCTTTGAAATATATCTAAAGTTAGTCTCCTATACTCTGTCCCTCTCTAGCCTGTTTATTCAAAGTGATAAATGCAGCACCTAGGCAACAGTGCTCGGCATGATAATGTACTTTGGCGTCCTTGTTTGTTTTCACTTCACGCCTTCTGTAGAGTAAAAAACTTCTGACAGATGTCCTCTTGTATCTTTGATGATACTTTCTTCCTCAACCATCCGAGTCTTCTTTCAGGCATACGAAAATTCATCGTCAAGGTGGGTCTCTTCGGAAAGCTACGTCGAAGGATACCTGTAAGTATGTTTGAAACCCCAATACAAATGCATCTTTTGACCGTTGTATTGTCTAAAAACACGAGAGCTGGAGCTGATGCTCTTGTAGTGCTTCATTCGGAAGGCAGCTTGCTAAATATCAACATCTAGCTCGAGCAGCGAGGACGTTTCAACGGATACAACGCGAGCGAGTACTCCTTTGGAGAAAAGATGGTTAAAATAAGCTTTGCAGATGTAAGTCACGGCCTAGGGATATAACAAGGTAGGGGAGCACGGAGGCAAAGGTTGATGTAGAGACGAATTTCAACAGAAGAAAGCCCACGGAGTTAGACTAGGGAAATTTTTGTCGAAGGAACTGGTAAGCCCCGTATCCTTCCACCCTTTGAGAGCGAGTGACTCGTGGAAATTTTATTGACGTGTTGGCACAGAGGAAAAGAATCCCACCGGGAATTAACGCACAGGATGCTGGACGTGACCCGGACGTGGAGCTAGACCTGGCAGGGAAGGCGCTCACTGACGATGGGCTCTCTGTATTTATTGATGACCTCGTCCAGTGCATGAGTTATCGTGACAAGGATTATCCAAAGGGGACAGTCCGACTCACAGAGCTCTGTCTAAGTGGCAATAACTTGACGGTCATGTCCCTCATGAAGCTGAGTGAGGTTATATTCATCGGTATCACGTCACTAACAAAGGTGGATATCTCAAACAACAGCATTCGAGTTAACAACGAATATGAGCGGAGAGCATTGAGCTCATTTTTGAACGCATTCCGCTATAGCTGCCTTGTCAAGAAAATTGATTTTAGTGGAAATCATCTGGAAAATGCCGGGTTCGACGTTTTGTCGTGCATGTACTTCAAAGGTGGTTATCATTCTAGCAACTTTTCCCTCGTTGCTAGTAAGTTTCAAACCCACCATACTAAAATTTAACATACTTAAGTAAGGGCATCGTGCTGACCAATGTTAAACAGAGATAGTCGAATCGAGCGCTGAACAAGCTGAATCTGCAAATGAATTGGAATTTTATGCCCGCAAAAGAGGTCTTCGGTCAATACCCTACCTCATATTCTCTAATACGTGCAACTCCCCGCTCTGCGCGTTCCATCTCTGGAATATCGTCACGGCTCATGAGTCTGCAAGAGCGCTTCTCGAGTTTCTTCCGGCTGGAAAGGATATGGCTCCCCCAGGCCTTGAAGGCAGAGATTCAGGAATCGTGTGCACTCCGAACAAAGGCCTATCGCCTCTTTGTCAAGCATATTTGGAGCTTGGGAAAGAGATCCACAATATTACGAGAGCTGACAAGGGGATTGATGCCATCGACCTGCAAGTAGGAACCATGGAAGAGCGTGAGCGGGCTGTAACCGAGCTAGAGATCCTCAAAATGAAGAAGATCGAGATGGAAAGAGTCCAAAAGCGAATCATCATCTCTGCATTGGAGTCATTTGGCATTCACAGTGTCAGGTTGTGGACTATCACATTCAGGTTACTGGTTGCTGCCCGTGCTATTTTGCTTGACGAGAGAAATCGGCCTCAAGAATCAGCTCTTTGGAACAGTGATGAAAACTTGGGACCACTGTTGAAAGCCCGCATTAATTATCAGACTTCCCTGACATCAAGAATCTGGGCCTTGAAGCTTTCCAACGAACCACATATTCCGCAGGGTTCCATGGGGTTTCCAACGAGTCTTTTCCAGCGACAGTCATACGCCAATCGTTTCAGCCACAACACCAATCTGCGGCTCAAAGCTGCTTATAAGTCACCCTACCGCTTCGGCTTGCCAATATATGTCTGGAGGGATATCTTAGCCATGGCTTTCGATGAACTGGATATCTTGGGAAGAGAACAACAGGTCCGCGTAGTTGAATATGCAAGTGACTGGACTGGCATCGAGCAGCAGATTGCTCTTCAAGGCGCGCGCGAGAGCGAGCAGATCTGGAGAATTCTGAGCACCGTCGACTGCCTTGTTTACACCTTCGAGTGAAGTTTGAGATGGAGCAGAGGAAGAATGAAGAATGGACGTTGGTATTTCCTTTTTCGGAGGAAACATTACTAATATCACACGTGACTTTGTATTTATTAGGTAATATGATTAGTCAGTATTCAATATTCGATATCGAGATAAAGATTGATAAGAAAGTCGACAGTCAAAGTCGACATTCAAAGCCGAAGGTGAAGAAGAGGCAGCAATACGCAGAAGAGGCAAGCTTTCACTTCAGATTCACCCTTTCTTTCCTGCTTCTTCTTGCTATATATTAGGAGACTTAAAGCTGCCTGAGAAGACGTTATTCTTCTGCTCATACTTGTTGACCATAATAAATATACACCATGGTCAAGAATAAAGGGAGTAACTCGGCCAAAGTGCCGCTTCCACTCGCCCTGGAAGCTCCCTATGCTGCTCCAACAACCTTCAACGATGGACTTCCTCTGCCTAAAATATTTGTTTTTGACTTAGATTACACTCTGTGGCCCTTTTGGGTAGATACCCATGTTAGTGCTCCTATAAAAGCCAAGGATAACAACTCTCGCTGCGTTGACAGGTATGCTTTCTGGGCCTAGTCCCCTGAATTCGGAGTGCTCCTCTATGCTCCTTGATAACTGACTTCTTTCTCCATTGACAGATGGGGAGAATCATTTTCATTTTATCCAGCAGTTCACTCGATTCTACAAGCATGCCGGGCGCGGTCTATACCTGTCAGCCTGGCATCGCGTACAAACACGCCAGATCTCGCACGCGATGTTCTCAAAGCTCTACATGTCATTCCATCCTTCACAGATAATCCTGCCGCCGATAATCGTTCTATACGTGCACTCGATTACTTTGAGCATATTCAGATATACCCGGGGACAAAAACGCAACATTTCACTCGTATTCAGCAGGCAAGTGGCTTGAAGTACGAGGATATGCTCTTTTTTGACGATGAGCCTCGCAATAAAAACGTCCAAGTAGAACTTGGCGTGACATTCTGCCTCGTTAAAGACGGAATAACCAAGGAAGAAGTAGATAGAGGAGTCTGGGAATGGCGAAAGCGAATGGGTATAAGCCAGGCTGACCGGAAGTCGGCTGAAGAGAAGAATTAATTGCTGATGGTAGGACGCGTATTTAGACTACAATATTTATCATAATTAATGGTAGAAAGCGCATACATTCTGGGTGTTGCTGGCGGTATTTTCACAGCTGTCTACTATTGGTGGGATTTGTAGCTTCAAAATGGCGCTTGTGTTGACATCAACCACCTCTGCAGCTTCACAACCTATTCACCAACCTTCAACTGCAACGTGATATAACCATATAACCATGTCAACAAGAGCATCTTCCTCCACTCATAGGCCTTCGGCAGCTCCATCGATCCCCAGGCCGCCATTGAATGTCCATCCAACCGCTACGATCTCTGAAACCGCGTATTTTCAAGGCGTCCACCCAATCTCGGTGGGCGCAGGAACCGTCATCCACCCTCGCGCAAAGCTACTGTCCTTCAAGGGACCAGTCAGCATAGGTGAAGGATGCATTATCGGCGAGAAATCTGTGATAGGAGGGCCGGTCATGAGTAATTCAGGCCTGTCAACGCCTACGACTCCGCCAACGCCCGGTACGCCTCTTGACTTCGGCTCCAGCATTGAACCGGCTGCTCCAGATCGAATCACCACCATTATAGAAAATTCAGTGAGCATTGGACCTCTTGCAACCGTCTCTGCGGGTGCCCATCTATATTCTGCCTCGGCAGTCGAAGCATCAGCGTTTATAAGTAAGGATGTGAAAGTTGGAAGACACGCTAAGATCTGTACATCTTGCCTGATACCCGAGGGGGACACGGTCGAGGCCTGGACAGTTGTATGGGGCGGTGGACGAGTCGGAGGATCCCTTGGGGGCAAACTACAGCGGAGAAAAAGAGCAGCGGGAAATACTGACGATAATAGGAATCTACATAGTCTGAACGGGGGGCTGGTGGAAACGGGCCGGCTGGTAGCATTGAACCGGGAGAGAGAGAGCTTGACCAAACTGATCGGAATTAGCTCTGGGAAGAGGAGATGAAGACTGCCGCTGATGTCGGATTTATGTCTATCCTCTGACCACATATCACTTGCGCTCAAGATGCAGGATTGTTACCATTGTTTTTTACACTCAAGAGATACCCGTTTAGATGATTTAATGCATAGCGACATATTTGCCACGGATAGGGCCAGATCTATAGGAATCACATGGAGTATAGTGAGCACATCAACGGTTCATTTTACGTTGAATCAAGATGTAAATTAATATACATGAGCAACCGATATCATACCCACTGATGATTTAACAGCAGATCAATCAAGTGAGTTCATTTTAAAATGAAACGTATAGCCAAACCATTCCAATAACAACGGTCAACAAATGAAAAAATGGAAAGGGATGAGGAACGATGGAAGTATAAGAAAGAAAAGATGCCAAACAAAAGGAATGCATGAAGGGTGTATTTTTGAGTAACTGTGAGGCAACGATATTAGCCTGAGCCTGCACCACCTCCACGGATTCGTTTTCCGCTTCCTGTGTCAGGAGCTTCAGCTCCATCTTCTCTTGTTCGTTTATTACCCTGAGGAATGAACTGTCTGGCCTGGGCATTTAGTCCACCTCGTCCACCTCTAGGACTCGATTGGCCTGCCCCCGCCGGAAGATTGCCAGTCTGGACATTCTGGGCTCCACCACGGCCAGGGCCTCCTCTACCACGGCCGCCGCCACGGGGAATACCATGCCCTCGGGAGGCTCCAAGTTGCTGGCCTTGCTGGCCTTGCTGGCCTTGCTGTGGCTGCTGTTGCTGCTGACCTGCAACGTTATGTGGTTGGGTAACTTGGCCAACAGGCCCACCCCTGCCACGGCCCCCACGAGCTACAGGTAAGCCTGATTGAAGGGCTCGAAGCACCCCAGGACCAGTTCCCCCAGCAGGATGGTGTGTAGACTGAGGAGGCCTGTTAGGGAGGCCTGATACCGGCTGACCTTGTTGGGTCTGCTGGGGCTGCTGGGGTTGTTGTGGATGTTGGGGCTGCTGAGGCTGCTGAGGCTGCTGAGGCTGGACGTTCTGGGCAGGTTGCTCTTGTCCTTGTTGCGGCTGTCCTTGAGCTGTTGGCTGAGGAAGAGAAGAAGGTTGAGGCGCCTGGGGAGCTTGGAGGGCCTGTTCCGGTCGTTCCGCTGGGGTTGGAGTTTGCTGCGAATCAGTAGGCATTGTTGGCTTAGCAGGTGTCGTCGGCGCTGCAGGTACCTGTGCAGCAGCCTGCTGCGTCGCTTGGGGTGGAAGGGCTGCAGGTTGTGCGGGAGCTGGTGCCTGACCTGCAGGTTTGGGCGTAGCGGCCTGAGATACTGGGGCGGGCTTTGCAACTTTGGCAACCTCCCAAACCTCCACTACTGGCTTCTGAGGGGTTTCAGTCGCGGCCTTCTGGACAACTTCTAGCTTAGCTTGTGCATTTCGCGCCCGTCCCTCCGTCATGCTGACCTTGGCCAGCAGTCGTTTCTCGGCCAGTTCGACGGCTGAATTGACCTTCTGGTCCCGCTCCTTCATGTATGCCTCCTTTTCTTCGTTGAACTTCTTCTCCATTTCCTTGAGAGCTGCGGGATCTGCTTCCTTAGACATAGATTCCCGCTCCCTAGCTAGGGCGTTCTTGATATTGTTCCTGACGATGCCGCGGATGGTTTCATTCTTAGCCACCAATTCCCTGGCTTGACTATCAGTTAGCTCTGGGGGGAGTTCACCAGAGGGTCTAGCTGCAAGTTCCTGTTGGTGAGCCGCGGTCATTTTGTCGATTTGTTCTTTATGGGCTGTCTTGTATTCAGCTAGCTTGTTGTTCAGTGTTTCCTTCATTTTCTCGATACGCTCCCTGATCTTTGCATCTGTTTCCGCCTCCTTCTCGGCCAGAGCTGCCTCCAGTTTAGCAACCTTCTCCTCCAGTTCTGCTATCTTCTGTGCACTTTCGGCACTAGGATGTTCAGAAGACACTGCAGCCTGGACAGGAGCGGGCTGTGGCTCAGGAGCGCTCTGAGCAGCAGCGGCTTGTTGATTTTCGGATACGCTAGCTTTGAGAGCATTGAGCTCTTCTCGCGTACTGTTGAGCTCGAGTTGAATGGCCTCCTTCTCTTGAATAGCAATGTTGAGCTCCCCTTGTTTAGCGTTAATTCTGCCCGTGAGCTCCTTGGATCTGGCTTTGAACTGTTCGGTCAGCTTAGAACGAAGATCATGAACCTTCTCCTCAGCTTGCTTCAGCTGTTCTGGGAATGCATCAATCTGAGCCTGAAGGGCACTCTTCTCAGTGGATGCCTCAGCCTGCTCCTTTTCAAGGGTTGCAAGCTTCTCTTTCAGTGCCTCCATCTCAACGGGGTCAACTCGGTCATACTTCTGAAGAATATTTTGAGTGCGCTGTTGCCATCGGTCCCTGTCCTCTTGAAGCAACTTAACTTCGCCATCTTTAGTCTCAAGATTATTCTCAAGTTCTCGGATGCGGGTTTGAAGAGGCTCAGCCTGTTGTTGAATTTCTTCGATTTGAGCAGATTTCGACGCGATGGCTTCTTCGTATTGTTTAATTTGGTTGCGAAGAGTAACACTGCTCTCACGGAAGAGATTGAGCTCGTTAAGGGTTTCCATGAGCTTGTTGTGGTTGAGAGTGTTGTGCTCACTGTCAGCTTCAGCACGGCGTTGCTGTTCAAGTTTGAGGCGAGTCTCTTCAAGCTGGCTCTGAGTGTAATCAAGCTGTTGTCGAAGTCTTTTCCCTTCTTGAGTGGAAAGATGGTATTGGACATCGACAATCTCCTTCTCTCTACGCAGGAATTTGATGACTTCCTGGAGACCCTCCAAGTCAGTACCAGCAGATGCATCGGTTTCTCCCTCAGGATTCTCTGGCATACTGGCCCGATCACGCTGCAGAGCGGAAATTTGGCGAGTGATAGTCTCCAGCTGCCCATGAAGAAGCGAGTTCTGCTTGAGGACTTCCTCCCTGCGGCGATTCAATTCCCCAATCTCAGACTCGTAACGTTCCTTCAACTCATTCCAGTTCTCTTCTTGATGAGTTAGGTTATTCTTAGCGCTCTCTGCTTGTGTCCGCAGATCAACAACTTCCAGTTTGAGTTGGTTGGCTTCGGCTCGGACAGTTTGTAGATTTCTTGCGGCCTCAGCATGCTTGACGAGTTCGTTTTCATAGTTCTGTTGGGCATTCTGAGCAATTTCAGCTTGAGCCTTCAGATCCTGTTGATGGTATTGTGCAGCTGCAGTGTATCGTTCTTCATTCTCTTTGAGCCTCTTGATTTCAGCCTCCAGCATTTCTTTCTGGTCGTCCATACGGCGCTGAGCTTCACCCTCTTGGTCTCGAAGTTTGGAAATCTCGTTGTTAGTAGCTGCAAGCTCGCTAGTGATTTCCTCCACACGTTTCTCCAAATCCGCAATCTTAGCATTCTTTTCCTCAAGAAGGCGATCAGTCTCTTCACGGTATTGCTCATTGGTGTCACTAAGAGCCTCAAGTCTTTCTTCAGTTGACTGGCTAATGGCCTTGAAGTCTTCAGCCTGTTCCTTCGCATGCTCCAGTTCGCCCTTGGTAAGCTCAAGATCACGTTTCAATTCAGACACTTCAATTGCAAGCTCCTGTTCTCGGCTCAACTGGTTGTCGGGCACTGCTTCAGTAGACTCATCCCCAGCAGTAGTTACGGTGGCACCGGTATTGGGCTTATGCTGTAATACCGCAAGTCGCTCCTCTACGCTCTTAAGTTCAACAGATAACTCGTCAACTCTCGACTGCAAATGGTCTCTGCTCGTCTTCGTGGCAATGAGTTCTTCCCGCGAGGAGCTCAGGCTTGTGACAAGATCATCGATTCTCTTCTGGCTTTGCTCGTGGTCATATTCCTTGCGTAGTGTCGCCTTCTTTGCCTCCTCGGTTTCTTCATTGAGTTTGCGTTTGGTAATTTGGAGCTCGGATTCCAAAGACTCAACCGTTGCTTGCAGACGGCGTCTACTCTCAGTTTCAGAATGCTCGCGTTCATTAAGCATAGACTGCAAGTTAGCATTCAATGAATCAAGACGGCTACGTTCATTGCGCAGCGCCTCGTTGTCTTCAATGAGCCTCTTCTCAATGCTCTTCCAAAGTTCCTTCTCAGCTTTGAGATTTGCGCTCTCTCTTGTAAGACTATCTGCAAGTCCGCGTGCTTCCACAAGATCTTCAGCAACTTGCTGCGTACGGAGATCTTGCTTGTTTGCATTCTCCATCAATGCAGTATGTCTCTTCTGGAGTTCCACATTCTCGCCCTTGAGCAAGTTGAAATTAGATTGCAAAAGTTCCGCACGCTGGATGGCAGAGGCAAGCTGACTACTGGCGCGGCTAACTTCACTCTGAAGTTCACTGTTTCTCCTTGTTAACTCGTTGACCTGTTGCTTCAAGGAGGAGTGATCGGTTGCAGTTTCTTCACGGAATGAATCAAAGTGGGCCTGGAGTTTTCTGAGGAGGTCAGCATAGTCAGGTCCAGGAGCCGCGGACATAGTGCTGGCATCAAGAGCAGGAGGAGCTGCTCCCAGGGGCAGAGATTGCGAGAATGGTTCGGAAGACTCTCCGGTTTCGCGACGCCGGATAAGCATGCTGCGGAAAGTATCACGCTCCTTGATGTAGCTCTTGGTTTGCGACACAAGATTTGCCATCTCGTCCCGATAGGTTTGAACACGCACACGGAGTTCTTTCAATTCTTCCTGGTCCTTCTGGTGCGAAATGTCCTTCTGGCGAGCCTCTTCACCCTCCATCTGGTCTCCAAGCTGCCGAAGCATTCTGCGCAATGTAACGTTTTGTTCCTGGAGTTCGTTGAGGTTCTTGAAGGTCGTTAGGTTTCGGCTGATAAACTGACCAGTCTCCGTCATGTCCTCTGCTGATTCTTCAATACCCTCACGAGCAATTTTTTCAAGGTCTGCTCTGTCATATTCCTTTTCACCAGCAGACAACAGGTGGACCTCCATAACCAGCACCTTTACTTGAGAGCTAAGGTCCCTAAGTTGCTGGCGTAATATTTGTCCCTCACGCTCCAGACCTCCAACTTGTCCCTGCCACTTCCTTGCCTCCCGCGTTGCTGCCTCTCTCTCCTTGCCAGCTGTGTCCAGAATGTTGGACATCTCGACGACAGCGGCCTCAAGGCGCGAGTGGTCCGAACGCAGCTCATCAATCTCTGGTTGTCTCGATTCCAAATCCTGTACCATCTCATCCATAGCAGCCTTAAGCTCTTCGTTATTCTTTTGCTCGGCACTGAGAAGGGTTCGCATCTTGTCGTACTCGGTGTACATTTGGGTAAGAGTCAATCCTCCCTTTACACCGCGAGAAGACCTCGGTGAAAATGATCCAACGGGCGTTCCTGGACGCAGGGGAGTAGATACCCCATTGTTGAAGCCAGGGCTCATAGGCTGTAATCTTGCGGCAGATCCCTCCGTCTCCATCTGTTTAATCGCCAGCTCAAGCTCTGCAATGCGACGCTCTGCTGCCTCTTTGTCGGAGTGCTCGGTTTCAATCTCCCCACGAAGTCTAGAAATCTGGTCGGTAGCATCATCTCTGGCCTTATCCAATGCAATTTGGAATTCCTGAACTCGTTGTTTTGCAGTTTCAGCGGCAGCCTGTTGGAGTTGAGCTAGGCGCGTGGAGCTGTCAAGTTCAATGCGGAATGATTCAGCGGCTTGAATGGCTTCCTCCTTTAGTTGCTGTATATTGGTAAGAGACTCATCGTATTTTTGCTCAATATCGTCAAGTCGGCGTTTGAGAGCATTTTCACTGCGTTCCAAGGACTCCACCTTTGAGTTGGCTTCTTCATTTAGTCTTTGAAGTTCTGAGATTCGCGTACCCTTCTCCTTTCGGAATTTGAGGTACTCTGCGGATTTTGTTTTCAATTCTGTCTCGAACCATTCGTTGTTCTTCTTCAGCAGGTCTACTTCCTGTTGCAGGCTCTGCTCTCGGAACCGGGTACTGGCTGCTGTAGATGATGCCGCCTGTATCTTCTGCTCCAGAGCAGTAACTTCACGGCGAAGGTCAACAGTCTTGCGGTGTTGCGTAGAAAGCTCCTCTGCGAGTTTGTCGTAGGCAGTAGATTTCGACTCGAGAAGGCCGAGAGTATCACGATTCGATGCCTCCAATGAAGCTATGCGTGATTTGAAGCTTCCGACTTCTGCTTCACTCGTAGATGATGTTGACTTCAAAGTCCCGATTTCAGATTCAAGCTGGGATCGAGTATTCTCTGTATAGCAGTACGGTTAGAAACATATGATTTACTCTTTCTATATCCTTGCTCCTATATGACTTGCCTGATTCCTGAAGTTTGTTTCGGAGATTTGATATCTCCTCCAATCCTTTCTCTACCGATGACTTCAACACCTTCACCTTGGCCTCACCACCACGAACAGCATTTTCAAGCTCAACCTCTAGTCGTAGCTTGTCCGACTTGAGCTCCTCAGTTTCGCGAGCCTTGGTAGAGATACTCTCCAGTAGCTGGTTCACAAGCTCTACCGTTGGGTTCTCTGATAGTGTCGTTAACGCGGTTTCAGGGATAGCATAGTGCGAAGCAAGGAATGGGATATCGACGGCGGCAGTCGCCATGGCCGCGTCTGCTAGGTGATATACTAGGGAACGGTTCTAAGGCGCGTGTTTGTGACCATCCAAGGCCGTTAACGTCGTCTGGCGCCTGTGTAGTAAACAGAGCTAGCTCATGGACGAGCTCGATGTATAAACAAGCCGTTTAAATCGCACAGGTACCCGCTGTATAGCGCTATATTCCCCCAAATACCATTGCCTGGAGACTACCAGACGTGATAGAGCGGCTGGCGATGCTCACTATCGATGAGATCTCCAGGCTTCACTCCTGGTCGAGCAGAAACTACAGCAAAAACTACTTTTGAATCTTCGGTCGATGTTTTGGAGGCTTTTTTTGGATGTCACGTGATGTCTTTCCAGCCTAAACTAAAGAAACTTCGTCCTTTTTCGGTTTCACCTCTGAAGCAACGACATCATCGACATCTCCAGCCTCAACGAACGTCCAGCCCGGTGGCCATACGAAGTGGGAGAGAGAGTTTGCAGTTAAAAAGGAGTCCGGGCGCCTGCGGGAGAGAGCTATGCGAGTGATTTCGTCTGCTCGATAGATGTGTCTTTGAGGCCGCCGTGAGCCTCCTCTGGTTGACCGTGTGAGAGCGGATAGGACACACGACTGTATCAAGCACGCATACATACGCACATCCTCCCACGATGTCTTATTTCCAGAAGCAGATAAACTCCTTCAGCAACAGCGTGGTCTCTGTGGCGAGCAGACTCCCCTCTGACCGAAGAGCCGCTGTTGCCAATAATGCGGCTTCTTCTACTCTCCAGCCGGCCTCGAACGCATCGACTCCTGCCGCTCAAACCCCGAGACGCCATGACGCTGACATCGTCTATTCGCAGCCTGCCAATACGGGGACGGGGAGAGATATCATGACCCAGGTGATCTTTGCTATCGAGCATATGAAGGGCAAGGATGTTCCGCTGAAGTTCTCAGATATCGAGTCGTACCTATCGCTGTCAAGACAGGGGCATGATATGGGATACATCCACGCCTTAAGGCGCATCCTGCAGTCGCACGATAAAGTCCAGTACGATCCGGCTGGTGCCAACGGCGAAGGAACCTTTCAGTTCCGTCCTCCACATAACATCCGATCTGCCGACCAGCTCTTGCAGCATCTCCAGTCTCAGAAGACGGCCCAGGGTATGAGTGTCCGCGAGCTGCGTGAAGGCTGGCCTACTATCGTAGAGACGATCAATAAGCTTGAGAAGGAAGGAAAGCTGCTTGTGACTAGAAACAAGAAAGACAACCATCCCAAGATGATATGGGCAAATGATCCCTCTCTCTCGCAGAAGTTTGACCCGGAGTTCTGTCAGATCTGGGAAAAGGTTAAGATTCCCGACCATCAGACCGTGATGGAAGAGCTCGAGAAGGCTGGAATTACGCCTACCAGCAAGCACAAGGCTGCCAAAACCAGGCCAAAGGTAGAACAGAAGAAGGTCAAGAAGGCACGCAGGAGCGGCAAGACTACGAATACGCATATGGCTGGCATCTTACGAGACTATTCACACCTTAAAAAATAATGTTGCCCTTGGGTTATCAGGGCGGATCTACTGGGGTTTGGTGTACAGGGAGTTCGTCGGTTCTACACATATTCTCTTCAAGCATGACTTCGGCGTTTACTATTTCAAACATGTACATTTATCTGCATGCATTTGTTTCCCATCTTGACTTTAATTCATTTGGCTCTAAAAGAAATAACGCCAATAGGAACCGCTTCTATAGTTTTCCGTTATATCACCATGAGTAACAGAGGGGAGAATGCACCATAATAATGTATAACCAGGCAGTATATCATAACCCAAAAAAAAGTGAGAGAGAGGGAGAACGAAACGAAGAGCAGGATGTTCTCTTAACTATGCTTCCCATTAACGACTGGAAGAGGTCCCTCTGTCTTCTCCAGGTATTCCACCAATGCCTCGATCGTACAGACTTTGATGCCCCATTTCTTTCCAAACTTCAAGCATCCGTCCCGCCGAAGCATCCCACCACCGGACCGCTCGGCGACTCCCTCTGGAGATTCGCCATCTTCAACTAGCTCACAGATGACGCCGGCAGGGAACTTCCCGGCCAATCGGCAGAAGTCAACAGTAGCTTCAGTATGGCCTCGCCGCTCACGTACTCCTCCGACTTTTGCTTGGAGGGGTAGGATATGGCCGGGCCGTCGGAAGCTGGAAGGCTTGACATCAGGTGAGGCTAGGGTGCGGCAGGTAAGCGCTCTATTATGCGCAGAGATTCCGGTGGTGACTGAGGGGTCATTTGAGTCGATTGAGACTGTGTATGCGGTGCGGTGAGGATCGGTGCTCTGGGTGACCATCTGGGGAAGTTCGAGATGGGTGGCTAGGTTGGGCAGTATCGGGGCGCATATATATCCACTGTAGGATTTGCCATTGTCAGCTACAGGCGATAAACCAGCCGTGAAAAAGGGCTCCCGAGTCTATGCTGACCTTGAATGTCTGACCATGAAGGCCATTTTGCGAGTGGTAATGGAATCTGCGGCAATGATCAGGTCGCCCTCATTCTCTCTGTCTTCTGAGTCAAGCACGATGATGAATTCTCCATTTCCTGTTAAGAGAAGCACAGCAGTTAGCAATCGCATCAGGCACTCAGACAGCGCTATAAAGACATACTGAACGCCTCTACCGTCTCTTCCACCGTATTGAACCGCAATTCCTCCTGTGGCAACGCCATCGCTGAGCCGTATCTGATGAGAGTGCGGGGGGGTTATTTTCTCGACCGGGACAGCGTAGGGGCGGCAATAAGGGGTATAAGTGACAGAACAGGCGAGACAGAGAGGAGGACTCGAGACTCAGGGGCGTCCGGGCAGATATAAGGATGCGTCAGGCAGGATTGCGGTTCGAGTATAAAAATGCGACCAGAAATGCGACCTGGACATCGAGATAAAAACTAAGAAAGCCTAAAAAAGGTACCTAGAGGCCACCACTTTTTTCCCTTCGGCCGCCGACGGGGAGAAGAACCCGACCTGCAGCCAATAAATGCTTGCTCCGGACGATCTATTGACCCTAAAGGCACCGGGTTGAAGGGCGCTGGCAGGCCGTCGAGCAGCCACACAGCGCGAAGCTCGACGTCGCTCGTTATGCTCATGCGTTCTACATCGCCGGCGCAGGCGAAAAATCCCGGGTGGCTCCGTGCCTCGGCCGATTCTTGCATGGGCCGGATAGCTAGGTACACTTAGTAGTTAGCGACTTCGGCCGTCTGGCTGCAAAAGTGCCGGCGGCGAGCACGAAGAGAAGACGAGAGAAGGCGACGGCGAGGTGAATAGAAGCTTGATTTGTAAATCCTACAAAGCATGATGGAGCAACTCGAAGAGCAAGGACGTTGGCTAGACGGCCGTGTGATTTATAAGTGCTATCAAAGCATTTGAAAGCAGGCCTGCGTCGAGACGTATCATATCCAGCCCATAGACATGCACTTTCTAAAGTCCCGCCAGGCCTCCCTTTCAATCCTCATCCTCTCTACTTCTTGTTCGGAGGGCTCTTCAGCTACTGGCGGTTCTTCTTTGTCGGCATGGGAGAAGCGTACCCGCCCAATTTGAGATCCAGTCCAGATGATCAGCCCGTCTTGGTCCAGCCTGCTGCCCCTGGTAGGTATGATCTTGCGAGCTACACGGCTGTTTGCGCCATAATCACAGTCTTGTTCAATGGTGGGGTTAATCACCCTCCCTTCCATAGTCACCAGAGACCTGCCGTTCAGGTCCAGAGTCCGTAAAGGCGTCCTGCCGTCTCTCTCCATCCAAATGATGCGGCCCACTGAATCTGAAAACACAATCCGAGATCCATGGAGGGCTACAGAGAGAAGCTTTGAGGGAGAAGCAGACGCTCTGTTGACGTTGACAGTTTTGATTGTGAAGGCAGAGTTGCCATCTGTATTTGGAGACGTATGGGAGTATATTTCTATGGAGCCAATCCCCCTATTCTCTCCGCATGCAACGAAAGACTGACCTCGAACGCTGGAATCTGACGGACGATAGTATTTGGGGATGGCTGGCAAGGCCGCCAGCCCGCATAACCGAGCACCAGAGTGTACACTTGCTTGTAGGCGTCCCAGATTTCGGCGGTCATAAAGAAGGATACTCGGGAATCGCCCAGCCACGACTATGGAATTCGTGCTCGGGGGTGGAGGGTGGAGGATGCAGTGAGGGCCGGGCTGAAGTAACTCGGTATAATTCACTGTTCCAGAATTTCCGGCAGTTGGATGTAATGATGAGTGAGACTCCAGGAGAATAGATGTATCTCTCTGTTGATACACCGGCTGGAGTCTCGGATCGAATAGATGGAGCCCTTTCCTTGTGGCAACCGTAATAGGGGCCTGGTAGTCTGGCGTCTCCTGTGATAAAGCAAATATACACTCTGGATAAGTCCTCTGCGAGATCAGCTCCAGGGTGGACAAGTCCACTTCATTAACAACGTTGGCGTCAGCAATATATGCTCTCTGTGAGATAGAATCAACACTGATTCGCTCTGTAATGCCATCATGCACCGTATCATTCAGATTAGCCGACGACGAGAGACTGGGAAGCGAAAGCACAGAACGACTTGACCGAGCAGCTTTCCCCCGACTAGCATCCCAAATAGCCACCAAGCCGTTCTCAAGTAGTCCAACAACCTGGTCGTCTGCACCGTAACTCCTGTTCTTTAGGACGCCAACCCCTTTGGCCTCCAGTGGACGACCACGGTCATTAAGGTCTTCAACAGCCGGACTCTGTAACCAAGTGACATTCATAGGGCCATAGCGAGCAACGTATTCGGCACACCAGTCAATTTCCTCCTCTGGGTCTGACGGGTCCCAACGCACCGCAGCGTTGGCTGGGGTATCCTCAAACAGGTGAGACTGCCACACCCGTTTGCTAGATAGTGTATATAAAGCGAGCTTCTGCTTCAACTTCATAAAGCGCTCTTTCAGAGCCAGATAGCATATCTCGCGCCATACGACGTTATCACGCGCGGCAGCATATAGACTCCGTGATACCAGCTGCAAAATGACCAGGTCTTCTGGAGAGAGATCTAGTTACACCGTCAGCCAGATCATTAGCATTTTAGTAGGCAACCGGAAAATCATACAGCTAGTGATTACCCGGAGAATCTCAAGTGGCAATCGGTCCATCATAGCATATCATGTGTCGTGGTGTATTGTTAATTGGTAGCCTAGCGTACTTCATTTATCACCAGAGGTTGGGATGTTGAGTCGTAATTTTGTCTGAGGTCAGCCGGATAAACTAAGTATACCTTACATCATAGATTTTCCATCCATATATTAGGCCTACGGTCTCTGCTACAAAGGACCGCTTGTTCGGATTTCCTTGCCGTACCTCATTTTAACATTATATCTTGTTATATATCTACGATGGGATGTGAAATATACCAATTAAAGCATGACATCTCTAAATTCAGGGCATATATAGCTCATTGATCGGGTTTCATAACTGCATCCTTACATAAAATCGTAACTTTTTTGAAGAACCGGCGCCATTCCAGTGGATCTCCCTTGATCTTCACAAATTCAACTTCAACAAGGCCCTCTGACACCGTCTCTATAAGGATATTCCCATGGAGTGGGCACTTCCTATCGTCTGTAGTTCGTAGTCGGATGAGTACCGATTCCGTGGATATCTTTGGTGCAACAGGGACGTGCAGGAGCTGCAAGGCCTCGCAGATCCGAGAAACCAAAGATTTGGCAGGCCAGGTGGAGAAGAAGCGAGTGAGACCTGAGGCTGGAACAATATCCTGGAACCGCTGCGCGTTCTGGGTGCGACTGAGCGGCACCGATGGCGTGGCGCAGAACTGCGACATGGACGGCTCTTCCAGGAGCTGTTCTGCTAGAAGAATGGCTTGATCAGTAGTTATGCCATCCTTAGGCTGTGAAGCTGACTGGAGCCCGGTTGTTAGTCGAGGCGGGCCGTCCCAATCCATGAGGCTGGGATCCATAGGGGTCTCTGGCTGGGTGGACGAAAATTTAGGCTTCAAGTCGTCGCTGGCCCCCAAATCAATATCCATTGGATCAGAGCCACTGGGCTGTGATTGTGCCTGTGATGAGGACAATGGGTTCTGAGAGAAGTCGATGTGCAGCGACTCGAACATGGTTGTAGCAAGCTTGACCGGGTTGGCGAGCTTTCCATCCACAAGGTGTTTGTTATGTCGTGTAAACCAGGGGTGTCTGCGAATATCTGCCATGTTGAACCTACTGTTAACGTCCAGCTTTAGCATACCACGAAGGAGTGAGAGTGCATCCGAGGGGATATCATTCCATAGCTCATCCGAAGGCCTTGAGTTTGATTTGACATAGTTACAAAACTCGTAGCTCTCGTCTGTAGGGCTATCCCATGGGGTATTCCCCACCAGCAGCACAAATAGCACAATACCACATGACCATGCGTCTGCGATATCAGCCCTGTAGCCCCGGCCCTTTGAGTGACCTCGATTGCTACACTGAATGACTTCGGGGGCAATGTAGGGGGGACTTCCACACAACGTGGTGTTTAACTTCAGTTTCCCGCCATATTCAAATAGCGTAGCAAGTCCAAAATCGGCAATCTTGAGGTTTCCATCCATGGATAACAGAATATTTTCCGGTTTGATATCTCGATGGCCAACTCCCTTAGAGTGCATGAATCCAACCGCATTAATCAACTGCGAGAAGTAAACATGCGCTATATCCTCGCCCACACCTTCATCAGCTTCAATTTTGTCAAATAAGTCACCACCTTCAGCAAGTTCCATGGCAATCCACCGCCAGGCCTCATTCTCCCCTGTATTATAGAATTCTATGATGTTCTCGTGGCTGCCGATATGTTTATGCAGCGCGACTTCCATCTGCAGCTGCTTTGCACTAATATGTCCATGTTTGGCGGCATATTCCTTGTGTATAAATTTCACTGCAAATATAGGACCGTCCGCATTCGTGGGACAGCCCTTCTTGATGCTAGAAATGGGATATCAGCAGGCTATCTATCAAGTAGAGAGCGCGTAGGGGAAAAAAAAAAAAAAAAAAAAAAAAAAAAAAAAAAAAAAAAAAAAAGAACTAAAGAAAGAAAAAGCAGGCAGAAACTGGCAAACAATACGCATTGCAAAGCATATATTTACCATGCATAGGCCCCCTGTCCTATTGTCCGTGAGACTATGCGGAATGGCAAGTCATCAGGCAACGGCGCCAACTGCGAATGCTTCATGGCCAAACGAGTGTCAGGGTCGAAGAACGAGTGAAACAGGACTCAAGGATCGCAGCCCAGCCTGCATGAGAAAGTCCTTTGCCAGTCTCTCTCGTCCAAACGGCCTCGTCTTGTGCAGCTGAACCAACTCACTGTCCTCGACGCGGGACGACGCAGTTTCAGGTTGATCCTGGCGCGCGCGGGTCGAGTGGACGGGAAGCGCCCTTGGGGGTTTCTTATCGATAAGCCGTGCGGCGGTTGCCAGGGAAATAAAACACAAACACAGCGAGTGAACAAACGAAGAGCGAACAACTTCCAAACCGCCCGGCGTCTGTTTCTTTTCTGGCTGACACTCTGCGAGGACGATACCACGGCGTTAGATATTGGGGGCCTGCTTTTCGTTTATCCTTTTAATGAGACAGACTTGAGTCCTAGCTAGCTGGGGCCCGATATTTAATACTCCTGCGAGACCACCACCGCTCTTCCCTTAATACTCCCATCGTCGACTCTTTTAGAGCCAGGTTGGATATTTTATTGAAGTGAATCAGTCGAGAGCGGCCATGGACTTCGCTATTGAAGATTCTCAGAATGCGGCTCCTGAGGGCCAGGCCAATGTCGAGCACTCGAAGCTCGGTTCGACAGCTTCCAAGCCGGACACCCAAAGCGTTACCAAGAGGTTTGTCTAATGGACTTGCCCTGCTTCCATCTGACTATTTAGTTAGTTAATTTTGACACTCCTACTAACTATCTTATCCGCCAGACTCCAGAGCGAGCTCATGCAGCTGATGATGTCCCCTTCTCCTGGCATATCAGCCTTCCCGGACGGAGACGGGAACCTGCTCAGCTGGACTGCCACCATCGACGGACCTGACGACACTCCCTATCAAAAGCTCTCCTTCAAACTCTCCTTTTCCTTCCCTACAAACTATCCATACGCTCCTCCTACCGTCTTATTCAAAACGCCAATCTACCATCCCAATGTGGATTTCTCTGGACGGATCTGCCTTGACATTCTCAAGGAAAAATGGAGCGCAGTATATAATGTCCAAAGCGTGCTTCTCAGCCTTCAGAGCCTTCTAGGAGAGCCTAATAAGTTCGTTATATCCATACTCGATTATTAGCCTTGGTTTACTTGTGTTGCGTTACTAATTTGTATCTGCTATAGTGCAAGTCCCCTGAACGGACAAGCCGCTGAGCTGTGGGATAAGGACCCTGCAGAGTATCAAAGGCTCGTTTTAGCTCGTCACCGAGAGATCGAGGCTGGCGAGTGAAATTTTACGTCTAGATCTTAACGATTCCTGGGAAATGGTCTTCGGGCCAATTCCAATATAAACGAATTCCATTGCATTTGTCGGAAGGCAGGGAAGAAGGCATTTTTATTTACCGTTGGTCGTTGGATTGTTTTCTTCTTGGTTCGGTCTGGGAGCTGGAGTTTTCTCCATTGGTGCTGCATGAGAACGCTCCAATGCGCCACAGCCCTTTGGAATGGACGAAGCTGTGTTTCTTCTTATTCTGCATAACCTGGTACTTTGAACGCTGGCACTGCACGGCAAGAGATGCCCTATAATGGACGAAAAGATGACAAGTGTGCATTGTATCTGGTGGATTTTTTTGCTTCTCTTGCTTCTTTCTTCAAATGAATTCTATTAATCCAAACCTGCTGCCATGCCTCTTTATTTAGGCTCCTGAGTAGCAACCAGAGTATGAACTTTATAACTTGGCCCTTGTTTATCCGAATGCAAGCATCCGTGTATATGTCAATAAACACCAAGGAAGAAAATTGTAGGCCTTGAAATACGCAAAATATGGAACTCATTCAGAGCGGCATTACTGTCCAGTTTACGAATATCTCGCTAGCGGCCAAAAAGTACTAATCAATGGTAGTCATGGCCCAACAGTTAGTTAAGCTGTCAGATCTCAGAGTAGGTAGTCGTATATCTCTCACCAACTATTTGGTTTGATACAGGTGCTCACTGTTACTAGTTATTCCTCCCCAGGGATTCGATGGGTGGCGGCTTCAGGGCTTAGCCATTATTCGGGCCCAGAGACACAGAAGAGCAGTTTTTACCTTCCATCACCATGCGATGACTGGTTTGCCGTTGTTACACTTCGTCCAGTATATCATTCAAACCATATGGACTATCTGCTGATGATTCCAATGGTGATGCCTGAGCCTTGTTTGACCCTGGAGGCCAACATTCTCACGCTGAAGCCCTCCCCAAAGAGCTCAATCACCTGGTCTATGGTCAAAATAACACAGCTAATCGGTCCTCTGGAAAAGAGCAATATTCCCAATTTTAAGCTTGAGTTCGATCTAGCTGGGCCATGTTTGTTCAAAGACGGATAATTGAAATAGGTTCCCCGGAGGACGAAATTAGCAAAGTTAACGCGTCGGGCGAATACATTGATTTTATTCGGCATCTCCTAACCATTGGCCAAAAGAAATGGTCAACAGCAGAGCAGCCGTTACAACACCCATGGCCTTAAAGGAGTGTCAAGGAGTATATTGAATTTTTGAATTTGGGTATCGTGGCGGCGGCTGACAAAAGCCACACCTAACCGTGGTATCTCTCGAGTTCAACTCATGATTTCTTATGCGATGTTAGCCAATACTCGAGTACCTTCTTGAAAGACCCGTAAGCTTTGAAGGCAATGTCGTATAAACGGACCAGGGTATCAGTTAGCACGGTTCTCGACACGAATGTAATCTTTTTTCCTCGTTTTGAAGCCCGTGCCCCCTGATGCAGGAGAGAAGGCAAGGGAAGAAAGAGAAAGCCAGGCGGTCAGCCCTATAAATAGGAATTATATACGGGCCCTCGTGATGTATAACTATTTACAGACATGAACTGTGCATATCATAATATATGAAAAGCAAGGCTCTAATGGCCCTAGCTTGGCCGTGGCGTGAACTACGACAAGTAATATCGTGTTCTCTTGGATATTGGAGTTTGTTGAGAGGAGAAATTAAAAGCCACGTAAACATATAAGTAGATAGTTGAAGCTATGAACGCCGGGTCCAGTTAGCTAACAGGCTCATATTCACATTGCCATGGTCGAGTTCATTCCCATGGCCATGTCCTTTGGTTTAAAGAACTGCTGTTGGTCGGTAACTAGGAGTCCAGCGATGCTGGCACTGGTGAATGTGCTCAATGCTCCTGTCAACATGGCGCTCAGTGCAACCTGTGACACGTCTCCAATACGGCTCGGAGCCAATTGGGCCAAGACACCTATTTGATTACCAAGGGATCCGATGTTCGCAAACCCACAAAGAGCATATGTAGCGATTAGTCGAGAGCGAGGCGAGAGATCGGCGTAATTAGGATCTTGCTGAAGGGCAGTATAGGCCACAAATTCATTCTATAAATACTGGTATGAGAGAATGAAGCTGGTACGGGGAGTGGGATAACCATTAGTTATAACTTACCGCGATAAGCTTGAGACCAATAAGCTGGGCGACTTTGTAGAGATCGCCGGTTCGCGGGACGCCTAAAAGGAAGGCAATTGGGTAACAGAGGTAGCCCAGGATAAGCTCCAGGGTAAGGTCTGGCCCTTCGATTGTCAAATAGCGACCCCACCAGGTAAGAAGGCCGTTGATGAGACCGATTAAAGAAATGATGCACAAGAGAGTGGCAGCTATCATACTGCCGATCTTGAGACCCAGCCAGGCGCCAGTTGCAAATGCGTGAAGTGCGTTTTTTGCTTTGTGTTCGTCATCTTCTGGGACAACCACCCGGCCAGCAGTGAGAGTTTCTTCAGTTTCGGGATATCTCATTTTCGAAACTGCCAGAGACGCAGGAATACTCATAACACAAGACGAGATCAAAGCCTGAGGATTAACTCCTATTCCAACATAAGCAATCAATACACTTCCAGCAATTGTTGCGAAACCAGAGCACATGACTTGATGAATTTCAGCCATGGTGAGGTAATTGATAAACGGTCGGATAAGCATGATCGACTCTCCTTGGCCGATGAACGGTGATGCTGCGGCAACAACAGCTTCTGCTCCAGAAACACGCATGGCCCAGAAGAAGAATGACGCGAATTTGGCAACAAACCACTGTATGAAACCAACGTAGTAGAGCAGCTGAACCAGGGATACGAAGAAAATAATGGCAGGCACCACATTGGCCAAAAACCATTTTATCTTCACAACATCCGGGGTGGTAAGAAATTGGGTACCAAGTGACGCGAATCCCAGTAGATCAGTCGCACGTTGAGAGATGAAGTGGAAGATATCATATCCGACCGTGGTTCGGAGAACAAAGATAGCGATGACGAATTGCACAAGCATTCCAACAATAACTGTCCGCCATACAATCTTCTTTCTGTTCTTAGATGTAATCCATAGGCAGAGCAGGAGTAAAGCAAGGCCAAACAAGCTAATTGCTCGATTTTCACGAGTGTTATCCTGAGACTCTTCGGACACAAATGCACCGATGATGATCACACATACGACGAAGGCAGCAGCAAGAGGCGTTTGCATCTTCTGAGGGATCATGTTGGCGGCAGGTTGTGCGGTACGCGACCATAACCAGTATATTGGTTTGGTCACTATGGAGATGGGTACATAGTTGAAAATGACCCTGAGAGTGACGCCGAGATAGACAAGGAATGGGACAACCCATCCGAGTTCCTTGCGACGAAGGATTAGACCGGCAATCC